GAATTCTCATGCTGTTCAAATTCAAAAACACTTCAGATTCAAATCTTAGCATCCTTGTAACCGAACAAAGGTAAAAAATACTACTCTGCAATTAGTGCACGTTTAAAACCTAACTTTCTCTTTATTATCTTGGCAACTAGAATTAGGAATTAAAGTGTGTTGATCTTGAAGGCATCAGCTATGCATTCTTCTTTGGAAAACTAGCAAGTTGAGTTGCTAATCCTTCGAATCGTAAAAACAAACGTGTGCAACGTTTAGTATTTTCTGTACCGGCTTTCGAGTCTGCTCGATGCAGTGCTAATTCTTTGCATATTTATAAATCTTTTGTTTTGCCTGTGCACTGAAAAACAAACATTATTCTTGTCAATTATCTCCAAAACAAATAATTGTGAAAAGCCATTCTTTTGCTCTTTTTCAAAACTTGATTTCTAAAAACAAGATTGTCCTGCACAGAATTAGGCACCCAGGGTACATTTTGAAAGATTTTTTATGGTGTCTAATGGAAGATATCAAATAGATCTACCATATCAAAAGGAGATAAGAAATATCCGTCACATTCCTTTTTTCGATTCAACATTTTGAATCCTGTTCTTTTGTACACTCAAATAAACACAATTTTCGTACCTCTGCACTGCGAGTCAGTCGTGAAATTTGTTTAGTTATTTCATTAAGCTGAACTGAGTTATAGTTAAGAATGATTCTCTTCTCAGTGCTAAACCCAGTCATCCAACCCCAATCAAAAGCAATGTTTGCCTTAATTTGTTCTCATTAGCAGGTATATAATGAACTTGCTTGCTTTTTTCATTTGCTTTTAGATAGCTATAGGACTTCAGATCTTTCAGAACCATATAACGTCATTTATGATACTCTTAAGTTTAAATCTTTTGAATACAGTTATCGTGGCAAGTTTTTTGTTAAGTTGGTTTTAAATTTCAGCTGATGAAAATTGGAAAAATAAAACAACTTTATTTAAAGATCTCAGTATAGCTATCGTTGTAAAGTCTTCAAGTAAGCAAAAATTGGACAATAGATAGCTGAAAAATTTCCAAAATTAATTGCGCTTACTCAGCCTGATCAACAACTTCACCCTAATTTTATCTACAGCAAGTTTTGTTGAATTTCAAGAATTTACACTTAAATGTGTTTTCAAACTTAAAGCAAATTTACCTCCACACTTATGTTGGATCTTTAATTCTTAGAGACTTTGTTGTTTGCATAAGCAGAATCGATGTTTTCCTTTGTGCGTGGGTTGTTAGGCCCCCTTGTCTTTACAAAGCTCAAGATATGACTGTAGTTAAACCATCACGTATCTTAGGCCAACAAAGCATTTTAGACAGCTCATATTTGCTTGGTTATTTCATGAAATCTCAAAAGCAGGCCGAGGAGAGTCTAACCGGAACTTTTTTCCCTTTCAATAACCCCCTAAGCCCCCCCCCCCTACAACACTGCCGCCCGGCCCCTTACGAGATGTAATTTCACTGTCGTGCGGCGTGATCTCTATAGAATTTAGGCAGCGTTCTAACCTCTTTAGAAATGTTTGAATAAAGCATATTCTGTCTAAGTGCCCGAAAAATAAGGAAAACTATACATGGATTGAGTGTTTCCACTTTGTCACTGGTATAGCAATTCTCAAGCCACACGAATTGCTCCCTAAACCCCTTTCACTGTTTTATTAAATTTAATCTTCTTTTAGAGTCGCAATTCCGAATTGGAGTCCACGTTGGAAGAAGAAAGAAGGGCTCGACAAAAGGTGCGAAGCTACTTTATTTGCTTTTACCTTCATCCCGAATCAAAACCTGGCCATCAACCGGGCCCATTCCTACACCTACCGGTTGTTACATCTTGTAGCGCAAATCTGTCTTCCATGCCTGCCTCAAAGAGAGATTGAATATTAAGTCATCAATTCTATTCTACTTAATAAATTCTACCTAGTCTTGAACAGCCAGTGAGAAGATAATCTTTCAATTCGCTTTGTTTAGCTGATTTCCCTTGATCTATCGCAACCCTAAAATAAGTTGTTTGACCCTTTACCCTTCCTCTATATGACCCTTACTTGAGCATATTATTTTACCAGTTTACGAAGAGATACAATGTGATCTGCGCATCTACACCTACCCACCCCCACCCCACCCCCCTATCAAAATAATATGCCTTCGGTATTCAGAATGTTGATCGTTATTGTCTTCATGACCTTCCAAATTTTTTATTTTCTTTATAATGGGATAAAAGCAAACTAGCTGCTCAATTGCTTACAGCGTTGTTCGGCATTGGGTGCGCTCATTCTGAGAGGGCTTGGCTTTGCCAAAACATTACTGGTAGATCAAGGAATCAACTCGCTAAAAAAGGGAAAACCACATTGTTTGTGCAATCTGCATTTATTTCGGTTACGCTTCTGATGTTTAATTATTATGGAAGAAGTTCATGAGATTATCCCTTGTCCTTTCTTTTCTTAGTCGTAAAGGAACAAAACTATCCCCGCACCCTTTTGTTCTCCTTGAATGAGTTTACTGTGGATTAGTAAAAGCCTGATTCAGGCTTGAGAACAAAAACCAACTAAATGGGAATAATTTCTGATCAGCTGTTTGTTATTACTCCCAAAATCAGTGTGATTTTTGTATCAGGTTTTCACATTGGAGTTTCCATTAGCACCTCCGCTGACTCTGTTGATAAAAATTCCTGCTACTCCAAATAGGTTCGTTGTAATCACGAACAAATGACTGCTGCTGTTATGTGCCATAGGCGTTGTCCCTGATGATCAAGTCTCGCATAATTGCATATCAAACAAACCACAGATATCAATTTAAATTGCGACTAGACGTATTCAGGCCAGCCTCAATTTTGTCATTGTAAACTATACTTAAAAGAATTAAATGGAAAAGAATTACCCAGAAATATGATTTGCACCATGTGAATCCTCTAGTTGAAAATTACGTCATTAAGCTCACTACAAACATTTATTGGATGGGTCATAGTCAAAAGTGTTTTTCTATTGACTATGGATGGATTTATTTCATGGCATTTCGGATTCAGAAGCCCTTAAAAGTGATTTCACCAGCTCTACTTGGGATGCATTTTGAGTTGCAAAGGAGATTTCAGCTCAGCTTGATGGCATTATCATTTGGCGATAAGTGCTTTGGCATAATCCACTACTAACCTTCTTTTTTGCTTAAAGGAGGTTAAAACCTGCATCTTTTGGCATCTTTTTCGTGATTTACTCTACTTAGCTTTTCAAGCAGCAGTTTTGCTAGGTTGAAGGCCTGTTTTTCCACGCCTTTTTCGTATCCTGATTAGAAGGCAGAGAAGGAAATAACTAGAGCTTTCCTTCGTGATTTATAAAAATTATCTTATCATTATTTATCTTTTAAACAAGAACAATTTTTTCTTTTTTGCATTTCGAATATATGTAAAATTGTGAAAAACATTTTATAAATCCTATTAAAAATAATTTTCAAGTCCTTTTGCTGTCACCTCACTTTATTTTTGGAATCATTTTCAAATGTAACATGTCAAAATTTTTTAGAATATTTCAAATCGGCTTTTCCAAATCTTTCTGATTGAATTTTTGTTGGAGACTGCTTCTTGAAAGTTTCACAAGTTGATATTCGTTGGCTTTTCGGGCAGGTTAAAAAATTTTGTTCCAACTTCTGCTCTGGGCTGCAATAGCTATATCGATCGATTTATGCTTATATATATTCAAAACCATTCCTAATAAAACCTTTTGCTTAATATAGCGTTGATCAATGCATCATAATTTAGGGCAATTCAATATTCCCTTATTCATTTGATACGCCTACCACACCCCATGTATACCACATCATTCTTGTATGTTAATCGCTATTCTGCCTCCCATTCCACGAGACAATGAGGTTTTATATCCACTAAGGCAAAAATATTTTACTAAGAAGAGGAAACAGTTTTTATAAGATCAATGCCTTTCTTTTTTGTTGCTTATTGTGTTCGTACGTTGAACCTAAAGGTATTTGCAATCTTATCGCAATCTTGTTTAGAGTGAAAAATAATGCCTTCTTGTTGACCATAAAAGGTATTCGCTTAACAAGGGCATAGAAACATGTGTTCTGGGATTCAGCAGGAGACAAATGGCTATGTTTCTTATGTTTGTTTGTTTGTTTGTTTGTTTTCGACAAAGTTTGAATAAAGGATATTGTCAAAATTCTCATCTGCTATTGGATTGGGATCATTTTCCATTTTGTTTGTTAAAATGCTGTTGTGTAGTTGATTCAAACTGCAATTCGACTTTCCCCGCATGAAATCCCTTTATGAAACTGACACCTCCAAAAAACTGCAGGCATCAAAAGATCATCAGGAATACTGACCATGCCAGAATTAGACTACTTCTTGAATGAAAAATCTCGGAAGGAACCCATATCATATAACAACATGACAGAATGCAGATTGTTCTGTCTGCACCAACTTCCGAAGTTGCACCAAAACGATCAGTCCCAAAAACCTGAAAATGAAGTGCATTCAAAACTTCAAAAACACAGAAATTTTCTTGCCAGTCGGAGTTTTTGAGCTGGTGACTAATTTGGTTGAATCTGATTTGAAATTCGTATTTATCGAAAATCACGACCATCAGGCTTTCCAATAAAAGGCTTTAGCAATAAATAATCATTTCACTTTTCGCATTTGACGTATTAGACCGCGAAAAAGTCGATTACCATTCTCTGCAATACCAATTAAAAACCCTACCTGCATCTCCTCAAAAAACCGTTTTTGGTTCAAGGCTTATGACAGTCTGCTGGCAAAGCAAAAGATGCCCAATCTATATTGTTCGCTAGGATTTTATTTTAGTTAAAGACTCTCTGTATGAAAGTTTTTGTATAAAAGTACTGGCGGTCTTCAAATACGCTATACGGGTTAAAAGTATATTGCCACTAACCAGTCGCCTTCTGGAACGCAATGTAGTAAGACTTACAGCGCGTTCGCATTTCTGTAAGGAACAATTTTCCATTAACAAAAATATCAAACTTTGAAAGTTCCAAGAAAATTGAAAATTTTAGCGACACTGCTGCAAATTCGGCATAATTCTCAATACTGCCTTATTGTCCCAAGGCATAATGTTCTTAATTTTAGTTAGATTGATGATTTTTATGATCTTTGCTATCTGTAACAGCAGAATATCCGCCTTGGCTTTCGTGGATTTATAGATTACTCCAAAAAGACACAATCGAGGGAATCTCCTCAGACTGATCGTTTAATGGGACCCCTCTAAGTGGGATAAATCCCGAGCTTTCAAGTCAAATTGAAGTTCAATTTTTCGATGTTCGTGGTATGTTGTATTATTTAAAGCCTCCTGTTATGATTTATCCGTTAATCAAAGAACCCAGCTGTTCATTTGAATTGAAGTGTATGGCAAATCTAAGCCTTGTTATTGAGAAAGTCTACCGAAAAATCCCGCAGCACTCTTTTTGTGTTGCGAACTGCAGTTCTAGGGCAGGGTGTGTTTGCTTCGTAAATTGAGTGCTTGCATATTGCCCATCATCTGGAGATTTAAGGATTGGCTTGCCAGGTAAAATTACTTCAATTTCTGCTTTTGTAATTTTATTATGCATTATAATGTGCTGTAATCTATATAGGATTCGCATACCTTTTGATAAACAAAAGATTTAAGTTTAGAAAAGCTTTCGATCAGTAATCGACAGTTTTTTAAGACCAGCCTTTCCGACATCCGCCTATTTCTTGATGCAGCTTAGCTAAGAGACAGCAATGCGTTGCGATTCGGCCATTCTGTTACTCTCTTTCTGTTGATATTTGTAGGCTGAGAGAGAGTGCAGTGAATTGGAACAAGAACTAAGCATGTTGCAAGACGAAATGGACGATGGAGGCCCAAGTGGCAGTCTTGTAAGTTTTTTAAAATTAATAACTTTCATAATCTTTAATCTTTCAAGATTTTATAAATATGATATCATTAATACAATTCGCAGTCTTGCGATGGCTCAAGAAACAGGTTTTGTATGACTTACATCTCTTCTACATGAATGCTTCCTGTCCGTTATGTTATTTAAAACTTATTATTTGTAAATTGCTCCACTAATTAAATCGCCTGTCTTGACACAACCTTCAATGCCAACGCCACTCAACTCTACTTGATAATATTATAGTCCTGCCTCTTTTCAATTATTCCACGAAACGATTTAAGAAAGTAATAAGAAATAATAAGAAAGTAATAGCTTTAAGTGACAAATAAGTAACGCCCATAAGTCTTCATTAAACTTATCAGTTAAAAGATCCATTGGGCACTGATTTAAGAAATTTCATTGCATTTGTTACATATGCGACAGCTATCAAGCATTCAAATGTTCTGAAAAGATCTAGGAACAAATATCGCTTGATTTTATTTTCCTTGATATAACCTTTATTATTCACTTTTTACATTTTAAAACCATTGTTTTATGACGGTATTATTTTTGCGGCATCAGCATCTTTTTGTCCTCAACCTCAAAGTATTTTTTAAAATTTCGAAAATATTCAAATTATATTTACGAATAATTTCGCTTTGCAAAGAGCCCTGCATCAGAATAACATGACAATGTTGTTCGTCAGGCCCAAGCAAATGTCTTCAGTCCATGAGTTTATAGTTTTCTTCATTTATTTTACCTCAATTTTTCTTTGAAATATCAGGATTAACAAATTCTGAGAGACAAAAGGGGTCGAGCCTTTCTTTTGCCTTTCTTTGTATGTATTGTTTTGTGGTTTTTAAAGCTTAATTTGGAAATAAATGCGATGTGGCGGGAAATTTGAATTGCGATGGAGCATGATGACAACAATGATTTGCAGAATGACAGTTGTGGTGTCTTTTTCGTGGTAAACAGAGTATACACCAGGCTCTTTTTACCAGTATATCACAAACTTAGGTTTGCAAGAAACCAGTACAGTACTTGGCATCGACAAGAAAGCTTAAAAGAAACTTTTCAACATAACAATCATTTCATCAGTGCCGGTTGATAATTAAAACGTGACTCACAAATGTGCTAACTTTGCTGTAAAGTGTGATTTAAGCCAAATAGCATGATCCCATATGCTCTTGCGTTACGAGGTATTTTAGAAATCTCTTGTAAGCAGTGGCTATTTCCTTTCTAAGTGAAAGACGTGATCAAGAGATTTTTTCGAGTAATTCGTGAAATAATGTTGATAATGTAGAAAACTAATATTGAGAATCTGTAAAACAAATAAACCTAATCTATATTCGCACTTTTTTATAGACAAATTGAGACTTTAAACTGCTATAGGATAATAGCCAGTTTCAGACTTAATACAAAGTATTTATTTGAATTTTCTTACAATCTTTCAAATTCGTTTTCATTTCCGCAACAAATTATAATGTTATGTTTTTTATGTTTCTCAACCATACTTCATTTTGTCCTTTGGACATTCTTTGTCGTATTCATTCCTTGAATGTTTTGATGATATCGGTTTAGAATAATTTAAAAATAATATAGTAATACTCAGTTTCTTATAAAATGCTTCTAACAGACCACTCAGTGTATTTTTTTATTAATCCAATTGGCTCTTAATTAAGAAATTCAAAATCAATCATAATTATACTACCTCTAATTAAACTACATATAGCTTCTTTTTTTGCACACTCACTCAATAGTATAACAATAATTTCTAAAATTTCTTCCATTGTACATACCAACATTTTTTTAAGATTATTCCAACATTCAGATATGAGTAAGGTGATACCAATGTTAAATTCATTTGCCAGAAATTTATCTCACTAACGGAAATCGCCTTGGTGTTTAGTTAGAGTAAATCTTACAATGGATTTTGCCGATTTAAGTGCTTTTCTGACAAAAGCGTTCAAAAAAAACATGTAACGGAACTGGATGACATTAATGATGACCGTTTGGTCATTTCCCTTCGTAGCACCCATGTATATGACTCATTGTCAACTCGCTTATTTAGTTTATTATATTTACAGCTGGCTAGAAAGAAGGACCAGGAAATCGCCAAACTCAGGAGCCATCTTGAAGCTCTAAGCAACGAAAACGAGGAGGCCGTGATGAGCGTATCGAAGAAATTCAACACACAGCTTCTACAAGTTCAAGAGGATATCGAGACCATCAGAAAAGCTAAAGCTAGGTTTGTATGGAAGCATTTGCTTTCTAATCTCTATTCTTAGATGCCGAGAAACACAAAACGGCTTTATCCTTTAGTACATATAGTTCCACATATACTAGCGAGTAAAATATATCTGCATGTTGAAAATTTTCTTTCTTTGACCATTGGTATAATTTCAGAATACTTTGTTTTGAACTTCTTATCATAGATGCTTTCGTGTTCTACCTTTTAAAGCAGATCAAATGTCTAAATCTGCCTTTTTGCTTGTTTTTTCCTATAATGACCTTCGAAGTTGCTCTAGTTAAAATAGGTTGTTAATAGGTAGTTTGTTCAGACGCTAAATTCGTGTGTTTCACTGGATTCTTGTGTTTTATCGAACATAAAGTTCATTATTTTGAACATAAGTCGTTATCGAACATAAAGTTACATAAAGTTCATCATTATCAAACACAATAGTCTTTATTTTGAGAGAAAATATTCCCAAATCACCTGAATTACCTTTATTGTGAATATTTATAAAAATAAATCATATTCCTTGATATTTATTCTTAAATCACCGATTATCTGCTATTTTGTAAATCGTTTCGTAATCTCATGTTTTGTCAGTTATCGTCAAGAGTTAGCTTTCTCAAGGTTTTTCAATGACCTACTTAGATGAGTTTTGATTCATGTTAATTTTAGTCTTGTATACCACCAGGGTCGAGAAAGAGAAAACACAGCTTGCTTGCGAATGCGATGAACTTGCTTCCAAAGTTGAAGATGCCAACCGTGGCAAGGTCAGTTGGTTACAATTAATAGTTTTCTTATATACTTTACACCCTGCTTTCCCTACATGAGTTGTGTACTTTCGAAGCAAAGCACGTCGTATTTGCGTCACATTACGCTTCTTAATAGAGAAAGCTTCCCTGCCAAAAGACGTGTCTTCTTTGTTTGTAAATCTGTTGGCTTCTAAGCCATTGAGAAGCGTTTGCAGATATTCTTGAAAGCAAGTCTTTACTTAAAGGCACTGGGAAAAAGTAATATTATCCTGATACCCCTTGATAGGAATCTTTACTTGATTTCTTCATATTTTTTCTAAGGTTTTTGGGAGCCCGAATTCCTCTGCTGTGTTTTCAAATCTTTGAGCTTTTCAAAATGTTTTGAGCAAAAATCTGGAAAAAATTAAATCTTTTCTAGAAAGGTTTATAAAGAAACTAAAACCCACGTTGCGTTATGCGCATAGATATACTACATATTACTTTGAATCTTGAAAAAGAGGTTATCATTTTATAGAGCGGATATTGTGTTTTAAGTTGCTATTTTATTAAGGGTTATATTTCAAGAGAATTGAAAATTGTGTGTTTATATCGATAACGGCAGTAGTTTTACCGTAGTCAAATAATTGACTTTTTTCTCGCAGCAACAAGCAGAAAAGGCTATTATCTCTCTTGAAGATCAGGTCGGAGAGCTTAGGGCCCAAGTAAGTAATAGTTTTTATTCATCTTCTCAGACAGAAAAGGGTGAATTTCCTCATAGGTTCCATTGCCTTGCTCAAAATTCATAAGCCTATTCAGTATTTGGTAAAAAAATTAATACCTCTTTGAGAAAAGTAGCAATTTTATGTGTCATAAATTTGATTTTTTGTGTATGTAGGAATGTCTAATTTTCGGCTTTTTAATGAATAGCTTGCTACACTTGAAGATCGAGTTAGAGACAGTGAAAGTGCGAAGAACAAGCTTTCACAGGATAAAAATAACTTGAAGCGCGATGTTGAAACATTGGAGCAAAAGGTCTCTTCTGCGAATGTATTGGTAAAAACAGCGGAAGACAAATGGCATGATGCCCAGAGCCAATACGAAGTCGAATTGAAGGTAAGATTATAGTCGAGACGTCTATAGTATGATAATGGGAGCAAGCAATTAAGTCAGGTTTAGGTCTTGTATCACAGTTGACAATGATCTGTATTTTTCAATAACCCTTACACATGTAGAGACATCGCTTTTTGGCTTTCTAACGTCGAAGATGTTATGCATAATTTCATCCGTTATTTGTCGAACACTTTCGTCCTTGAGTTTACCTTGAGTTTTGGAAGTCCTGTTGAAGATATCCAACTGTTGGATTTTACATAGGATGTTTTCTGTTAGAGACACAGTCTGCTGACAGCAAATGTAAATGCGATAGATTATGTATAAGGTCGTGTACTTTTCCAAACATAGGCAGCAGTTTTGTTAAAATCTCTGCCAAAAGTCTTGAGAAACTAACTTCAGTCTTCAAGATCAAATTCAGTCATTCCCCTCTCCCCTTACGGAGAAATGCTGGTTTACTACAAAATGACCTCAGAGATTAGGAAGTACGCCCTTCCGTGTGACTTGTAGGACGTTTGCCTAACTTATCAAAATTGTTCTGGGAGGACGGGAGCAGAAATATTGGTATTTGGGCAAAGAAATTGAAATTTTAAGAACAAAACACGAGCTGATAGGTATTCCAAATGATTTTGTGATGTTTTCTAGAAGCGTTATTTTCTAAAATTATGTTTTGATCTCGAATCTGTGCATTTCTTGAAGAGGACAGCTCTCTTTTGAAGGCAAAACAAGAGGCCCAGAGTAAAGTCAGTGGCTTGTTGTCTGAAAACGACTCATTGCAAGATATGCTAGACCAGGAGCAAGGAGAGAAGAGTTCCCTACAGGATAAGTTACTCAAAGCGAATGCTGAAGCTGCTCAGTGGAAGAGTAAATATGAAAGGGATGCATTGCCACAGATTGAAGAGCTTGAGGATGCAAAGTGAGTGTTTAGAATTGGAAGTATAGTGAAAGATTCTTTAAGAATTATGAAGCGTGAAATATGGGTTGCCAGTATAAGAGTAGTTCTCCGCTAAAAGCCTCCTTTGGTAGAAAGTGACTGAGACTAGTATAGGCATTTTACAGTAAATATTTCAGTATCCTTAATAAGTTCTTAATTGTGACGTCAGAAAAAATGTATTTTCATTTTTTTTCTCTTGACCACATTTTCTGAAAGAACTCATGAAATACATTTGATACTGCAAAATCAGTTGAACGTGTTAACAATTTAGGGAGACATGACTAATGAAAGGTTTGAAATTTGCTAATGGGTTATTGTTTGGTTCTTGAAGTTTTAAACCGAGGCCACAGTACAGGTATTTTATGGCCATAGCTCAGACAATCCTTCAGCTTCAACCTTCATTTGGTAAAATCTTTCTCTAGACTTCATTTTCAGGCGCTTTCTAGTAGATTTCTCTGTACCATTTTCCTTTAAAAGGTAAGCGTATCACTTTTCTGTTCTTTGATTTTGCAGGAAGAAAAACATCTTGAAATGTCAGGAGCTGGAAGAGTCTTTGGCAGCCGCCCAGTCAAAAGCAAGCAACCTTGAGAAATTAAAGAACAGGCTAAATGGAGAAGTCGATAGTTTGACTGCTAACCTTGAAGATGTAAGTAAATTCTTTTAACAGTTTAGTCAATGCATCTCTTCAATCGTTATCTCCCGTAAGATGTACACTCTTGGCATCATGCAAAGGCCCCTATGCTTTAATTGTCCTTTCTGATCGTGTTTTTAGAACATTTCGAAAATTTCGATTTCCATTTTTCAAATTCAATCAAATTCTTATTTTGTTCTTGCTTTTTCAGTTTTAGCTCTTTTTCAATCTTCTTCTTGTTCCTATCAACATTCTTTTTATATCTGTAGTATTTTTCGATGACTCATTATTTTGTCTCCATTTGTTTTAGGCCCAAGGTCAGCTGGCCGGTTATGAAAACAGACTTCGCAAATCAGAAACTGCTGCAGCAGAATGGAAACAGAAGTTTGATCACTCTGAATCCGAGCTTGCCGGCACAGGCGAACAGATTAAATCCCTTTCATCGCAGGTATAGCTTCAATTCTATTGTTAATTTTGATGGACTTGTATGCATACAGTCATATTGGAATTTTACTATGTCCTGTGATGGAGTATCTTGTTCATTATTTGATAAAAGTCTATCGTGATCATGATTGTCAATAATCATCAATATTTGTTATCAGTGATCATCAATCATCAATCACATCACCAATCATCATCAATCATCTGCATGATCACTCTAATCATCATAATCAATACTGTTGTTGCTATATTGCTGCTATCGCTCATAGCATTTTGATTTGAATACCAATAAGAAAATACAACAATCAACAATATTGCAACAAACGCCGATAACGTACAATATGAAGATGTCAATTATTTATATCCACAATCTTATTTTTGAAATATTCTTATATTTTTCATTTAAAAATGTTATTTAAGCATGGAACTATATGTAATTGGTTGTAGGTTCAAAAATGGAAGAAGCAATCCGACGAAGTTGCAGACCGTCTTACCAACGCAGAGAGAACTAGCAAAGCTGTCCAGGGTCAGCAATCATCTTTACATTATTGTTGAAATACCCTAGGAACCTTCATTACATCATTTCAAAAGAACTCTGCTAACCTTTTTGTGAAATTAAATGTGTTAATCCTTTAGACCACTTTTATTGCATATTCGCTTTCCTAATAAACACTCACAAACCACAGTTTTTGTGAATCCTAGATCTGTACTCAACATAATTAGGTAGATTTGGACTTAAGATAACTAGGTAGACCTGGACTTAAAATTTATGCATGCGTGAGACACAAATTTAAAGATGATATTATTTGTGAATATTAGCAGTTATAGAGCAAGGTTTTTGACTGTTAAGGCTGGGTACCCCGCCATTGGCCATTTGAATATAGTTAACAGGTATTGTGAATATAATTGAGAAGCAGAGACGATCTTTATGGCATATTCACGACCCTAATAGAAACTCACAAATCATAGTATTTTTTAAATCAAACAAAGCAGATCTGGGCTTGAAATTTGTGAATAGGTGAGACGTTTGTTTCCGTGATAATACTCCTTTGTGAACACTAGCCTTTAAAGAGAAGGGTTTTTAGAAGTTGAGGCTGGGTGCCCTGCTAATTGCCTAACAACTCTGGTTACATTTATCATGAATAGAAACGTGAAATGGAGCTATGGTTTGCGTTGAGGTCGATTGTATACAGACCATAGTGCCGTGCCCCCGTATTGGCTGGCTTCTACTTAAACTAGGGCTAGTCACTAGTTTTCTCTATTTCAAGGCTTAAGCATCTCCAAGTGTTGTCAAATTACCCGATTAGATATTCCTCTCAATTTGAACAAATAAACTTTGGTTTTGATGAAAATCATAATGAAGTAAAAACATCTGGTCCAGATTCAATTGGGGATTGCTCGGCCCAAGCAATAAGGATCAGCACCCAATCCCCACACCACCCACCCCACCCCCAGTGCTATATATTCCTGAGAATGTAGTTTACACATCTTAGTTTTCCATCAGTATCTGTATTCAGAATACGGTACTACATCTGTGCTGGATTGTCAGTTTTAAATGAAGCATTTTCTTGCAGAGGAGCTCCGATCTACAACCCAATTATTAACCGATGCTCAGAAGAGTGCTTTGGATATGGAGAAAGCAAAGCGAAGGGCAGAATCAGAAAGGAACGAGACATACAATGCTCTAGAGGTCTGTCTTTTATTTGCATCTTTCAACTGTTTATTTTGTATTCGTCGGTAATTATTTAGTGACAAGACGGCTGATGCGAGTTCGACTTGAAGTTTTTTGTTCATTTGTGCAAAAATTTTGAATCCCTATGAAATTCTCATATTAATGTTCTAAAGGGGAAGTATTTGTAGCTTGGATCTTGAAGGGGCCAAGGCTGAGTTTAGACTCATAGGTCTTACCAATTTTACTAACCTAATGCAATTTCCAAAGTGATTGATAGCCATGATTTGCCTGTCATTTCGGAAGAAACTCCATTTGTTGCAACAAAGAAAAACTTACAACAAAGACTTGAATAAATCCCGTTGCCAAATCTATCAACTTCTGCATTTCCCAGTACTTCAGCCTGGTATTCTTTAAGTAAGTTTTTTGCAAATTAGGACGCAGAAATGTCTGTTGAATCAGAGAAGCAGAGGGTGAATGCCGCTCTTGGAGAGCTGAACCTAACCAAGCAGCAGATTGAAAAACGTCTTGCAGAAAAAGATGAAGAGACGGAAACGGTCAGGTGAGATGACGATTATTTGCCTCCCCCCAAAAATTGGCAAAACACTTTTTAATGGAATTTCCATATGAAAATGACCTGAACTCCTTTCTTTTCTATTTGTCTTTACTATGCTTGTCATATCTTAGGCCGTACTTGTCTTCACAGGTCTTTTTCAATTCTGACAAAAGCCGTTGTTCCACTTACACCTTCAGCTAGGCGAATAGAGCCAGTGTGCTCAGGGAGGGGGTGGAGGGTGGGGCTTTGCCTCTTAGCCTCGCTTGTTAATGCAGAAAAGTCATTCTTGCTTCTGTTTTTTAAGAATTCTTTTAGACGCCCCTCTATTCTTTTCATGGCGGTACACCCCTGCCTTCTGCCAAGGCGTTTACCCTTAAAAAACTAATAATTAACATTTGCTAATAGATTTCGCTACTATTTCATCATCATAACTTCATAGTCCTTTCTGTTGCTCTTTACATGCACATAAACATTTGTTTTTCACATCCTGTAGGAAAGGGTTGCAACGCCAGATCGAGACCATCCAGGCCTCTCTTGAAGCCGAGACCAAAAACAAGAATGAGCAGACAAGACTGAAAAGAAAATTGGAAACAGAAATTTCCGAATTGGAAGGTCAGGTTGATAATGCTGAAAGGGTGAGTTTGAATGTTTTTATCTGTTGTAAGTACTATTTTTTGTTCAATATTTATAAATTCGTTGCTTCAAAAGATAAAATCTTTTTGTTACATTTTTTTCAGTTTTGACTATACTAAACCTAACATTTAAGTTCAACATACGTCCAGCATTCAGTTTAATTTCTTGCAAATCTACCCCCACTAAACATCTACTAATAGATGCAGGACGAAAGAGCACAAGAGGAAACTTTAGTAAAAGGAACATTGTTCCTGTCATCAAGTGTCATCTAAATGGAGGGTGTCAAACGTTGAACATGTCTCTAAAAATTCAAAAAGGCAAGGGTTTCTGTTAGTCAGTTTTACCTTCCAACTATCACATTGTCCTTGTGACGCAGTCTGGATTAAATAAAATTTATGGAGAAAATTTATACCTTGAGGAAAATTGATCATCCATTGTTTTCTTTGGTGCTGGCATCTTCTCCCAGTGCAAACTTCATTCATCTTCTAACCAGCATATTTTTCTCTATATTTGTCTTTTGCCCCGAAACATTGATATATATTTTCCTCTACTTACCATAAACTAGACGTAGAATCGTTAAAAGAGAATCTAAATATATAAAGTTGATCTAAATATATATTGAATTTAAAAGTAGAGCCTCCATTAGATACGTCTGTCTACGTTAAAAACATCAAAAACATCACCAAACAATAAGGTAATAATGCTGTCCCAAAATTTCTTTGCTACGGTCCCTAGCACGAATGTTTAACGATAGCTGTTTATTTTTCAAATCACCCACCTTTCAAAGATGTAGATCTTAATGGTCTCTCGCAATTTTTGAACTTGATGAAAGAATTTTCCATCTTAGATGAACCAAGAATTGATCAAGACAAACAAGAGATTGGAACAACAAGTTAAGGTATGTAGTGATATCATATATTTCCCTTTGAACGTGACAACAACACTGAAACGTCATTAATAATCATTTATATTTTTCATTTATTTTTTTATTCTTCTTATCATTTATTATCTCGTTTATTTATTTATCTATGTACTTATTTTTGATAAATAGATTGTTATGCCTACACCTAACCGGATGCACGAGTCAGAAACATTTTTCTATTCTTTGACCAAATGCTGAGAAGAGCAAATAATGAAATCAAGGTTGCACCCTGTATAAGCATTCAATATGTAGACGTTGTTTATTCTAAGGCATTAGGAAAAATATCCCTCGGTTCAGATTCATTATTTCTTTTCTCAATGGTAGCCCCCTAATAACAATTTTTTGAGGAGAGAAATCATCTTTTACCTAAATAGGGAATAAAATTGAGCTTAAAACAGATCACTGATTTTTTGACAGGATCTTCAAGCATCTGCTGATGAAGAGCATAACCTACGCAACGTTGCGGAAGCGGCTACGGAGCGCGCAAACCGTAAAATCAAAGAACTGAACGGTGAAATTCTTGATCTCAGAAGCTCTTTTGAAATGGTGAGCATTATCAAAGAATTTTGTCATTTCCTGCTTGCGCCAAATCTTTGGCTAGATTATGTCTTTTGAAAGTAAGGTAAGACGAAAGGCTTTAGAATGTCTAGAAATGCTTGATTTGTCTTTTTTTTTTATTTTTACCACCAAAGAATTGTGAAAATTTTTCTCTGAATTAGAAACTAAAATGTTTTCTTCGTATGCTTTTTCATTCCTTTTCCACCTTTGAATCGAGTGTGTAAAAGTGCAACAATATCAGAGAAAATGATTCGCAAATCTTTATGACTTCGGCAAATTGTTTCAATTCAGCTGTTTGCTTTGATCTTATTTTCACTATAACAACCACTTTTTGTAGGCTGACAAAGCCCGCAAGATTGCACAGAGCGAAAGTCAAGAAAACGCAGATCGTGCTAGAGACTTGCAGGAGCAATCAAATGCCTTGAATCTCGAGAAGAGAAGGATAGAAGGTGATCTCCTGTCATTGCAGTCTGAACTCAAAGATGTGGAAGATGAGTTAAGAAATGCAGAGGAGAGAGCTAGCAAAGCTGATTCAGAGGTGGGATTCTGCTATATTTTAACCAACATATTTTTCTCAAATTCTTTTTTCAAAGCGTCCCCACTCCTCGAAAAATTCTGAATTAGAGAAATTTTACTTGGAAGAAGAAAGGAAAGAAGATGAAAAAACTTTCCTTCTCTCTCCATTTTTCTCCGCATTTTATGCTTTGAATGTTTCAACCTTGCTATATTGTATTTTCTGCTTTTTTCGATTTCTGTGCCTCGAGACAAAGTGCAGGGTAATCTACATACCTGGCAATAAAAACAAGGCAGGCATTGTTGAAATATTATTATTTGCAACTTAACAATAAATTCACATGGTTATATACAATGAATATATGTCCTTTGCTAGATTACAGTGTTTCTTGTTATTGTATCAAGTATATTGTCTTGTGGGTGCCGACGAATCACTCCAAAGACATTGAGTTAAATATCAGGCTCGTTGTCCGCTGCACTTTCTAGTGTTTCTCATATCTTACACTCAAATCTTTTTTCAGAATGTCCGACTTGCCAGTGAACTTTCTTCTGCCGAGAAATCGTTATCATCTGCTGAAAGAGGCAAAGCAGAAGCTGAGAGACGCGTTTCTGAATTAGAATCACAGATAGAAGAATTGGAAGCCATGGGCGGGCGATATCTTAAGAATCAAATCAGAAAGCTCGAGGCCAAGGTTTGCTCAGTGAAATACTTGTCATGACTGCATAGATAGATTGTTACAAATTCTTGCAAAGTCTTCTTTATTTCAAACAGTCTTTTGCAGCAATAGTACCGATGACGTATTTCTTACCGTGGCCAGTTTCCTGTTCAGCCTGGACCCTTCCTTGATTTCCATCCTATTTCATGCGCCTTACATATGCACAAATGCTTTGAATCTGTCTTACTTAGAATTTTCCCTACTTTGTTCCGAGACTCAAAAATCTCCCTTTAGATTAAAAAAAATTGTGATTAGAATAATTTATTGATATTGGTTTGCTTTTTTCACACTTAAAGATTTGGTTTTTTCTAAGGGTCTTTATTTTTATTATTCATTTTCAAACACTTGTGAATCCTGAATTTGAATTTTATTTGAACGATGAAGACAGAAATGCCATTGTAAAAATGAAATACGAAACGTCTTGAAACTGAACTTTGATAAGACTTTATGGAACACCTCTAGAAAGATTTTTCAAGGTTATTTGTTTCCTCGAGGCTTTCATTCGTAGTGCTTTCATTTACGCACCCCTTAAGGCATTCACGTGATACCTTCCATATGATAGCTCTTACAAAAATTTCTATAATCTATTTGCCTTGAAATTTAACGCTTACATAAAGTTGCAAAAATTTATCCCACTCGGACACTCAGTTTGTATAGTACTATTTTTCCATTTGTTGCACATAATTATTGCTTTCTTGTATTCGTTATTGATGTGACGCTATTTTTTTCTGAAATATAAGCAACAATTTTAACCAATCTCAATGCTTCCCAGATTGCGCAAGTCGAGGCTGACCTGAGCAGTGAGGTGAAGAAGAACAGCGAGTTGGGTGCTAGGTGTGCAAAGTCCGAAAAGCGTGCCAAGGAACTGTCGTACCAACTGGATGAAGAAATGAAGAACGTCAGCATTTTGCAGGACCAAGTTATGTCATTGAACACAAAAGTAAAGAAACTCAGAGAGAATCAAGGAGATGCAGTAAGTAGCTTTGATGCGTATCACTTTCTTTGAAGTGTGCGGCTTTGTGACGTACTGTGTTGTGTGATGAGCACTACAGGCTTTCTACTTTGACCATGTCTATTTGAAAATATTAATGATGGTCAAAGTTTTGACATAAAATCCCTCGCTGTTTGGCGTTGCCTTGTGTTCCAATGTACTCTAGTGTCTCTAATAGAAGGGGGAGGTAACAGAAGGGGGGTGTTCATTCCGACCAATTTTCAATAGAAGGGGGGAGTGTTCATGTCGACTAGTTTTCAATAGAAGGTGGTGCTAATAGAAGGGGGTGTTCATGTCGGCAATCCTTCTTTGAAATTTAAGTACATTTTAGAATATACTGTCAACATTTGATGTCAGTTTCTTGCATAGTTTTAGAGAAAATTGCAAACATACAAAGATGAATCAAATTTACAGCTTTTAATTTCCAAGTAAAAAATCATCGGTTTCCTTTGTACTGTTGAAATTTTACAAAAAAACTATGAAAAACAACGAAAAATGAAAATCAAATGACTTGATTTATAAAATTTAATAGAAGAGGGTGCTAATAAGCGACTGGGGGAGGGCAAATTCTTCTGAAATTAATACATAGGGGCCCGTCTATTAGAGACACTAGAGTATTCATTGAGTACAAAAAGGCTCGTGCCAAAAATTTCGGTTTTAAAAGCTTTTGTTGTGTTTTTGAAATTTCAGTGTAAAACATTCGCATTGAACTTTTATGTATATCCTGATTGTAGATCCTCTGGCATTTTGTGGTAGTTTTGCCCAGGGTGGCCTGCTATACTTGAAAAATTGAAATTGAAATTTTGTAATTTACCTAAGATTGCTTAGATTACCGAACCATAACTTTAGACTTACAGTGATCTTTCCATTTTTTCGTCTGGGTACCAGGCTCAAGGGCATGTAAACGTTTTAAGCTCTCATTGATAATTTTATAAATACTCCTTTTTTAAGTAGCAAGATTGAAATAAATTCTAGGAAGTCCCTTCAGCCTAGACTTAGACCCTGTCTAAATGAATGCATTTTCAAATGAAGCGGTAATCATTTCTTGCAATTCTCAACCAATCGTTCTTTATTTTCGTCAAAATGACAACGAAAAATCTGTGACTGAATTTTCAATCTTTCGAAAACGCCTTCCAGTGTCGGATCTCCTTGAAACACAATAAATTGAAAAGGCACCGTTCTGTATAGATGTGAAAAAATTGATGCTTTTTCATTTACAATGTATAAAATTTTAAATAGGTATCCGTGTAGGCAAAGTCTTAGATCATTTCCCACCATCCACATGTACTTATCACAGGTCAATTTTTCGCTAAATGATATCACACTACTAGTAATAATAATAATGTTACAGGAAGCTCAAGCCGCTGCAGCGAACGCAAAGTACAGGAAAGCCCAAGCTGAAGTCGAAGATGCTGAGGACCGTGCACAGCGTGCGGAAAGAGCTCTTATGGGTCGTGCTCGTGGAAAAGCTGGCAAGTGAACAGAACAAGGTAACTGTTATGCACCTCTTTTTTAGGTCCCCTGACGACCCAAGCTCGAATGATTGAGAGATTCAGCAATCGAATACACCACAAACATAATTAGATTTTATTCTGCAATTTCCAACATACATGCAGTTACAGATCACGGCATTTCCTAAGTGAACCCCAATGATCACCTTGTAACTCCGATAGTCTCAAACTCTATGCAGAATATCCGTAAACAGTTCCCTTTAGATACCCCTGAATTTCTAATATGAATTTATTATCTGTTGTATGGACGACCCGATAGTAACGTTTGATTTTGTCCAGAGTCCAATAATACATAGCTTCGCGTTATGATCATAACAAGTATCTATTTATTTAAGCTCAGTCACATTTCCATAGCTTTCTCGAAACATAGGAATGATTTATTAAAAATGATGCTAATAAACATTGCTAAATTTAAATATTACATTTAAAAATACGATCATTTTTCACCTTTTCTGAGTTCTAGATTAGCATATAGAAACTTTATTCTTTGCTAATAGCCATGAATTTTTTTCTTGCAGGGCGAATGGACTATACAGTCGTTGTAGAGAGGACAGTAGCAAGCTTCTTAGAAGGTTCCTTTTTTGTTAGTCGCTTAAATTGTAGATAAAGTTTTCCGCATTTTAGGACAATACATTTTATAGTGATGTGCACTTGCGCTGAAATTTGTTTAAGTAAAGCTCTTCATACTCGATAGCAGCCGTTTGACACTTATTGTCTTTAATTTAACGTATTTTTCATTATAGCCTTACCTTTTCCTTAGGGGATATATGCGAAATTGGTTTTCATAATATAGTCTTTATACTTTGTAGATTTTTTGTAATACACATCCTTTTCAAACTAAAAAGGTTTTTTACAACTTTCCCTATTTTTATAATGATCTACTTGATTTTTTTTCATTTCATAGTTCTCATACTTTTCATTCGATGCTTTCAATATTCTTGTAACTTTTTTTAATCATTCTGCTTAAAGATATGAAGCATGAGCCTTCATTCCTAGTCCTTTTTTTTCTCTCGCTAATTTGCAATAGATAAGCTTGGAAACCCGAAAAAAGTAGATCTGAATGGATAATCCTTCTTCTCTACGTACGACGGCGTTTTTTGAACTGTAAAATTAATCACTGGGTACTGTTTGCCAAACCTTTGGAGATGCTTTATTGACAGCCTAAGAGACCACACAATACTGCCTGGTATATTTATCAGAACCACAATATTATCAATCATTTTCTGTTGTGTTATTATCAAGTAGGCTCTCCAAAATCTTGTAAAGTTCTCTTTTGCTCCCAAAAAGCAATTACTTTCCAAAATAGCCTTTTGCTTTTGAGGTTACCCAAGAACCCTTGTTAGGTGCTGTGGTTCTCTCTCGATATCACTATAAGCATACGTATTCTTGCATTACGCGTCTTGTTTTTTATAGACTTTACCTTGTTGTTTGTAATATTAAGTCTTATTTTGTTGTTTGTAATACTATGCACAACAAGATTTTCTTCTTCTGCGACCTCATACTTCTTGGGTATTTACGTTCTACTCAAGCTATAGCATCTTTACTCATGCAGGTAATTAGGTCTCATCGCAGTTGAATCGCTGGAAGATGAGTAGTTTCGTTGTGTCATAAATACTTCTTTATTAAAGCCGTGACTTTTGGTCTTTTCTTTGATCGGAAATTTATTAATTTCCATGTGTATCATTTTATAAGCTTGTAATAACCATTTCATACTTTATTAAAGTGTTCGTTGCGAAGCACTTTCAGACAGTAAGCCAACCGTGGATCTTAATCTAAGATTAATTGTTTATTTTGATATCTTTAAGCTGATAAATAACTGCTGTCTGATATAAATTTTTGTTATTCGTTGTAAACTTAATTTTTGTGAAGTAATCAAATCGCATTCAATCTTTTGTAATCGATTTTATGCAGCAGTTACGATTTTGTCTATCTTTTAACGTCCTAAACCTAGCATCTAGTACTTAGTGGCATAATTTTTAGGCGTGATAACCATCTCTCACGTGAAAGACCTTTAATTATCCAGAAATTGTTTGAAGCAGAAATACCAAATGTAAGGAACCTTGGGCTGCTCTTAAGGCGTTCCATTACAAACATTTCTCTTCTTCTTTAATAAACGGCCAAACTTTCGTAATGATTCAGTCATTGTTCTCTTTTGACGTTTCAAACCCTATTCTACATTTGATGCTTTCAAATAATTGTTCTTTGCAACTTCTCCATAGCCAAGGAATATATCATATCTTTTACCCGAACGCAGGTCACATTCTGACATCTTGTTCAAGATTTGGTCATTGTCATGAAACTAATCACATTAAAGCAACATGAAAATATTCCAAAGAGCAGAGCCTTGTACTTTAAGATAGCCCATGCAACTGGGTCTGCGCCACATGTAACTGTGCCGATTCCCTTAAACAGGTTTCCTGCTTGCATTTGTTTCTACCTAGCATCCGAAGGTAGTTTTTAGGACACTGAGAAGATTATCGAGCAGTGTCCTGGTCCTACCTATCGATGTAACCACACCTCTCGATTCCTACGCCTAGGAGCTGGCGACTCTCTACTCTCTGGGTGAAAGTTTGGTCATGCCAGGAACTCGAGCAACGGACCCTTAGGTTTGTAGTCAGCGACTCTAACAACTGAGCCATCCTCGCACAATTCAAAAACAGGATTCAAAGAAACGTAAGAGAAAAGCCGCCTCTATCCAAACCTTTAGGAAATCACAATGGTAAAGTCGTAATAGACAAGAGTTAATGCCATGAAAGTCTTTATACAGACACGCATGGCTTTTTCCTTGCTTGCAGCTCTAGTTTGTTAACTTTTCTTGCTCTTATCTTCGAAGACCTCAGTATGCAAAAAATGCTACTTTCTTCCGATTAGTTGTTTAATATCAAAAGCTTTTTGCTCTCACTATTATCAAATTCTTGTAATGCTGCATAGGCTTCACGACCAGATTATCAATTTTTGTCAACCTAACTCGTTACTCTTGCCTTTGTTGTCAAAGTACCAGATTATTTCCCTTGATGAAACTGGCCAGCAGCATCAAAGATTAGAAGGAATATAAGATGCAGATAAGATACAAATCCACATTGTTTCGTTCCCTGTAATTTTGCATTGATTGAACAAGCTTAACAGTAACTAAAAGGGATTTTTCTGACACTAAGCAGAAAAAATTTGCCAGGTATGTCCATTTGCAGTTCTATCTAATTTCAAAGATCAAGAATCGCAGTGAAAATCGTAAATCTTAGCTGTAGTACTTTTCTCAATCGATGTAACAGCTTCAGTGGGTATCTGATTCAAAATCACAGTTACTTTGCCTGCCATGGTCGCCTGCCTGCCAAGCAATTTCTTGTTAGCTAAGTGTTCGGTTGTCTTCATCATTACTTGTTTATCATTAAAATAAGATATAAACTACATACAATTAATTTAAACGCTTCAGAGTAATGTTAGGTTACACGCGATGATTTTTTGTTTTTAAAAGTCTTGTGGTGCTTCAATTTAAAACCTTTTGAGTAGGTTTTTCTAAATACTCAGTTATCTCAAAGGAAGCATCAATTCAAGAAATTAGATAACGGTTGACAGTGTCGTGTCTTTGCATACAATGATGGCGAAAATCGCACCATTCTTTTAGCAAATAGAAACAGCTTTATCCTTTGATCGCATCTTTCGTAGTTAGATCTAGAAAACAAGTCTCTTGCCCAGCTGCATTTGTTCAGCTTGCGGTGCCGGTTTTGCAGATTCATCCTTGTATGTTAAAACAAGCTCCTTTTGTTAGAATCTATAATGAGCCTTCTTGCTTGGTTTCAACGAAGCGTTTTTGCTTATAAGTTGAATCGAAAAAAGCCTTAATAAACTGGTTACTTTGATAAATTCCAGGCAAACAACTGTACAGGTATTATATCAAAAAACAAACAACTGTACAGGATTTTTGCACGGTATTATTTTCTGGCTTTTTTTCATCAAATTTTGTAGTAAACCGTCCTTTTTATGCTCGGTTTTATGGCTGGAAATAAGAGATCGTGGAGAACATCACAAGTTTTTTGGGGAGGGTTAAATGCTTAGGGGCTTAAAACGTCAAAAGGCAAGATAAAGATGATACTAGCGTTTGGTTAATTAAATATTGGGAATTACTGGGGGGTGGGGCTTAAGCCCCAGCACAATCTCGTTGTTGGTGTTAGTAATAGCGATTGAGTCAAAGGGATTTCTTGTTTATAGGATTTTAAGCAAAAAGTTTTAACCATGTTTTCAGTAATAGTGATCTGGAATAGCTTGAAAACCAGTGCAGAGTCAATTTCTCAATGCAGAAAATTCACTTACTTGATATGACGTCAAAATGACCAGGCATTTCTATGTATTCAATCCTAAAATGGCATGATTGATCTACTGGTCAGGAGTTTAGATCCAAACTGTGCAATTTCTGTAAGAGGATTTTTTCATACTACAATTTGTGTTAATTGATTGAGAAATCTAAATTGGCAAAATAAAGTATGAATATTTTAGAACGCATAAGAAACATACTTTTAACTACTTCTTATTTCATCGTGATAGTCACAGGAATCGGCTACACGCTGAGCCATTATTATGCCCATAAACACCTTACGGACCCCTCGAGCTTACACAACATCATAAAAAAGTCTCATTCCTGCAAGTGGATTTTGTATAGACAGCTTGTTAGATTTCCTAGGGTCCTCTTGTACTTCTGAAAGTATAGCTATGGCAACTGATGACTTTGAATTAAAGTAGCAATGCTCCATCTTAGAGTCTTGCTGACAGACAAGAAAGACATTTAAAAGCGAGTCTATGAGGATGCAATAAGAAGCAGTTTTTTGTCTTTGTTGCGACCTGTCCTGTTTTCTACTTATGGCAGTCAATTTCAGTGATTCCTTAATTTCAAATGCATATGCATTGAAACCTTGTGTTACTAAATCAACCTTAAGTTTTTTGTAAATAACGAAACTAAATGATTTTGTTCACATAGGATATGCCATGTTGTTGCATCGAATAGCAAAAATTTAACTGAAACATGCAAAAGTTGCACCTTTGTCCACTACATGTTTATAAACAAATATAGCTGCTGTTGCCACATAACGTTTTTGTCACAAATTTACGTCACTGGAAACAGTTTTTGTCAACAGAGACACTGTATTCAAATGAGCTGGTATTGCTCAAAGATAGGATCCTGAAGATCAGAACTAATCTTCTCTTTGTCGTTTTGAATTAATTTTCTACTTATCTATTCTTATATTGCTTCATCCCTTCTCATGGGATTGTCTTTAATGTGTCATTGTTCTTCAGAGGTGTAAGAACTGCTAATTTTTCGGTTACCTAATCTGTACACGATCGTTTGGTACAAACTCTGAAGACCAATTCGAATGCTTGTGTGCTGAAACTAGCTGAATATCTAATATTTCATCCAATAGCTGAAGGAAATGGTAAAGCCACATATCAAAGACGAGTCAGCATCGGTTGCTCTAGTCCAGGTTCGTCCTTTTTGCATTTCTAGCCTTTGGTTTCTGGCAGTCCGCCATTAAAAATACTGACTTGCAAACGAACCGTTTTTGATCGGGATTGAACTTAATAGATGTGGAAATAGCTAACCAATATACCTAACGCTCTGGACATTAAATCTATACAAATTTTCAGACAGAGCAAGCAAATGTCTATTGTTCTAGGAATCATAGAGCTAAAGAACCACTCCCTTTGAATTTTTGCGAGTATTTATCATGTTAAAAGTCTGAATTTTAGCAAAATATTGTGTTCATAGCCTAAACTGTATTCTTACATTCAATATCTACAAATGGTGTTGGGTGTTACATCAAAGAGTGGGTTGGTTGTCTAGTTTGCATTTTATTAAATGAGATTTGAAAAGTATAGGCTTTACGCGTTGATATTGGCTTGTTGCTAAAATATAAAAATGTTTTAAGCAAGAACATTATTTAAAGGGGGGCTCAGCCTGGAGCAAGAATATGACTTTAGTAAGCAAGCCATTTCCAGTCATTCTCATTATTATCAGTCTAGTCAGATTAGGTATACCATTTCGTTTATTTGTACAGCTCAAACCATTAAATGCAAACAGGAACTCATTGCATCCTATTAGCCCCCCTCCCCATGTATTTGACATTTTTGCGTCATAACTAAATAGTAAAAATACTAAAAATATTATATACCATTGAGTGTAACTGAAATTAAATCAAAGCCTTTATGTTTCTACTTGGATAGGGTCATAAAAAATTTACCAAACAAAACTAGAATAGTGTAATATTGCTAATAATTGCTACTCAAATTGAATTTTTAAATTGAAATGAATTAATCGCTGCTGATATCAAAATTTTATTCTAGTCTCGACTGAACCAGCTACAGCAAGATCTTGACCTTGAACGTGAAACGAGGATAAAGGTAAGGCATTTGAACGCAATTATTTATGTTAGGAATGGTAAGTTTGATTTTTCTAAACTAGTAACAGTGATGATACCCCATTGCCACCACCTTCACCTACCATTGGAGCCGCGTAGGAGAATGCCTCGTTTATTTGAGTTTTGGCGGGACTTTTTTTGAAACAGCATACTTCTACGTGATATGCTTGAAGAATGCATTGCCTTCTCAAGTTTGGAGTCTAGCCTGGACTAGCTGCGCTTTTCTGAAAAGATGACGCTTTCTTCATTAAACATTCTTGTTATAGAGATATCTTTCAATTTAAGATCAAGTTTGAGCTTATAAAGAAGCGTCCAATGTCGTTAAAAGGTAGGAAGGGTCCAGTCCATCCTAGGAAATCTTTGGGACCTTCCATTGCTGAATTGCTTCAAGCTGTTCGTTGCTTGCATGTTATTTCTGAACGGACCTGATTCTGATAAGTTAAAAAATGTTGGAGCAAAATTATTTGTCTGTTGCATGCTCTAGGCGACTGCTGTTTAGTTTTGAAGATGTTAATTAATGGAGGGTACTCGCTGCAATGTTAAATTTCTGCAAAGTAAAATATATTGTGCCTCATATTTGGACCACAACAGTCTTCTTCCTCTTTCGTTTCACACAATTTTCTCTGTTTATGTTTTTTTAATTTCATGATAAAAATTTATTTAGTTGATCAGCGTTTAGAATTCTAGAAATAGCTTAGATTTGCACCTAGCCAAATACTGTTGCTATAGCTTGTAGATAGTTGAAAGCAACCCTGTTTAATTTTTTTTTCGCCCATGCCTTTACAATTTATAAAGTCTACTATTTCAGGTTGAGAGAAGATGTTTGGAATTGGAGCATGAGCTGAGTATTGTATGTGAACAGCTTGATGAAAGTGGTGGAGCTACAGCTTTATTGGTATTTGTGAAAAAATTTTCTATTTATGTCAGTTTTCAACAGTCTTCAAAAAGTCCATGTAAATAAACAGGAGATATCATATTGAATGGTTAATAGGCATATGTGAGCAATTGTGGCTCAAAAATTCACTCGATTTAAGAATTTTCAAATTGGGGATTATTGGAGTTGATGAAGTCTTGTAATGTATTAAGTCTAGTAAAGCTCTTTTTAAAAGTTGGTCATTCACAGGGAAACATAAACTAGGGACCTGACATGCAATCTGCTGGTCTAGTAGTTTTAAATTTTCAATCAAAATTTGCTTTATATAGTCCCTTTATCTTGCCTTTTTCAATTTATGTGTTAAAAAATCCTCATCAACAAATTTGCCACTCAAAACAAAGCAACCATGCTCTCAGTACCAAAGTGGAAAGGGCAAACCTGATGTTGTGAACAACATTTTGTCATTAGTGCATTGCATTAAAGTCCAGACTGTTTCCAAAGTTTTGAAAAAAATTATTGACAGAAAACATTTGTGATAAAAAACTGTTCTCAATTTAATATTTTACAGGGGTCTTTGCCCACATACACCAATGAAATATGTTTGCAAAGAAGCAATTTTTTGTATACAGTTTATTTTTAAATAGTCAATTAAATTGTTTTTGGAGGTAATTCATATTGGACTTTATTAAATGTGAATTACTTTTACTGATTGCTCTTCTCTTGCATGATGTAACTTTTACTGACAATTTTTAGTTAGAAATTAAGAGTGAGTGAGTGCTTGGTGTTAAAGGCATTGAGTCATGGTAAAAAGGAAGCGTATACCCAAATTGCAAAAATTGCTGAGTCATTATGATAGCTTCGCTAATCTGATTGGCTGTCAAGAAAACACGATGTTGTAAGTGCTCTTTGTTCCGCCTTTTCTAAAGGTTCTTTTATCTTGCTCTCTAAAAAAGATTTCAAAACTTCTTCCCCCATTTGTACCTTTCAAATGCCACAAAGGCTTTTCAAATGCCTTTCGCTTTCGACAAATCACATCGCTGATCGCTGATCACATGAAAACAAACTTATCACATGGAAACAGATAAACCCCCCACGGAGAACCAATATTTACCATGACTCAATGCCTTTAAGTAAAAGGTTTTAACTCAACAATTAACTGAATAGAGTATGATTAATTTAATTTATTTACAGCAGGATTATTACAGATATAGGTAATTGAAGAAGCATTGCAGGATTGTAGCATCCTTATTCCTTATTTCTATAACATATGCTCTTATATTTTTTCATTGTAACTGCACTTTCATTTGTAGCAAAAATGTTAGAGCATTGCCACAGTCCTTATATTCATGTTTTATATATCTGTCCATAAAACAACAAGCTTAGTTATAAATTTGTTTCTAGAAGGATTATTGATAACACAGCCACAAAATTGCTCGTTATTAAAAACCCTTTTATATTATTCCCTAAGCAATGTAAACGGCAAGAGGAGGAAATTCTCAAGCTTCGCAGAAGTCTGGAGGATGCTGCCAGACAGCAAGATGATGCTATTAGTGTTTCCAAAATGAGGCACAGTCAAGAAATGAGATCATTGCAAGATGAAATTGATGGTTTGAAAAAGATCAGAATTAGGTATGTTGCTTTATCAAAATGATCTTATGGAAAATCAAGAGAAAATCTTCTGTAGGAAATCTAATTGTCATAAACATGTTGAAAATTCTTAAAATTATTCTCCTAGAAAACAAAAAATTAACCCAATCAGGGGCAAGAGGTTATTCCACAGGGAAGATGTGTTCCCCCCCAATAAGGGGGGAGATCACGAGATCACAGATAATTTAAGATAGACTATGTAAAAAGTGTTGTTGTAATGAGGTTTTCTTGTGGTCCTGCACATTTTCTCAAGTTGAAATGCTTCATTTTATTTTTAAAATGTTCTTGGTCGCAAACAATGCAATTGTTTCTTGTTCTCGATCTCCAGTCCTCCCCATTTTTTTAATCTGGTGCCACCTTTATGCAAGAAAATAATTGAATTTAGATTTATTTCAATTTCATTTCCTTAGGGGCAAATCCCTTCTAACTAATTTTTTGGCACCCACTTATGAATTAAAGCAACCAACATTTTACTAGTGAAACAATATTTTATTCAAAGATATTATTTCACCTGGGGTTGTTCAGAGCTTTTGGTTGCTTGTAGAAAGTTAGAAATTTACATGACCATTGCTAATGTGATGTAACTGCAAACACATTGGAGGTGAGGGTTTCATCAGTATTTTTGTTACCTCCACTTTCAAAGTATTTTATGGTACAACTCAATTTTTTATCTTGGCTTTCTCAACTCCAAAAATAGCCTCAACCTTAAATTGATAAATTTACGAAAGGCAACAGAAATAAATTTCATTTAGAGTTTCTTGGGTGCATCCCGGTCTACTGCAAGGTGTTACCAAACCCAAACAACTCATTCCAATTTTCACTTTAATTCAATATATAATACATTTTTGTAGACTTGACAGTGAAAAGACTGAAGTCACATTGATGTGTGATCAAATAGCAGATGAACTTGATGACACCAAAAGAAGTCTTGTGAGTTTACTAAATGTTAACTATTTATTACCAGGCATCCCGAGCATTTGACAAGAATGATCAAAATTACTAAGGCCAAGTTTATATCAGTATTGCCTGATGATTATGGGTCAAGAATTAATGCTGGATGTTTACTCTGGATGCATAATGCTTTTCAATGTTAACAACTGAAAATTATTTCTATTTTACTAGGCAGTTTTTAAACTGTATGCAAATGCATTATTTTAAACTACTTTTAGGCATCATTCGAGCAGAAAGCTGGCCTATTTGAAGAAAAATACAATGAAGAACACCTAAAGGTAACTTTCAAGAATTTTCAAAACAATCTCCTCTGCCCATCAGAGAGAATGCAGAAGGAAAACAAATCTTTTTCTTCATGCTTCATAAAATGGAAATTAAATGTGCTAAAGTAAACTTGGAATTCAAGTAAACAGTAACAAATAAAAGGAATTGTAATATCAGTCCAAGCTGAGGTACAAGTTGAATTTAAGCTTCATCCCATGGGGCATCTTCTGATTCTTCCTCAGAGTCTTCAGCTGGGGCATCTGATTCTTCCTCAGAGTCTTCAGCTGGGGCATCTGATTCTTCCTCAGAGTCTTCAGCTGGGGTGTCTTCTGCCTCCTCAGTTGTGTCTTCAGCTGGGGTGTCTTCAGCTGGGGTGTCTTCAGCTGGGGTGTCTTCATCCTCCTCAGTTTTGTCTTCAGCTGGGGTGTCTTCGGCCTCCTCAGTTGTATCTTCAGCTGGGGCATCTTCAGCTGGGGTGTCTTCAGATTTGTCCTCAGTTGTGTCTTCAGCTGGGGTGTCTTCAGATTTGTCCTCAGTTTTGTCTTCAGATGTCTCCTCAGTTTTGTCTTCAGCTGGGGTGTCTTCAGATTTGTCCTCAGTTTTGTCTTCAGATGTCTCCTCAGTTTTGTCTTCTACTGGGGCATCCTCAGTTTTGGGGGCATCTTCTGATTTCTCCTCAGTTGTGTCTTCAGCTGGGGCATCTTCTGAAGTCTCTTCAGCTGGGGCGTCTTCTGAAGTCTCTACAGACTCATCTTCATCTTCATTTTCAGCTGGGGCATCTTCAGAAGTGTCATCAGACTCTTCTTCAACTGGGGCATCTTCAGAAGTGTCATCAGATTCTTCTTCAACTGGGGCATCTTCTGAAGTCTCCTCTGGGCTCTCCTCATCAGACTCATCATTTTCAGTCTCGTCGGAGTCCTCTTCTGGCTCATCAGCTTCATCTTCAGCATCAGTTGGGTCTTCTACGAAGTCTTGGAATTCTTCGTCTTCTGGAAGAGCATCCTCGAGGTCGTCTTCGGCTTCCTCGGGTTCATCTTTTACTTCGTCGGTAATGCTGTCGGTTTCATCCTGTTGCACGGGGGTAGCAACGGCAGTTTCATCAGCGACCTGGTTTTCAACGGGATCAGCCTCGACCTTCTCGGTTTCAACGGCAGTTTTATCCTCTGAAACGAAAACCAAACTCGATTAAAATCTCATCTAAGGTCTTAGCAAATCGAGACTCTGACAACTACAAACAATCATGCCAAAGCTGTCTTTTTATGGGGATGGTCACATCTTCCGCTTTGAATCAAACAGACGGGCATGCTTCTACCACGCCATGACGGAATGTGCGGGCGGCGAAGGTGAAGGATCCGGTTCGGATAATCCGATTAACCTCGTGTCATACACGTCAAGGAGTTTTTTTGACTACATCAACGGATCACAGGTCGCCTAGGGTCAGGGAACGCTCTCCTAGAAATATGACATCAAGCAAAACATGGTAGCTCTCCGGATTGTTCATGTCCGCCTGTGCGGGCTACGCCCTGATACAAAGTCGAGTTTCGGTTTTGAAGAACTGCCTAGCAGAACATTTTCTAAAAGCTTGAGTAATAACATAACAACATAACACCATAGTGAATCTTTTAGAAGTTGCAACGCTCTACGCAGCCTAGTCCTAACAAACAGATTCCTAATTGGTGAGTCGGTTAGTTCAGCAAAGGCAAAAGACTGTCCTTAACATTCCTGATTCTGTATATCCATAAAGTCACTTACCGGCTACAGGTGCACCGAAAGCCAGACATGCGAAGGCAAGAACGAGAACCAATGTGATCTTCATCTTGATTTTAAATTCGTTTTGAAACTTGAGGAGACTTGTAACACTTCAAACACTCTCGCAGCTATCGCTGAATTTCTGTCGACTTTCGAATCCAGCTGTGGGTTTTATACCGATCACAATGTGATTTGCATGATAATGACCGCCTCTGCATTTTTATTGTATGAATTAATTATCTGCGTCATTTTAGACGGGGGACTTGCACGTTTTGGACGCACTTCTTCCTCTTTCTTAATTGCTAGAAGTGACACGTAATCATTTTCTTCTTGACTTGGAATGTTTAAGATAAAAAACTGCGAGGAAACGAAAGGGGAAGATTTTTGAAAGAGGAAAGAAGCAAGATTACGGCTTCAAAACATATTTTTGGCTTTACGATTATCCTAAACGAAAATCATATATAAGCACCCTCAAATCCTCATGCTCAACCCCTTGAATAATTGATAACACAACACACATAAACTCTTACGAGATCTCATCAATTTCGACCTTGATAGCACAGTTTCAAAGTTTATCTTGGATGTTTTTCAATAGATTTGTTATGCGTAGTTTTCGCTTCTACTAACTAGCAGTTTATATGGAAACATCTAACCATCTAAGAAACTTCGTTTCCATCGAGTGTTAAGCAACGTCAGTAGTGGAAAATCCATAATGGAAAAATCATAGTGGAAAATTCATAGTGGAAATAACAACATTTTTGAAACGTTTTCCTGCTATGGTATACTCCGCTTAAAGTCACACTTCTGGTTACAGTCACATAAAATTTGATCCAAATATGCAAAACTCTCAGTTTACAGTCGCACTCAGTTTATAGTCACAACACAAGTTTTCAAGCAACATTTTATGTGACTATAGCCGAAGTTCAGGCACCGCGCAGCCATTGCGCTAGCAGGGGCTATAGCCCCCCACTTTTTTGCAACAGTAGGCTAGAAAGGTTTTTGCAAGATTTACTTTTAAGCAACATTGGATAGTATACCTCTACGTAGTGGCAGTTCTTCTTAACTGGGAACCCTTTTTGTTCACTTTCTCGGTGATTTTATCTATTTTTATAGCTATTGATATCTTCTCTGAACTAGATTGTTTATAAAACCTCAGTAGAAATAAGCAAATATTCAAGTATCTAGGCCGAGATGGCCCTTAACTGCTTACAGTACTACAGCAAATTACAATTTTACAATTTTTAAACTATGCATCAATAAACGACATAGTGTACTCATTCTTCGTACACAAAAAACCCTCCCACATTTTCAGCCCTCCTACATTTAGACTGGTGCGCGGTCCCTGCCGGAGTTTACTGCATTTTCGACCCAAATGCGAAGTTCAGCTCCCCTTTGACATAGAACAGAAATTTTTGATAAGCAATAATGCTAAATGTGAAAAGAATTTATGATTCCCTTTACTTAAGTCCCCTTGATACCCAACCCCCTGTTAGGAATAAAACTTGTTTACTCCAACTCAAATCCAGTTTTTCTATCATACAAATTCGATTTCAATACGCTTTTAGTGTCCTTTTATGATATTTCCTTCATCGCAGTTCAATTGTGCAACCAAGTGCGAAAATTAGTTCAATAGATCTTTTTTCCTTTTGTTCTTTCATGGAACACTGGAGAATACGATCGCATTCCGTTGAAACAAAAACTTGAAAACCTCTGAATTACCGCCTTAGTGGACTTAACCCAACAGCACGAATTCAGTTTAGACCCTTCTCATATTATTCTGGAATAACAAGAAGCAAATTAAAAAGTCTTATCAGTGTATTTAGGCCCTAAAATATAGGAAATTGTTTTATGCCAAGGTTTTTCGAGAACCCACGTAGCTTTTTATAAATGTAGTTCTGTTCCAGACCGATATGACCTTATGAACCAATGTGACCCGAGAGTCATATCGGTCCAGACCAATATGGCACCAGGGTCATATCGGTCCAGGGAGTATCACATTGGTCTGGGCAAGAAATTTTTCTAAATGTTGAATTTTTCTAATCCAAATTCCACGAATCTAAATGCTTGTTTTACTTTCAAAATATGTTTTGGACTAAGCCAAAAATTTAGCTTATTTTAGATTTATCTGGATAATTCTCCAAATTGACTGAATATTCGAATTTTTTAAGCAGCTGTTTCGTTTGTTATTCCTCTGCTTTAATTGGTTCTAAGGAAGCACCTTTTTGTCGATCATTTCCTTTCAGTTTCTTATTCGCTCTTTTTTCGCTGCTTCAAAGATGCACGCACAGTAAGCTTCGATGCGAGGAGAAGGCGTGAACTATTCGTTACTCTATTCTCTTGGTATTTTTCATGAAATCTGCTCTACTTCATTGAAACATTTATTATGCGAAACCAACAAAAAACATCGCTTTTGCCTTGTTTCTGTTAGATGGCCTGCATCGACAACTCATATAAATTGGAAAAAACATATTTGATGATCAAAGAATTCAAAGATTTGATGTCACATGTCTTTCCAAGGTTTATCCCCTCCCCCCCCCCCGCCCTTCAAGGTCCATTTAGGTTTAACGAGTTGAAACACGTTGTTGCAATAGCAATTACCTTTCTCTCAATGTGGCAGGTTACCATGTTTACAGGCTTAATGTTTCCCCTCTTTATTCTCGAAACCCATAAAGCTTTGATTGAGTTGTGTTATTACCGTCTTGTAAATGCTCTGGAAATCAAACTTGAGATTAATTTGCTTTTTAGCCTTTTAACGACACCACTCCAAAGTGCAATTATGTAATTTGAAATGCTTTTTTACAAGGATATTAACACTTCTCTGGTATAGGTTCTACCAGCACAGCAATTCATTGACCTCGAATTGTTAGACAATTAGAAGTTGTGACAGACTTCTATCAATCTTCCAAATTTGCAGAAAGATCTTTCTCCAGAATAAAACTGATTTCTAAATTTGAATTTATGCCCATGATCTTAAAGGCATTGAGTCATGGTAAATACGGGTTCTCCGCGGGGGGTTTGTCTGTTTCCATGTGATCAGACATTCTTTGTCGAAAGCGAAAGGCATTTGAAAAGCCTTTGTGGCATTTGAAAGGTACAAATGGGGGAAGAAGTTTTGAAATCTTTTGTAGAGAGCAAGAGAAAAGAGAGAGAAAGAAAGAACCTTTAGAAACGGCGGAACAAAGAGCACTTACAACATCGTGTGTGCAGTTTGCTTGACAGCCAATCAGATTAGCGAACCTATCATAATGACTCAGCATTTTTGCGATTTAGGTATGCGCTTCCTGTTTACCATGACTCAATACCTTTAAAACTGATAACGGCAAACTATGGCACTGTTGGCAACAACGAAAAATGCAAACAAAATCGTTCGAAATTTTGAAGAAATATAAATAAGTTGATATAAAGGTAAAAAGGGTCATTTTCGTTTTGTATTATGCTGGAATTTGTATATGTTGGGCCAGAAAAAAGTGTATGTCATCTTTCCTAACCATTTCTATTCGACCTATTCGACCTTCCCTAACCAGAATTGTCAACCTAGAAAAATGTTTGCGGTTAGATATTAGGGGTAGCAATTGTGATTGAAGGGGAAAAGACAAAGTTACAAGATCCATTCCAGCCTAAGGGCCAGATAAGAACAGCTTAGTTATAGATCTGGCCATGGCAATAAGATACGCCCTCCCGAGAAACAGGCATTGTGCTTCGTCAGCTTCCCAGACACGAAGCAAACACTGAAAGGATGGCTTGTCCATGGGCTCCGACACAGTTTGAAAAGTGGGAGGGGGCAAGGAAAAATTTTGCACCCACAAGAAAAGATTTTGGTGAGAACTTTATTGTTTTGCAAGAAGAAGAGGGTCATGGCCCCCGGCCCTCCCTTCGTCGGAGGTCCTGTTGTCAGCTGAGCAAAGTGCAGGAGTTCTTGGCTTGAAACAAACACATTACGTAGCAGTATTGAAAACCTTCAAAACTCACTACCTTGCGTTGTATAAAGAATTTTTGTAATTAAATTTTTTTTAATACGGATTCTTTATTCTTCCTTCGCTGACGATTAGAAACGAAATTGGCAAGAGAAGTTTTGTTTTCTATTATCTATTTCACAGAATAAATCAAAAATTAATTGTAGAAAGTAGCTAAGCCATAGATAGCACCAGGTGCAATGGAGCTTGATAATCATTTTCGCTTGAAAGTAAGCTTTCGAGTTTTGGACTCCAAAACTTTTAAAAAGTCTTCAAACTGCAGTGACATCAAAGTTTGTTTTTTCGAAATGAAGGAAGGCGAGATTGCACTCTCGTTTTGCAGCTTGGTGTTTTTGCTGGGGACATGTATCTTGCTCTGGTCATTCAACGCAGGCTGAAGCATACCAGCAGTTGCAGCAACTTGATATAACATTTCGAGGACTGTTGCACTGTCGATATGGGTTTTCACCATAAATCACTGACGTTGTTGAGACTGATTCTTTTTCGCCTTTTTTAAGATGCCTTTTTAAGGTTTTAGACACAAGCATGTTTAACCCTGAAACTTTTGGAACAGCAAAGAGGGGCAGCGTTTATTAGTTTGGTTGGCAAAGCCTCCCGTGATCCCCTTGGCTTCTTGCCTGGGAGTTCCTTGTGATCGCTTTAAAGTTTGACAGTTCTTTTTTTATAAGAAATGAACGTTCATGTACGTAAATAATTATGTATACAGCTGTTAGAAATAGCTAATAAATTTTCTAAACATTTAAAATTATTTGCATTCGTGTTTAGTCATCAATTCATCTCCCCGCACTGTAAATTGCTAATTGACATCACTTGGTTCCAGATCCTTATTTTTTGTAAGGTGGTGATATGTATCAGGATTCGATTTATCTGGACCTGATAGACTGAAATATTTCTATAACCATAGGCACAAGCATTTGAGCGATCTGCAACACAGCTAGAGTCACTGAAGAACAAACTGACGGAAGAAAATGCAGACGTGAAGGAAAAGCTGGCCGTGCTGGATAGGAACTGTTCTGATCTTACAAAGACTAACAAGAATCTTGAAGCAGATTTGATGGAACAGAAGTCAACACTAAAAATTGTTACTAAGGTAATTAAAAATCATGTGTGCTTCTTGAAGCCCAATGTGACCCTTTAACACAAAACTTCTTGTGCTAGAAATAAGTGCAGATGTGTTATTACTTTCATGTAGTGTGTTGTGTTGCATTGCTGGCCCTTAAAAGCATTCGTACGTTTCAAAGGGGTGGATGCAAGGCCTACTGATTGCAAAAAGAGAGCTGCAGAATGAATACACATTTTAATCAATGTCGGGTGTGGAGTTTAGTTATCCTAACATGCCGTAAATCTTCATGTAGGGCCTATCATACTGTTTTGCAGTGAACGTCATATTTGCCTCTTAAATTCAGAATGAACTCCTTATAGCTATTACGTATTGTGAATATCGTAAAATCTCTTTAAGTAAAGGCTACTTTCGAGGAATGAGAGCTCAATTTCAAATTTTGAAATCTAGGTAAGAAGCTGCTATTGCACAGCAAAACACATCAAAAACAGCAAAAATATTTTTTGGGCAATGATTTCATTCTTAGATTCTGTTGACATACTGAAAAATAATTTCGATGCACTTTAGCTATATGCATTGTCCAGCCTATTTTGATTAAATCTACAAGCGTAGTTTTCTGTTTTTTCTTCAGGCAAGAGATGATTTTATCGATAAGTACGAAGACATCAAAGTTGAGTTCACATCAATTCAAAATGCCCTGGAAGATGAACAGGAAGCTCACGTAGAGGCCAAAAGGAGGCTGACCGACGTTACTAATAATTATGACCATCTCAAGCACTTGTATGAAGTCGAGGCTCTACAGAAGATTGAAGAATTAGAAGATGCAAAGTAAGTTAACGTTCCTATAAAAGTTTTTCCTTAAAACATATTAAACTTATTTACAGGTGCATTTATAAGTTGTACAGAATGATTGTATAGCATATTCGATTAAGGAGACAAGTTTCTATTCCTGTGTTACAAAAAGCATAATCATTTTGACAAGAAGCCTTTGCGGAAAAGTAAGATAGCGATCGAAGAAAAGGAAGCCATTGGGCCAGGCCGATTATACAGAATCTGCTCACATGGAAGTTTCGCAGCAAGATGATCAGCCACACGTCTCTATCCCTGATCCCATGCAGTGTCTACCGTGGCAAGATATTGAATAGCACCTTTGATCTACATTTAGTTTTTTTGATGTTGCAAATGTACGCTTTTATCCTTTCAAACATTTTCAGAATTCCAGAAGAAAATGTTATCCTCTCAAAAATTTATTCATGGACCCTTGTCTGATTTGATCCTAGGAGGAAGCTGGCAATTCGAGTAAGGGAGGTTGAAGATACAATAAATGAACTTCAAGGGAAGCTGCCTGGTCTAGAGAAGGCAAAAGCCAGACTTTCTGCAGAAAATGCTGAGCTTACTGATGAGCTTGAAAGGGTAAGAGCTGCTAGATTCTAAATCCTCTAGGGAAAAGTCTTTTTCATGAGCTCAAGTATCTGATGCATGGCAAATATCTCCTTACATTCGCCAGACGGTGTAAAGCCAGAACTTTGATCATGGTATATAAAGACGATGCAAAGTACCTATGTACTGCTTCTTTGTGGGATGGCACAACTTAGTTTAGTTAAGTTGTTTTGATTTTGAGACTACTCCATATGCAACTTCACAACCTGTGGAACTCAAATTTAGACTTTGCAATTTTTCAATTAACAGATTTTTGTGTCATCGTCATCTTTTTCTGTAGCTTTCTTGGGAGATTACCCTCCATAGCCTTCTTTCACATTAAATCAATTTTGTTATAAGATCTTTTCAAACCTGGCGATGTGTCTTTCATACTTTTTGCCAGTGCGTGGTAGTAAGCAATCAGATTTTCTTTTAACAATTTTTGCATCTTTTACGTTTGCAACTTTTTTAAGACACACGGAGATCTCAACCTTGCTGAAAAGGCTTGCAAGAAAATGGACCATGAATTGCACGATTTGAGGGGCAAACACGAACTGATCGTTATGGAGTTTCAGAACGGAGAGAAGCTGTGGAAGGAAACTTCTGCACAGGTAGTATTCGTAGGAAGTAATTTCTATGATGCATAACTTTGTGTAGAATGATATTTAGTCACGTTAAAAATGTTAGATTGTGTAGTAACAGATAGTGAGATAATTAAATATGAAATATCCTGTGAGTAAATAACGCCATTGGTTTTGTAACATTTTCCATGCTTTTGTGCTATCTACTTAAAAAAATATTAATCTTAATATATACTACTTTAAGTGGTATCATACTATATAAATAATGGTACCCACTGTTAATTAGATATATTTATTAAAGGTTTGACTTTGGATCACTCTTTGAAGTTGCTTCAAGAAGGCATTGAAAAGATATTTGTAATGTTATGGATAAACAGAAGCGCAAAAGAATAGTAACTTCCAATCAAATTGTTATTGGTTGGTTTTACGTCCCAATACTTAGATCTTAGACAGACTTTGTAAGTTTTTATAGGAAAGGCTTTTGAAGGAATTTCACTGTCGTTTTAGCTCAATAAAACAAGACAAAAGCATGAAGATGCTTGCGCTGAGCTGGAAATATTGAAAAGAGAAAACAAGAAACTACGTGGTATGTTACTCTTTCTTGCTTCCTTTGTACCCCCCTCCCCCCCCCGTTTTCAGATTAAAGAGGTAAAGCTGGTACAATCTGCTATGTTGCTTACTTGACTCTCTTACTTACTTGCATCTTTGCACCTAACAGTCAACCCCCTCCCCATTCCCTGCTCCTTCTGATTTTGCTTCTTCGTTATTGTGAAAATGTATGAACAGTAAAGGATTAGAATAGACCTAAAATATTATTGAAATAGCTGATTCCATGGTCTTGAATGATTGAAAGGGGCGCGGGGTAAGTTTTACAGGACATTGCAACTTAATTTTTTACAGGACACATATTGATAACAGCATTTTTATGTTGAAATGTACATCCTGCATAAATATTCGTTATATTATTATTATATTATTATATTAATATTATTATTATTATTATTTTCATTTCACGCTTATCAAAAGATCATTTCAATTTTCCTTTGCATTTTGTATGGTTTCAATCCTTAAGTGATTGCTTTTTGGCTTTGTGGCCCAAATGATTGCTTTTTTGGGCTTGTGGCCCAAGCCCTTTTGCATGAGCATCAGTAGTTAATTTTTTGCTTTCACTGTCTAGATGATCTTGAGTCACTGAAGGAGGAAATCATTGTCGAAACTGCCAAGATTAAAGAGCTTGATGCTGCTAAAAGAAGAGTTGAAATTGAATACGAGGCAGTTACTGCAATCTTGGAGGTTTGTCCATGAACTAATGTCATTCTCCAAACAACATGAGCTACTTTCAATCGATTTCTGTTCAGTGAGCTGGTATTCAGCTTGTCCCTGTATGCGACACTCAACGTGTATGCGACAATGTTGAAGTAGTAGATACTTTCAAAATATTGTTAGATTTTCAGTCACCTTAGTGTTCGAAAAGCGGTTAAAACAAAGTCAGCCATTTTTTGACCCTCTCTCCATCTACTTGTATTTTTATAGCTTTTTCACCAGTATTTAATCCTTCCTATTAAGTATTTAAATGCTAATAATGTCGAGCATTCATATTGCCTAAGAGTGTTACTGAATTTCCTTTTAAAAGTTCAGATTTTATTGGAATCATCACAATAGATTTTGCTTGAATTTATTTTTGCTTAATGATACGCTTGAATTTTGACTTTCATGTGTGCTTCGCTGTATTTTTCAAGCGTTTGAAATAAACTGCACAAGAAAAATGAAATTGTTAAACGTATTTTGATAATTGTTTGTTTAGGAGCTTGAGATCACGGTGGATGAGGAGAAAATGAATACCCAGCGGTCAATTGCTGAATTGAATTTGATTATTAATGAACTTGAAGAGAAACTTGGCAAAAGAGATGAGGAACTTGATAGCATTAGGTGAGTTCTATTGCTCCCCAAACTAGTTCAGCTGCAATCTTTGAAGGAAACACTAGGGATACAGCCAGTGGCGTTCCCAAGGGAGGAATAGGAGGGTCCGCACCCCCCCCCCCACTTTTCTAAAATATGATCCTCGAGATTTGTCCAAAAACGATGTAAAACTCATTGGGGGGGGGGTGTAGTATACTGTATGCTTGTGCCAATAACAATTGTAAAATACTTTGCTATTTATTGTAGTTAACACAAATCAAATAATGGCGGAAAATTTTGCAAAAGGGGCGTTTCCCCGCATTTGCGAGTGTTTGAAGGGCGTGGTCCAAAAAATTTCTGGGGACTGCGCCCCACATCCCCCCCCCACTACTCCGGCCCTGGGTACGCCACTGGATACAGCGAGATCTATGTTTAAGAGTCGATGATGCCCGGATTTCACTATTGTCTCGTTCATTCAGCTCTACTGCTACGTTTTATCCATCCTCCCCTCGTCTAACATCATATACAACCTATAAAATTATAGAATCTATGCAAGTTAGTTTTCCCCCGGAAATCATATATTATTAAAATTCAGCAACATTATTATGGATTTGTGTGGAAAAGTGTTATAATTTGATTAAGGTTTTAAAGAGTCTTGGTGATTTTTCTAGTCAAACTTTGAAAAATGTGTCCATACTTTGATCGTTGATTCTCGATAAAAACTTCAACAAACAATCACAAATACATTGTTTTTGGCAAAAAGTTAACCACATTTTCTCGAATAATTGGCCCCCATGAATGGGCGGTCCTTTGAAGTTAGCACTCTTGATTGGCATCAATGGTATCAATTTTTAGATGCTGGGATTATTCGTGAGAGGTATACCGTAGCGATATACCTCTTATTTCATTTCAATTTTCATGCTTACGCAATTCACCTCTTATTTCCTGTGAACGTAATAAATCCATGTTGCCTGTAATATTTTTATTCTAGGAGGGTTATGCAACTGCAGCTCAATGATTTAGGCGAAAAGCTTGAGAATGAAGTTCGCAACAAGTCAGAGCAGGCCCGTCAAAGGAAGAAGTATGAAGATCTCTCTATTGATCTCGAAGGTCAAGTCGATCGCCTCAATGCTGTATGTTCTATTAAAATTCCTTATTTCACAATTACATTAGGATTGACTTCAATTTCTTACTATTTGAGAAGAATTTATACCTTGAGTACGAAGCATTTTTAATGGGGCATTCATTTCCTTCCTATGTTTCTCCGTTGCTTCATTTATACCAACTCCTTTGCTATATAATGCTAAATTATTAAAATTTTGTTTAGTGAAGTTTGATTTCCTTCTTTTCCCATTGACTTGTCTAAAATTCCTTTAGAAACCTGTTGTAGATTGTCTTGTACCTTCAGACTCTCTAGATTTCCAATACTTTTTGAAAGTAAAGTAATTATCTTTATTGTTGAAAAGACCTTCAATCTTTAAAAAAATCCTTCATCTCTATTTCCTTTGAAATTACAGTGTTCGCTCCTTAAATCTTATTTTATTCCTATTTACTGATCAATGCACAATATCTTGTCGAAATATTTCTAGTTTTTTTTCTTCCTTGATAATATGTTCTTGTATTGAACATTTGTCTATGTTAATCCTTTCATGCTAAGCATTATTCCTTCCTCTGAATAAATTATTTTTACTGTAATCATGATTAAAGTAATGATATATCTTAGTTTTTTTATTACAATTTGATAGTTTTTATTTCATTGCTGCTCTAACTCTTCCTTCTTCTGTCCTCTCTGCCACCTCATACTGTCACGCTAATTTCCATCAACCTTGGTGTCATTCTCTTTGCTCAAATCGTTACTATTCGTCTATCATATTATAGCATTTGTCATTCGCTGCTAGAATGTGAGCTACTGATGCGGACATTGCAATTAATTGATATTATCGTTTATGATTTTGCTTTAGACGAATGCAGATCTTGTGAGAATAAATAAAAAGATATCACAAGACTTAAAGGTTTGTTAGGCGTAATAGTTTTACCGCAGTTGATTTTACAGAATTAATGATTCTTGGCACATTTTGATTGAAAGATTATTTGATTTAGATTATCAACTAGCAACATTTTACTTTGTTTATTTAGATTTCTACTTTTTTCAGCTATATTGTCATGTATTTTTAGAATAAAATGCTGATTTAAGGAAATTTTGGCATTCATTCAATTTTTATAAGCGAATTATAATGTCATTAAGACTTGTTACCCTAACCAACCATTATTGGAAACCCTTTGTGCTAAACCTCTCCGGGTACCAAAGACATTGCAACATTGCAAGATCACCAGTTCATAACACACAAATCTTAGACTCATACCAATCGCCAGGACAAATCGTTTCTCAGCATGAAATAATTCCGTTTGCAAAAGATTATCCTTTTGATTACGTTTTTGACATTGTTTTTTCATAGGACTTTGAGATGCGATATGACGATGAGAGACTTAACCATGACAATACCATGCAGTCTTGCCAAAGAGCAGAGAAGAAGCTGAAAGAAGCTACAAAAGCACTTAACGATGCCAAGCTTGACCTTGAACAGGTATACCTCAGGAGATGGTCCTTTGTATTTTGGGATACCATCAAGATTTATTTTCCATCTCAAAAACACATTTTTGTAGTTAGAGTTTTGTAATTATATCAATAGCATATCTCATACATTCTAATAGCTTAGCTTATCAATACAATGCATATGATACACGAAGCTAAGAGCCTGTCAAAATATAGGAAAGAGTTAATGCAGTAAAGAAAGACGACGTGAAAGGAACAAGATAAGAAAAGCAAAAATACAGTTAAAAAATTTAAAATACAGTGATGAAATATTCTGAAAAATATTAATATTTGAGTGGTTTAGAAGAAAGAGTATTTCCGCTCTTATTCGCCAATTTATCTTTGATCTGCGTGTGCATGTTCTTTTTAAGTGAGTTTAAGTGTTCTCTTTAATCTACCCTACGCAATCTTTAGAACTGCTAGATATTATCCTAAATTAGTCTACCTTCACTATTGTAAAAACGAGCATTAAATGATTTCTGTAAATCAAGTCATATTGACATTAACATTAACATTATCCAAAAGCTACACAACTGTCACATTAAAATTATCCTTAAACTTTTAGTGCTCTTGTTGATCTTTAATCATTCATCTTTCATTAGTAGATCCTATGAAAGAAACGACAAGGATGTATATACTTTATGTTCCTCTTCCTTGCTTCTATGAAATGCCATATGCCTAAAAGAGTTTTCGGTGTTTTTCTCAGGCTGAGCGTATGCGGAAAGTAGCACAAACGGAGGTGGACGAATTGACCGCGCGTTCAGAGCTTTTGCAAGCAAAGAACACAGAGATGACGTTCTCCAAGCAGAAAGTGGAGAAGGATCTGAACTCACTCAAGATTGACTTCGAAGATGCTGAAGACCGTGCCAAACTTGCAGAGGAGAAGGCTAAAAGGGTTTTAGGAGAGGTTCGTAACATTTCTCTCTAACAGTGTCTTTTAATGCGAAAAGTGCCAGACTGGGGATTTAACCACCTACATGAAAGCACGATTTGTATTGTTGAAGTCCCCATTAGCCATAATTGAAGCCCTATTTTTCAAGAGATATGTTTTAAAATGCTCTTTGCAACAACTGGAAATTTAGTATTCGCTCTTTTTTTGGAAGAAATAATGACCCATTATCTTAAATACTTCCGACAAATATAAGATAAAGACCTTGTTAAATGAAAACTTATATTGCTATTCTTATTATTCAAGAATAAAACTGTATGGTTGCCAAAGATTTCAAACGTTTTATTGACGTGGTCACAACTAGAAATAACATTTGGCTATTCTTCAGAAAATGATTAAAAGAATTTTCATGAAATTGCTCTTGATTTTCTTTTAAATTTTATTCAAATTCTTCAACGACTTCTGAGTCTTTAAGCGCAATGTTGATTTCACTTCAGCTTGCAGCTAACATTTCATTTTCATGATCATCCATTTATAATTGTCTATTTCATTAACGTTTGCATTCATTTTTTGTTATTGATTTTGAATGCTTTATAGTTCGATAAGCTCAACCTGGAGATGAAACAAGTGCAGGACCAAGCAGCAATAGCCGAAGTAGCAAGGGAGAGTAGTGAAAGGCAGGTCAGAGAGCTGCAAAGACACATCGACGAGATGGAGAGAGTTGGTGTAAGGCAACTGAAAAACGAAATAAGGCTTCTAGAACGCAAGGTAAACTGTTCACTTTGTTATTCCTCGTTTTCTCCAACGAATCCTTGCTCTTTATTTTTTATAGGTTGCTCTCTATAGGCAAGATACTTGCGAATTCAGGATCATTAATACAAAAATCGATCTTTCTGCTTTTAATTTGCAATAGACAATTTCAAAGAAAATTAGCCTACAGGAAACTAAAACGCTCGTGTAAAGTGTTTGAACACACTCATCATCTTTAATACTAAATACCTCCCCTAAATTCGAACCTAAAATATTTCTCATAATAAAACACAATGCGGCCAAAGAATTATCTTGGTTTTAAAAGTCCCGTGACTTTCATCTCTCTGATCAAGCTACCAATATAAATTTGTTACCAGATATTTGAAGTGGAAGAGCAGCTCGGAGAAGAGCGTCGAAGTCTTGAAGAAATGCGAAAGCTGCTTTCAAAGGCCGAGAAGCGGAACCGTGCACTGGAAAGTGTCCTTGAAGACGAGCGAAAAGCCTCTGAGATTCTGCATGTCAGGAATGAAGGACTTAATGCCAAATTGAAGAAAATGAGAGAAGCTGTTGAGACATCGGTGAGTCTCAATCAAATCTTGACAATTTTTTATTTTGTAATTTCATATTTGTTAATTTACTTTTTCTTTATCGTACATATCTAGCATTGGCTTTTTTATTTAATTCTTCCTTTGTCTCTCATATTTTTCATTTCTATCCATTATAAGGATTTACTCTGATTCTTGTGACTTAGATTTATGTTTAGTAAAAACAAATAAAGTAAGATGTATAGTGATCAAGAAAGAAAGCAATTAACAGCCGAGACATATTCAGCTAGCCATAACTTCTTGTTTCCTTCTGCTTCTTCTTCGTTATACCCTTCTTGCTGTTCCTTCCTTTATCCACTCTTGCTCCTTTTTCTTCTTCTTCGCCGCTTCGTCTGTTTCGTCCTCTTCTTCGTCTGCTTCGTTTGCTTTGTCGTCCTCTTCTTTTTTCTTCTCTTTATCTACTTCTTCTTCTTCTTCCACTTCTTGGTCTCCTTCTCCTGCTTCTTCGTTTCCTTCGTCTTCTTCCACTCCTTCGTCTTCTAAACCCCTCTTCTTGGTCTTTTTTTCCTGCTTCTTCGTCTGCTTCTTCCACTTATTCGTCTTCTTCTCTTGCTACTTCGTCTGCTTCGTCTTCTTATTCCACTTCTTCGTCTTCTTCTCCCGCTTCTTCGTCTGTTTCGTCCTCTTGTCCGTCTGTTTCGTCTTCTCCTTCGTCTGCTTTCTCTTCTTCTTCCACTTATTCGTCTTCTTCTCCCGCTTCTTCGTCTGCTTCGTCTTCGTCTGTTTGATTCATCTTCTTTCTATCCTTCTTTGCCTTCTTCAGATATAGCAAAGTATGCTTCGGTAAATGCACTTATGATAAAAGTTACCAAATTTAACCTAGTTCTTTTCATTGCTTCTTTGCAGGAGACAGAAATCGCCTCGTTGGTTGCCAAGTACCGCAAGTGTCAAGCAGAGTTAGAGGATGCCGAGGACCGAGCAGATGTTGCTCATTCTGCCCTGTTAATGAGAACAAAGACCCCCAAATCAGGTAGATCACGTGCAATGACACCAGTGCCAAGATCCCGTGCAAGGTCTCGCGCTCTTTCTCCAGAACCGCGAGACTATAGAGATTATGAATCATCTGAAAGGTAAGTCTTTATCCTAAGCATCATGTTTGTGCTTATTCTTTCTTAGAAATCCCTCTTCATCAACTAGTAGAATAAGACAAGCTCTTTTCTATCTTTATCTAACCCTCATCCTCTTTTGTTCTCCAGAGTCACTAATGTTTAGCTGATCAGAGTAGCCCAGTTTTACTTCCTCTGAGTTCTACATGGCTACGATCGATTCATTTCTTTCTAAACATCGTACATGATTTTAAAATATAGGGAATTTTCAAAGGAACATGTCCCTTGGTTAATTTTCCATGTGCGAGAGTTTATAATTCATAATGACAATCAGTAATATAGATTCAATATGGACATTATTGGAAGCAAACGCAAAGATGCTGTCCAAAAGCCATCTGTTTATGTGTTGGTTGAGCTAATACTGGTTTACTGTTAACTTGTTCTGTAAAAAGTTCCAAATTGTAGGGCTGAAACCATGTGAGTTTTTATGTAGCAAAGGAGATTATTTTCAAGACGCAAGAAATATTCTCTGTGCTCGTAACTTTGATTTTAGAATATTTGTTGCGGCTGTTTCTTTCTGCCTTTGTTTTTGCTTTTCTTTTGAAATTATTTTCAGATCTTGCTTCACTTAATAAATACACATAAGCAACAACTATTGCCCCTTACTTTGTAGTGACGATGGAATTTAAAGCATCCATAGATGTAGAGAGGCCTTGATTGATCCGTGTTCACTTGGCTTTGAATATTAAGGTATTAATAATTTATTGTATATTTAATAGGTATTCAACAAACTTAATGTTCCCTCTAAAGAGAGCTCTTGAAAATGAAAAACACCCACATATGGAAACACTCTTTGCAATGCTACCGTGTTCTTTATTTTTTCATATTATCTGAGCACAAACGTTTTCATCTTTTCAAGCCTGCACTCTTTGGTATTCTTTAAAGCTCATATTGAAGTGCACAAAATCCTAAGGAACATTTTTATAGGCAATTTTTTGTTTTTTATTTAGCTTAATCTTAATGGATGCCATGAAAACTAGCCCCTGACATCACATGGTCACTCGTTAAAGATTATTAAACTGAATCTGTTAACGGACAAGATCACGCCTGTTCTACAACAGGAAAATTTTTGACAAAAAACTCATCGATTCCTTTTGAAACATTTCCCACATGCAATAAACCTCGACTTGTCAATAAATTATCTCCCGTGACGAGAATTTCACATCCATGATAACCCCCGTACGCCATTTGTTGGTACAACTTGACTATATGAATAATCATTTTTATTTTTCTCCTCTAACGATTGGTAAAATGTTAGCAGTTCGTTGGTGTGGATTGTCAATATTTGTCGTAAATTTTCTGTAAAACGACAAAGTTTCCTGTTTGCTGCCCCTCTTTTCTTGTAGATGTAAGGGTGTGTTTGTGATAACTTTCCCATGGACGCATAAGCGGTAAAAATTTACACTGTGTGTTCTTGAACAGTCAATTTTATTTGATTTGGTAAATCCTTGTGTGGTGTGTTTTATAAATTCAGTTCAATCGCTATAATTTATTTTTCGCTTTTATGTGGATTCCTTTCTTTTTCTTTTCCTAACACAGCAAGTGACAAAACTTTTCAAGGGCAACCCCTCTGCAGATTTTTGGCTCTGTGGTTTTTTTGTATTAGCTACGTACTTTCTACAAAATTTGCATCTTTTGAGGCAGTGACCATCCATTCTTTCCCTTTCATTTCACCACTTTGTCACTCACACAATTAGCAACAAGTAGTATTTACTTTAAGATTCTGTGAAAAAATGACCAATGTATTCAATGCTGAAGATTAATAGAAAATTTCGTGATAGTTAAATAAAAAGCAATCACGCCCAAACTAAACTAATGAAAAGGCTTATAATAGTAGTGTTTTTACGGAGCCTGCTATGTGACGTCATTGGTCAACTGACCAGACCTTTTCGGACTCATCTTTTGCTTCCTTTTTATTATCACCCTCAGCAGTTACGACTGATTGCTCCTCCTTTGCAAACCGTTCAAATTCCTCCTCTTGTTTCTGCACTTCTCTGTTTTCTTGCTCAGCTCTCTTTTCTTCTTCACTTTTTGAAAATCTGGCGACATACACCCCACCTTGAAAATCAGAATGTGTATATATAGTGTTTTCAATGTATGCTTAGAATCATTCCTCTCCATGAATAATGCTTCCAGTTGTTACTGCTGTATTATAAATGTTGAAATTTCCAGAATCATTTTGGCATCCGTTTTCACAATAATACTAAGTGGTATTGTTGGGGAGACAAACAAGTCAGTTTTCTTTTTGTTATTCATGTCAAACCAAAGTCAAAGATCGAAATGCATGCATAAAATTTAAATGCGTATGCTGTTTCACCCCAAAATAGATGGAGGCTTGCCACACCCTCCTAAACTTTAAAATTCTAGTAAAGCAAAAATACTCACCTGTGCTTATTTTGACTCTGGCCACCCCGTCACTAACATCCTGCCTCTCTGCAGCATCCCAAGATTTCATATCAGTTGAATAATACACCGTCACATCGGCCTGATCAATGCCTCTTTTTAAAGCCAATTCAACTGACGCTTGTTTCCCATCATCCTTGCTATCTTTCTTTGTATAGACCTTCAAAAAGTCACTTGCGTAACCGTCACCAACGTCCATCGAGCCTCCGTTCTTTGCAATCAAACTCATGCCGCTTTCTACTGACAGTTTCTCTACGGTTATTTTATCATTTGATGGGTCTTTCTTGTCCCTGTTGACAAAATTTTTTAAATAAAGAAGTTGCTTTGAGAGAATACGGCATTTGGATAGGGGAGGGTATACTTCTACTTCATCAATCCTATAGTTGTGCCACAGTAGAGATTCTATATAAACACGAGTTCTCATACATAATTTTACAGAAAAGAGCTAGTAGGATTTCTTGGGCAGGGAAAATAATAGACTTTATACGAATTGTACCATTTGTCCTCACGCTGTATGGTAAGGCTCCTAGAATTTTAAAAATGGGTAGATATTTTGTCAATATATGGGCTTATTAACGAATCGATGCTCTTAGCCTTACTGTTTAAGTTGTTTAGAGTATCTTGCATAAATATTGTTGCTCGGCTTACATTTTTATTTCTGATGCTATGTCCTTCTCATTTACATTTGATTCCAAAGCATTTGCATCTGATTTAATATCCTTCTTGGTTGCATCTTTCTCATTTTGTGCTAATGCGTCTAATTCTGTTGCCCTAGAAATAAAACAGCAAAATCAGATGTCTTAAGCATGTTATTATGATTGGTTTTATGATTGTACCGTTTTTATGATTGGTTGTCTTGAAGGGTCCTGTTTCTTTTGACAATCATAGTTTTCAATATACATTTAAACAGAGGTTATAAAGTGTCCATCATTCCTCTGGATAATACCTTTAAGTTCTGCTTTCTCATAAAAAGTTTCCGGAAATTAAGGTAGGATTTGCAGTGGCGGATCCAGACTACCGCCATTACCGCTCGAGCGGTAGTCAGATTATTAAAAAAATTATAGAAACAAGAATCATTTTCATGTTTATCCTACTACTTTAATTAAACCATAATTAATTATTGAAAATATTTGATCGCGCTGCAAACCAAGCCTTTCTTCCTAGGAACATGCCTGAAATTTCCACAGAGACAGAAATATTTTTTGATCCTTATCGCTATGGAAATTGCGTGCCAATTGCCGAGCCACATGTTTGCAAATAGAAGGCTAGCATGGGGGGATGATGAAATCATGGCTTGCTAGCTAGGGGGGTTGAGTCGGTGTAGAGCGGATTCGAGCTGCACTGAGCGGTAGTCAGCCTGCCTAAACCAATCAAATCATCAGAAATCACTGCCAACCTGGGGGATGCATACAAATTTTGTTGACAACCAATGAACAACCGAGTTGACTACCGCTCAGATGGGGGGTTGAGTAGTACTGCCGCTCAACGCGGCTCAAATGTTACAGAAAGATGGGGGGATGCCTACATATTCTGCAAGTGGGCAAACTGTAACTTCAAAGCCGATGTGACCTATTATTGTGTACAATACACAACTATTCGTAGGAATATATTTTAAAAGAATATTAAATTAAAAGTCAGGCCCACAATCTTCGCCAAAAGTATGATTCTTTGTTTAACAAAAGTTGCTCTCAATAATTGCATATTTTATCTAGCTTTTTAAACTTGTAATTTAAACTTGTAATTAACAGGTCTGATTTTCATAAGTAATTGTCCGACTAAATGCGAGTTTTAGGCGACACTTCGAAATTCTGCCAAATGTATCTTTTTTTCTAATTCTATGGTGTTCCTCGTCTAAATGCCGTAAATTTTTTTAGAATATCCATCCTCAGAATATTGAATAAGATTATTTATTTCTTCTCAAGGTTGTTGTAAGGATACATGAAATTTCAGTAAAGCACCGCTTGTCTCTTGAAAATGGTCTACATAAGAAATTATAGAAAGCAATAATCATTTTAGAAAACTGGGTGTGACCAAGAAATGGGTGTGGTCTCAAGGGTGTGGTCAACCCTCTATCTCATTTCGGCGGTAGTCAGATTTTTGGCTGGATCCGCCACTGATTTGGGTGTGGTACTTTCGTTTGTTCTGTTTTCAGTGGATTTCCTCACTGTCGTTAATCGTATGATCGAAGAGTTTTCTGGACTATGCATTCAAGACATTGCCATACACATTGTGAATTCTTTTGTAAGCAATAAACATAAAGTGAGCAGAGGGTAATCGCTTAACACTGTATATTCTTCAAACTGCTTATGCAAAGAAAGTAAACTGGCAGGCAGTAAGTTTTTGTTACTGCTCATTTGCATCCAAAACGATGACTGTTCCGATATGATTTCTTTACTTTAACAATTTCTCTACGATATATAGTGCTTATACTGCCATCTACAAGTCAATTCCCTCAACTTTGAAAGAATCGCTACCACGACATGTAATAAATCTTAACTAATACGAATTGGCATCGTCAAGCCAGGTAGTTTTTAGTGAAACAATTAAAAATATTGGACGATTTCCCCCTTTCGATTTTGCAGTATTCATTGAAATGGCGAGTTTGTGCAAAAAGTACAGGCCACGATTCCCAAGTATTATTCAAATTTCTCACCATTCAGCAATGCCATCTTTGGTGGCTGAGCTGTCACTAAGTTTGGTGTCTTCCTTGACAACTGTATTGCTGACCACTGGGTCCTTCTTCTTTGCTTCTGTAGCTTCGTCACTGCTAGCACCTCTCACCACTATCTTCCCTTTTTGACTCCTGTTTGTAAAGTTATTGTTCCTCGTGCACATGTAGAAGTAAGTACCTGAGCGAGTAACTTTTCTTGGCCCCAGATCAAAATACACCGAAGCTTCATCCAGTTCAACTCCTGATCCTATAATTTCATAATTCAAAAGTTTTAGACTTCACCTTGCTAGAAGTGAATAACATGTCCTTAAGAAAATGCGCTAAGAGAAGGTGGATAGTCAGCCAAGTAGAGACAGCAGTTTATTGTTAATTCGTTTGATGACGAAGCGGGCAGCCCTAGTTGTACGGAGAATAATTAAACAAATTATCCCACCGATTTATTAAAGACTAAAGTATGCTCTTTCAGAATTTCAATTAATTTGTAACATATTACTTTCTGTAAATTTAAAAAAAGTACCAGTTTAATAGGTCATGCAAAGTCCCCATTTCGGCCTTCAACCTCAGCTATAGAAAACGACTTCGCAACAATCGAGACATTTAGATATAAGAAGTTCAAGTAATTTGAAACATATTCCTGCAATTCTAAATCAACACGTCGATGAATGTACCTGGTTGCAAAAACGCAAGTTTCTTTGCGTCTACTTCCGCAAGGCCTAGTACGGTACCCGTGACAATATTTTCTGGAAAGTTCCTTCCATACTGTCCATGAACGTCATCCGGCTTTGGTAGCCCCTCAGGGTAGACCTGGTCCGCAAGAAGAATGACATTTGATCGATCAGTCCCGCTTTTCCCTTGTCCTGCATTATTTCCAGGATTAGTATTAGAACCAGTCCATCTAAAATGTAACATTCAAAGTCGTTAACGACACAGAATTTACGCACTTCTAGTTTAGTTAAAAAGGACAATGTGAGACGTAAACAAATATAATTTTTTTCACTTTTGTTTGCATCAATTCAAGCTTCTAAAGCGTTTTTGTACAATTCAATAACAAAAGGAAACTAGCTCAGCAGGAACATTCTGGCGATAAAACCAAGTTGAGTTTGATAATATTGCCAGTGGAATAGTAAATTAAAGGAAATAAGAGGGTTTTGGTTTTTTCATTCCCTTTTTATCCACTGTGGACTGTCTTACTTTAAAACAGTGCCAATTTTCTTATTTACACAAAGAAGTTGCGTTAGCTAATCCAAAATTCTCACCAATTTGTGAATATAACATTATATTGGTGAATAACACTGGTTAAAATTGCAAAGATACTTTACCTACTATATCTTCATGAACCTGTATTCATGAAGGTATGTAAATGACATCAAAATTTGCCCTTATACATGTTGCACTTACTGGAAATGAACGAAGTCATCTTTATTGACCACAAGTGTATTTGGCACGTAGTCATACTCCACTGCCGGATAAACCTGCACGATATTCCCTCTCTTTCCACGTACGTTCACATTGTAGATGTTTTTGTTCTTCAACTCTTCAGTTCTTGGCATAATTGCGAATGCAAATGACCTAAAACGAACGCATTTTCAGTATTTATCAGTAACAAGTCATGTTGCCACAAATGATATGCTGTAAATGAACATAGCGATACATTTTGGTATCTAAATTGACAGTTTTGGGGCGTTTGTCTAAAGACCCTTTTTAAAAAGATTATTTATCAAGATTAAAATGTCTTACTACATCTATTTGAAATTGTTTGTATTGAGCATCTTGAGACCTACCCTGTATAGGATTAAAGATTTTAGGTGCTTTTTGTGAAAGTATCTGCTCTCTTTGTTGCCTTTTGCATGGTAGCATACATATTTTTTCCTGCACGATCCTGCTGGATAGCTGATAAAATTTGACTGTATACAATCTCAAAATTTCACACCTCGAATTTAAGCGCTTTTCTCAATAAAAGTTTCTACAATTCAAAATATGTAATTATTATAAAACGTAAAATGTCGCTTTACGTGCGCTCCATTTCACATGTCGCATATACAGGCCTAAAATTTCATCTGGATGCTAACAATTTTGCCATTCTAAGATCTTCAAATTATCATTACCTGTCTTGAAAGGTTCTTCCATACTGTGCGGTGTTGATTGCCAAACGAAGCTGCAATTTGCTTGATCCTGGAAATAGGTTCACAACCGGATTGTTTTTGAAAACAAATCCTCGCTGAACCGCCTCGGCGGAGCTGAGGCCAACCAGCCCAGCGATATCGACTTTGGTTGTATCTCCATTCTTGTCACTGAATGTATTCCATGTGTCGTAATCGTTTGTTGATATGTTGTATCTGTAATGGAAGGTTTGATTTCAGATGGAATTATTTAGCATCACAAGCAGGCAGTGATTCTAGTTTAAGAAGGATGTCTTCAAGGGGACAGAAAATACGTGATGATAACATGTTTTTCACTTCCATTGTAAGACAATGTCCAATCAATCTCTAATGCTTCCACTCAATCTATGACATTAGCAGTTCTCCTCAAGTTAGAGATAAAAAAAGTCCCAAATTATAGACTTTCTTGTGCTGTTCTTTCTCTGAAGACGAAACTTTAAAGCGAAAATTTTCACTACTAAATAATCAAGCTTTGTCGAGTTACCTGATTCTTATCGCACAGCTGTCCTCGTCGAGATTTGGCACTGTCCAGTTGTAAATGTTCATGTACCCATTTCTTCCATTTCCGTTGTGATTGTCACGTGACCACGGTGCTTGAACACAGTCTGGAGCATCAATGTTATGTGCTGGATGCTCCTTCCATGTGGCACCGGTTATTTGCTGCAAAGAGAGGTAATCCTTCTCTGTCAAACGACCTCCTGTGCCTTCAGAATATTCTTATTCGCTTGTTAGTAGTTCATAACAGTCCACATCAAGTTAATTTCTGCGTTCATTAACTTGGCCGCTTACCCAACATTATTAACTGCTATGAGCAAGTTGAAATCAACGATGGGTTATGGGCGATGATACATTTTACGGTTGGCTATAGACAACTTTGTTGCTAATTTTCAAACCAAATCAACATATGCAAGAATTCATAAGCTGTCAATGAAATAATAAATTAGGATTAATTTGCATATTATATCGACATATATTTGCATCTATATGACTCGAAGCTCTTTATCAGGAAAGGCACAATTTTGCTACACTGACCTCGCATTCAGCTTGGCTTATGGGAATGTATCTGCCGTTAATTCTTCTTTTGCGACCACCCCTTATTCTGTAAAGGTAAGTCTCGGGGACATCGCACACCCATCTTGACTTTCTGTTTTGACTCTCTCGCTTGTAGTAGTCGCACCTAGAAACGTCGTTGGTTAAGACTGCAATGTCCTAGAACAAAATGAATTGCCGTCTATGTAAAAACAAACATGGGTCAAGAATTCTTCCCTGCATATTGGATATCTATATTGGAATTTCAAGAACTCATTCCTACTGAAGGAAGACATATAAATTTGTATGCTTCTGCAACACAGAACTCGTCTGTCCCTTATTTCAAAATGTATATTTCAAGCCTTGGTCTTAAAGATCAGCATATATGGTTATATGGTGCTGACAAAATCTTCGAAAGTCGAAACCTTGCCTTGGCTGCCGTAAAAGTATCCGAGGTTTGCTTCAAATACAGGCTAAATGAAGTAATATCAAGTCTTGTAACCATAATAGCTTCAGTCAAACTCTGCTAATCTGACTGAATGACTGCCTGCCAGTGACTAATCCTTATGCAATAGCTATTTTCCATCATAGTTACTGCTGTTGAAACCACCTAATGATTATTGGAACGAATTTTACTTCACGTCTAAAACTTCGAATTACTTTACACTGACTGTATACATACATGAAGAGGATAAATTCTGCTTACCTTCCATGGGGTAGGGGACCAGTATGGATAATAATCGCGCTCTTCGGGGCACTCATAGCCACGGCGTGTTCCTTGTGGGTTCTGGCGTGTGTATCTTGCTGATTCTCCTTTCAAATTCTGGTAAGAAACACTATTTATTTTTAATTAGCTAAACATAATTTTCTTAGACATTTTTTCAACGCCCTTAGACTTTTTGATAAGGTTTTGTGTTAGTAAGTTTCTAATCTAGCCAGAAACAGTATATACTTTTAATTAATGGCAAGTCATAAAATTAAACTGAGACTTTTAAAGATCAATCTAATTCAAACGTACAAAATTCTTTAAAAAAGGTATTAGATCTTCAATATCAAAATGCTTTTAGCTGCTTATCCATATAATTTTTCGTGTTAACAACATTTCCTCTAGAATAATGAATTCATAGTCAGTAAGCATTTTATTGATTGATTGAGTTACAATCATTTTGCGAACCTGATCAGCAGTAAAAAGCTGCTTGTTTCGTCTTCTGTTCTTGCATGTTTCATAATATTTGAAGTCCTCGTGCATTCCATATCTAGAATGGTTCAGAGACAGTTACGGGGTATAGTGCTATTAAAACAACAATGGCGCCTTCGCCAAAAATTCTCATAAAACAATAATGACAATTAGAAAATGGCTACCTTTCAGCAGTAAGAAGTTCTACACACCCGAGGACAGAGTATGTATTGCAACTTTAAATGGCGTTGTAACTTGTGAATTATTAAGGTAGCAATCAAGAAAGCTGGATAATTCTTTTTTCCTTTTGCAGACCGTAAGCATAACCTTTTCATGGAGAGGTCTTATAGATTTCTCTTTCATGCATCTAAGTTAAAGGTATGATCAGAATCCAATCGCTCATGAATGGCTACGTCTTTCAGATCGTTAAGTGCAGAATCAATGTGACAATCCCTTCAATAAATTCACGTCAAAATCAGTTGCAACGAACTTTAGAAATATCAAGTTAGATATTTGTTGCACATAATAAAGATGCCTTTTTAAATATTCTTATCTTTATAACTGTTAACTTTACTCAAAATTGGAATATGATTAAGGAGCAAGCCCTTGCTTACTTTTGTATGTAAGGAAACCCACCTCAGATCTTTGTCGCAATCCCTACTTCTGCATGATGTATCTTTGTCTGGGATCGTCCTGGAAAAAAGTAGCTTTTTATCTCTTTCTTCCTTCGTCATAAAAGTTACTTGTATTGTGTTTAAGTGAATGGAGGGGATGATTGTTTGCTTGAAAGCATTATAAGCATTGTAATGGAGGGGGTTTCAATAGAGGGGGTTGTAATGGAGGGGGTGGGGGTAGTGATGAGATTATCCCCATCATTTCTGTTGAAGCGAAGACAGCTATCACGCTACCTTGGATTTAGTCAAAACTTTGTCTTGTTTGACTATATTTTCTTTGGTTTTCTTCGAATTCAATCACTACACCTTCCCTCCCAGTGCTAATATCACACGACTTGCCTGAAAAACATGTTCCCAAACATAGCACCTTACTTTGTGGGAAACAAAGTTGAGTGTGACATTGCAAATTAGCGGTAATGCTTCATGATCACTGGGTTACTACCATTGGCAGTAATGGAACAATAAATATGTCAAAGAAATTTTTTATTATAAACAAACCTTGTTTGTGTTCCATCTCTGATCTTGCTACTGCACATATACTGTATGATGATTTCGCAGTTATTGTTAGGGCCGTTGCAGGAGTGTTGGTTCGTCCATTGTATTGGCAACACGGATCCAGAGTAGTACCAGAGTTTTCCAACATTGTATCCACCACGATTGTTGTTTTGTGAATCAAAGAGCCTGTAGCAGACGACGATCAACTTTATGTTATTTGTATTTTACACTAGCTCAGCCTAAACAGTGCATCATCTTTAATCCAGATTTGTCTGATACCTGGAAGGGGGTATCTGACTGAGGGGTCTGGAGCTCTGGCAACACCCCCCCTTTTTTGCCATATTTGGTAAGCAATTTCGCTGATTGGTAAAAACACCGAAGATTGCATGATATAATAAGAAAGATTTTTAAAGAATGTCTACATATGTAAATCTATGAAACGATGTATGATATAGTACATCGTTTAATGCTAACAATACGGGTATTGTCTCTTTTTTTGTTCATGAGCTATGGGAAAAACTACAGTTTTCTTGACCGATGGTTGATAATGGTTCTGCATTAAAATTCGTCTGAATTGGAAACCCAATAAAAGCGATATCAGTCTTGCGAATTATGTGCATTGCGAATCGTTGAGAAACTGTGAAAAGTTCAGAGTCCTTTGGCTCTTTAAATGATGGAATTTCTCTAGGACATGAATAAAATATTATGTTTTTGAAATATTAGATGTCGATTGATCGAAAAAGTAGGTTTACGGATTGTGAACCATGGTGTTTGCTGTTTCATTTTTGTCGACTTTTATTAAATTGACTTAGCCATTTTCAGCAAACATACTAGATTGGTATATCCATACAAAAATTAAATATTTGAGAATGTTATTAATCTTGATTGAAATGATTAAGGCTGTTGTATGCCAGGATATCTAAAGCATGTTAATAGTCTAGTCTAGCACGATAGCGAAGTTCATTTTCTTGTGATAATTGAGAATTAGGTGCTATGACTTTTGTTGCACTGTAGCACGCATAAAATGCAGGATCTCATTTAATTCTTCAATTCTATGTTTTTGCAAGCGGGAGTGAGGGGTGGGGTCAGGGTAAGGAATAGCGTAATCTACGGCTATGATTTGACTTAATGTGACGCGACTGATCAAATAAATACAATGCTTGCCAGAAGTCTTTGCACACTAACGTTGGTACAGAAGTCTTTGCACACTAAGGACAAATTCAGCCATTCCCCCTCCCTCTTTGAACAATGTTGGTTTACTACAAAACGACGTAGGGGGATGGGAAGTATGCTTTTTTCTGCGTCTTCTGTGATATTTTCTAAATCATCAACATTGTTGGTTTACTACAAAACGACGTAGGGGGGAAGGGGGGTAAATCATCAACATTGTTTAGGGGGGAAGGAGGGTGCGAGAATACGAGTATCCGGGAAAAGAATTGAGAAATATAAAAACAAAACTCAAATTGCTTGACGTGTAAAGTACTTTTGGCAATGATTGTAGCAGGAATAAAGATAAAGTTGATATATTTGATTTTATGATAAGGGAAATTCGCAACGTATCTTAGTGACTGCCAATTTTGTTATGCAGTTTTTGTGCCCCAGTTGTTATTCAAAGCCTTGATTTGCATTAATGTAGTTTCTTGTATGCAGCCGTCTACTCTCTGGCTTTTTTAAGTAACAAATCTTGCGGTAGGATCTTTAGTCATTGCTACAGTAACATCAAACATTGCTAGTGGAATATTGTGGATAATGGTTTTCAAAGCAACCGCGCTGGAGCCTTTTACACTTGACTGCGTGGCCAATTTTTCCACAACCATTTATGTAACAATGAAAGCCTTGCTAATGTTAGCGTAGGATGTGTTTGTTATCTAGATGGTAGATTCTTTTGGTTTGGGAAAAAATAATATTCTAAAACCACAGTAAAAGCATTTTCGCAACATTTGCCTATTGCCCACGTAAGCAAAAATATTATCAAGACAATGAATTGCCAACTACATTATGCACGTACCTATTCTACCTCCTATTGACTGAAAAGAGCGGTCTTAGGAGCTATCGTCACTGTTAAGGTGTTTATGGGAGCCTCTACTTGGTACACCGCTATGCATGATGGTTAAGAATAACCCCAAAAACTATGACATAAAGATAGAATTTTTACATCCCTTACCTGTTGGCGTTGGACCTTTCTCTTCCACGCTCGTTTAGACGATTGTTACTTCCTCTGCAACAAAATGAATTCTATTCTTGAACATTGCTTAAGGCTAAGGATGTGTAGGGATACATTTAGTATTTATCCAGTACAGTCATTTTTTTATTAGAAACTATGGTCCGGTGCTGGTAGGCAGTTTCTTAAATTTTCTGGCCATTTTGCTATCAAAAGTTTCTTACATGTTTCCTAAATTTCTTAGTTAATAAATTCTTAGTTAAGCTTTTATAATTTGCAGTTTTAAATTTCGAAAGTTTCTTAGCTTTTGTCAATTTGGGTAGGGTTGTTTTTTAACTTTTGAAAAATTGAGCCTACCCTTTCTTATAACCTGTTCCTTATAAAAAAATGAGTGTATATCATTACACCTTTTCAGGATGTATTAAGTGATACTGGTGGATAGCCTGATTTTACTAAGAAGATGGCTGCAGTCAAAAGCTACCTCATTTTTCAGTTCTTAGAAGGTGGAGCCTCTAAATCTACATGTGTTGAAATTTTACAACAATTCACGGTAGCTCTCCTTCTTTTAATTAGAGAACTATTTTTAAGAAGGGTCAAGTTGGGTGATCTTACCATCTGATTTTCCGACCAAGCAAGATAAGCGCAACTTTGATGCAAACAATTCGAGGAACACTCATCAACCTTTATGTTATGTTATCCTGGCATTTTTCGTTTGGTATAATGTATTCTCGATGAAGAATTTTACACGTTGTTCCGCTTTAGAATAATTCAAGAACAATCTTAGTAGGCTCAGACCTAAAATCTTTTAAGAACTTTCAAAGTCAGTTATTGCGGTACAGTTCTCATAAAAAGGTATGCAAGAAAAATTGCATAGCATTGAGAACTTGATGCTTATTGCCACATTATGAAAGAAACACCAACTTTTGTCGGTTTTTTAATATAGAAACGGAGTTCAAAGCATTGTCGATTTGTTGTTCTGTCGTTTAGCAAAACTTGCGGATGCGAAGGGAAAATTTGAGCTTCCGTACCCTTTTGAACGCCAAAACGCCCATTTTTAAAGATACTTTTTGCCATTGGAGGGGCATCCACCCCCTTTTGCCTTCCCCTCGCCACGCTACTTCCTATTTGCGATGAAAGCAGTGGGGTTTTGATCAGGTACAGCACGGAAAACATGACGTTAACGGTAACATGGTCAGTGACCGCGAGGAAAGCCAACGAAAACAAAAACATTGAAAGACCACACAGAAGCCACGCCTCATTTTCTTTGTTTTTTGAGGAATGTTTCCTTAAAGATGTTGGGGAAAATCTCTCAGAGGAAGGCTGAATACTTTTCTGGGCGTTGTGTAAAGATTGCTTGAGCAATTATTGTCCTTGATGGCTTTAGGGCGTGGTGAAATCTAGAATCTGGGGCACTTCTTGATCCGCTGGAGGCAGCGAGTTTGATATGGGATTAAAACACATAAAAGGATATAACAGTCGTGAACATTTGATATTTGTGTTGTAAAGCAACATCGCTAAGGAAGAAGTAAGATGAAAGATCATGGTAGTTGACAATATATTTTATTGAAAGGCGCGGAGCCATGTATTCTCCATCTCTCTTTAGCTGAGTCCCTAGGATTGCTGCTCTACGGCTGGGAATCGTTTAGCGTCAATAAGCCTAATTTAAAGAGTTACTTTCTCAACATAGGAACAGTAAATCTGAGTAATGTGAAAAAAGGGATCTGAAAAAGTCGGATACATGGGCTGGGCCGTCTGCCAACGGGTTGGGGGTCTACGCAGAGAATTTCAAAATGACTTTGCAGTTTTCGCAGAATACTAAGCTCTCTGAACAGAGACCGCGCGGACTGACATCAAACCAATCAAAAACGCTTAAAGTGAAATCTTCTATGAAAAAAATATTGTAGATGGATCACGCAGATAAAAAAACTTGCTGTTATTGCATTAAATCCCTTTGTTGTACCTTAGTATAAATAAAGCGCATTCGTCAGCGCGCAGCAACTGTTTGCGGTGCACGCATTGGCGCGCAAAAAATGATGGTTGTGGTGACCGTTTACGGATAGAATTTTCCCTTGGAGCAAGCAGCGCAAAATAGAAACTGCCGTCCAGTGCGCGATATTGAACCGGCAAAAGTATAAAAAATCAGCATACTAAATTTCAAAACAAAAAGGGCTAAACATTCAAGCATTCGACCATTTTTAGGTTTCAATGGTGTTTCTACGTGACAAATAACTTTTCATCTTTATCCGTTTATAGTAGTTCATGCATCTATCCAACCTGTAGTATTACGTCCAAATATATATGTATGAGCATGTAATGGTTATTCATACAAAAATATAAGGCTAACCAGGGGAATATTTTGAGGTGTTGTGCAATAAGACATGACTATAACACAGGTCTAACAGCTCGCTCTATGTTGTTTTAGTAAGTAAAGTAACGTGCATGTTGAAGGCCCAAACCCACAGGGAGGCAGTCAGGGTTCTGTTTTTGAGCCATTCGCAATAAAGAATAAACAAAAAACAATACCTTGGGTTTTGCAGATACATGTCTGCATTAACTGCCAGAATTGCAGCACATATAATAGCCAAAGCTGCAACTAGCGACGCCATCTTTCTTCTCGTTGCTACCTCTGATGTTCAGATCCCCTTCTACCGACAAATTTAACCTAAACTTGCTTACACCCACAAAGTCCGTCACGACCAAATTGAAACAACCAATACAAAAGACTCGCCCTTGGGATCTTTTCAAACTCTCTTGAAATGTCATGAACAAAGCATCGGTTATCTTTATCTAGCCAATGCTCTTTATCAGAGGTATTTGTTTACAATTACAAGAAAACGTATCTTTGCTGTTACTTACACAATTATATGAAAACAAAATTGGTCATGTAAATCATCCCACACAGAATTGACAAATCTCACAAAAGACATGGTAAATCGTCGCCCATGATAGAGGGACTGTGGTTTATGTTTGAATTGGTGCGTAGGGACAGTCATTTCTGTTTGACAACATCCCTTAGTGATAAAAATATACGGCAAAACATTGTGTTATAACAATATCAGATTGTCTGATGTTTTCGTTTTTTTAACAACAATTGATGTGGGGGGAATTTGAATATATTCTTCTGTTTGCACTGTGTCAAAGAATTTCATATAATTCAGCTAGGCGCATTTGAGTGGGAGGTTGGGTTTTCTGTTTTTCAATCTTAATGTGTTACCCTCAAATATTGAATCATTTGTAAATCAGCCTGGATAACAGAGACTTCGTCAAAAGGCGTTTGCGGTTTTTGGACTCTGAGAAAACTGAGCATAGCGAGCACAAAGACCAACAGAAGTTTGCCATCAGGTTCTCATAGGCAAGACTCAGACTGAGGAAAGATGTCGATTCGGTGCATCGCTATCTTTTTAACTGTTCTTGCATGTGCCTATGCTGACATGTACTTTCACAACCCAAGGTAAGCTTCATTTTGTACCCGATAAGCGATAACCATGATATCAAATCAATTTCTGAAAACAATATCGTTGATATGCAGATAGGGTTTCGGGTTTCTTAATCATATTTTTCTTTTGCAGAGGCAGCAACAACAGACTGAATGGAGGAGGGCGTGACAGACAAAATGCTAATCGGTATGAATGTTTAAAAGTTTTTGCAACTTTTTCAAAAACTGAAGTTCATTCTCTTTTCTTTATTAATGTTTGATCATTATTAAAAGATAATCGTGCTGTGCAATCAAACTTGACCAAAAAGCAATCCGAAGCAGAATTTCTATATCCTTAGAGTTTGAAATAAATCTAAATTATCCAATCTCCAGCTAAGGTGTTTGTTAAGCTGCATAAAGGTGTGGCTTTTTCCTTTCTACCCGTATGCTAACGTTTTCATTATATTTGCTTAAACCACCCTCAAATGGTGACATTTTTTATTAGTCATAACCCATCAGGAGCGCTACAGTCCTTTTCCTACTACCCTCCCACTCAGATACCACAATTGTAAGATTAATATGATTTCATCTCAACGCAAACCCACCTCTGCATTTTACAGCCCACCATCAGCGTCATTAACACAGTGATACAAATGAACGCTCTCTCTATACAGTGGTTTTTCTTGTTCCCAGACTCCAAGTGCGTCGATTACGTAATCATGGCATCAAATTCTATGACACATTTTCAGGCGACATGATGCGAGGACATGGGTGTTTTCATGTACTTGTGCCCCCCTCCCCCTCATTCTTAAGGCAGGCTGAGCATATAAAATACGCAGAGAAATCGTTTCGCCAAACTGTCATTTCTGTCTTATTTCTTTGCTTCGTGGTTCTACATTATAATGTGTAGTATCAAATGATTTTATTGAAAAGTTGAATGGATGCTTTAACCTGTAAGCCGTATATAGGGTCTGCTTACCTCTATTGACCCTACCTCACTGAATGTATCACAATATAGCTTTTATCTAAACAAGCCAAGAAGTGCTAGGAAAAAGAGCCCCAAATATAACAGTCTAGCTGTCATATTGGATATAAAGCCCCGTTAACACGCTTTTGATTTAACATGGCACAATATTTGTGCTGTTCTGTGATTTTCAGTTAGCAGTGCAAAATGCTCTCAAAATTTTCTTTCAAAATTTGAAAGACCAGACAAATCTTTACAAAGAAATGTTTTATTGGCCAAGTTGCCGCCAACACAACTCCATTCCACTTGCGTGGACTAAACATTGCTCGAAGGCGCTGAACAACGCCTTAAACTGTATGTATGTCGTGAGGGACTTTGCTAAACATTGCTCAACTTTGATGCTGACTGTGCAATGTTCAAAAGAGCGCTTTTATAATACGGCTATATAGTCATGTCATCTGTTATCATTTCGTGTATGGGCGACTCAGTTAAAATCAACAAGCATGGTAAAGGCCCGTGTCTATCACTGGATGGATATACTTTGAAATTTAGCAGGACTTTCTACTCTTAGCACAGGGCATGGCCCGCTTGCCTAGATTCGATTCAAACTTAAATATCAGTATTCTTGAAGGGAAACGATGCCAAAAATGCTAGAAAGTAGTGTTGCATTCAATTAGGCTATGATCTAAAATGATAGAAGCGCCCTAAATTATGAAAAGAATATCATTTCTTATTAAATTTAAGCAATGCTTCTTTTTTAGGTTATTTGATTCGCAGAACAATGCACGTGGCGGCTATAATGTTGGGAACCTGTATTATTACGCAGGAAGTGTGTTGCCAATCCAATGGACCAACCAACACTCTTGCAATGATCCCAACAACAACTGTGAAATCGTTATTCAGTACATGTGCCATGATCGGCTCAGAGATGGAACAACTGAACGGTATGTGTAGCTTGCTTGTTAAGTCAGGTGAGCGATGGGAGATAATCCTGACAGGGATCTAAATAAAAAATTTATCGACCACCGAATTCTGACAAAGAAACAACATTTCCTACCAATTTTGTTCATTAGTAGAGCTACAACCATCCTTGCCCCTCCACATCCCCTCAATTAGGGCACTCCTGATTTTTGTAATTTCAAGTTTTTGACGATTAGCAGCTTTTTCTTTTCTTGGCACAAGCGAACCAGGACCATGGTCAAGAAATAATCTACCCAGATAAAAACATCTGGAAACATCTACCCAGCTAAGGAAAAAAAACGTCTACCCAGCTAAGGACAAAAACATCTACCCAGCTAAGGACAAAAACATCTACCCAGCTAAGGACAAAAACGTCTACCCAGCTAAGGAGAAAAAAAAATCTACCCAGCTAAGGACAAAAACGTCTACCCAGCTAAGGACAAAAACGTCTACCCAGCTTAGGAGAAAAACGTCTACCCAGCTAAGGACAAAAACGTCTACCCAGCTAAGGACAAAAACGTCTACCCAGCTAAGGACAAAAGCATATACCCAGCTAAGGAGAAAAACATCTACCCGGCTAGGGACAAAAACGTCTACCCAGCTAAGGACAAAAACGTCTACCCAGTTAAGGACAAAAACGTCTACCCAGCTAAGGACAAAAGCATATACCCAGCCGTTTTCTGTCGCGGTTTCAACCCCTCTATAAATAATGAACGGTTCATAAGTACCTTTTAGCTATACATTGAAATAAAAGAAACCTTCGTGCTTTTGTACTTTTTGTTTCAATTACTCACTGTACATAGTTGTTCCTCTCTACTCTTGATGCAAAATCCTTTTCAATACTTTGTCATGATCATGCAATCTTCTATGATAGAACTATTCCTGAACATCGTCATCAGTGCAAGAATTTCAACTGCAACAGTGATCTGAGGTAATATAGAAGCTAATCACTGATTTTCAATCATTATATTATTGGAACGCCACATTTATAGGTCTATGGACTCTTCTTCTCGGAGATTTTTCATCTCCCGTCGCTTTTCCCAAGGAATAGGTCTTCATCGAATAATATAGCAAGGTACTGGCAAATTACGAATTGTAACTGATTCTCCTCATATAAATTGATTAGATACTTACATAATTGTCATGTTGCCATATGTCAAATTAGTCCCTTCAGGCGCTTCTTGAAGGCTACTGGCAGTGCCTTGTAAAGAACGCGATGCACTCTACCTGTTTTTAAAAGCGAAAAAGAAACGATCGGTTTGGTTAACTAAAGACAACTGCAACTAAATAAAATTCAGGCCAACGTAAAGCTCGAAAGATGCGCTCTCACCTAAGGGCCAAAGCAGACGCAAAGGCTGACCTGTACAAGTTGATCATTAGCTTTAGAAAACAGTATATATGATACACGTGCTTTTTGCAACTCTCTTTATCAAGCATTTATCAATGCAAGCCTTGCATTTCTACAAAAACAAAGTACAAATTTTGCTTGATGAAAACCCGCGTTCATCATTAGATAGTCTTTTCATTCAGCAGATAGTTGGGGTAATCATGTTCCTATCGTCTTAGCTTTTGCGTATTGAAGTATCTCATTATTGTAAGCATAATTTTGTTCTCTTTTTTATCTATACATGCGCTAATCATTCTCCATAGTTGCATTATTCTATTGCAACTTATTTGCTATTCTTTTAGATTTGGAATGCACGAAGACTTTGATTATTACCAAGAGTGCAAACGGCGACAACGTAACACTGGTCTCTTTGTTGCTGATCAGGTTAAAACTTTTTATTCCTTTCTTTCTTGCTTGAGTTTAAAGATCAGTCATATTACAGACAGAAAAAAGATGATGCTAATTTGGGTTTAATGAAATGTCGAAGACATAGCAAACCAAATTATATGTAGTTTTTAACAGCATTGAAGACGAAACCTAGCAAACCTAGCGTCTCTATCCTGATTTCTTCAATGTCGAATCCACATGAATAACGAAACTCAGCTATGTTATTCGATATATGATATGATATGATATGATATGATATGATATGATATGATATGATATGATATGATATGATATGATATGATATGATATGATATGATATGATATGATATGATATGATATGATATAATATGATATGATATGATATGATATGATATGATATGATATGATATGATATGATATGATATGATATGATATGATATGATATGATATGATATGAATATGATATGATATGATATGATATGATATGATATGATATGATATGATATGATATGATATGATATGATATGATATGATATGATATGATATGATATGATATGATATGATATGATATGATATGATATGATATGATATGATATGATATGATATGATATGATATGATATGATATGATATGATATGAACCAGATGAAAGTGATTTGTAATTCGGCTTTTTTTTCTAGAACCTAAAAGGTAGCACTGCGAAATACACCCGTCAAAACCCTGGAGGAACTCGCAGAGGCTATGAATGTCCAGAAGAAAAGGATTATTACCCATACTGGCATTCAAGTCCTTGGAAGGTTTGTATCTTATGTTGATTATGATATTTGAAAGTTATTGCATTTACGAAGGGGGAGGGGGGCATTTTCCTTAAAAACCATAGTCAACCTGAAGGTTTTTCAGCTAGCTCGTTGTGTAACTTTTTGTCAACTAAATATTTTTTGTGGGTAATTATCTAATTGTGTTACATCACCATTTTTCTCATCTGTTATCGTTTACGATTCCTGCTTTGCATCAAAATTGTGATTATGGTGATTTCACGAGGTAAACTTAAGTTACAGTAAATTGCAACAGTGAATTCTATACAGTTAATTTTTCTCTCCAACCCTTTTAATATCAAGCACATACCCCTCCTTATCTAATGACATCCTCTTTGTTGTCTTCATCTCCAACCATCTTCTCTTTTTTTCCTGTGTCTCACTCTAGCTTTATCCTCAACGTTGTTTTTTTCTCCAGATTTTCCTCCCTTCCTTTCTGATCCTCTTTCCAACTTCATCCCTTTTCCCTTACCTCCAATCTCTCACTCTTCCAATCAACCCTTCCTACTCCTGATTTCTCCTCCCTTTTTCCCCCAAATCATGCTTTTCCAATTCTCATTTTCATCTCTTCTTCTTTATCACAGGATATCGTGGTGATGACCAATGACGTCAAAAGATGCGATTTTTACAAGAAAGAGAGCCAGAACGCTGGAACTCGATGGGGATGTCAAGTACCGAAGGCATATTTCACATGCGAGCAACATCTGAGGAATTTGCAAATCCCAAATACCAAGGAAGAATGCGAGGTTAGATTCAAAATTTCTTATGTTATTTATTGTGGTAGTGACATTCATATTTTATTCAAGCTGATCTACAATTTATTAACGGCTTAAAGTGTATGTATTCTGCCTACTTCTGTGGCTGTAAACCAAAGAATTGGCCAAAGTGAAAGTAATTAAGAAGTAACAATGATTGAAAGTACGATCATTTCGATAAACTGATTCTTTCATATATGTAAGAGGTATGTTGCCAATTTTGAAAAGGACATGGACGTAAGAAAAACAGATTCCCAAAAAAATGTTCTTTACTAATTTGTATCATTGTTTAGTTGACTTTCTCATCATCCGTCCTATCTAATTTGGATTATTGTTTCAATTCTTTTGAACCATTAAAAACAACCATAATTTCTGCGTTTAGAATATTCGCTATCCACCCAATGATCCATATGGCGAAAAGGCAGTTTGGAAGGAATACCCTGCTCATGGTGTACCAGCACCGGATTGCATTCAATCTCCTTGGTCACGTGATAATCACAATGGCAATGGCAGGAATGGCTACATGAACACTTACAACTGGACTGTGCCAAATATCGAGGCACACAGTTGCGTAATGAGAATTCGGTATGGGGAGAAAATTGCTATGACGCTTTTTGCAATTTGCTTAGAAAAATATCAATACTTTACTGATAGAACTTAATGTACAATTAATGTGTATCGATTTGTTCTAATGCTGCTGCTTTTATACCGTGCATGATTGCTTCTTGATATAAACTTTCTCGTTTTGTTCACCATTTCTGCTGGAAGGTAGATAAGAAAATATTAGCTTAGCTTACCTGTACGGCGTTCTCCAACTACGCAGTTAGGAGTGCCTAGGTAAACGATCTATGAGCGATTCTATGTATCTGTTCCTCTTAGCTGCATTTTCCTTTCTTATGACGTATCTTTATTCTTTTCCTAATTAGATACAACATTTCAACGAATGATTACGATTCTTGGAAGACTGATTCCGCTTCAGTGGTTGACATTGGTGAGAATGTTGGCCTTGAGAAAGAAAGTGCCAAAGCCAGGGGATACGTCTTTAAGAACAACCCTGTCGTCAAGGTATCTAACAATGCTCCCAAACTGCAACTAAGGTTGGCTATCAACACCGCACAGTTTGGTAGAACATTTCAAGACAGGTGAATTAAAGTTCTTTGAAATAATTTTTAAAGCACAATACTATTCGCAACGGTCAGGGTATCTTTGCATCGTTTTACAGCTATCTTACGCATAACAGCTCTCTTTGGTAAGATTCGGCATCCTGTCCTGTCCTCTCCCCCTCTCTTTTCCTTCCTTATCCTGTCCTGTCTTGTCCTTCCCTGTTCTTCCCTATTTTTCCCTATCCTTTCCTGTCCTTTCCTGTCCTATTCTTTCCTTTTTGCTAATATATTAACAAAAAAAAATTTCGTCAGATAAATTTTCAGCGGATAAAATTCGTCGAAAAAATTTTCGGACAATTTTTCAAAATTTGATCTTGACAAAATTTCATCATCCATTTTTACCACAGACATAGCAACAGATTACTAAAATCGTAAGAGGCAAAACCATACAGGTTGCTTTGTATTCAATACTATCCCATAGGTACCGGCTTTGTGAAGACTTGGGGACTTGAGCATCCATTCAGAATTTGGCTGAATCCCCCAGGCAGCTTTTTCACACAGAACCGCATGTCATGAGCACCAAATTAAAGCGGTATAATTCCTCAGTTTATGCGAAGGTGGGGTAAAAATATTATGCTTTTAGCAATCAAATATAATTAAAAGCATAAGTGTGAATATAAAAGTAAGATTCGGAAAGCAAAAAACCGTCTCCAACAGGAAAAGTTGGTCTTGTAGAGTTGAAAGTTTGGGATGAAAAGTGCAAATACCTCTAACGAAAGAAATAAATAATTCAGTTGAGTATAAAAAAGAAAGTGGAATCCTTTGAAACCAGCGACAAAATACAGTTATAACAGTAGTGTAGCCAGGGTGGTAAGATTGGTGGGAAGGGGTTGAGCAAAGGTGAGTTCAGCAGGGAACATTGGAGTCCTTTTGGAACCAAGATAACGCCCTTTCTCAACCAAACTAAAGATAACTTTGGCCATTGGGGGTGGCGTCAGCCCCCTCGCTACGCCACTGAGTTAGAACTATTTTTATCGAACGATGGTGAAAAAGAAGTTAGTAAAGAACCAACAATGATGATGATGATGATGCCTACGATAAAGATAATTATGAAGATGATGTAAATGAGGAAAATGACGCAATTGACATGGAATACATAAATTTATATTCTTGACCGCAAGTAATAGTTTTTCTATGCGAATTCTCAAAAGTATTAAATGCAAAAGATTTCGTCGTGAAAAATTTCGTCTCCTCTTGAATCTCGTCAAAATATTTGTCCGAAATTTTGTCACGACGAACTTTTTTGTAGCTAATATTATTGCACCAAGAATCGCATAATCTCCTATTGCACCTAATAATTCTCTTTGTATTATTTTCAAAGAATACATTTCTAGACTTAACATTGTACACAACATTGAAGATTCTATGTTGTGTGTTCTTGATGTGTACTTTTAACAGTTAAGACAGGTGTACTAACATTGTTTCTGAGAAATGTTTATGTTGCTTTTTTAGCTTTTCTTCTTTTCATAATTAACATTTTAATCAAGAAGTACACAGATATAAGACTCTGATAATGCCTTATGGGCTTAAGGATTTCCTGTATGCCAGAGGATCTTACTGCAAACAAGCGACAAAATTGGAAATGGTAAAATTTGATCGACTGAATGGAATTAAAACGAACACACGAGGCGAAGATTTAGCGAAATGATAAATAATTGATTAATGCAATAATGTGGACCAGAATGAAGAGTGGATTTCATTTCTTATATGATTTGATAAACCTTCCCTTGAATATGTCCTTAACATTACCTTACTTTGTTTAATCGCTGCTGCTTTCAAATGTGCTCCCTGAATTTTATTGCATTCTAGGAAATCTTCCACTTTTGGAAACTGTTTTTTTAGCTTTATTAATGAATGCACAGAATTATTCACTGAGAAACACATTCAGATAATTAGAGTTGGGCCTGAAATTGTACCCCTGAAACATGACCAAATGAATGAAAATTTTCTAGACAGATCTCTTTTTTGTAAACATTTTCTTTTTCACAAAAGTGTTACCTACCAATACTTATTGTCCTTTAATTTATTATTCAATTTTGATTTATATCATCACTGATAATTCTTTGATTTTAATTTATAAAATATGTGAAGGCTATAATTGCCAAGTAAGACCAACTTTTTGTGAAAATACATCAATATTTTATTAGAGAAAAAGAATAAGATTATAATTATTATCTTACGTAGTCTGAAGTTGCAATCTTGGCATTTATTGGCTTTAGTAAGTTTTTTTCCGAATGTTCTCATTGATATGTGGCCCTTGTGTACATTAGGAATTTTACTAGGAATCCCCTTTTGAAATTTGTAATCTTTGTAATACAAACAACGTGAAAGTAAGTTTAAGGAAAAGAATCAAAATTGCAAACCTGTTTATTTGATAACTTTCTTGAACCATCTCAAATTATTTTATAATTTACACGTAACCCTTTATACATTCATCACTGCAAAATTTGACTGATTTGCTGTATGTTTATTTCCGAATAATTTTGTCGCCTCTTCCTTTCCAGATCCCATGTGTTCTCAATTGAAAAGCGTTCACCAGAATTGGCAAAAGCTGAGATTCACAACGTCAATGTTCGCGGCAAACGTGGCAATATTGTGCAGACGTATCCAGCAATGGAATACGATTTTGTTCCAAACACGTTGCACATTAAGGAGGGACACTACATTCATTTCCAGTAAGTTCAGCAACTTTTTTATCAAGAAGGTCAAGCTATTTACTAGAGTATTTTAACTGAGTTTGATGTGTTCACTTTTAAGGTGCATCATCTCCTAGCACTTTTGAGACATTTATTTCCCCTTTAAGTTATTCAATAAATTATTTCATAAACCCATAAAAACAGATTTATGTAAAAGGATATTTTTTTCTGCATGGAAAGTATGCTTTTCATTTTAGCTAACAAATGGAATGCTCTCGCTTATGGATATAGCCAGGGGTGTAGAGCTAGGCTGAGCCCCCCTTGTTAATGCCGAAAATTGGCAAATCTCTTCTGTTGCTATTGTTTTTTGCAACATTTTGGCAAGAGCCCCCCTTGTTATTTTGATAGCACTACACCACTGGATATAGCTTCAAAAATTTGAGATGGATTAGTTACCTTTTCCAAACTTGATAAAACATAATGTAGATCCCGTTTTATTCTTATCAAAACAATTTTTCTGTTTATTACATTGGATTTTCCCAATTCGAGCATTTTCATAAGCAATATCGATTTTTTGACAGTTGAAATTTCAGTAATATTTTAGTAGCATTTGCCCTGCTGGTAAAAGTGAATTTACTTCGTAATATATATTGTTGCATCGTAATATTTTCATGATCTTTTGATTTTGTTTACAGCTGTTTACATTATATCTTATAGATGGACAGGCTCTGACAGAAACCCCCGTAATAATGCGGGTGAGGGTCGTGCTGGCACAGACCGTTCTAATGTGATTCTATTGGCCGATCAAATCTATCCGGAGGGAAAGCCCAAGATTAATGTCTTCGGGCAATATGGCCGAAACTTTCCGAAGAACATTTCCGAGGCAAGATTTTTAGGGATGCACAGAGTGGAACTGAAAAAGGCTGCAATACTACACCCTGGTAAGTTTGGTTTGTACCACTGCATCTTATATGACAAAGGAAATTATGTCACATCTTGAAGTTTTGAATTCAATGTCGACAATTAAGAGTCATACTGCTGTTGATTGATTCTAGAAATGCCTCTAGCCAGCCTTAAATGGTTTACTGTCGCCCTTGTATGCCTTTCCGATTTTTTACGGATTGTTGCAAATAGCTTCTGATGCATTTTCCAACTAATGAGTTCATATATGTGAGACATTGAATATATAGCTATTGAATATAGTTAATTAATGCTTAAATGAATTTTCCACAAGGTTCTGGACCTACGCTTGATGAAGCGGGTACATATTTCGATTTGGGACCGAAAAAAGTGACAGGATCAGGTACCTACTTCTATATGTGCACACGAAATAATAATTTTTCAAACAGAAGTCAAAAAGGGAAAATTGTAATTGTGAAGTCTGGTGGGGGCACGTCCAGTGATACTGCCACTGACGTCATGAAAGATGAAAAAGAAGTGAAAGAGGCGCTCAAGAAGGATGAAAAACAGGAAAGGTACGACAGTCTTGCTGATTTAGACACAAAGGAAGTAGATGTTAAAGATACTAAGGACGAAAAGATTAAAGAAGATAACCCTGACAGTAATCTTCTGGTGAAAGAAAATGATGATGAAAATAATGAAGAGACAAACGAAGACTCGGATGAAGGTATGCACAGTGGAACAGAGTTGAAAGACGATGCTGTTAACAAAGTAAATAAAGATCCACAAGATGAGAATACAGTGGAGAATACAGAAGAGGCGCCAGGGAACAGGTGAGTTGTTTAGAAATGTTGTCTATTGCGTCTGATTGTTTTTAATAAAAAATCTCACCTCTTAAGCGACGTTCATTAACCAACACAGAGGCTGTGCCTTTGGACAATATCTCAGAAAAGCTAATGTAATGAGTTGTTCTGATAAGTACAACCATCTTTTTGCGATCATGATATTTTATGATGATATATCATTCATGGCAAATTATAAACTTTATGAATAAATCTGTTGCTGATAACTAATAAAACTTTTTTTTTCTCCCTCAGGTACAAAAGAGTATCTCTTCTGGAACTGAATGCCTCTTTGCTGGGTAAGGGACAGTCAGACACTACTGTAAAGCAAGTTTCCAAATAACATCTGAAATTTTACATCATGAACACTTGGCATATATGATAATCATAACCGTGGAAAAGACCCAGCACCACATAATCATATTTTAAAGCTGTTATCTTTAAGTGTTTAAACTGTATTTGTTTTTTTATTGCACAAGCTGATGAATTTAATACTACGAATGCCAGATCTTTTCCTTGCTTCTAGTCTTTAAATAAGTTAATTGTGCAGCATTTCCATGATGTCATCATTTTTAGATTGATGATTATGTTCATCTCTTCTAAGGAATCGCAAAAGAAGAATTCATATGCAAAATTTTAGCTTATTATGAATTTTATTTTATCAATTTTTTCTGACACAAGGACAAATTCATTGACTCATCACAAAAATTTTCAACTTCAAAACTTTTCCCGAAATATTATTTGTACGAAATATTGTCTTTTGCGAAATTGATCTCTCTGAAAGCTTATGCAGAAGTTCTTTATCAACAAGATCAAATATCTGAAGTAAAAAGCCTTAAATCCATTGCGAACAGTGATAGCTTACAAGATTTTACATTTGAAACATTCTTGTGACATGAAATGATAAGAAAGTTTTCTTTAAGACACTTCTGACGCACCCTTCTAAATTTTTAGCTTTCTTTCAGTAATTATCAATCGTTTATACTCTGCAGAGAGTCGGACAAAAAGTACTGAAATACGCTATGTTTCCGATATTTTGTGCCATCTTCAGGGTTTTTCTTCTTCCTTACAAAAAAGAGCGATGCCGGCTTTCAGAGCGATGCGTATTTGGTCACATTTACATTGTACCAAAACATGTCATACCAAAACAATGAGTGATTTTCATATAATCTAGAAACTAGGGTTGTTTTCTCTCCAGATTGCACAGTGTCTCGTACCTGATTGCTCTAGCAAAATGCAAACAGCACTCCTATCTGTTATGAAAATCGCGGTGCTGCAATAATTAGCTTGTTTAGAGTACACGAGACCTAAAATAAATGGTTTTCTGTATCTATAAGTATCCATTGTGGGTACTCAGGGTCAAGAGGTTTCCTTGGGACTTGAATAGAAATAAAGATGGGACCCGTGATGGCGTCTTCATTAATACTGTGATTTATATTGTTGTTGTTTTGTAAGGAACTTCTTTTGACTTATTAGCGACCCTCAGATCGGGGCCTGTGGAATATGCCCCTGTCCCCTGCCCCAAGCTTCCCTATAATGATATGTTTGAATTTCAATTTATAAAACCATTCTTGTATATTATTTGGGGGTAGTAGGCCTATTTAATGCCGTGAAAATGTAAATCTATAGCTTGGCTGCAAGAAAAGTGCCAATGAACATCACTGCTCAGTGCATACAAATGTCGGATCGCAAAAGTTTACAACTGCTTCGTCTGTATCCTTTCATTATGCAAGCCACGCCAAACATTAGCATTAGAAACTGTGGAATGTTCGTTGAAACGGTATCCATTGTTGACGCAGCTTTTCGTCAACCCAAACAATACGTTCAATTAATTTCACTAGACATTTCAGTTCTGTTCATAAGCCACCAGTGTTTGTGTTTTTCTGATTTTCATTCAACCAAAGAAAGGTACATGGGTCTGGCGGTGTTGTAGAAGGCACGTGATAATCTGCGCATCGCAAAGCTGATTTCAATAACATACTTCTTTTACACCAGTGACAGACAAGGTAGAAGCTAACCTAGAGGGATCAGAATTGCGATAAAGAATCGTCGATTGAGGTAATAAGCTGCGTTGTATTTGCTTTTTTATGATGTGACAAACTGGTAACAAATGCTGCATCTTCTGTAGTTTTGTCATAAATTGCCAAAAATCCTTAGCTGAAGTAGGAATTTTAAAAGGTTTTGTAGTTTTGCTTTATTTTTCGGAAAAGGATTACTGTAGGCGATCATCACAAGAAGGCTAAGCTTAGTAGTGATAAATATTAAATGTTTCTAGTTATCAAAAGTAGATTTTATGTATGTCGTTATATCGGAAACATTTTGCACTTTTTTAACGACGCTTAGCTAAAAGCTGAAACATACGATTAGTTACCAGTGTTTTCCAGAGAAGCATCCATTTTCACCCTTTATCTCTGCAACCTTGCTCAGCAAAACAACGAAGACATCGTTAGATTAGCTATAGCTTTAATTTACAATGCAATAAGGATATTTCTAAACGGAAGAAAAGAGCTTCATAGGTTAAAACACACCTTCGCGTGAACAACATGAGTCAAATAAATAAAGAATATACACCCTCCCTCTCTTTGATTGTGCATCTTGTTTAAGAATATTTTTCAGGCTTGTAAATGTGATGCATTTTATAATAGATAACAGGTATATCCAAGCAATTTTGGATTTCGACCAGTCTTCGTATTGGTCAGGGTACAAACCACCTAGATCTCTTTATTGTTTAGTTTTAAACAGTGTTGCATATCAGATTTAAATTGAATCATGCACAATTATACAAGGCACTTTGGTTCCTTTCTCCCCCAAATGCAAGGAAAATACCCCTTGGATTAAGATCCTTTGACCCTGCACTGCCCATATGAACGAAGTAAGAACAAATAGCATACCGACTCTAGAGATAGCAGGTTCTCTTTTGCGGGGATTTGGTGTAGGGCCATTTGATTTGATTTTTCAAGCCTATCCCGACATTCCTGGATAAAAGCTTATTTTCGACCTGGAATAAGCTTTCATACAGTTTCGCATCATAAATTCATTTCCGTATTTCTTTGCTATTTATTCTTCCGTGCTTAATTGTAAAGGGTTTGGAATAAGCAGAGGATGGAGAGTGTATTTTTCATAATTTTTTTCAAATTGAAAGGGGGAATCAAAATAAAATGACCCGGTGGGAAGATTTATTGGATAGCAGAATATGGGGATGGCAGCCCAAGAGTGATCGCTTACTATTTTGTAGTTGATATTAAAGTTTTTGCGTGTATCAGCTTACCATTGCATTTTGTTCTCGGTTGATTGTCTATTTTTTAAGTTCGAGTCATTAATATGGGAGGGTGATAATATAATAGGGGGAGGTATTTTCATATTCTTGGGAGTCATTATAAAATACTATTGAAGGTAAGAAATTTCAAAGTATACAATTTGACCCCCCCCCCCCACCCCTTTTTACAAAAAAGCACATAATAATACTTTATTTTAGACCAATGACGTATGCGTCCTTTTTTAAAATCCGATAATCCTTTGCAGCTGTATTCAATGAACGCAGAAAACTTTTTCTTCTATTTGACAGCTCAGTTTGGAAAACATTTGCTTTTATCAGCTATGAAAACATTACCTGCGGCAATTCTGTCAATTATTGGTGAGTGGTTTGGAAATTTAATTTGCAATTGTTTAGAATGTTGAGTAATTGTTATATTGTATTTACATGTTGTCAGGGTAAACACATTATTTCAGTTTGGATATGGAAGAGTGAGTGGTAGAACAAGTAACGAAGGAATTTCTAGAGGGCTGTTTAGAAACATTAGAAGAAGCAAGAAGGATCGTTTTTTGGAAAAACAAAAAGTTCTTATTTCTTCTGGAGGGGGGACGACCCCATGCATTAAAAAAATGTTACGCTTTTAAGAGATCTCGTCAAGTGCTCCCTTTTGGCTAAAGATGGCCCTTATTGCTTTAATTGGTCTTCTTTGTCTAACGTGTACTGTTTTGGGGCAACAGCAGTACACTCTTTTATTTTAAAAAAACTTGACTCCAATTTCAGACTGGCATTTTTTATTTCTTCGCAAAAATCCAGCCTAGCGTGTTTTTATTTTCTTTCTAATTTTTTTGATGCAATTTCCTGAGCATACTAGTTTTCGGACATAACATGTGCTTGATAAAGTAATTAATGTTTTTTTCTTTATCGCTTTCTGTTTTTCTGTTAATTTTCTTTCATTTTTAAATTTTTGCTATTTTTCTATTGCTTGAGTTTAGTTGAATTTCAGCCTGCTATGTTTCCTATATTGTTCTTATCTTTTGGCAATTCTCGGCCTGTTTTTTTTAAAATGCGTGTAGTTTGTTTTTACACCCGTTGTTTGGATGTACCACACCTCTATTATCCCGCTGCCGTTCCGTCTTGATAGGTTTCTAATTAGAGTAGCCAATTTACTTGCAGGTTCCTTCATTCTTTTCTGGCAAATATAGGTAGCAAATTTATTTTACAAATACGATGTCGCAATGAAATTGCGAAATAAACTCTTTTTGTATTTAGATGTGGATTCACATCCAACTGTCAGGGATAATCGATGAGTCAAAACGAATTAAAAAGATAACCGGCTGTAGTCAGAGGACGAAAATCTAAATCATATAGGATCGGCCTCTTCTCCTCCCATGCAAATCGGATTCAGAAATAATACATATCCAGAAACAGATTCAGAATCCTATTCAAATCAGTTTCAGATTGAGGTTTGATAGCCTCATGAAGATTCGTTAAAGAGCTAACCTTCACAAAACTGAATCATTTAAAGGCAATCTGTCACGACGTTGATTGGTTATAAGAACAAGGAGATTTCTATTGTTTCCATTCCCCCTTTAATTTATCGCATTGTAAAAAATATGGCGGAGCGCTGGAATCGTGTTTAGGCTATTGTTCCAGCTATTGTTCTCGTTAACCAATCCACAACGAGACAGATTGCCTTTAAATCACCCCAAAAAGCAGGGCTACCCCGTTGGTCACACCACTGAAAGTAGACGATGCTTCGTGGAGCATTTGAGTCCCGTTAACTTTAACTTCACGTCATCATTCAACCACCTCACCTTTAAGCATTATAAATAGTGAAAATTTGAAACATTTCTTAACATTTCTAGGCCAGCACTGAAAATTTTCTTGCTTGCTAGTCCTACTACTGAGATTTTTAAAATGTTTGTTACAAAGAAAAAAATTTTGTTGTGCGATTTTCTTAATTTTTTTTGCTGCCAAAGGCCTAAACGTTGAATGATTGCAAGCATCTAGTGTTTCTAAAATATTTCTTTCATCCATTTTATATTTAGCTTCAATTTCAGGGATTGCATAAAATAAAAAAATCTTTCAGAGTTAAAAATCGTTTATTCGTTTAAAGACGTTAGCATTCTTTGTTTGTCAATTCACCAAAGCTAGGCTTGCCGGTAAGCACCAAAATGAGGCAGGCGATTCCTCCTCCCCAGCTAAAACTAGCAGTCGCAACTTTACCACCTTGCCAACTAATGCTTGAATGCGCAGCAAACTTCTAAAGATTTTGCAAGCTAAATTGATGTTGCCGGTATATGTAGATAGATGCAAAGGTACACTTGATTGTGTATTTATTAAATAGGAAGTTGTTTTATAAAGGTTTAGTCAATATTGACGTGATTTCTAGTTGCTTTTATTGAATGAAGGTCAATACTTATTCATCCCCGTTAAATGCTAGGAGTGATATTTTAAAAAGCAGGAACAGTTTCTTTTCAAGCACTTGAATCAAGTAAACAAAGAAGATCAAACCTAGCTCGATACAATTTGGAGAAATTTAGGGGTTTGCTATGGTTTTCAAACTCGTGCAAACAAAATTAAGTTTTATTGAACATGGTTGAAAACCTTGAGGATTCATTCTATTTGTTTCTCTCGCGAGAATAATATAACATTGATTTATTTTTCTAACGTTGTTAGAACAGGTATGCAAACATCTTAAAGGAGATCATAGGGTGTTTATGGTGTATCATGCGATGTCGATTTGTTCGAAGAAGACTAATTTCAATCTCAGCAATGCACATATATTATTTTCAGTGGAACTTTCAAAGTGTTTATCGTTTCTATCGTATCCATTATCACTGAACTATGTATACCAAGCAACACCTACTAGCAGCGGCAAATTTAGATTTTCTTCCTTCTTTGTTACTCTTCCGTATCCCATTAATCGAGTAGAAATACTTCATTAATCGAGAAGAAATGAAGAAATCTTAAATTTATCTCTTTTACTCATATCAAAGTCGTTGCAAATCAGATGGAAACAAATAAGAATCGTCTGCTCAGTTAATACTTTCTCTTTTATTTCAGTTCTTCTGACATTTGTCAATAATGAAAAAACGGCAGGGCAATCAAATATTGTCAGCACAGTTTCACTCTCCGATGTTAACATTTCAAGCATTTACAGTCTTGATTATTCACCCTTCAATGTCGCCATGACTACGAATATCCAGCACTCGTCGTCAACATCAGAATTTGCCACAGTCTTCCCAAGCATTAGACCGACCCGCTCTTCTAAAGAGAATGCTTCGAGTCACTATTCAGTAACAGGTAAAGTACAATTACTACCAAAGGAACAGGGCGCCAGTTTATAAGGGTGAATTCAGTTATCCCCTCTCTTCCTTGAAATGATGTTGAATGACTAAAAAGGTTAATAAGGAGATATTATCGTCTGATTTGTATTATATATCATTGTTCTGGGAAGCAGGGTTTGTGAAGTAAAGAAAGCCACTGGCACCTCAAACAGTCGGCTGTAGACCGGTTTCGCCCCATGTCAGGGCTCATCAGTACAGCTAGACTGAATGAGGACCTAAGGCCGACCTAGGGCCAGCAATTAGGCTGTCAGTGGCAATGCATGTGGGAGGTAGTGTAAAGAGGAAAAGAAGTACGCATGTGTCTAGGTTTGGACTTCTTAATCATTTTAGTCATTCGATCTAAGCTTTTGGGTATCCCAAGTAACTTTTGCAAGAATTGCCGCTCGTTTCCTGACATCAATAAATATGCATGAGATTCATTCAATGCTGCTCGATCTAAGTTACTAACAACTTTAAGTTTGCCAGCCAAACGTTTTTAGAACTAACAGTTTCTTTATTGTTTTGAACACTGGTTCTTTTCCTTTAAAAAAGTTGAAATAGCTCAGCTTCTGTAAAAAACTGTGAAATTTGCTGCGGTGCTTCTAGACGTCTTCCAGACGGTTAAAAAATTTGCATCTTAACATTACACATTTGACCACATATTTTCCACTTTGATTTATTGCGTCAGCTTTTTGTTTTATTAAGAGTGTTTTACTTTCAGCAAGCAGTGTTTTCTGTTGGCTGTATGCTTGATATGACAACTAGACTTAAAAAACTTCTTCGTTTGATAGTTCAATGACCACTGCTATACAGCAAAATATTTTTAAAACTGCGTGACCAATTTTGCTGTCGTTATAGAGAGATTTTCTTAGTTTGCTTGTTTCTACTACGAAATTTCATATGCATAAGAAAATGCAGACAAAAGTATCTATTCGGTGACTACCGTTGGAAGGTTGCTTTGCTGCTAGTGTTGGTTTCACTGTAATATAATTTTGATATGCAAAATCCTTATCTGATGTTATTTAAACTATTTTGGTTGCAAGATGTAGCTATTTCATTTTTGTTTCAGTGACAACAATTGCAAGTAATACTTCATCGGAAGACGTCAGCGATTCACTTTACTTGGTACATTCAATTTTTCTGCTATGAAGTTTTGTAACATTCTTTAAACGGCTCTTCTCCTGCACACATTACAAAGTTCTAAGTTTTCCTTTTTGTCACATTTTGTCACCAGTCGTTGCCCTGTGACACTGAATTAACATGAAGCACTTTGACAGTGCAGTAAGAATAATCAAAACTTTAACATAGAATCTAGAATTGGAATAGAGCAGTTGAATATTGATAAAAATTGCCTAATCATCGCATTAAAGGTTGAGCTTACCCAGCTTAGAAATACACTGTTACACACACCAAAGCGTAGACTCAGTATTAAAAAGAAAAAACGCACCTTGGTGCCTACAGGTATCACGACTGCAGAGCAGAGCATTTATATTTTGGAGTACCCAGCAACAAAAGTTGGTGGGTAATGGTTCCCAGGAGTTCTAAGAACAAAAATTTAAGGGACACAGTCTTATAATATGAGCTTTAGAACTAGCCACCAGCCCCCTCCCCCACCTACGTCATAAATTCTATTTAAAGTGAGTATCAGTCATTTTTATCATCAGAACGTCGTATGTAAACCTTGATGTTACTCATCAATGTCTCTAATCATCTAATGAAGAGTTATGCTCGAAACATCAAAATTATACTTAACTTTCAAATTTACAATGTCGTCATTTGATCATATTTATACTTGATTGTTGCTAAACGGAATCCACCAACCACTTGCTATATTCACAGGTATATCAAAAGTTTAGCAGAATAGACAGTTATGTCCGCTTGGTAGACCTCTGTTTTGCAGTGTTGAGCTACCTTGTTCTGGTATTGCTCAGGTAGGCGTTGTTCATTTTTATTATATCAAAATCGTATTATTCCAAGCAAAATCTGCTATATCTACAACCTTGATTGTCAAATCTACAACAGAATTAGCCAAGATCGCACCTGTTGGTGGATGTGTTTAGGATTTCCTTTAGCTTTCAAGTAACCATAAGCAATTGAATACAACGGTGTGCTACTCGTTTCAAGGCTTGAGACCCTCTCAAGTAAGTTATTATCATGATGATAATTATAATTGATATGGATAATTGATAAATAAAATCATAATTCGCATAAATTAGCATATTTATACAGTTTGCAATACTACCTGAAAGTTTATCGTAACATTCATCTCTATTTATTATTTTCTTCTTAACATCGATATTCTTTTTAGGCTTCCCAAATCTTCCAAGTTTTTCATTCACAAAAATCTTGTCGCAGCCATTGGTATAAATGATCTGATCACTGGTGTAATCAGCAACGAAAATATCATCAAATATTTCAGTAAAAATCAGGTAATTGACTTCTTGACTATAATTGTCTTCTGTGTTCTGCTTAATTAGGATTCTACTTTAAAGCTCTGTTCACATTATACCAAATTCATTTTGAATTGCGTCACTTTAATACCAAATAGGGGAGTCAAACTTTGTTTGTAGGGAATCAATCCACTGCTTTGAATGTGGAAAAGAACGTATCGGGTCACTTTTAGGCTCACGAGAACTCATCCGATACTTTCTCGCTCCGGAACATCATTCTCCCTGAATCAACTTTCTTTTAAACGCTGCAATATTCGTTCAGTGGGTGTAACAATATTTCCACTCTAAACATTCTAAAAACAGTTGATATGACTTTGCACTACAAAATTTCAAATATAAAAAAGGGTGTTTCATCCGTTACTCTACAGCCTTTAAAACGCTAGATAATGTTGACCAAAGAGGTATATCCTAAATCCTTTGTACTTTTGCAGCCTGACTTGGAGATAATATCCAAAAGTTTCCAAATAACTAGAACAGACTCTTTGAACATACAGTGGACCTTAACTCGACCCTTCACCCTACTTACCCTTCAATCTTCACCCTTCACTCGTCACCCTTCACTCTTCACCTTTCACCCTTCACCCATCACCCATCAAGCAGAAAAATCAGTGACTTTTAGGATATTAGTGCTAAAGCCCATGTTCCTTATTTTAGCACACCTGCGCAATGTTGCTGGTTCTTTACTACTATTGGCAGCTTGCTTTATTCAGCTGGATGGCTGTTGAAGCTTTTAACATTTGCTTGATGCTGTCCGAAGTGTTTGACACCAGGTCCAAGCTGTATAAACACCTTTGCTATCTCGCATTTGGATACGGTAAGGCAACAACACTGATACCCAATTTAATCCCTGTCTAAACTCATGGAACACTTAGGTCTTCAAGCGCAAATTCAGCCGTCCCCTGCTCCCCCTCGGAGCAATGTTGATTTTCTATCAACAATTTTCTGTGAAGAAAGAGGCAGAAGAAATGAACAATTTAAAATTACTATGCAAATTGCTTGGTGTATCAATTACTGGGGCTTCAATTTCTCACATTCATAGCCTTCCACAGTTAACTTAGGTAGACAGAATTCTCGCTAATAGCATATGGTCTACTACCTGTTTGCTATACTATTACTATTCCTATGTGTACAAATGTACGACATTTTTTACCTCAATTGGTCGAGTTCCTCGTGCGCTCTTGTTGCATTGGTGCTTTTTAGTAGATTAATAAAATGAAAATTTTGACAACAACTTGCTACAGTTTGGCTACAGTTTTTCCAAATGATATTTTGAAAAGCTGGCATAATTTTAATTCCGTGAGCTTGATTTAGTCCAAATATATCTGTTTGTTTTATGTCTGCTCTCTTGTTTTAAAGCCTGTCCCCCTCAGGTATGGTTCTTGCTCGAGTTTGCCCCCCCCCCCCATAGCAGACACCTACAGCTACGTGGTTGTTATAATCTTGAAGAACTTTTTATAAAAATTTGTTTTCATACCTCTAGGCAGTCCGGCCTTGATTGTCATTTTTGTTGTCTCTTTTGTTTGGAAAAAAGAGTTTACTAACATGAGCAAGTAAGTTTGTAGGTAGATTGTTCTTCTTTGACTTGAAAATGCGGCTAGGTGAATCATAATGTAGTAATCTAAATTATGCAGATATGAATCTAGTTGCAATGCATTTGATAACAATTTAACTAGTAATGACAACTAGACTTAAAAGCTCAGGCTGGGAGCTCTAAGTATGCTAGGAATAGCCTGCTAATAAGGAGATATGATGTCAGTTATTCATGTTGGTATTCAATTCCTATGCATTGCAGCCCCCCCCCCCCTCAAAACAAATATGTTATCTTTACTTGAAGCAGTGTCATATTATGAAACATTAAAACTGAGGTAGTATGGTGAGCACGTTTATTCGAATCCGTAGGATTAATTTGCACATGCATGGGCCATGGATACTTTTCTGTTAAATACAGAAGTGTTATCATTTCAATTGATCGAAAATTAGGCATCAGCATTAAATATAAATAGATTGAAGCATCTACTGTAATGAGGTTTTGTAATGTATTTCTATTTTGGTTATAAATCAAATCAAAATTTGCTTTAATTAGCAATATGTAAGCTTAGGCTGTTGATCCTTGCTTTGATCGCAGTTTCAGGAAACAATGTATTGCAAATTAAAAAACACAACATTGAAATTTATTCACAAATGAATGAAGAAATACCACGACTGCCGTAGTCTTACTAATTGTTTTTTTTCAGCTGTGTATCCTTCATCGACCCATGGACTTTCCGAGGACCTGCGGCCGCTTATATTAGCGTAAGTCTATCACAATTTGCAAACCGTTTCTAATTCTAAACAAATAGCATAGTTTTCAATAGTTTGATAAATCCATGCTCTCGAATTCACTACAGTACACCAGCTCAATGTTACATATCTCCTTTAGAGAATACTTAAGACTTCTTTGAAATAAATCGCTGGATATTGGTTTTATGACGACAGAAGGTTAAAAATTTTACCATAATTGATTTATTAGACGCTTGGGCGATCTTTAAAATGTTTGGCTTTTAGTAGGGGCTACTATTGGAGAGGAGCATTTGCTAGAGAAGGGTATTTGAAGAACTATTGTTTGCAAGAAAAATAATTTCTTTTAAATCAATCCACGCAAAATCTAAAATTTCTTATTAAACGACATAAAACACGAAATTGCTCTTTTTGCAATTTTTCTAATAACATCCCCGGAAATTTATTGAAGGATGAGCATTTATTAACAAAAAAATTGTTTATGGTGGTGGCATTTATTGGAGAGGAGTGTTAAGCAATGATTAGCAACTTGGAGTGAAGTGTTGACCTGGAACGATTTTTGTAGTCAAGTCCCTTCTTGGCTATTAAACTAAAATTCTATGCACAAAAAGTATCAAAAAATTGTATTTAAATTCTGCGATGAGCTCAAAGGAGTCGTACAACGAAGTTTGGAGTAGTGACCAAAACGAGCCCAATGTTGAACTGGTGTATTTCCATAGAAAAAGAAGGGGATCAATAAGTTCTATGTGTATCTTTTTCGTCGACAGTTTAGTTGACAGTATACACAGTGGGGCTCTTGATAAATCTATTTCTCTGAAAGTCACAGTAATGGTTGCAATAAAAAGCTCGAAACTACTGTTTTTACCCAAACATGCAAGCTAATTTCACAATAGCTACTCGTTTAAGCTTCACTCAATAAAGACTGACTACTTCTTTAGTGTAATACCGCTATAAACAATTCTAGGTATGACTGAATTCTTTTCATAAAATGGTTTTTCCTACTTAGATATCTTATGGAGTCCATAGAAAGATATTTTCAAGCAATTAAGATTGTTGTTGGGATGATGACGTAGCATGCCACTGCGTCAGCCTCTTTCTGATAATCTACAATACGCCTGCGCTTTGCAGAAACGAGATTAAGGACTGGAATAAACTAAGCTCTCTTTCATTAAACTACTTACCTATCGCGTCTTTGAACATTGTTTCCTTTTATATTTCTGTAGATCAATATCTTGGGGTTTATATACATCCTTGGGTTTTCATTCCGGCACATCATAACTTCGAATAAATATAAAGGAGGATTTCGAAAATTCATGTTAGTTGATGCAAGTATAACTATAATTTTATTCGAAAAATTTTATGGCGGTACAAAGTTTTGAAAGTTGCTTCGTAAAAAGCAAACATTATACAACATACTTATCATATACTATTTACAACATACAAATATGTACTTACAAATACTTTGATTTTGTTTCTGCTTGGATCTTCTATGAAATTCAATATCAAACAAGCAGTTTTATATTGGACAAAGCTACCATTCTGGCTCGAAATAGCGAGATTGACCAATTAGACGCAACAGCACACTACCCCCAGAACACTTCAATATCTGCTGCTTTGACAAGTTTTTGGAAAATTCAATTTCATTCAAAACTTTCAATAAAAATTTGTTTTCTCCTTTTGACGATTCGCCGAAATAAAACGGGAAACTTCAAGCATAGGACACCATTTTTGTCTCAAAGTTTCTTTCCAGCGGTCACAGCCTTGCCCTAGTAACCTCCAAGCAACGGACATGTCTCTGTAACAGACAGCCACAGTATTTATCACAAATTCCACTCTACACGAAGGTTACCTGCTCATGACATGACAATAAAATGATTGAACATTCAATGTAATAAAACAGTTATAAAGAAATTCTTAACCTATTCTGTTTTTCTAGCGGAACAATCCGGTCTTTTCTGGTTTTATATCCGATTCTTGGAATTAGTCAAGTGTCCGGCTTTTTCCTTCAAAATAACATCGTAGTCTTTGGGTGGCTGTACATTGTGACAACTGGATTTTTGGTAAGAAATTCTCTCCTACTCGATTCTTATTTGACATAGGATTTTACAGCCATAATTATAATTTACACATTTATAAACAAATCATTTAATTACAACAAAGCTATTTTTATGCAATTTATTTGCAATTAGTTTTTTAAAACGTGGTAGAAATGTGTTGCTGGGATTCTTAGATTTATAATAGAATAACCCCTCATCTTTTTCAGGCAGTTCTCTTTTTCATTTTTCACGAGCTGCTAGATGCCCAAGTAAGAAAATACTCGTCTGTTTTATTCTATAGTAGCATAACTTTTTCTTGTGTAAACTTAGAGTGTTATTTATTTAAACCTTTTATGGCAATCTGGCATCATATCTGAAAAGCTGCACTGAGAAACTGAAGCTCGTTTTAACGAGCAGGCGTTCACATGACAGATAAAATTACCACTGGAGTCCAAGAGAGAAAGCAAACCCCTTTTGTCTACACAAAAGCGGCTTTTTCGTTTGTATGTAGATCGATTCGGCACTGATTGGACAACTACACCGGTCTTATGATTGCGTTTTTCTGATTGGCCTATTTCGTTCGATCCACAACTGGGTATATATTTTTCATCGTGTTCTTTTGGACCCTTATTCTGACGTTTTATGCTCTGAGGAGTGTCAGACGAAAAAGCTTTTATGTTATTAAATGTTTCCTTTTTTCAAATCCATTTTCAAGTTCTGTACCGCCAAAAAACTGTTTTTACAATTCATTTACATTTCTCATTATTTTCTTTTCCAACAAGGTGATGGGAGCTTTGAAGTTGAAATTTTGTGGAAATGATAGAAGTCAATCAAACAGAAGCTCAAATTCAAGAATGACGATGGTCTATAACAGGAGTTTAAAAAAGGCAAAACGCTTTTTGTTTCTCTCTAATTGTATTTTTAACCCTGAAAGCATTAGCGATATTTTTGTAATTGTAACGGATCCTTCACAATTGAGAAATTGAAAAGTATGCATTTATGTACGTGGATGTCTTTACTCGCACAAGCAAAAATAAAGGCCTTGGCTTCAGGGACTCTGTTAATGTTGACGATAAAAAATTGTAGTCGATTTAAAAAAGACATTCTACCACCAAACAGAGAAAAAGTGAGGTTTTAGATACTTGTGAGTTTATGTTAATAAATGTTTCTTAATGTCAAAAATAAAGATTGTTAAAATTAAGCATGGATGAGGATATTTCCTGCGAACAAGAATTGTTTAATGCCATCTTTGTTTGTTTCAGATTTCTGCTGCAGAGGTAGATGGAAAAGGTACATATTACACTGTTTTTTTAAAAGAAAAATTTTATAAGAACATGAATCTCATAATTGGTCAAAAGTTAAGAACAGATTTTGAAAGAGCTGAGGCTGAGGTGTTGTAAGACCTAATTTTGAGCAAGGTTGTGGAGTTTTTGGCTATTTTGAGATGCTTCGTCGACAATTTTTTTTAACTTGTTAGGAAAAAGAATGGTGCACTCATTTTGTTGATAAAAAGGGCCTGACAATCTCCTTGACAATGAAAGCTAGTGATTTCATTGCTTACGCCCTTATAATACAAGAACAAATTAAGAAAAATCCAGTCACAAAGCTTTGGCAAAGTTAAGAAAAAGCAGCCTGAAGCTCAATTAATTCCTTCTTATAAAAAGAGTGTAGCTGTCCAAAGCATTCGTAGCACAAATGTATAATTATTGTAAGTCCTAAAGCAAATTTATTAAAGCCTAATGTGTCTACGCAATTCTGTTGTCCTTCAAAAAACATCTATTAACGTCTGCATGGATAAAGAATTATCTCTAGGTATAAAGAACTAAGACAGGTTTTTTCAGTAAAGTGTTCTGCAATGCAAAGCAGAGTGGACTCTTAAACAGATTTTGGTTAGTAGTTACCGCCAAATCTTTAAAACACACTAGTTACTTGGACACACCAGTTTTCGAAAAGGTTTGCAGAGCCTAATACTCTACCCAGTACCTTACTCTAGCACATACATAAATGTCTGTTGCGAAATCTAACTGATAAGTAAAAATTTGAAACGAATGCCGTTTCTCGTGATGAAACAATGCGCTCCTTAGTTATAGAGCCCAGTAACACAAATATATAAAGTGTTCCCATAGTGCTTGATATTTCAAACTTCGTGAAATGAAAGAATGTGGTATAAATTGATGTTTTTGTTTTATTCAGGTGCAAATATTTCCTGAAATTGATTCTTATATCTCTTTTCGTACAGATGTGATTGAAAATAAAGGCGTCAATATGAGTTCAAAGCTTTGAGTCTGAAAAGTTGGACAAGAGAAAAGCATCTCTAAAGTCAAGTAAATCGGCACATTTCAAGTTTTTAATTTAGTTTTCAACATACCCAGAGTGCCTAGCACTTGCTTATTTTGATAATTAAGTGTTTATAAAATATCATCCAACATGTCTTCTGTTCCTATTTCAAGGACTAGGGAAACTGCAAAATACTTTGATTTTGAGAAGTTCACTGGCGTTCAAAAATCGAAAGTTCATTGTCTTTGATGTATATTATCGTATATATTTGTTGTTAAGCGAAATGCCATTTTTTCAGTATCCTTTTCAAGATGAACGCTTAAAATATAAACAGCATTCATAGAATCACAACAAATGCTCATTGTAACAGGTGTATAAAACTCCAACTGTTAGAACATCATTCACAGCTTTGATGTTGCAAGCACAATTGATTATTGATGCACAATCTCAAGCGTGCATTTGAATTATCTTCCTAAGTAGCTTAAGACTATAATACTATTATACTTGTATAAGCTCTATATGAACCGTCATATTCTTGGGCTTCAAGGTAGCTAAATACCTTAATGTAGTGAGGAAATTAAGAACAAATCTATGTAAGAAGATTTCGCTTTTAAATAGCATAAAGGTTGACCTACGAATGTGATTTAGCTTCAACATCATTATAGGCTAACTGATAAGTAAAATACAATATGATTAAGATACCATATGATTTAATCTTTCGTGTGATCTTTGTAACTAGTACGGCAATAGTTGTCCAGCCTGCCTACACTCTTTCTTAAAGAACCTCACAATATAAGAACACAGAGGATCGATTTTCCAGAAAAATTAAAAAAGACGTAAGAATAAGACCAACGAAATAAGAACAACGTACGAAGAACGTGTTTTTGGAAATTTGGTCTCGATTTTATCAGGTAATCCACTAAGCTACTAAAGATGTCATGCAAAACTGCTATTTTGCGGTCTTAGATACAATTTATATTGTATAAATATAGACAGGTGCCTATATCTGGAGATACCCTAAAAACCTCTAAAATGGAGCCAATATATTCAAATATTACAGAAGAGGTCAAAATAAAAGGTGACAAATTTAAGCAAAACACGAAGTTGCAAAATAGCTGAAGATTTGAGCCTCAATCATATTTGCTGAGTTTTATGATGCTTTAAGGCAAAGTATGCCAAATTTCAAAAATTGGAAGCATCAAACTAATGGATTATAAATAATGACTTACAGTTTTTAAAAGCAGAAAAATGTGAATTTGTCATGTTAAATTCATTATCCAAATAAAATTCAAAGAAACATGTTGCTTTTACAGGAATAGTCGTGTAATGAAAAATCGTTTTTAATGTAATTAATATACATCGTATTATTTACATCAATAGTCGTAGTGTTCTTGACTTTAAAGAGGGAAGAGCTTAGTTTCTGCCGGCCATACAAGATCTGAAATGTAATGTAACAAGATGTCAACAATGCAGCTGGTGTTTTATCAATTTCATTCTTACAAATAGTCGGAAGAAAGCACAAAAAGTATTCAAGACAACACAAAATTAAAGGCAATCGACGGATACTAGGGTGGCTGAAGTTCTGTCAACCACAATTGGCCAATCAATTCGCGTAATACCAATCACATGTTTATTGATTGACCAATAGTTGATCAGCCACTTAAGTATCTGTCCATTGCCTTAGGTATTCAATCCATGAAACTATTCAGAATGCAATGTTAAATAAATTTTCTAAACACAAATTATTTAAAAATGTTATATAATCAGGTCACTGTGAGAAAACAAAGAGAAAGCTGAATACCTCGATCGAGTGTAATTTCAAGCGGAGTGCAGTATTTCTTCAAATATTGGCTTGGGTCACAAAGGTCTTGAGACTTCAAGATTTTCTCGATGATATCTACAATTAAGTCATTTGATACGTTGTAAAATAAATTCATCAATAACGTATTGTCATTATGATTCAATAATAGTTCTTGTTGGTCCTAAGCACCTTTCTCATAGGTGTATTTAGTAAATTAATGAACCAGTCCACAACTATGCAGGAGAAAACGATCAAAGTCGTTAGATATCTTACTTATGGAAAGACATTGTGTATTGCAAGGAGAACAAGATCCTTTTGCAAGTAAATATCCAAAGGTAGCAATCTGGTTGGCTTGTTAGCGGAGAAGGTAACTGACTTATTTAATTTTGAATAAAACAAGATGGCTATGATACAGTTCCATAACAGTGTGATGCACCAATACAAAACCAAATCTAGAACTCCGCTTTTCGTTAACCAAGTTTAAATAGTTATTACAATGCAGCAGGAGCTTTCACTGCATTTACTGGAAGACACTAAAAAGTGTAGAAAGAATTCTAAACGCACGAAAACGAAAAATTGAAGTTCTAGTAGGTTTGTCTTCCTTTTGACTTGAATACGTATTTTGGCTTTCGCAAAAAAGGAACATTTATCAGTATTGATAAGAGACAATCGAAATATTACCTTCGGGAATAAGCAAATCACGATATTTGTCATGCATCTGATCCAAGGAGGTCTTCAGTGACAGCTGCAAGAGGATCATTAGATTAGGTCTATGTTTCTAAATCTAAACTGGGAAGAGTCTGAATACAAACAACTGCGAAGAAATAATCTTCTGTACCACAATTTGTTTTAACCTGCTAATTTGACGTTCAGAATTTTGGCATCAGAATGTGCATGTTCTGTTAATATTTTTCATTAAATATCATTTTGTCAATGGTTTCTACATTACATTATTTAGTTAAGGAGACCGTCATTGCATAAAACTTGTTTAGAATATGAAAGGTTTTTTATTGCATGAATACATCTATCTGATTGGTTGTGGACAGATAGGAAATTTAAAGTGTATCTTTGATGTTCCTTTTTTTCAATTAACTTAAGATTACTAGGCCTATTTTAAACTCAAGATTTCATGCTACATGTTACATACCTTTGATACTCTTGATAATTGATAACCCAGTTTCAATGTAAGAGCAAGTGCTTCAGAGAGCTGGGAAAAATATACAAGAAAACATGATTGCAGTTTCAAATGTCATCACGGTGCTATGAAGTGAAAAAATGAAGTTGTTGGCATCCATCCAAACTACAGAAACTTCAAATACAGTTGAGCAATGAAAAGTAGACTACTGATTAGGTTGAGCTCATGCTGCCTTGTCTCCAATTCCCACCTTCTAAATTCCTCAAACAAATACTTTTGCATTAGTTTGACAAAATCATAACTAAGGTCATGTTAAGGGGGCTTAGCAGGCACCCTATCCAAACCTAGAGCCCATTAGAAAAATTCTTAAAATGCAATTTTTAGGGCCTAAAACTTATCTAGGGGAAATTGACTGATTGGTAACACCAACAAGTAATATTAATTAGTTAAATGACAAAAATTGTGAATTTGGTAAAATATCCATTCAGAAAATCAAAATATCTTTATAAGAGAATAAGAAAAAACATCTTGCTTTCATAGTTATTTTGTATGGTATAAGAACCCTTTTCAAATATGGCATACCAAATTTTCAGTTGATTCTGCTAGCTTTGTCTCATCTGTTCTTATTGCTGGTAGGTTCAATACTCTGTAATTCCATTGGCTGTAAAGTCTGACTGGTATCTCAAAGTGCTTAAGGGAAACTTAAATTTACCTTGATTATCTCAGAACTCAAAAGTCTAAAAAACATATTAAAACATAGCTGAAAATGCAAATAAAACAAATAAAATAAAGCCTTTCAAGGGACTTGGTGATTGAAGATGATACATTTACTTTGACAGAATTCAAACATATTTCTAACAGAGAATCTATTCTATGATATTTGTCAAAATGATTTCCAAATGCTATGTACCAAAATCTTTCTAAATGCTGCAAAATTCTAAGAACTAAAATATAAACCAACAAATTTCAAAATCTTCTTAAAATCAGGCCAATTATTAATAATTCATCTTGAAAAGATACATTTCCAACTGATAATAAGACTTTTGCTTCTTTCAGAAGTGACCTGAAAATCAAGCCAAGTATTCAAATTCTTTCAAAGGGAAAATTTGAAAGTACATATCATTTACAAAATATTGAGAGATTCTTCATTGTTGTTATAGGCAACTGGGGAATTATGCAGCTTGAAAAGATTTAAAGAGGATCAAACTTACCCTCTCTTTTGCTTTGCATCAAGATCTTTTATTGTTTCCATAAGAACACCAGTTGATGCCTGAATTATTAAGCAAACAAAAACTATTTAAATAAAAATTATAGCTCTCTCTGGTACAACATTCTTAGCCAGAAAGTGGAGATTATGTTCTAGCAGAATTTGTCATTTTAAGTGATCTGAAAAATACTGCTTTGTTCGAATTGAAGAGTGTCAATATCTGAAATCGCTAATATAAATCACCTCTATGAGAATAAGTAACTATATATTTACTTCAAATTAAAATATTTACCTCTATAACATGAACAAAATTTTGTGGATAAATAAGTAGAAGTCCTGTGACGGGCTCAACTTGGGCATGACTGTTGTGATTTTTATAAAACTTTTCATAGTAGTCTAGAAAAGAGATAGCAAGTTGTCATATTTGGTAACAAGATTTTTGAATAAATTTACAAGAGTAACAGTTAACTCTGAACTTGGAGTTATATCCTGTAACAAATTATGAATCTTATTATGAAAAAATACAAGAGCTAATTTACCAAGATAGATGAAACATTAAACATAGTATACTGGACTGTTGAAGAGATGATCTTATGATTAAATATTAAGGACTTTTTCATTAAATGCGAAGCATAATCTGAGGAGAAAATCCATGCACCAAAAAGAGAAGGAAAAATCAGTATTAACAAGATTGATCGCGATTGAACATAATACTGGCCAAAGAATACATAGATAGAATTATAATATAACTAAATTAATTTATTATCTTAAATCTTTTAAAAATCATCGATCAGATATTTCCCAAACAAACAATGAGAATATTAAAAACATTGTATGGCAGCCGGCATATTTGGCTTCTGGTGTTCCTTGTAGTGTTAAATATTTGATTGCAATTAAAACAGGGGTATTATCTTCTTTTGCTCATAGGTTGAAAACAATAACATTTAAAGACTTGTGAAAAATCAGCTAAACAAAATATTAAATGGACTTTAATTCTAACAAAACGCTTTTTCGTTGCAAATGTTATCAGTGATCAATGTTTTCAAGGGATATCCACCTCCAATCTCTCTCTTATCAGACTGATCAAATCTGAGTTTCCCAATGTAAACAAGTCTGTGAATCAGCTCTTTCTGGAAGACAAATACACAATCGAGTAAATATTTCATGTTAGCATACGCTGGAGATTAGAAAATGTTATTCGATAAAAACCTCGTTAATAGTTACCAAAAAAATTGGCAAATTATTTCAAATGTATAAAAACAAATTTTTATATTTATATTCTGAAATGCATACCCTTTTGAGAGCTTCAGTGCGATTAAGAACGACATTTAGTAGTGATGATCTGTGCTGACTTTCAATCGGCGTATCCCGTGTGGCAGCCATATTTCTTGTGCGACAGCCTCTCCTTGATTTAGGAGCATCATAGTCACCATGGTAATGAAATGGATTTGTGGATGGTGCCACTGCTCTAAAACCAGCGATTTTTCTTGTTGTTAAAAACAGTATTTGCAGAGCCCGCGCCACAGGGAGGGGGGGGGGCAGGGTGGCCGTGTCCCCACATTTTTTTGAAAAAAAGTACACTCACGTTCAAAAAGTATTGGGACACACTTCGAAACTTCAAAGACATTTTATGCAACAAATTTGGAAAGACTTTTTTAAAATCCTTCTCATTAAAAAAGTACGGCAGCTATTTCCATGAAATTTTCACAAGACATTGTTGATATTTTGAAGCCTTTTATATACGCCAAAAAATTAAAAAATCATTGACCATAAAATTTCTATAGGTCTCGAGACGAAAACATGGAAGCTCTGAAAACTCAAGAACTGAGTTAAGAGAAGCGTATACAAATTGCTTTCTACTAAAATAAAGCAAATGGATTTCGTGAAATTGCATCAATTGTCGGCTGCTCATTGAGTGCAGATTTTCTGGTGTGTAAAAAGTTTTTCGGTACAAGAACAGTAAAAAATTTACCAAGGGTTGGCAGACCGAAGAAGTTTACGACGCCGAGGGACGACAGTTCTTTACTGAGGGAACTGCGAAGTAATAGGTTTGAATCCTTACCAGACATCGTGTTGTCATGTAAAAAGAAGCTAAATAATGGAAAATAAGCAAAAACATGGCTATAAAGTTATGAAAAATACAAATTTTCCAGCGTTATAAGAAAAACAAATGCTCTCTCAAAGCAAAAATTACTCATCGATGATGAGTACAATGGCTTCTCCTTTAACGTTATGCAATTTTAAAAGTAGCTTGAATAAATGCAATAATTTAATAAATTTGTAGCATTTTTGTCGATGAAGCAAACTTTTTTTGAAGCTTAAGAGTTTGATTTTATAATTTCTTTAATAATTTTTTTTGTTATGCAAACGTGAAATTAAAAAGTTGTATTTGTTTGGACAGCTCTAAAATTTTTGGAAGGTCATGTGACTTTGCCATTGTTAGGCCATTCAGCCCTTCTGCATATTTTGCTGTTATGATCAGGAAAATGGAAAGAATCCTGTGTTTTCTTGGTTATTCTTCATAAGTTGAAGCATTTTGTTAACTTTTTATTCCATTTTGGGGTAACTTGGGCCTAGATTAATTGTAGAAAGACTGCCTAAATCTGAAAAAGTTTCCGTTGCAAAACCGAATCCAACGGAACGCCATAATTCGTTTATCGAATTCGTCCCAATACTTTTTGAACGTAAGTGTAGTTTTAGAGCTGCAAAAAAGGGGTAAGAAGCCTTATCCCCCTACTTTTTCTAGCATTAGCCCTCGCTTTCAAATTCGTGGTGAGGCCCTGATTTGTATTCTTGTATCCGCATAAATGTGGAGTTAAGGGAAGCTAGGGGCCCATTATGTCCCTTGAAGAATCTAAAGGGCATAGCTCTCTCTTGAAGTAAACCTTAAATGTTTCTGATTCCATGCTTTTACAGGAAATGCCCCTTTTTCGTCTCATTGCGCCTTTGTGTATCATTTTCATTTCACTATTCGAATACATGCATTTTAGACAAAACAAGGACCGGGCTAGATTTATTTGCAGCCAAGCAATTAGATTGTAATAAATTCGCTCGTCTTGGAATATGTTAGATCAATATAAATTTCGCCGCACCGAAGATTCTTTAGTCGTGTAAATAAAATGGAACACTCGCTGTATAGTTTCGCCTTTATCTTTTAATATATTTAATAATTTAGCAAGAACCAGGGACCTTTCTGAAGTTTCGCCTCTATTCGAGAGACGAAACGTTAACACAGCGCAGGATCAATCATCCCCCACAAGCTGCGCTCATTCCATTTTTACTTTAAAATTGCTGTAAACAAACTGAAATGTCATTCATTCCCCTCCGATTTGTAGAATGGAATAGAACATGTTCAATTCTTGACAAATCGAATTCGACAATCAGATGATGGTTTCAATTTCTCTATCTACACGGTCAGATTCTGTCGATATCGATTATGGAATCCGTAAAAATCTGAACGTGTTAGAGCGGCTTTAAAATGTATTTTGTGATTTTGTGATTTAAAATGTGATTAAAATGTACAGTGGCCTTTTCTTCATTCATACATTAAAATGTATTGTTTACACATAAATTAAAATGCTATTAAGCTGCCTCCATGACAACGGATTCTTGTGAAAGAGAGGCCTTTTATAAGGGCGGAAGTCATGTCAAAAGAGCAACTAGCAAAACTGAAAGATGTTTATAAACATTAATTCGTAACGGTTTGGAGTCAGATATTTTGTTATCAAACATGTCAAAGCGAAAGAAGAAAGCTTATAAGTTTGTCGGTGCTGTACCTGAAAGTCTCTTTTGTATTTGCTGTCATAAAGTTCGCATAGAAGTATGCTGTCTCAAATTCTGTGAACATTCCATCTGCCAAATTTGTATGTGGAAAAGGCTGAAAAATAACTTGAACACGTGCCCATGTACAGCGACATTAGAAGAAGGAACCGAAGAAAAATCGCTGCTTCTTCGGGACCAGATTGAGGATCTTTTGATTTTTTGCCCGAAACTTTGCGGGGAGACCATTAGACTAGGAGAGAAAGGTGGTCATTACAAAGATGCATGTCAAATGGGTAAAGTTCAGTGTGAAAACCCGGGATGTCATTACATAACAAGAAGGAAAGACATAGCTTCACATACCAGACTTTGTGACTATAGAACTGTTAACTGCGAAGGATGCCAAAAGAGTGTGAAATTCATAGATCTAAGAAAACATCAGATTTGCATGGGATGTGTGCACCAAAAGTTAAAACAGGTCGTAGTTAGACAACTGCGTGATGCCGATAGACAGCTGAAAAATTATAACGTAACTGTAAAACAAGACACATTTAAGACGATGAGGGAAGAAAGAAATCTTGAAAAAGAGTACCTGTGGAAAAGAATCGAGAGAAACCCCGGGAAATATTCCCCAACCCTTGTTCGCTACCATACCAGTGGAAATCCCAGTGGACGAACGACGGCTAGCACGGGTGAATTTTCCTCCCCCCTGCTAGCGGATTCCCCGGTGCCCTATAGAGCTTCACCAATTCTACTAAGGTCAAGAGAGAGAAATCTCAGGTCTGCTGAGCCACATGTATGTAAAAGATGCAAAAAGGGATACACATCACGAGTAAACCATGAAGAGTCGTGTATGTGGCACAAAGGGGTATGTCTTAATTGTCTATTTTTTTAATAACTATTTTCCCAGAATTTTTTTTTATTATAAGTAATTTTTATTATAATGAAATAGCATCCCCACTGGCCAAACAGGTGCCGTTTATGACCTATTAAGTGTAGAGCCAAAAATGTAGAGGGGAGGCTATAGAGCTTTGGTTATATGCCCTGGTTATGAATAATGAAAATAAGCTTAAATGCTGTGTGCATAATTCTAAATTGTATTTTTTGTTTCTTTTTTATGTTTCATTTCAATTGCGGAAAATAGCCGGTATGTTCCAATTCTATATTTGTAACTTTTATGTTTGTGAAATAATATTTAATAAACAGCCTTATGCAAAGTAATTTATGTTACTTTTAGTTCCAAATAGTGGCCAAAGGCTCCTTAGGACAGCCAAGCCAAGTTTTTGCACAAGATTAGCTATTTGGGGTCTGGATCTCTGAAGTGAGAGCAAAGTATAATATTTTTGTAGATTTATCAGTTCTAGAAATTATCTGTTATCAATGGATCAGAAAAATAATTATCTAACCAAATATTAGATAAATATTATCTAACCAGGACTGATTAACCTTTAATTTACTAAATGTGTGATTACCACCAGTTTGTAACCAAAATATATGATGTAATGATATATAATGTCAATAATGAGGAAATGATGCTTTTTTATTAACAACTTGACCCTTTTTTTTCAAGGGAGTCAATATCCCAGGTCAATAATTTAGGGAGGCCGATGGGGAGGGTGAGGGTAATCGCCCTCGTAAAATGAAAATGCCTGATTTTTTATTCAATTGTTACCAGAAATTGCAAAAAAGATTTTGAATATCAGTGTTAGCTTGTATTCTATAAATTTAGTTTCTATAAGATGAAATACAATTGCCTCTTATTCCTGAATGATTTTTTTTCTCTCTTTTTAGATAATAAAAGTGGTGAGTACTATTTAATGCTTTATGGAAACTTTGCTTAGGCAATAATTCGAAACAAAGTGATGACCCCTAACTTTTTGTGAATATAGCATGAATAACATATGGTATAAATTGAAAAAACACCTTCTTTTAGCACTTGGGACATGGGACATGAGAGGCACCATGTCCCCAAAGCATTTGCAAATGCCCTTTCTGGAAGACAATGGGCTCCTTTTTGATGGAAGCGTTTCTCTCACAATGTTCTTTTTTCCAGAACTTTTTGTTGACTGGTGATCATGACAAAGCCTACCCTAAGTTATAAATGCTATAGGTCAAACAAAGATCTGGCCTCAATGTTTATGTACATTGACACTTGGAGAATATGTACTTTCTTTCATACTATCATTCCATATCTGATTGAAATAACCCCCAAGTGGTCGATTTAATGTAATGATAGTAGTTGATTTTTGAAGATGTTTAACTGACCATGTGAAGGTTTTTTATGCTAAGCCCCTTAACCTAAGTTTCAAGATACTACTTTCGAACTATTCTTGAATTATAATTTCAGCTAATTTTGTTTAGAAGACCACTAAACATTTTTTCATTTCTTTTTCATCTTTGCCTGCACTTGGAAAAAAATAGTTTGTAAGTATCCATTTCATTCAGGCATTGTTACTTTTTAAAATATATAACATTGGTAAACTCTGACAGTTTATGTTAACCATTGATTTGTGTCAAATTGTTATGTTGGCACAGAAATTACTGTGAACACTTTTCTTTGAACTTTGTCTTTTGTGTTTCATCTTTGATATGATAACTTTTTGCTAAATAATTTTTTCTTTTCTTTTTCCATGCAAATCATTGACAGGGGGTGAGTTGCAACTTTGATGTTTATTTCTATGCTCAAATTGATTAATTGACATGTTTTTTATTTTTTCGGAAATATTCTTGTCTCCAAAGAAGTGTCAAATTACCTTGGCACGAATGTTATTGCCTGAAACTTAATTTCAGAGTTTTGAAGTTAGAAATTTCACAAGTGTAAATATCACGATGATAAAACCTTGTACATTAAAGTGTTATTAGAAAAATTATTTACTAAAATAATCTCAAGGACCAACTTTCTGAAAATGTAGGGGCTTAGAAAAGTGGTCTCCTCCACTGAGGGGATGCCAACGCTCTTCAACAATTAACTTATTTTTCATAAATTTATCATCATTCTGAGTAACTTTTGCTCATTTTTCTTTTTCATGATCTTCATTTTTGGTTAATTGATATCAGGGGGTAAGTTTAATTATTTGTTTCTTTGTTTTCACATTGCACTTGTAAGATTTTACAGAGGTCTCCATTGCAGTATTTCTTCTTTGAATGTGTTAATCTAATTTAAGCTCCTATTATGCAGTCCCTATAAGCTTTCTTTTTTGTTTAGTTGGCATCATAGTTGGACCATTAGGCATGACTGTATTAAACCTCACCCTCTAAGTTCAATAAAAAAAATAACAGCAAAATTTTACAGGCAACTGCGCATTTTTGGTCGCATACTTTGAGAACTTTTAATAAATAGAAAAGTGGTAATATAGTTGCAAAGAAAAAACAGTGTGAAGAAACACTGCTGATGGCATGTGATTGACTATTGAGGGAGTGATGTTGGACCAATATTTAATGTTTAAAGGCTCTTGGTTTTGGATAAATTTTCGTTTTTCTAAATTTCTTTGTATTTCTTTCTATGAATGGTGTATTACTTGCTGCTTCATTAAAAAATAAAGATGGTGAGTATTCCCTCCTTTTTGTATTTGTAAGTATATCTACATAATTGTCCTTTAAGGTACCCTTGTTTCTTAAATGGCCATTTATTTATTGACAAAATGTATAGTTTATGAGTCTCATGTTTACCTGATGTATGTAATTGGAATGTGATGCATCCAACGAATATTTGCTTTATTTTTAAAAAAACTGCTTCTGTTCTAGTGTCTTGCATGTGGTCGCTTGGATAATCTTGAAGGTTGTGAAAAAGGATACCACATATCTTGAAGCAAAGAGGGTTTACCATTTCAGAAGCAAATTGAGCTAAACTTTTACCAGCCAGCAACAGCAAAGAATGGACTGTGAAGGCTTGCTCAACAAGTATAATCAATACAACTAGGTGTATCTTATTGTGAAAAGTTAGAAATTTATTACGAATGTAATTTAGGATTCTAAAACTTCAGCTGCTATATTTTTGAATTCAAATGCAATAAATTTATATAACCTAAGATGGTAGTTTAAAAAAGTTTATTTTATGGTAATTTGTTTTTTTATTGTCATCTTACCCTTAACCAGGGAGCTAGCTTGTCTCTGGAAAAATTTGTGGAAAGGTCTTTCTTGATGAATTAAAAGTTTTATTCAACTATGATAAAATTATATAGCTCAATTCAGGAAAAAGTACCTTTTTCCGGATGTATAATAATAAGTTTGGGTTTTAAAACAATTAAGGGAGGCTACAGTGCTGATTTTGTCGAGTACCGTAAATCCTTGATTTAGAGCTTGTAGTAATTATGGGCAATTCTGTATGTGGGTTTAAGGGTATTTGCACTTAGTAATCCTGTCAGAAAACTTCGACTATAAAGTAGACCCACGCCCCCTCCCCCCATTCTCCCTTGTTGTCGAATTTCCTCTAAAAATTGTTTTTCCTTTACTGGTTCTGGGCTCCCTGTCTCGTTACCAGTCTCCAAATCCGCTGTTGGTAACATATGTCACGCACGCTAAAGATCTTTTCTCAAGTTCCCGCAAAGAAACAGGCCGGTGGGAACATAAAGTGAAATTTAAAGACAAAATGGGTTCCAGGTTTGATCGAAGTTTTGATAAAAGAGGGTAAAGCAATTATTGCATCCTTTATATAATTTTTTTGTAAAGAAAAATCGTTGTTCATGGCTACTTGTTGGGAATGGATGTTTAATTTTCTTAGGCCCAGACTTGTTCTGTGCGTCTTACATTCCGAAAGGTTTCGACGGTGTCTAATTTCTTTTCAGAAATGATAGCATTTAGTCGTTTCAAAAGTGTTGGGTTTACTAAAGAACAGTAGCAGAGTTAATGTATCGATTTACCATGGTTTCCAAAGTTTATTTCACTTCGCTTTATAATGTATAGTTTTTAAAATCATGTTTCTGAAATTTTTTGTTGGTTAAGCAATTTGTAGAGCCATATTAGTGTTTTAATTTCTAGATAAGTGATTTTCTAGTACAGCCTGTAATATGACAATGCTAATTAAACATATTTAATATGATATTTAGCGTTTTGTTTTCCCTGAAAAACAATTAATGTAGCTTCCGTCCGATGAATTTCGTCATCAAACGCTAGCCAACACTTCATCATGGTTTGTCTAGCCCTTTAGCGAAGAGCCTTAAGTTTAATAGCAAATAGCAAAATGAATGGCGTTTAACAACAGTTATCAAATGCATATTAGACCAAAGTAATTTTAAAGATCTCCAATTTACCATGTTTTTCTTTGTTTTAAAATTTTTGGAAGAAAAAATCACCACCACTTTAAAGAATTTTTCGGTAAATTATAATTGGTGTGTTTTTCAAATTAGACTGTTCAAAAGTCAAAAGCTATGCACAAAGAGAAATGGATCAGGCCTATTCATATGCAGTTTCTGAGTATCAAATATGATTCAATCAAAGACACAAATTGTAAGCTTGAAGCAAATCACATCAAACGCTTTGATTAAATTGCACAAATCCTTTAATGAACACATACCCCATTTACATGGTGGTAATTAATAGCATAATGATCATTGGAACAAATAAATGCCACTGCAATCAGGGGCAGACACTTGATCAAATATTGGAGGGCAAGCCTATTGTTTTATTAAGATGACATCACATTTCCCATTGTTTTAGAATAAAATACCATTGTCCTCTAAAGTATTGGGGGCGGTTTTGTTGCAAAATGTCAAAAATGTCCTTTGTGCATAATTGTTCTGCATGCTGCTGCCAGTTTTTGGAAGTTTAGTTAGTTGTGGCAAAAAAAGCAAACATCAAGCACATTTGGTAATTTTATTCTCTGTGGCACTTTCTCCTTAGCAAACAAATGCACTTTGCTTTCAGTTAACAAAAGTGGTAGCTTTGTGGAAAACTTTGTTTTGCACAGGGAATAAATTTTGCTGCTGTTATTGTGCAAGTTTCTGTTCTGCTGACAGTTTTGCCACACATTACCAATGGTGATACACTTTATTTTAAAGTATGGTTTGTAAGAAGACAAAAATTGGCTTCTTACAATGTTAAGATAATAATATGATTTGCAAGAATTTAATCTTGCTTGTTGCACAAAATTTTGCAAATCTGCGCATCCAGGTTTTAAACTGCAACAAGGATAGGTTCCATGTGCAGCCCAAATATATCCGTCTCTTTACCCATACTTATGAACACAATTTCATGTCAAACATATTTTATTAAAAATTGTCTCCACGATAAGGAAATATGCCACAAACTAGAAAGCCTTTTGCTCAATCTGTGTGTCACTTGTGGCATTTTGCCTTTGCCAAACTCAAACAAGTTTCTTGTTATTTTTCTCTCTTTGCAAACATTGTCTGCTGTCTTTTATGTCTGCATAGGTTTTTAGTTTGTTCTGCAAAGAGTGCTTTTCATTAAAAAAACATTAGGCTGTACATTTTAAAAACATAACATCCTTTGTTCAATTTTGTTTACTTTTGCATTTTAGTGGAGGATATGGAGGTGGCGGTGGAAGTTATGGAGGTCGCGGGCGAGGAAGAGGTGGTGGCTCAGGGAGAGGAAGAGACAGTTATGGTAGCCGTAGTAGCTTTGATAGTGGCAGCAAGTTTGATGGGCCTGGGAAGACATTGAGAAAGCCCAAGTGGAACCTCAGTGAACTTTCTGAATTTGAAAAGAACTTCTACAGGGAGCACATAAATGTTCAAAATCGTACAACTCAAGAAATAGAGGCTTACAGAGCAGAAAAGGAAATAACTGTTATTGGCCGAAATGTTCCAAAACCTGTATTTACCTTTGAAGAAGCTGGGTTTCCAGGTTAATGATTTATTTTGATTTGAATAATATGAAATAGGTACAAGATTATAGTTATGTGAGCAATGATGAATTTCCAAGCTTACTTTGCTTTGTGCAAAGAGTGATTAGCCAGTTGAATTCCTCGTTTCTGATGCTCATATCTTTACATAATCGATAAGAAGGGTAAATGTCAAGAAACTCAATTTCTGAATTATTTGTATATATTTAGACTTTTTTGATTTTTTAAACATCCTGTCATGTGTTAAAACAGTTGTTTTGATGTAAGATGGTTTAGAAATAGCATAATGTGGCTAGGCAATTACCTTATAAAGTCATAGTTATTTATTTTGGTTGTTGCCTTTATAAACCTACCCAAAATAACAGTGATCCTTTAGTAAACTGTGAGTCTTCTGTGGACCTTATCTCAGACCTTTTGTTTCACAAGCTTTTATGATCCAAATTAAATGCATTAATAATTAAAATAATTAAGTGAATTATTTTGGTGTCATCAATTAACCATGTCATCAATGACTGGATCTCAGTGAATGCCAAAATAATTCCCTTTGAAGTGATTAATCTTTATACAGCCTAACCTACTATTTGGCCCACTTTTCTAGATTTCTAGATCTTTATATTCTATCAGCTGCTAATTTTCTCCAAATGCATCAAGTATTATAATACCCTAAGATAACAGTGGTGGCTCACAAGCTGTCATTGAAAGATAATTGTTTCTTTTGTAAACAAATAAAATTTCATTTTTTAGAGTATGTCATGGGTGAAATCAGAAAAGAAGGATTTGTAGAACCAACAGCAATTCAGGCCCAAGGATTTTCAGTTGCATTGTCAGGAAGAGACTTTGTGGGCATTGCTCGTACTGGCTCTGGAAAAACACTATCTGTAAGACTTTGACAATAAATAATATTTTGTCTACTTATATGATTTGGTGTACAGAATATGAGTTTTTAAGTTGCAACTCTGAGTTTCATGCCATGAGGCATTTGTTCTTTAAGTATATATATATATATATATTTAGTTATTGTTTGTTTGTTTATATATATATCTTGAGCTGAAAGAAATTTTTTTAGTTTATGATTTTGAAAATAATATATATATATGCTAAACTCTAACCTATTTTGGTGAAGATCTTTGATTCTTTATAAGACAGAAACCTGCATTTGGAGCACTTCAATTTGATCTTGGACTCGACTCATTTAAGAATAACACTTATATAGCATATTTTTCTGCAGTTTTAAAAATGAGCATGTGATGAATTTCCACTATTACCTTGCATTTTGCTTGGTATGATTATTCATTGAATTCCTCGTTTCTGATGCTCAATTTGTGCGATCAACCATTTGTGCATATTTAAGTGTACTGAGTTCCTTTGCACATTTCAATTGTCATTAACAAATTGAGTGGTATTTTCTAAGCAGCTTCTTACATGGATGTTGTTTATTCATCTTTCAGTTCATTCTCCCTGCCATTGTACACATCAATGCTCAGCCCCTCTTGAGACCTGGAGATGGCCCAGTGGTATGTATGGTTTTTACTCATTGATATAAACATTGATATTCTTGAATATGAAATTAATTTGACATACAGATAAGCCAGAAAATTTCGTGATGGGTTTTCTTTCCAAACTGTGTAACTGTTATGTTTGTCATTGGAGATGATATTTAGATTTTACACTCATATTACAGCAAATTTTAATTATCAGTAGCTAAGCAAATGTATTTGCAGGGCTGTCCAAGTATTTTTGCTGGTAACATTTGTGTCCATGCTTGTTGCTTTGTGTCTTATCTTGCAAGTGTTTGTCCACAAAGAAAAGTGACCTTGTATTCAGCACAGCTTGCTTAATTTTCTGTTTTGCTTAATGGCACCCTAGATTTTGATAGTTAAAAGAAAAGGGATTTTGTGAGGAAAGTTTACATATCCTGTCAAGAGATTACTTGTAAAAATGATAAAATGAATTGAAAAATGTGCACATCAAGAATAGGTTTGTTGGCAAAATGAATGTCAACTGTCCTTGATCATAAATTCCAAAAATTGTTATTTTTCATAGGTATTGGTTCTTTGTCCAACAAGGGAACTGGCACAACAAGTACAGGTACTTAGACCTTTTTTGTATCATGCTCTCAGCTGCCATTGATTGGTAGCATACTTATGGTAAATCATCCAGAAGCTATATGCTCATACCAAAACTGTTTGCAAGTCTGTACGCGTAAAAGCTTTATATCCATATCTATTGGGATTCTTATATTCATTTCTGTATCAAAAGATAAATATTTAAGGGTATATATATCATTCTCATCAAAAGCTTGTAGCTGCTCAATTTGGAAGAACCTCTAAACTGAAAAGTACTTGTGTGTATGGAGGCGCTTCAAGGGGTCCACAGATTCGAGACCTAGAAAGAGGTTTGTGATTAATCCTCTTTTGTTTATTACCTGTTGTTTTTACTGTCTAAATCTTTTGTACTTGTATGTGTCTTCTGCTAATTGTTTATTGTAAACATATTTTCAAATAAAAGGCGATAGTCTTAATATTGCGATAATATATTTATCCGAATTCTAGAAGTAGAAACAGATAAATCCATTTGAATGATGTAAGCATCCTTTGTTTTAAAAATCAAGATGACACTGTAGATGAAATTACTGCAGATTCTTTTACAGATGAATTGGAAAAGAATCATCTGCTCAATCTGTTGCTTTTTGCTTTAAAATTACGTTTTCTTTTGTATTTTTAGGAGTAGAGATAGTAATCGCCACACCAGGTCGTCTCATTGATTTAATTGAGGCAAGGAAGACCAATCTGCGGAGAGTAACATACTTAGTGCTAGATGAAGCTGACCGAATGTTAGACATGGGATTTGAACCTCAAATAAGGAAGATTGTTGACCAAATTAGACCTGACAGACAAACTCTTATGTGGAGTGCTACGTGGCCTAAGGATGTCAAAAGTCTTGCAGATGACTTCCTTACAGATAATGTGCAAGTTAATGTTGGCAAGCTGACACTTCATGCCAACTACAATATTCTACAAATTGTTGATGTCTGTGAAGAGTATGAAAAAGAGAAAAAGTGAGTGATTTTGCTGCGATGCTTATTTTTGTCCATTGTCTGAAATATTACCCTTGATTACATATATATTGTATTTATTGAAAATATATAATTAGAAAAATGTTCAGACACAAAGAGCAACAGAGAAGAATCAAATTTAGATACAGTCAGAGAAGAATCAAATTAGATGGCAATCATGTAACGAACTTGCACCTTACAAATGTATACTTGCACCAATACAAATTTATAAATTTATATCTTGCCATTATTTTGAATTATTTGTGTTTTAAATAATATATTAATTTATTTAGGTTGTCAAGGCTCTTAGAAGAGATAATGTCTGATGACAAAGAGAATAAGGTATTTATTAGATATTTGTCCATACATATACATGCTTTTTAAACTTTGGCTCTTAAGAAATAAGAACTATATATGCTTTTCTCATTTTGACTTTCTTCCATTACCGAATGACTTATGATCCTTATGACCTATTTTACATGGCTTAGTGTTGCCGGCCATTGCTGCCTTACTCATTTGAAATGTATAACAATTTATACTGTGAGACTGCAGATTTTGAGTTTCTTTTTTTGTTAGATCATGCACCAAGATTGATATGCATACTATGTTGTTAAAACCAACTGTTCTGTTAGGTGTGAAGCAGTTTAACTGGAGAAAGGCTTTGTCTGTCTCCCTAATTAGTAACTCAGTATTCTTTTTTGCATGGCTGTAACACATGTTAGTCGTCAGTTCATTACACTTTAACAATATTTTCTTTCCATTAGATATTAGTTTTTGCTGAAACAAAGAAGAAAACTGATGAGATAACACGAAGGCTAAGGAGAGATGGGTAAGTTTATTTTTCAAAAAAGCCTATCTATATGCCACATAGGTAGTTAAGCACTTCTAAATGTTTATTTTATATATACTGAAAGCATTATTTATTTATTTTTTACTTTTTGTAATACTAAATTCTGGATTTTATGTTTAGTGAAGTGTTTTAATCCTAATTTTCTTTTTAGATGGCCAGCCATGTGTATCCATGGGGACAAATCACAGCCTGAAAGAGACTGGGTACTCAAAGGTATGCTTGGTTTTAATGGTTGCGCTTCCACAGTGCTATTTGACAGTGTGCAACTTTGACAGTGCTAAAGTGTGTATTTATAAGCATTCAAGTTACTATTCATTTATTTTGTTTCAGAATTTCGTGACGGGAAAGCACCTGTATTAATTGCTACTGATGTTGCCTCACGTGGACTAGGTTGGTAACATGTTTTTTAAGCTGTTGAATATAACTTGCTGTCAAAATTTCAGTCAAGCTACAGAAATTCCCATAAAGATAAAATCTGTATTGCATAGGTCATTTTCTGGAAGTTTTCAGATAATGTTCAGTTATTTGCTTCTCACACTCTCTTTGGCTTGTACCTTTTGCAAGCAGTAGAAAAGCAGAGATTGAAACTTTCCCCAAATATTCTGAACATAGTTCTAATAAGGACCAACAACTGAAAAAACTGTTAATATGAGTAGCAGTTATCGAACATACTAATAAGGACCAACAACTGAACATAGTTCTAATAAGGACCAACAACTGAAAAAACTGTTAATATGAGTAGCAGTTATCGAAATAGCAAGCATCCTTGACCAGCCAGAACTCTCTTCCCAAACTTCAATATCTGACATTATGATTTTGAGCAGCAAACAGTTTTTTTATTTATAATGAATACAATATGCAACAACAATTTAATTGTGTTTTTTAGTAAAAAATGTAGATATGTAAAGCAAACAAATCGACCCTGTTGAAAATTATAAACATTTACTCCTTGTCATCTTTTCACTTGACGTTATGATTGTTTGTGAAAATATTTTTTCCAGTTATTGCTGGGTAAACATTAAGCAACTGCTGAAATGTCGTATTGCATAGGCATTTCATTTTTGAAGCATTTTTTATATGCAAATACATGATGATGCGCAATCATACCTGCCAACTGGCATGACTGGATTTTTAGAAATTAATGGAGAAAGCTTCTAGTTTCTCCGTCTAATTTGCTTCGGAAATTAATTTTATTCGTGCTATTGTAAGAAAAAAATCAAGTTGAAGGTTGAATTCAAAAAATCTTCATATGGAAATGGATTACGAAAATGAATGCAAAACGCATCAATTTGCATGTTCATTTGTTTGACCTGTAATCTCTTAGCCAATCACATTGAATTTCTTTGGTTGCCACCTTCTCAAGCATTGTAAAACAGTACCCTATTCTATCAATACTGAGTCTGTATTCTGTATTATTATCATCTTGTTATATTCTTTAAGAATTTACTCCCCAGATTCTTTCTGCTGGCACCTCCATCGTTTTCTTCTTGTTCTGTTTGATTAAAATCTAAAAATTTGTAGTTTCCTTATAGTGGCTTTTTAGGGTCTGTTATGCAATCCAAATTACCCCCATCTCTCAGACTATAGGCTTGCAGGTGGGATGAAATCTGTACATGTCTACATGAAAATCCCATCCCACCTTCCAATCTATGGCTTCTATCCCACCTCTCAGCTTCCCCTGGATACTGCAACATGTCATTTTTCGTTATTGAATAGGTACCATCTGCACGTCAATGCGAATTTCATCCCGCCTATAAGCCAGTTTTGTGTTTACTTGGAAAAATTTTGTCATAAGAGGAGAGAACCACCAAGCTGAGAATAGCATCTTTGGAGCTTCATGAGTTACTGCCAAATGGCTTGTGTATAGACCTTTGCGCCCCAAAACTTAGTTGGTAACATGATAGGAGCTTGCTGCTGACTTATGGCTAGACCACGAACTTGCGCCAGTTGCAATTTATTTATAGATCCCATCTGACCTTATCTTTTTGTTTTATATTGACAGGTCGATGGAAGTTAGCATGCCAGTTCATGACATGAATAAAGAGAAACGAGTGAGGAGGGAGTGAAGCCACCCTGGATCCTTCGAGACACTTTATTTTGCCACCGTCTTTTTGATCTTTTTAAACATCTCTAATTGGCTAAGCTCACAACGAGCGGGCTTTCAAGTGTGCCTACTTAGGTTTCGGATTTGTATACAAAGGTTAGCCTCAGTTTAATTCTGTCCAATGACATCCATGCCCTTGTATATCATCTTGTAGATCTAAAGCAACAAGTATTATCTTTTTATCCCCTGCTTGGTACTAGAATTCCTATAGGCCCTAAAAAGTTGCATTTAGATCTTACTGTCTGCTGCTAGATAATGATGGTTTCTATTTTCAGTTCAGTGTTTGTTATTTTCCACTGCTGTTATTGTCAAAATGTCATCTTTTTGCGAATAATCTTCATTCAAACTAATAACCACTCTGTTTTGAACCTATTTATGAGAATTGGTGTCATATCCTTACTTCGGTGGGATATGTCATCAAACGTTATTTCAGGGAGTTTTTTACTTTAGTTCTCAAGGCCTCGAGACATTTTCTAGCAGCAGCAATATATCAGTCTCTTTTAAAAAACAAGGGCATATTCAGACCTGTTTACAAATAGATTAACAACCAGTTGAGGGATATTGTCCTTTTAATTTGAAGATAACGTTAGTTTCCAATTGGTAATGACCTTAGTTACCGCTGGTTGTTATTGGTTATTAGTCGTTAAGGGACCTAAATATTGATTGGCACACATGTTAAGCCTTCAAACAAACATCCATGGGTTCATTACCCAGTTCGCCGTATTATGCATAGCTTTAAATCGTCGGTGGCAAATGGATTTCCAGGGTCTCAATTCAACTAACTTGTGAGGAAGATTTTTCTTAAGCACTCCCTCCAGTTCGTGAATGGCTGTGTTGATGTCATGAGTCTTGGTATTACAATGGTGCATTTATGTGTAAACCAGAAAACGTTTGATGATAGTTGGTCTTAAACATTGTTTCCAATTTTTATCTCTGCGCTTTTGTCCTGCGATGACCTGTGTGTAGCTTTCTCCTTCGATTGACTCTAGTACAGCACAGGTCTTGTTACAAACATTTTACAACTGCTTCGCTGATATAGTGTTAGGGTTGGGGTTGAGCACCAGGGTTACTATTTAAATCTATCTCGATGTTAATTTTTAGGAAATGTGAAGGAAAGTGCTACACTTAAAGCCGAACATTCGCAATGTTTGTTAACAGTGTCAGCTAAAATTTCCTACTGTGCACAATAAACTCAGTTGATTTCTTCTTACTTAGGTTTTCGTTGCTTTTCTTATTTTATCATTTTTTGTTTGTTTTAGACATTAAGGATATTAACTTTGTTATCAACTACGATTTCCCGAACTCTGCTGAGGACTACGTCCATCGAATTGGTAGGACTGCTCGAGCTGATAAGAGTGGAACAGCATACACGTTCTTCACCGCTGGTGACAGCAAGACTGCGCAAGAGCTGATTGATGTGTTGCAGGACGCCAGTCAAGAAGTACCTGATAGGCTCAGATCATTAGCTTCCTCGATGCAAGCCAGGGGAGGTAAGCACCCTCTACTATTTCCCCGCTGCCATCCAATAGAATGCCTTTGCAGTTGTCAGCTCTCTTGATGTGTTTGCTTTTTTGCTATCAAATATGTTTTTCTGTCTCCTTTAGCAAAGAGAAGTCGTTACAGAAATTCTGGAGGTGGGGGCAGAGGATTCGACCGAGGAAGCAGTTTCGGGGGAGCTACATCACACAAGTATGTTGGTGGACACGACCTACGCGCCGGTCAGAAGAGATCTTACAGTGGATCTCAAAGTGGCCCACCTGCCAAACAGGCGTATGGGAGCAGTAGGCCTCCTCCACCACCACCAAGTCGTCCACCACAGAAAACCCAACAGTACCAATCTGGCCAAAGCTCATATGGCTCGTACAACCAGAGCCAGAGTAACGGAAGCTGGAGTTCGCAGTCGTCACAACAAAACTATGGTTCTTGGAATCAAGGCGATAAGGGACAGCAAAATCAGAACAGCCAATACTCCTATGGTTATTAGTCGATGTCACTATTTATATGTTTACTAGTCGAATGCAAAACATTGTTTTGCTGCTTTTACTTCGAGTAGCCTGTATTGCAAATGGCGTGCAAGACGTTAAAGCATTTTAATTGTTCTAATTTAAAACACAGCAATGAATTTTAAATGCTAACGCCAGTAGCTTTGAGGCCTAACGCTGGAAACAATCGTAGTCGTCGACGATGAGACTTTGTTATTATTGGACAATTTCTGCTTGCAGATCTGTTAAACAAGGTTTCCGGTAGTTGCTGCCGACTGCCCGAGCTTCAGTGAGAATTCTGTAAATTTTTCTCTTGAAACTCCCTGATGATTTTCAGTGTAAGCTCAGCTGTCTAGCTCTTAGTGAATTTTTTGTTTTATGTAAACACTTCATTAAATGTATCATTTTTATTATTATTATTATTATTATTTAGTTGGGTTTCACAATAAACTGATTCAATTTCTATTGTTATCCGAATTCTTTGACGCTCATGTCCAGATCGCATTTTTCTATGAAAAAATACATGGTACAGAAACACATTCGTAGGCAACATTTTCAAGAGAAGCTGAAAATTACCTACAGCCTTTCGTTCTGTGTGCATCCTCTTGGATAGTTATAACGATGTGCTACCAGCGGAAATTTTCAAAATCGATGCCCCTGGTATTTCCTATCCCAAAGAAGGTTGACTTTATCAACTATGGGGCCAAAATTAGAATGTAGATGCATCCTGTAAAGTAAAAGAATATCTTTTCTTAATTTGATATCTAGAAAATATGTTTGTGTCCGAAACACAGAATAGAGATGATGAACCATGATCGTCTCCTGTTCCCTTTTGAGGTCCTGCCAGTACCAAGTAATGAGCAAAAACTTTATATACTGATATTTAAAGAGGCTGTGTTATGAAAATGCGAAAGCTTCGCGCGATGAGCATGGGTACTGTTTTCTCCCTGATTGATTTTCCTATTGAACGCCTGTGTTTCACCCAAACAACTTTCGCTCAACTGGCGTGTTGCAACGCGGGATGTCCCTTGTGACACAGTCCCTTTAATTGTATTAATTTTTGCTCATTACTCAACTTACAACACCCTGAACTAGATTGATTCTTTGCCTGTACCAAGTATGCCTGCCAAAAGTCTTGGAACACTGACATCAATTTCCAAGGTCAAAACCAATCATCCCCCTCTCCCCCACGGAACAATGTTGGTTTACTATCAAACGGATTAGGATTTAGGAAGCACTTTCTTTTGCGCTTCTTTTATGATATTTCTCTAAATCATCAACATTGTTTGAGGGGGAAGGGGGCGGAAGTAGCAAATTTTTTTCATGAAAGGAATGAAAGATATCAAATGCAGCGTAAATTGGTGGGTGTTCCAAATACTTTTGGCAGGCATTGAAGTACTGCCAAAAGTCTTGGAACACTAACGTAGGTTTTCAAAGGCAAATTCAGCCATCCCCCTCTCCCCCCGGGAACAATGTTGATTTACTATAGAAAAAAGAAAGGGGTTATGGTGTACGCTTTTTCTTGTGGATTGTTTGATATTTTTCTATACTTTCAATATTGTTTTGGGGGGAACGGGGGGCGGAAGTGGTAGTATTAAAAAAACAAATGAAAAAAAGAAAAGCACAGCGCAAAGTGTTACATGTTCCAAGTAATTTTGGCAGTGATTGTAGCATGTAGAGATGGTGAAGATGAATAAGTCCTTTCCTATCCTTATCTAAAAAACGAAAACAATGTGTCCGAATTAATAATACGTTAGTTCTTTTGAAGAGGTTGAATCTGTAGTGCCCCAAGGCTCGGTGCTGCGACCAATCTTATTCAACTTTTATGCAAACAACTTGCTTTTATAAAACAGGCAATGCTTTTTAATTATGCCAATACACCTTTTTTACATGCAATCTCAATCTTTTAAATACTTTGGAAAAGGAAACTGGAGTTGCCTTGTACTGGTTAGAAAAAATCCATCCCTGAAAAGTTCCTTATTTTTAGAGTGAAGGAGTAAAGTTCCTTTTACTCCTTTTTCTTAGAAAACCAGGCAAAAACTAACAGGGAACGAATTACCATTAATGGCACAATTATCAAATTTGAGAAGCCTGTGAAACTGTTAATGTTGTGTGTTACTTGACTGCAACCCACATACCACGAATCTTTGCAAAAAAGATTCAATGCAATCAAGTGCTCTTGGAAGATTGAAGGAAAAGTGTCTCGTTCTAAGCTTTGTGTTGGTTTTTTATCTTCCAAAAAAATGCTGAAAGTTAAGAAGTTACATGCTCTAAGATTTCTTCATAATAATCACACCAGCTCGTTGACAAATCGCTCAGATATTGCTCTCAAGATATTCTATTCATTATATTCTATTCAGAGCGTTCTATTCAATGGTACACTAGTAACCACGTGGCTGGTTCAAATGGAAGCTTCATATTCAGTTTCAATCTTGTTACTTATATCCTTTGCTCCTGTTCTTTGATGACGATTTAAACATACTTTGGACTCTATTAAGACATAAACTGGTCATTTTTATTAGTACCTTGTGTATATCATTCTAATGTTTCGTTTTAAAGAATGTTACCCTGGGTTCCAGAGCGTCAGTGTCGAGAATTCTTCTCTCCTCCTCCGCACTCTACCCCTATTTCCTCGACGTCCTATTTCATCGACACTGACGCTCTGGAACCCAGGGTAAAAGAATGTTTACCTGCTAGAAATGAGGCGTTATAGCAAAAGGCTGCACCTTGTGGAAGACAAGTACCCCTGATTTGCTACAAAGTTTTTTGTTTTGTTCAAGCAATCGATTCAGTCAATAGTAAATGGGAAAATTCTAATGAATCTAAGAGTATCTTTATTCAAAATTTAAAGCCATATGTATTGTATATTTTATCACAAATTTTTCAAAATAATATTCTAGAAGAAGGGAGATGTCTTTAATTTTTTGATTTGGTTTCTCCCCGTTTCCTCCTGGAATCAGAGCATTTATTTCAAACAGGCTTGAAACCCAAGGGGTACTCAAATTTATCTAGAATAGGGGTGCTCAGGCTGTAGAAAACATCATCAACCTGAAAAATAATTTCTAGCATAAAAATTTAGCTAAAAAAGTTATTTTTCTCGCCATGCGCAAGAAAGCTTCCGATTTTTGTCTTTTTCTAAATCTTCTATGTATGTATGTGTATAATTTTGCCATCAAATAAATTACAATTTAAAATTAAGAAAAAGAAAAAGATCTAAGTACAGATATAAAAAATTTACAGATAGAAGTTAAAAGCATAGACTAAAAACACCCCAGGTTGAAAATGGGAGGGATAGCATTAAAAAGGTCAATACGATCTTGTTTCCATAATGGTCCCTCCAGAGGTGTTATAAAAAAAATGTGTACATGTAAAATTGATTTGTATCCGAAACTAGGGAAAAAAGTAATTCTGGAAAAATGTTAACTAGAACCTTTTCCTTGGCTGAATTTGGATTTTCAATAAAATATGTAGGGGCTATCCTCCTGACGTTGTAGATCATCAAAGAATATATCTTTGATCTTGTGTTTGAAACTATTGACGTTCTTTGCAGATTTTAGTTTTGACGGTAGATTGTTCCAAATTTTGGGACATGAGAGGCAATTTTGCCCTATGTTTTTCTTTCGGAAAGGTTGATTCAGTTTGTTTTTAGATCTTCGAGTGATTCTGTTCTGTCCAACTGGTAAGAACATCTCTGATATGTAGGGTGGGGCTGAATTATCAAAAAATTTGAAAACTTTTGCAGTCATACATTGTTCAAATCTCTCTTTCGTGGGGAGCCAATTGATATTTGTGAATTCCTTGATTCCTATATGTGCTCTGTAATTTAGATTCAAACAAAACCTGATACATTCATTTTGAGCTGTCTGAGTTCTTTTGGTCAATCTTTTGTTTAAGTATGGAAACCAAGCACTGCTTGCATAGTCAAAATGGGGCTGAATTAGTGCGTTTGCTAGCAATCTACGCAGGGAGAAGTCAAGAAAATGTTGCTTTCTGTAATCTTAGCCTGCCATTGATTTTGCCTAGGATTCTTGTAGCCATTGATTCTCCGGAGAGGTCCTCGTCGAGAGGTCTCCGGACAGATCATCGTCGAGAGGTCTCCGGACAGTCTCATATTTTAGAATCCGAAAAAATAATTGTACAAATGACTGACCCAAAAAGATAACTTGCTCAAATTTTAGACCTAATTTTACCGAACCGGTGCAAGCATTTAGATCATATTTCAACTAGGCGGGTTTCGAGTATAAGCTTTTTTAAGAAACATCAAAGGCTTACACATCGGATGGTGCTTGATCAGCCCCTTCTTCATGGCAATGTCAAGCAATGTAATACTGAAACCAAATTTGTTAATTTGTTCATTGTGAAGAGAATTAGCTGATACACTGAAAACTTGGCGCTTTGGATGCCCTGGGGAGTAATTTCTAAAGTCCCCTTTCAAAAGACTGTAACGTATACTCCCATTTTATAAGAACCAGATAATTTTTCCGAGGCTCTATGTTCTATTTTTGTGCGTGGATAATTTGAGGCTCGGATCTTCTTAACATTGCTTTTAATCCAATATTTTTACAACTATATACAACTATATAAGACCACTAAAAACAGTTTTGCATGACATTTTTAGTAGTTTTTAGTAGCACAGTAGATTTGCTGGCAAAACTTGCTTTGTTTTATAACATGAGTGAAAAGATGCCAAAAACCATGTTTTTATTTCTTCTAATTTTTCATTTGAGGCGTGGCATGTTTACGTTTTTCTTATTCATTGGCAAATCGAGCCTTTGTGTTCGTGTTATAAAAAGGGTGTGTGCTATGCAAAGTTATTACCATTCAGACGAACCCTGATATCAGTACCCCTTTTACTGCCGTCGAATCTCACTTGCTTGCGTCATACAAGTAAGACACGTCACATCTTACAAAAATTCATTACGCTAACTGAAGACAACGATCGGTGATTTTGGCTCAATTGCCTCGTCATGGGTGATGGGATGAATCTTAACATCTGCGATGATGAATGCGTCACACTACTTTTATTTCCATACGTTTTCTACCTTTCCCTTGTTTCTATGCCAGGTGTTCCAGGTATTTTGCTTGAATCGACCAATTTAAAGTCAATAGATTTTTCTGTCGCAGACATCATAAGTGACTTTTCCGTCATAAGATTGTTACGAGGAAGCAATCAAAGCAAGTAATCTGAACACTGTAGTCCAGTGACGGAAATTCAGGCTTTTGTTCGGGTGGGGTCAGGGCCTCAGGCCTACGATTTTCTGTCAAGGTAACATCTTGGATGGGCTTTCAGCGCGTTAAATGTTTATCAATTATCCGAAGATAATCAGAATTAACGGAAGGAGCCCCCAGTGCCCCCATTTCCGCCACTGTTAAAGATTAAAACTATAAGGGAATTCATAATTTTCATTAGAACTTTGCTGAGGCCTCATGAGTTAAAGCTTCTTAAATTAAGGGGCTTTTGCTGGAAGTTTATTATTATCATTAATTTAAAAAGAATATATTGACTTTCTGTCAATTTTTTTTCTGTTTTACAGCAAAAATGTACATGTGCAAACAATATTTTTCAGTCAAGAAACTACTCCCCTTATAAAATGACAACGTCATGATATTGATGGCTGCCCAAATCGGTAAGGTATATTAAATACCCCTAGCATTTTCTTTTAATATTTTGTTCCAAGATTTGACTTTGATTGTGACTGTCTTTTATTGAATTGAATATACATCATGTGTCTTTCAGCGTACTTACATCGCTGAATTCAAATTAAAGCAGCTGATTATGTTAGTTATTCACATCGGCTCCGACACAGGTTGGAAAGTGGGGTGGCCAAGGGAAAATTTGACACTCGTTACAAAAGATTTTGAAAAAAGCTCTATTGTTTTGCAATAAAGTGAGGGGGCCATGGCCCCCCGGCCCCCCCTTCGTCGGAGGCCCTGATTCATACATCATTATTAACTTATATATTGTATTGTAGTTCGTTTCAGGCCCTGTTCACACGATACCGTATTCATTTCAGATCAGTGGATTTGATTGAGGGACTTTGAACTAGGCGCCAAGCCAGTGAACTGCATAATGCCTGCTGGGAAGACATAGATTACTTCCGCTTTTCATTCTAGAAATAGGAAGCCGACGCAGTGCAGTTTACAGAACAGAACAGCATCGCAACAAGCAGTGGGAACATGGCATGCAAAGGATGCGCCGTTCTACTTTTTGGGTACATTGCTTTTACATTTTGCAAGCAAATATCTGCATTTACCGACAACGATCGATTTGACTGTTATCCTCTCGGCGTGGGTGGTGCACCAACATCGACGAAATGCACCAATAACAACTGTATTTGGAAAGCAAAGCCAAACGGGGCTGCAAAGGTATTCATGTTTCTTATTTTTCTTGAAGGCAAGTCAATTCTCCTGTCTTCACCTGGACAATAACTCATCTGTTTCCTCTCTTTAGACACTTCAGTTGTTGTTATGTTGAAATGAAATTCTAGTTCGAATAACCGTTCCTGTCTAATTCTCTTTTCTGCTATCCAACTTCTAAGGAAACAGACAAAAAACAATTGTATAAACTTTGCTATTCTATGTCCAATTAAAGTTAAGGCTTTCTAAATGATGGTTGGGGTTCCTATGCAGTAAAGACCCCGATCTTTCCACTACTATCATGGCAATCGTCATAAGCACGGTCATATTTCATACACTTCAAATCAAATCAAATCGTGGACGCGCGTTGATGGCTTTTGGTTTTGTACCATGTTGAAACAAACAGTCACTTGCCATGCCAGCAGGGGTTTTTCTATAATGGGGGGAGTGTGGAGGCGTTACAAGGTCAGAACACAGAATAGAAATGATTCCTATTCTCTAATCTGTGGTCAGAGGACTGCTTATCGTCTAATTCCACCAGATGATGCCAAGAATTTATAGCAATACTTTAACAACTTTAATAACAAGCGGACACGAGAGCTACCTCAACAGGCCTTGGAATTTCAAAAAGGATTCCATGCTATAACGCAGCTAGTCTAGAGCGACACTTTCTGTTCGTCTTTTATTACGATGTATAGTAATAGTTGAAGTCCAATAGAAAAAGTTAGATGTTGGGCAGTTTGAGTGTACAAGTTGTAGGGGTTGGGGCTGAAAAGTCACTTATTTGACGATCGGTTGCCATTTATCATTAATGTCCTTGAAAAGGCTTCATATAATTTAGTAGTAATAACAGCTTGCTTTGTATATGGTTCCAAGTGAATATTATTCATTACAAGAATTCAAGAGGATAAACCAAAGGTTTTAACATTTACTGCAAAACTGTTTTTCAAAATCGAAGTCTCAATTGCTTTGTTGAACGTTCTTTTTGAAAAAATTAGCCCCCGAGTATGTCCGGAATTATGATATACATTAACTGCAAAAAATTTCGTCGTGAAAAAATTTCGGACAAATATTTTGACGAAATTTTTTTCAACCAAATTGAAGAGGAAACGAAATTTTGTCACGATGAATTTTTTTGCATTTAAGATTTTTGAGAATTCACATAGAAAAACTATTGCTTGTGGTCAAGAATCAAATTTATGTATCCTTTTGATCCATTTGATGTCAATTACGTCATTTTCCTCATTTACATCATAATTATCTTTATCGTATGCATCATCATCATTATCATTGTCGGTTCTTTACTAACTTCTATTTCACCAGGGGGCGCACGCCACCCCCAATGGCCAAAAATCTATTTGGTTTGGTTGAGAAAAGGCGTTATCTTGGGTCCAAAAGGACCCCGATGTTCCCTGCTCAACTCGCCTTTGCCCAACCCCCATTCCAGCAAAAACCGATGTTATCGCATGCCTTTTTTATGATTGCAGCATGCTACTTATGATTTATGTCATCTCGTGTGTTTAAATTTCTTTTAGGCCATGCCAGAATGCTTCTACAATACCTCAATCAAATACGGCTATGATGTTCTCCCAGGGCAAGGCAGCATAAACAACGGTAAAAGCCGTGTGGTTTACTTGACTCGGAAAAGTTTACTTCCTGAAAATGGAGTCTATGCGAACTCCATGAAAAATGTCTCGATGGATATTGAACATCAGACGGAATCAAGGCTGAGAATAACAGTAAGTCCTTTCCAATTCTTTTCGAAATAATTCAAGTTCATTAACTCTAAGGCAAAATTTCGGAAAAAGTCTGTGCATAAGAAGAAGCTTATCATCGACAAGATTAAAGCACAATATATTTTGCAGTTCATTCACCTTCTGTTAAGGACAGAACAAAGTTTTTTGTGCCAAAAATTACGCATTTCAAACACATGGTAATGTAAAAAGTAGAAAAAATACTCGTATATATTTGCGCCTGCCTTCTTCCTTGAATTAGTAAAGACTATATATGTACCTTATTTTAAAATTTCGCTACAGTTTAGAGATGCAACACGAAAGAGATTCGAAGTGCCAGTCCAAACAAAGTTCCCCAAGTCGAAAGCAAATGTTCAGAACCCTTCGTACATGGTGACACATGAGATATCAAATGGACACACCTTTAAAGTGAATCGATACGATGGGAAAAACGAAAAGGCTATGTAAGTTGTTGGAAAAATAATAATGGTAGGAAAAGAACAGATATTTATTAACCTATCTTTCAAGTCCTTGTACGTTGTAAACTTCTACGTTGAGTAGCATTTCTATCGCTACGGACGATATCGAACCTCTTTAGCTTTCTACGTAGAATCATTTTTCAAATTGTTGCAGAATTTGACTGAAGTCTCCTGATTATAACTTTCTCAATTTTTAGTGAGGTATTTTCTTATATCCAAATTATTGAAAGAAGCCATGGTAGGGTTTCGTTCCTTTGATTGTTAATAGCAGTAGCAGCTCTTGATATAAAGCTTTCTGGGGCGTTGCCAAAGGGGAGGAGGGTACGGGGGGCGCTGTACCCCCAACACTTTGTTCGTCGGTAGATAAAAGATTTTTGCCGGGAGGAAATGGTTTTTTTGCGTATGACACTGGAGCATGAATTTTGAAATGAAACACATAAAAGCAGCATATAAGATTTATCTATCTTGTGAACACACCCTTAGAAAGTGAGACGCGCTTCTTTTTGTCAACAAGAATCACGTAGCTTTGATATTGAAGGTTCATGTTCTGGATCTCAAACACAATCTCCGGGTTCTAAATACTATCACCGGGTTTCTACAAGGTGTACCTTACAGATCATCCTCATATTTAATTGCAGATTCGATACCGGGGTTGGTGCACTGGTTTTAGCCGACCAGTTTCTGCAGATTTCAGCCAAGTTAGAATCTGCCAACTGTTATGGCTTTGGTGAGCATGAACACCAGACGTTTATGCTGGATTTCAATTGGTCTAAGTTCGGCATGTTCTCTCGCGACCAACCTCCTGGGGTAAGGATCTTTCCACCTGATACACCCAGTGCATTTTCCTTTCATTTAATATGTTTGCCCTCTTTGATGTCTCATAGCAGTGCAACGATATCGATTCAGGGCGTTTCATAATCAATCAGTTCTCAGTCCAGCAGTTTCTAAGTCAATCAAATTGCTTATCAGTTGCAATACTATAGTATTTTAATATCACATTCTTCATTAGATACATTCTTCTTTATTTTATCATACGATGAAATCTTTGTTGATGAATTCTAATTGACATCCCTTAATGATAGTTGTCTTATTTTATTTAGCCTGGTGGCAACTTGTATGGCGTGCATCCATTCTACATGTGCCTAGAAAGTGATGGCAAAGCCCATGGCGTTTTGCTACTCAACAGCAATGCAATGGGTGAGTTGCGTAATACATTGTAGGTTTCATTGCCATATTGATGCAATTTCTTTTAATAAATACCATGAAAGGTTTGCAACTATGAAACGTTTATGACCATTTTCATACATTCCTTTTGCAGACGTCACTCTACAACCGTTGCCAGCCATAACTTTTAGAACAATTGGTGGTGTTCTAGACTTTTACTTTTTCATGGGACCAACTCCAGCTGACGTCATCAATCAATACACAGAGGTAAATTGTCTTTCAAAGCTGTAGATAAACAGATAGAGAATCCTTCAATAAATCGATAACATTAAATAATCCTTAATTTTTTTATTTACATACTGTACACATTAAAGCATTCCTTCAACTCGTGTCTTTTTCAAATTTGATTATCATGAATTAAGCAATCTTTTATATACTTTATCATCCTAATTGTGGTTTTATTTCATTTAGCTTGACTTGAGAGGCTTTGACTTGACCCAATGCAATGCTTTTTTAGCAGACCTTACCTTTCAGCTTATTGGACGCACCTTTATGCCACCATATTGGTCACTTGGGTTCCAGCTCTGTCGTTATGGTTACAACAGCCTCGCAAAAGTAAAAGAAACTGTTGCACGAATGAGACAATTTGATATACCACAAGATGTGCAGTACGGAGACATTGATTATATGGATAGGCAACTGGATTTTACAATTAATCCTCAAAAATACCAAGGGCTTGAAAACTACGTGAGAGAGATCAAGAAAGACGGTATACGCTACATAACCATCTTGGTAAGCAAATTTATGATTCTACGTAATAATCACGACTGTATTTTCAAAACACGATGTAGCTTTGTAGGGTCGGTAGTGATAGAGGGCTGGTTGTTTTAAGAGTCGTAGTTGCTGGAAAGAGGGTTACTGTAATTATGCAATTTAGTATTTTTACTGAAAATTATTCAAAGTAATCAAGTACTTTCTGTGTTGGAATTTTAATTTGCTAACCTTGCAGAAAACAGAAGCCACAAATTTTGCTCCTTTTTATATCAATTCTTTGTGGATGCTAAGAACGACTTTCCAGCATGCCAGTGGCGTACCCAGGGCTGCAGCAGTGGGGGGGGGGAGGGTGTGGGGCGCAGTCCCCAAATTTTTTTTGGGGCCACGCCCTTCAAAAACTCGCAAGTGCGGGGAAACGCCCTTTTTGCAAAATTTTCCCCCGTAATTTGATTCATGTTAGCTAGGGTAAATAGCAAAGTATTTTACAATTGTTATTGACACAAGCATACAGTATACTACCACCCCCCCCCCTCAACGAGTTTTACATCGTTTTTGGACAAATCTCGAGGACCATATTATAGAAAAGTGGGGGGGGGGTCCGGACTCCCCCCCATCCCCCCCTTGGGTACGCCACTGCAGCATGCCCGCTGTTTGCAATGCCCATGGGCGAATAAACTCTTGCGGATATTAAAGAAAGCTTCGACACAATTAAAGCCATATACTTCAAACTTTTGTCAGGTGTAGCTCTTGATTTGTTCAGGTTTTTGATCAAGCGTAGCTAGCTCTCTTTTTAATTATTTAATACTTTCACGCAGGACCCAGCCATCAGTGCAAACGAAACTGCAGGAAAATATGAACCTTACGATCTTGGAAAGAAATTGGATATATTTATCAAGGCCCATAACTCAAGTGAACCACTATTTGGCAAGGTTTGCCCTTAAGATTTTGTCGTCTTTTTCGTTTGCAGTAAATGTTTTGATAAATTTATAAATAAGAAAAAAGCATATGAAAGTTGATGGTTATACCAGAAGAAAGATTTTTGTGATAAATATATATGATTTTCATTAGAAATTATTTCCATATACTGGAAATCATTGAAAAGCCTTGTATCAGGAGATTCCTACATGGATATTAAATGTATTTTAGCATGTCTTTTTCTGTTCATTTTTTAAGGTTTGGCCTGATTTGCCAAATGTTGTAGTTGATGAAACAAGAAGCTGGGACTTCCAAGTAAAGGTTTGTAAATCTCATCTTGTCAAATATTTTAACTTTGTGTCTTGAATGTAACCTTTTCAAAAAGCATGTTTGAAAAGAGTAACTAGTTAAGAAACACTCAACGGAATGGTAGGGCCCTCTGACGTCTTGTCTTCTAGCTTGCCTATTTTACCTAGCCTTTTCTTAGCGAAATAAGCTGGGACTCCAAGTCTGTTTTAATCAATTGGAGGACAATAGACCAGAGGTGGCGCCAGAAATCTTCCGACAGAGGGGTTGGAGCTTCCGACAAGGGGGCTAAAATGACGAAAATAAGCAGTTTTCGTACGTTATTTTTGTCAAATCCTTTCCGATAACAACCTAAAATTTCCTCCGATAGGGGGGGGGCTAGATGCTTGGCCCCCCTAGCCCTCTCCTGGCGCCACCACTGTAATAGACTATCTTTTAAACAATGGAAGATTATTAGGGCTGAAGGGACAATTGCCCCCCCCCCTTGTAGAATGTTATAACAAAGCCCTGTTTCTCACACTTCGTTGTATTTTTGTATTTTATGAACTACAGTACTATAGAGCGTATGCAGCATTTCCGGATTTTACACATCCAAATATCAGCGCGTATTGGGGAAAGCTCATTGTCGATTTTCACAAGAGGATTGAATATGATGGAATATGGATTGTAAGTTTTTACTCTAAATTCTTTTAGTTGATTTATGCAAAATATTTAACGTGTAAATATAGATAGCATTCTCTAGAGTCTAAAATAAAGGATTTTGTTGACTGTTTTGTTGCATTGTGAATATCTTGTTTGAACTTTATAACATTACCCAAGCTTTTTATTGAATTTTCATTCTTATTTTACTTGATATTGACCGTTGCTTTTTTTAAGAAGATGATATTGAATTTTAGAGATTAACAACAAAATATGCAAAACTCTAAGCCTTTTGAGTTTTATTGTTTTCAGGACATGAACGAACCTGCAAGTTTTGTGCCTGGATCAGTTGGTGCTTGCCCGAGAAATAATTCCCTTGAGGAGCCTCCCTACCTTCCAGGTCCAAAATTAACCTCGATTATATGATTCAGGCATATTGATTCAGTGTCATGATATATTTCTAAATGCGTAGAATTTCTAAAAGGATAGACGGTGCTATGTAAAAATGATGTTTTTAGAAAATGTAATCCTAAACGTAATCTTTTACTTTGACAGAAAGTTTATTTCTTAATGTTGTTGGGGTTTTCGTCAGTGATCTTTTCTGTATATGTCGCTACTTTCTTAAAGTTAGCTGAATGTTTCCTTGCAAGTCAACGTATCCTCCCTAACCTGAATGTATCTTTTGTATCGGTTCATTTAGATGATTTATAATGTTCATGCGAATCTTTAGTGTTATGAAGAATGAGGGTGTATAATGCATATGATTAATAAAGAGCGGGCAAGGTGCTGTGAATTAAGTCCAGTCGACGTGAAGTGAATTCAGCTGTTATTTATGCTGTGCAGCAAAGAGACATCTTTTAGGCTTATTTTAGCTATGAGAATCATTTTTTAGAAAACCACTGCCAAAGATGTCTAGGTTTGCATGAAATGTTGTAGAATTCCCATAATTTTTCTCAGATGCATTTTGACTCTAATACTTTAATATTTATTTTGATTTTCTTTGCTCTGTCATTAGTTTAAGGAAGCATATCGCAAGCTGGCAAGCTTTAAATCCATCATTTCTCTGTATGAAATGCGCATGAATATTCATCTGTTTCAGCTATATTTGGCAGCACAATATACGACAAAACCATCTGTATGACAGCAAGGCACTGGGATTGCAGTTTGCAGTATGATATGCATTCGCTTTATGGCTGGAGCCAAACCGAGCCAACGTACCAGTAAGTGACAAACTACAAAAATAAATCAAGCTAGTTTTTTGTTAATGGTATAAAATACAAATCTACATCCTTAGAAGTAGATGTCGTGCCCCTAAATACACGTTGGGCACCACGTATGTAAAGTCCAAGATCGACCTCCAATTATGTTGATGCACATGTAATGTAACAGCAGAGATATAAACGTTGAACGGTGGGGTGAGGGACTGCAACATCCCAACTTTATCTGTCCAGTATTGTAGAAGTTTAAGAAAAGTGTGTACTTCATATACTAAACAGTGTGTATAGCATATACTAATTTTGCTGGTTTTCGCTTCATGACAGTGCTAATGCAAAGGGTACAGGCAAACGCCCACTAGTAATATCACGCTCAACATATCCTTCGAGTGGAAAACATGCAGGACATTGGCTAGGCGATAATACCAGCATCTGGCCACATATGAAGTATTCTATAATCGGTAAGGACCTACCATGTTATATGCACTATTTCAAAATAGTTTCTTTACATAATTTTGCATGACTATAACCCTATTTTTCGTTATTCTTAAGAAGTTCATGCATCACATTTTTGAAAAACCATAGCTTGATTCACTTACCATTCTAGAATCAATGGTAAAGTGGAAATTAAAGAGGCACCTATAACACCTTTATCCAATGTAAAATAATTACTTTTCACTAGAGTTTTTATTTGTCCAAGGAAGTAAAATAGGAACTGTTTGGTACACTGATGATTTTCATTAACCAGAAATATTTTCTCAAGCGGATTTTAGTATAGCTTTGCTAACGTTAATTTGCAGTCTTTAAAGTTTTTCTCAAGCAGTTTCTTGCTTTAAATAGGTATGCTTGAATTTGGTCTGTTTGGGATCCCATATGTGAGTATGAATTGTAATAATTATTGTATTAATTCCATACTGTACAAGTATGAAAAAACCTGTATTGTGGATCTTATAAGTAACTTGCTTTAGTCATTTGTGAAAAATTTATAAAAGCTGGTAGATAAACTTAACAAGAAGTCAAACATAATCAGTTGAAAAGATCTGTGCACGTAAAGCTACAGGCAATGAATCATTCACAAACGTTTTCATGCTGATATAAGTACACCTCATTGACCTCAATGTCTCTTACTATTAAAATTATAAGGAAAGTGTTTCCAAGCAAAGTGTTTCCTGTACATTGGAAATTCAACCTTGATAGGCGTCTTGCATTCGTGAATTGACATTTTTGATAAATATAACGATATAAGATAATGCTGCTGTGTTTTGCAATTGTTCAAATGTGAAACCACGTTTTACGATCATCAGATGTATATCTTTCCTTTAAATTAAAAGGTAGTATGTAATTTCACAAAGTAATTCACAAATTTTGCAAACTATTTTATTGTAGATTGGTGCCGATATTTGCGGGTTCTTTCAAGATACAACAGAAGAACTTTGCGACAGATGGATGGCTCTGGGCGCTTTCTATCCTTTCAGTCGAAATCATAATGGAAAAGGCTACAAGGTTAGTAATAATGGTTATTTACGCAGATTAAGATGTCTGAAACTTTTTTACACAACCGGAAGCATATTGTGCTTTCAACAGAGTAGAATTCGAAAAGCAAGATCCTTCCATCAATTGAAAGTTCTAATTTCTGCAAAAAATTGCAATATCTAGTATGCATTTGGGGTTTTCAGAAACACCAAAGATGTTTTCTACCAATCTAGTTTTTTGTCAGAAATGATAATGCATATGCTTAGTAATGCATATGATATCGATAATGAACAATGGATTATTTCTTATACCCTTTTTGGTGCCCTGAACAAGACGGTTCTAAGGCCTGGTTCAAACGTCGCGCTTCTTATGTGCCGAACCTAACTCGAGAATTAAGTACATGAGGGGCGCGACGTTTGAATCAATTTGGTACGGCAGATTTAGTTAAGAGCGGCAGACTAGTTTGGATCGGCAGAGCTTGCCGAGCTGCACGGCTCCAGCACGGCCCGGTTTCAAGCGTCGAACATGTCCTGTACCGAACTCAATGTATAATTATATATAATTTATTTCCCTTCCAAGAATTCATTTCTTTCTTGGAGGGCGCATGCGTTTCAAACAAATATTTGAGATTGCGCGCCTCAGCCAAGATACTTCATGTAAAAATCCTAAAACCCATTTGGCGCGACATGATCAAGTTCGACGTTTGAAACGGGAGTCGCGCTAAACATGCTCAAGTGTCGCTCCAAACAGAGTTGGGTTCGGCACATGAGAAATGCGACGTTTGAATCAGGCCTAAGCTGCTACTCCGAGGTTCCCAGCTCAGTGCTGTCTGTACGGTATCGAGCCTGTCAAACACAAATGATAACGGCACTCGCAAAAAACGATTTGTTCAAGTATCTTATGCTTTGATACGAATATTGTTGTGCTGGTGCTAGTAACAACAATTCTCTTTCTTTCTTGTGGCCATTTGCAGGAACAAGATCCAGGTGTCTTTGGAGCTGCATTCGCCAAAAGATCACGCGATGTTTTACACATTAGATACAACCTTCTCCCGTATCTATACACATTATTTCACGAATCAACTGTCAACGGTGCACCTGTAGTCAGGCCATTGTTTTTTGAGTTTGCATCTGACAAGAAGACTTGGAACGTTGATGAGCAGTTCATGTGGGGAAATTCGCTGCTTATTACCCCAATACTTCGACAGGTACGAGTGACAGAGAATTACTCTGCATTTATGGTTAGAACAACCTTTGCCGCAGTTCAGTTTTCGAGACTTGCAAAAATAAACAAATTATGGATCCACTTTTCAAGTATTGAAGATTAGAGATGAAAATATTCTGATTGCCTTGTGGTGCTTTCAAATTTAGAACAGTCTGTGGGTAAAGAGGGACTTCCAAAGGGATATCCAGTAATTGCCAGATGCTTTATGGCACGAGTATTACCAGTTTCTTGAAAATATGAAAAGGAAGATGCAAAAGTGATCAATGTGTCAATGTTAACTTTCAGCTTCCAAAACTTTCTTTGTACTGACCAATGTTGTTCACTGTTATTACATCATATTCATTGATATGTATAAGTTTGACATAGAAAACTCTGTTAACCATCATCTCCTAATTAGAGTCTTTCCCTGATGGAAACATTAGCAATGTCCTCTTGAACTGATGTCCCCCTCCCCTCCTCTTGCGAATTTTTACCTGTTTCTTTGCCATATTGTAATAGATGTCTACATGATTATGAGTTCCTAGTATTTACCACCAGCATCATGTTTTCATAACTCTAATGGTCACGGCATTCTTACATATGCAAATTATGAACAAATTTGATTGAGCTTTAATTCCTTTATTTATTGTTTGCTATTTAGAACCAGAATACATCCGTTGTTGGATATTTTCCAAACGCAACATGGTTTGATTATCATACGGTAAGTGCTTTTCCTTCCAAAAATTTACTTACGCACCAAGAAGACAATTCTATCGAAAGTGTAGTTGTGCTACTGTAATAACAACAATTGAAAAAGGAGTTTAAATTTGAAGTTTGAAGAGATAATGCAATCTTTCAAACCTTACTAATGGCCTAGTGATTCCGTAAGTGGAGATATTACTGTAAATGTTTACGTATAAAACACATTCAATGGGCATTCTCAATAGGCAAGCGGCACTAATTGGTCAACCTCAACAGTCATGTGCTCGTGTTTCTGATTGGCCTATTTCGGTCCACAACTGGGTATATATATTTCCTAGCGTAGAGTTTTCGGTCTATGTTCTGACGTTTTAAACTCAGAAGAGTGTCAGACGAAAAGCTTTAGTTTACTAAATGTTTGCTTTTTCAAAGCCATTTACATTCAATAAATGAGAACGTAAAAATGATATGAATGTATAAACATCTAACTATAATGTCCTTAAATGGGAAAGGATATAAAATTGAAAAAAAAATTATGCATCTTAGACCTTTATCAAATGCAGACTTAATTTTGTCCTTGCTATTTTGAATAGCGTTTCTTTACTCTTTTCCCTTCTCATATTGTAAAGCTAATGTAATTTTGTAGGGCAAAGAGCTAGAAAAACTGAATCGCGGTAAGAGAGTGTCTTTGAAGGTGACAAAACAGACTTTGATCCACCTTCATGTCAGGGGAGGCACGATAATGCCAACACAAAATCCAGCAAACAACACTATGTTCAGGTACTATCTTCATTTAATAATAGTTTGTTGGCTGCAAGGAAATTAATGTTCAGCTATGTTAAGCAGCATGAATTTCCTGTTCACGTGAATTGTGCATTCTTGACGTGATTGGACTATAAAAGAATATCTGACGTCACAAGGCCTCGTAATAAGTAAAGCATTTTCTGATTTGAAAGTAGTCATCATCACCATAAGTAAGAAAGAAGATGGCAGAACTGAAACATATGGAGAAATCAAGCGTAGAGCTGAAGATCGTGATGGTTGGCGCGTGTGGCGCTGAACCTTCCTCGCGGCAGACAACCAAGAAGAAGATCATCACCATCTAAACTTGATTTATTTTTCAATACAAACAAATTGATTAGCAATAGTATGCATGTCTAATAATTAAATGAAGCTAGTATACGTTTAGCAATTTAATTTTTTTATAGCAATTCAATATTTATTACTCAATATTTGAAGCCTGTTCAATTCAAAATCTCTCTATAAAATGTTCACGTTGTCAATTGCAAAAATCACAATGCAAAAATCGTAACGACTGACAGATTCGGAGCATTTCATACTATTTCTAATGTCCGAATCCAATTTTGATCACATCTTTCGACGACATATGAAACAAATTTAGGATCATAGTTTTAAGTAGTTTGATTAAATAGTTGACCAGTTAATGCTCGTATTTGTTAAAGAAAACATTTATGCATCTTCTATACGCCAACATACCCTTTTTTCATTGTAGTCGAAGAAATCCAATGGGACTCATTATAGCTTTGAACGACCAGCAAAAAGCACAAGGAAAGCTGTTTTGGGATGACGGAGAGTCAATAGGTAATGATAGAAAAATCGGTAAAGAGCATGATCGTTTTTGGCAAAACCTTGCAAAGTTTCTGTTGATTTAAAACAAGAGCTTGTGCATGTTTAGCCAAATGATGGGCTGGAACAGAAAAGGCTCGAAGGGAACTGCGGTGGTTAGATATCTTGGGAAATAAAATGTTGTAAAAAAACAAATTTTTGCATTTCAAAGAGACAAATGCGTAAAACAGGCGATGCAAACCAGTTCCAGGCTTGTCATGGGGAAGAGGGACCTTTAATCCCCCTTGAGACTTGTCATGAGGGAGGGGGACCTTCGACCCCCCTTGAGACTTGTCAGAGGGGAGGGGGACCTTTGATCCCCCTTGAGACTTGTCATGGGGGAGGGGGACATTTGATTCCCCTTGAGACTTGTCATGGGGGAGGGGGACCTTGGATCCCCCTTAAGACTTGTCATGGGGGAGGGGGACATTTGATTCCCCTTGAGACTTGTCATGGGGGAGGGGGGCCTTTGATCCCCCTTGAGACTTGTCATGGGGGAGGGGGACCTTTGATCCCCCTTGAGACTTGTCATGGGGGAGGGGGACCTTTGATCCCCCTAAATTTGCTTTTGAGCAGCAAAAAAGCTAAACTGTGTTGAAGACAGTTTAAGCCACATTTAGCCAAAAATGACTACTTCTCAGCATTTACATGCAAATGTGAAAATTTCAGGGCGTTGAATGTCACAATAAACCAAGAACCAGATTGTTCCTGATCCTTACTAACGTTACTCGCCTCGCTAGCATTGATCGAGATAAGTTCACTGATCCTTGTTGAGAGTGTGTTCAACCTAAGGTTACATCCCCTTACCATGTTTCTTCTTTTCGCCCTTGTTTATACACTACTTTTGTGTGGGTCGGTATCAAGGCCTAATTAATAGCAAGCTCGAGTCCGGGATGAAGCAACAATAGGTACTAAATGCACCTTGTCCCAGGATGCCCAACAGGGTCCCAACCCTTCATCCTATACCCCAACTCAATGCTCTTGTTGTTATTATTTGACTATATTATTTGACCTACTTTGATTAGAGCGCTTTGAGAATTTTTTTAGCGATTCCGTTGAAATTTAATCCTTAAAGCGCTTACCTTAGCATGGGAAAAGGTTGAATAATGGTGCTTCTTGAGTTGGATAAAATTGACAGACAATTCTACTGCGTTTAGCGTAACAATGCAAACTTTGTAACGAATGCTACACGAATTTCTCAATTTGTGATTCCAGGTTTATATGTTGGTATTCATGCAAACACTTTTCTTTCGTTACAGATACGGTTGGAAAATCACAGTATCAACATATGAATTTTTCCGCAGACAAGGTATATTGTAATGGATTGTTATGATTAATGCAATTGCTCAATTTTATAAATAAAAGCATAATCCTTTCAGGCAAGCTAATGCATAACTTGGTGTCCTTTGCATAATGCTCGAACTAAAAAAATTTGCATTCCAAATTGGGCTCCATTTATTGATATTTCAAGTTGGGCTCCGTTTATTGATGGTTTTAATAATTGCCTCCCTAGGACACTGTTAGATTCATTTTGACAAAGAATGGATACAGTGCTGCGAACAAATTTAACTTTGAGCATTTAAAAGTTTTTGGTACAAAAATGTCTCCTGGCACAAAGTTGACTGTGAAAAACAAAAACTCAGTGGTGAAGGATGCGAAGTGCTCCATCGATAAAAATGGCGTATGTAAAATGTTCATTATGTTATTTCCTGCTTATATCTATTTTCTAATTGATTTTATTTCTAATTTCAAGGCTGAGATTACCAGTCGGCTTCTAGAGTATAGATTTCGATGTCATAAATGACCAACCAGATAGGAATACGACAATCGTTTTCCTTTAATTTGCTGCACTAGGTGAAACCTTTTGTAACCATGTTTGAATGTGGCCACCTTTCTGATAGGCCAATGGCATACTAAGATTTTAGCATGACTTGTTGCAATTAGACTTATGTCCTTATGGTTTATGTCCTTATTTTCTGTGATCTCATTCTATCTCTGAAGAAGCTCTAAAAGCATGAAGTATTTTGTTTGGAGGAGGAATATTTATGAATTTTGTTTGGAACAGTCTAAAAAGGGCCTTAAAATTAAATTTAGTGATAAATAGTAGTTTTTGTTTATTACCCCTAATATTTTGTGTACATGATAATAAAATATGATATCAGTAATGTTATCTTAATATGTTTAGTATTTTATTGATGTTTTGGCACATATTTCTTAAAGAGCATTTTATTTTACAATATCTTATCAAATTGTATGTCATTCATTGTTCGATGCGGTATAGATAAGCGGTGCAAGCTTATGTGTATACAACAGGACTTAGTGTGATCATCAAACAACTTATTTGATGCAAAAGTTGACTGATAATATAACAACTTGCTAACAATTGCATTAAGCATTGCTAGTAATTGCATTACTTGGAGTTGCTGCTTCGAACTATCTTGTTATGTACACTTAACCATTAATTATGACCGATAAAGATATAGGTTTTAAGACGATTTAATCTTCTGCAGGTTCTGATGATCACCGGTTTGAAACTTTCCTTAGACAAGGAGCATTCTGTTCACTGGTATCAAGACACTTCAAGCGGCTGCAGGATCAGCTTCAGCGTCATCACTTGGTTGCTTTGCACCTGTATTTTAGGGATTGTGTAGAAAATGAAGCAGCTTTGCAAAATTTTAAACACAATCATCTTAGTTGATATTTCACGCCACCATTTTTACGGTATATTACATCCTATGATTTTATTGCTGTGTTTTATAAACATTTACACAGATAATCTACTGATTTAGATATTGAAACATATATTTTAAAAGATTGGTTCATCTTTTTTAAAATAGTTTTTTCAAGCAATGTAGTTTTCACAAATTTGGTTTTCTTTCTTTCTCCTGCAATCAAATGCATAACTATAGGAAAGAGAAGTTTCAGAATACAACTTCGGGGAAAAATATTTTCTGCTGCATTTTGAGGATTACGAAAAAACTTTCAGCAAAAACAGTTTTCGGATGATAGAGTGGCTAAGTGACGACGTCACAAAAATCATTACAATTCTATGCAATACGTTAAGACGATCAGTAAATTTACTTTATCTTTATCTTGGCAAACAAGGAAATATGAAAAATTTTGGGAAATCAGGGTATCAAAAAGTTTAAAAGCAGCTTATTCGATATTTTTATAGAAAGTGAGAAATGTAGCAAGTCAAACATTCACATGCAGCGTAAAAACTGCGCCGTAATTCTTGTTCCGCAGTGAGAAAAGCAAAGAAGTTAATAAACTGCTTAAAGCCTAGTATTAGAAGAGCTGATGGATCTGTGGCAGCAAGATTTTGAGGCAAAAGCTAGAAGCATGTTAAAGGAATCTTAGAATTTTAAAAAAACTTTCTACCCTTGTTAAAATCACAATTTTCTTAATGGACATACACCTTTTTTAGTATTTCGTTCTTCTCAATGAGGTTTACCAAACAAGTTTCGAATGAAACCAGTATTTTGATTTTTCGATGAGGTTTGATGTTATGAAAGTTTTCGTTTTGATTGTACATTGGGTAGGGTAATGTTTTGGGGAGTCTTTTAATGAGTGAGGCAATGCTTCTTGACTCCAGGACGTAGGGCTGCTTTACTCTGCCCTTGAAAAAAAACAAGCTTGAGAGAAAAAGGCGCCACACTATTTTACATTTTCTTTAAGAGGGGTCAGCTGGTTGACAAGCACAAAATGAAATAGGAACATGCGTAGCATCTTGCAGACACCTCCGAAGGAGATAGTTACAACGCCAACAACATTTACAAATTTGCCCGCCGCTTAAGTTTGTTATGGCGTCTGAATCCGTTGAAGGTGATCGCTACAAATGATGAAATCAAAGAAATAAATCAATTACATTATGCAAATAAAGTTTTAGATGTCTATAAGTGAGGGATGGACTTTATTGGTGCAGGTAACTTTAGTCATTTGATTCTAAAATTGCGAATTCAATTTTAATTAACCTAAATGTTTATGTTTTCACCACACTCTCCAGAATGCATATAATTTTCTTCTGAACAACAGGACCTCTGGTATGCATTTGAACAATTTCGTTAAATACAGAGCCCGTTGATTGAAATCTCAATAGTTCTGTACACTGTCCCTACGTCCAGAAGAGTATGTTTTGTGCGATTTTGTCAGAGGTAGCACGAAGAGGCCTAGAACAACCTCGAGAAACCTAGCATGTAAAACTCTCACCAGTTATACGCCAATAAGAAATAGAATTACAATCAAAGTCATTTGTTAACGCCGGATATCTCCAGCGTAAGCTACACGAATTCCACACTGGAAGCCCACACTTATGCAAACATTTTCTTGTGCTAGAATCTATGCAGAAGGAACTGCTCTGGACACTTAAAATCTCTATAGATCCTTTCACACTCTACCTGGTACTATTTTCTGTACAAATTAAATTATTTATTTGCTGTTTATATTGTGCTTTTTGAAATTTCCTCTGAGGTGGCAGGCTTAAAACCTGTTTCAAGATCATATGCTAGCATTAGTTCCAGACTGGAAACTCTGTTTCTTGTGCAGGCAAGTTCATGCGCCTGACTGTGCGACTGTGCACCTGAAATTACGCACTGTTAAGCAATTTGTATTGTTATTTATGTGAAATGTATTCAGATAGGGACTTTGCGTGCCCAAAATGCAAAAGTGCGCAGATGGAAAATTTGAGTGCGCGGGCAATATATCGTGGGCCCACAACAAAGTTTCCAGTCTGGCATTAGTTTGAGTTCAATTTCAGGATTACTTACTCTTTCAGAAATATGCATTATTAAAGGCAAAAACTATTTATAAATGTTAAAAAATACTCAAATAAATCTTGATTTTATAAACAAGATATAATGTAATTGAGAGATCAAATGTACAGAAATTTTTTTAGTGACATTTTTTGGTTGACAATACAATTGTGTTATTGCACCCTGATGCTACACTTATCGGTCTTTGTGAACTGGACTTCAATGTATGTACCACAAATTTGACCAAATGTGACACATTGTTATTGCTTTGATAGACAATACCTCTTTTAGTAGACCAATAAACAGAATGCCAGTCTACCATTAAAGAGTAGTAGTCTCTAAAAGTGATGAAGCTAAAGTATGTCAGAAAAAAATGTTAGCAAACAAATTCCATACTAAACTTTAGATTTACAATATCCTCTGTATTTTGTTTTGCATTCTTTGATGGAATACAAACATTTTAATTTTTTAATTTTAGTTGAAATTGCCAATCATCTTCTTGAAAGGTTTGGAGTTGAGAAAAAAATTAAGGATATAAGTGACTGTGATGAGGGGTTTTTCATTTTACTTTATGAAGCACTGACTGGAGAGCTTCCAGAAGGTTGGTTTTTGTTATGTTATTGCTCTGTTCTTTTTTGGATGACTAAACCATACCTTGTTGTTAAGCAATTTTTGAAAAAAATATTATGTCAAGCTCCTTTTTAACATTTGTTTTGTGGTTATGGCATGTATCTTGATTCTTCTCCAGCTGAAAATTTCAATCAGAAAAAACAAAGGAAGGAGTAAATAGATATATGTAATTTTTGTTTTAGAAAAACTTTCAATGCTTACAGTTTTTTTTATCAATCTACTTCGCATAATTTGCTGCTCTCTAATAGAAAGATTCTCAAGGATATTTTTTTAATTATTCTGGCTTATTTTCAAATATCCAATGTCTGGCTTTTTTTAAGGAATCAAACAAAATGCAACAAAGAAACAAGAGAAGATCAGAAATTGTCAACTCATCATTGATGCTCTTTCTAAAGAAGTACTTGAGACAGACCTTTCACATATTGAGGCTGCTGACATCATAAATGGCAATATTGCAACTATAGGAAATCTGCTAGAAATTTTTATGCGGCTTCTTGAGTATATCTTGCAAGAATTAGAAAAAGATGATGAAAGTATAGAAATAGATGATGGTAGTATTTTTATTTACCTTTTTGCAGTTTTTAAGTAAAAGGTTTTGGAAATTTTGTAAGAATTGAAATGTGTACAACAGCATTAGTTTTTTGATGAATCAGAATATTTTCGTTAGTAATTAAGATTTTTGTTGTAGCTGCCAAGTTTCAGATAACTTGGAATTTCTTTAGCACAAATGGCATTAGTTTTTGATAGTTTAAATATCAAGTCAGCCAAGTGAAGTCTCATTTAATCAGGGTCAGAATAGGGAGATAGACATTGTTGTCAATTAATTGTTAGATTTTCTTTGCAAATTTTTTTGACAAATATCACAATTAAGGATTGATCGTTTGAATTTCTAGGGCAATCAGAAGAAAATGATTCAAATTTGTTGTCAAGTGATCATGAAATATTGTCAGATGTTATTCAACAAGAGTTTGGAGATGAAGAAAAAAATGAAAAATATCGCTCTAGAAAAGGCTCAGCTAAGATTATGGAAAAGTATCTTATGCCAACAGAGCAACCAACACATGAAACAGATGAAGAGGTTTGTTCAACCTGTTGTCAGCATTAGAAAAGTAAACAACCAGCTGAACTACAATCTGATAGCCAAAATTGTATGGTCTGCCTTACTTCTTCTGTACACTTTTTCTGCTAGAAGTGAGGCCTTTAATTGGATTTTCTTTCCTAGTACAATTTGTTCCTCACAAAGCTTGGAGTTTTGGGTGGAATTGTCTTTGGCTGTTAGCTTCTTGGCCTACCTGTTATTTCTTTTTGTTAAGGGGTTAACATATTCGAGTTTTTTGACTTAATAGTTTTCTGTCTGGCTCATTCATAATCTTCCTGTCCTTTCCCGTCATGTAATGGTAGCAGTTGTAACTCTGTCTATCACTGCTCTCCGATTTGATTTTGTTGCTAATATTCCCTACTATAAACGGAATAAGCTGGTCTTCTAGAATTTAGGTAATTTAACTAATTATCCTTTATTATCTTAACTACTTCAGCAAAATAACAAGTTAAAACTTTGCACAAGAAACTAGCTAAGGTGTATAGGCAAATTAAGTCTCTTGATTCCTTTCTTTTGCAGTAATGTCCCTTAATTTTACCTTAAATCATTTATTTGCTCAAAGTGTTCTTTTATGTTTCTCTTCAAAGATCCAATACTAAGGTTCATTGTTTTGCAAGCAAAAGTCCAATCAGTTTTTTATAAGTGATGTCTGTAATCTGCCAGCATTTTGTTGCCTCATTCAAAAGCTTCAGCAGGTTTAACAATTGACAAATTCACAATTGGGATCAGAATCAGTTTCTTCTCAGTCAGTGAGTTCTTGTCATAGGGTAAGCTCTATATTTAGAAAGCTACTCTCAAGCTTTGCTGCAAGGATAGTACAGACAGAAAGGATTATTCTACATGGATTTGTCAACCTTTGTACTAATTGTTCTAAAGCCTAAATTTTTGTTGATGTACCATGTTGATTTTGGTTTCTTCACTTTGTTTGGTTAGCCTGACTTGGAAGAATACTGCTATTATGTATCAACCTCTCCTTCTAACTAGACAGGCTACCCCATTACTTGGAGTTTGTGATAAATGTTCTCTTGATATCTTGTTTGTATCTATTTCATTGACTCAGTTCTGTAGTTTACTTAGGTGTTTTGTAATTCAACATCTCAATGCATTCGAAATTAAAATGTATAGTAATTTTCCTCTTCAGAATCCATCAGTCCATGATTTCACTCAAGACAGTCTTGACCAACCAGAGCATGGTGGAGGCTACATCAAGAGTTTGGGTCGTTCTAAAGCTAATTGTACTTTTCAAATTCAGCCATTTGCATATGTATCATCTGCAGGATCAGATTGTACAGAAGAACTTGCCAGAGAGGCTGAAGATTATAGCAAACAGTAAGACCTTTGGTTTTAATTTTCCTCACAGTATGCATACTAAAATTTCCTGTTTATCAGAACCTTTCTAAATAATCAAGTATTGAGGAGTTTGATGAAATTTTGCTGAAAATTTCAGCTTACGTTCACTCATTTTCCGATGTTTTTACTCTCAAGAGTATTGGACGAAAATCACTTCAGTATACTTTGTTTCCGCTGTTTCGTGCGATTTAAATATCTCATCGTCTTAGCAAATTCCTATCCCCTTTTTTATTAAGTCAAGACGATTTCTAATATTGGGGAAAATAGAAAAATCTTGCCGGTTCTATAAATTCTGAGTGGATCATTATGCAGTTTTTGAAATTTCTTTAGTGCCAGGAAAAAGGACATCCATAGTGTTTCAACCAGCAAGCTGAATAGAAATCCTGACGAGAAAATACCGAATGAGAACCTAAGGAACACTGATCCAGTGTTATTGACCAGTTTTTCAAAGATGAAGCATCCAAGAAATGTAGGTTGCAGTATTTCTTTTTTTTTCATTCTCCTAGGTTTATGATTTATGATTTTTCACAGAACTTTACTCGATATAAATGTGTTGAAGTTTTGTAACACAGTCAAATTTATGAACATTCTATTAAAAAAATTTGGGTCGGCGCAACCACAGTTGAAGTGTGATGAATTGGCGTCGAATGCGAACATTAAAAGATTACAAAGTGAAAACCCGACACAGTAATGTGCAACCCGGCGATACTATTTAAGTTCAATTGAATTATTAGCCTATGATATCAGTGAACAATGCTCTACAAAAATCAAGCGTCGTTTAATGAAAATTGAGGGCCTTTCAACAAGGCTTAAGATTTGATTTTGAAATTCATGTAATATGAGACATGGTTCTTTTCCCTTTCACATGACTGAAATCAATATCCAGCCTTCTAGCCAATGTTGAATAGGGTTAGATGAACTCTAAATATTACTATAATTTTTAAGTTGTATTGAATTACCTCAAAACTGAATCTCTTTTTGCTTAGCTTAGATTGCTTTGACTGACTTTATAGTTGATAATTTGTATGTTTGCTGTCCTCCTAATTGCTGTTTTATAGGTTTTAAGTTGCTGGTTACGGTTTGCTTTTACAATTTCTTTTCATGTAAAATCTGTTTTACTTTCTTTTAAGGAGTCTCTTAAAAGCTCAATGTCAAGTGCAAGTTGGCCTAGTATTCTTTCTACCAATGAGCTGAATGGAAAAGACATGGACACTCCATATAAGGAAGTCGGGGTTCGCCCACGTGAACCTTTTCCTTTTGAAACCGAAGGTACTGGAAGTCAACGACCAGTTTCTGTGAATCATCGCCACGAACATTATCATTACTACCATCAGAAAACTCGCGATAATCTGGGAAAGAAATCAGAAGATGAGTTGAAATCTGCTAGAAGTAACCAAAAAGGAGATCGCGTTTCTGATATTGTAGGTGAAAGCAAATCAGCTCGCGAAGAAAAAGAGCTATCTTGGAAAAGGCACAGTCATAAAGCAACGCCCATCCATGATCAGGTCGACAATACAGAAATTCACCCTCCAAGCAGGCAGCATGTCAGCTCCGTGCAAAATAACACTCAGCAGAAACATCAAGGTAATGCAAAGAAAATCTGAACCGATAGTTTTCCATTTCATTCTTGTTTTTGATAACACTACTTTATTAGGGAAGAAGTAAATTTCACTCTTTGCTACTTCGAAGTGAAGTTCAATCTTTGCTCCGTAATTTTTGCTGCGTACAGGCTCTTGACAGATGCGGAGGAGAAAAACCGAGGGCATTGTTACGATTTTGATAGTGTTTGTGTTATTTTCTTTCCACGAAAAGCGTTTCTACTCCTCTGATGCAATTATTAGGATTCTTCGTCATGTTTATGCAGTCTTAGAAATTCTGTTTATAATGCTTTTCTTGAAGAATCGATTACTAATCGTCTATTTTATTTTTTGAACCCCCTTTAGGTAGTGAATGTTTACTCATTCTTTGTACATAAAAACGCCATTGATATCTTTCCATAGATGCAAAATGAAAATATACCCTCTCAGGGGACGTTTATCTTTGATGTAGTCATCTCAAACCTAAAGGCATATTTGAAATAGTGGTCTAATACCTCTTCAAATCAAACTGTTTTTATTACAGCAGTTTCGTCTCAAAAGGACGAACAGCCCACGAGAATGCGATCGGTTCATACATCGGTTTCTGATATGCCTTATGTAAATGAAGATGAGGAAAAACTACCAAGCTCTTATCAAGCTGCTACAGAAGATCGATCGTCGGTCTCCGAGCTTAATGAGCTACTCAATTTGAAGGCGGGCAGATGCAATGAGGCAGAGGCAACAGCCAGGCCAAAGCCCGAAACACTAAGAGAACTCGATAAAAAACTTGAGGTTTGTTGATTTTATGTTTCGCAATTTGACAATGTGATGTTACATACTGTTAAGGGATCTAAAATGCTTGAATATCACATTGTGTTGCGAGATTTTTTGACCAGCATCTGCAAAAATCACGCCTAATCAGATTTTGATTGTAGGAACTTTAGAAAAAAGTCTCATAAGGCGTTTAGTGGTCGTTTAGTGTCACTCCTTTTTTGATTATTCAAAATATTTATGTAAGGTTTCTAAATCCCATTTTAGAAAAAAGTCTCGAAAGAAAATATAGACATTTGCTAGGTTTCAAGGGCTATATTCGCTGCATACAAATAAGAGACATAATTATGCAAATACCTAACTGTAATTTCCAGTAAAAATAGAAGTAATGCAAAAGTCAAATATAGGAGAAACTTCGACAATTTTTAAAATAGTTGGGGTGGTATCTTTCTATTTATTATAGAGTTCATGACACTTGAAACTGCAACGACTTAGTATCGAATGTATTGACGCTTCTCAAACGTTCAAATCCTCTTCGCCTTGCTGAAGATTCTTCAGGGTAAAGCCCCTGAATATCTGATAAAACTGATTATTATTTACAATCCTGGTAGATCATTGTGATCTAACGGTAACCAAATTTTGAATGTACCTCGTTCTTATACAAAGAGTTGGGGCGATATTGCTTTAATCATTGCTGGTCCCAGATTGTGGAGGAACTCACCGCCCATAGCTACAAATGACCACCAAGATTGTAGAATTTAAGTCGAGATTGAAGATTTGTTCAGAATTGCATTTAATGGATATTTATAATTTCATGCCTAATCGGAAACTATTTGTACCTAACTTTTCTTTGTATACCTAAACTTCTTAATTCGCCTTTGAATATATTTTAGCATAGATAAATGGTGCTATAGAAATGTTTTAATGATGGTAATGATAATAATGATAATTAAAAAATACCACGATGTTTTGTAAAGTTTCTTTTGCTTAACATTTTTTTCATGAGTGTTATCTACAGTTATCACTCATTCAAGTATACCAGGACAGTGTATGTTCATGATTTATTCTCGTGTCTCTTCCCAAGGAGGTTCGTGCTGCAGTTAGAATGTTGGAACATAGCGAGCATTTACCTTCTGATCCGAACACCGTGAATATCAAATCACTGCGAAAGTATTTGGTGGATGACGCCAGAAGGTTTCCCTCTGGATTGATTGACGAAGTTCTCTCTGAGGAGGCAAATGATTCTATTTGTAGTGACAGTGAATTCGGTGGGTAGATTTTTAGACCTGCTAGTTATAAAACAACCCTCTGCAATCCCCGCCAAATGTCTCGGAGCTTTAACTTCAGTTTTCAAGAACAACTTCAGCCAACCCCCTCTCCCGCCAGGAACAATGTTGGTTTACTATTAAAAAGAGGATCTTATGGAGAGATCTTTTTATTCTGACTTGTATTGTGTTTGCCTAAACAATCGAAATTGTCCTGGTAGGGAGGGGGCGGAAATAGTGGTATTCCGGAAAAGAGATGAAAATTATGGAGAAAAGAGTAAGTTTTTGGATATGATAATGCGAATTGCTGGGTGTTCCAAGTAATTTAAGCTGGCTTGTAGGTAATTTTCGACACATTTTTAAAGGTATTTTTCCAGCTCAGTCCAACATGTTAGTGGCTTTGAATGACCAAGTAAGGAATCTTCGTTTATTTTCTATAACTTATTATTTTTATGTTTATTATTTTTTCTTATGGTTTTCCAGTTTCACATATAAGCTATTACTACGGCTGTCTGTCTTTCAGTTCTTTTGATTGGAACGAAAAATCCCCAACTATTATGATAAAACCCCAAATATGTTGTGAATTAGTATGACAGTACCCCGAAAGCTCAAGCTATCAAGTTTTCTTTGATTATACATCAAAGCATGAAAGCCGTGGTCTTGTTAGAATTTCAACTTTGAAATGATTTAATGACATTAATTACAAAATAGATGTTTCTTGTTGTAATTAATGTCATCATTATGCTTCTATTTTTTGATGAAGTAGCGATTCTAGACTAGCAACATAGACAACTTTTTTGGTTGAAGTTTGTGTACCAAAAGTTTAATATTCTGTCTTTAATATTCTGCTCACAAGTATTTATCAAAAATTGCGTCAATGTATTGCGTTTGATCCTTTGTCCTTTGGATTTCAATTGCTAATGAAATCCATAATGTCTAAAAGAACCCTTAAGAAATTTTATCCATTACTCAGCTTTCAAGTTCAAATTGAAAAGAGAAATTCAGCTCCCCCTTCAAATTTTTACTTAACTTCTTTGCGCTTCTGTGAAAATGTTTTTTTTCTTAACTTCACCGCACTTTTTTCTCTTTCTCTAAAAAAATTACTTTATACTCTGTCTCGTGTTGAAATTTTATACTCTTGATCGTATACTTGTTGAATAAGGTTTAATCTGGAATATTTTAAAATGTTTTTCATCTTGTCCTCTCCGTCTTTCCCTTTTTCATGTTGTCCTCTTTGCTAGAATTATGAACCTCCTTTGAACAATTTCTTGTAAGCCGCCAAGTTCTGTCCCTCTCGCGACTCCTCAGACTGCCTTCTATATTTGACGTCATCGTTTCCTAAAATACACTTCTTCGAGAAAAACCAATTTGTATTGTCTATTCTTTCAGACTATGGAAACATCCATCACCAAGCGACCCAGTCGGAGTATGATGGGGCACTTTCAGTTACTAGGAGGGGTAAAGCTGGGCACCATCGAAAGATTTCATCCAAGCATTTCAGCAAGGGTAAGATTCTATTGATCAAGGGTGCAGAATTAGAAGCCCCAGGGTGGCTGAGCTCTACCTAGCTTTATGTCACGAGAGACTAAAAGCTCACGATGTGTGCCAGAGTTTTCGAACACAGCATTTAAATGTTAACCAATCTCAATTAGTTTTATATATTTCTTATAGATAGAATATACCCTGCTTCTCCTTCTGGTTTAGAATAGATATCTTTTAACATTCCAAGTTATGCTAACCATCTAACAGTTGTATTTTACAACCATTCAGTCCTACTATGGCAACTGTTGGGAATGAGGTCTAAACCAAGGTCTCCTGCTTGGTTTATGATTAAATTTCTCCTTTAAAGTAAAGGCGTGTATTTCATTACATAAAGAAAACTGCCATGACCCTTACCATCTATCTAGTTTACAACATATATCTAGGAATCATGGCCCATGAACATTCAGGTAAGACGATAATGAACAATGAGATGGACAGGTAGCCATGGGAATAAGTATAAGTACATTTTTGCATTGTATACATATGTATATAACTTCTGATTAGAGGCCCTAGAAAAAACAGTCTCATTTAAGATTGAAATATGCACTCTGTTTATTTTTTTTAATTTTATAGGGGATTTGAATCTATAAGGTATCTTGAATAGCTAATTTGTTTCTTTGAAAAACCTCAGTAATAACATAACCTTGGTGTTATTTTAACTCTACTTTTGATCGCTATTTTCAGAGAAAGATGATGTCCATGGAGTCCTGACACCTGAAAACAGACAACGAAAAAAGAAGGTCCAGTTTACAGATCACCTTATTGAAAGCAGGGACGAGAGGCTCGAACGTCTTGTCAAAGCATTGAAAGAGGAAGATCAAGAAAACGAGGATATGATTGCCTCAGTAAAAAATAGATACTCGAAGAGTCTGGTGGAAGCTCAGAAAGGACAGAAAAATAAACTGAAAAAAGACGCAGAGAAGCCTTTTCCTAGAATGGTATTTTGATATTTCTTCATGTTTTAGGTAATAGATATGAAATATTTTTAAACAGGCACGAATTATTCTTTGTAATAGGCCAAAGTAGTATGAAAACCCACTTAAAAGCAATTTGATTGGTTCATTATAGTGAATATGTAGATGTCCTGCTATTAGCCCATTTTTTAAAAACCATATCAAAGAAATCTTGTAGAAATATTATAATAAGTATTAGATATATGTAAGAAGTGTTAGATATTTAATACGATAAAAGCTCTTGCAGAAATGCTGAGCGAATTGTCTTATTCTTTGTCTTTAAAATTGTGTTTGAATTTGATTCAATCGATAAAATTTGCCCACTGACACAGGAAAGCATGACCCCACAAAGCACGAATCACTGCGCAAGTAGATTGGCCAGGATTTATGGACAACGTGCTCGCAAGCCGACGAGAGATGTTAGCAAGCAGAGAAAAAGAAGTGCATCTAGCAGCCCTGTTGCAAAGAGCCGCAGAAAAGGAAGATGTGAGTATTTGTGCTTGTAGTGAATATATATATCTTCCTTTGGAAATGATATTTAAACGTAGGTGAAATAGAACGAAGTACACAATATTTGTCTATCTCGGGAGCCTGCAAGTGTTACAGAAAATTTAGTCTGGAAGAAAACTTATGATGACAAAGGTTTTTTTTATATATAGTCAAGTCAAGAAAATTCAAGTCAAATTAAGTCTAGTCAGCCAAGCTTCTAAGTCCTGGGTAAAAATTTAGTACTTTGTCAATTAAACTATGGCTGGTACTTGGTAATAAAAATTGTATTTTTAGTATTTGGAGTTGACACGTAAATCATCACGTTAAAATTTGCTTCATATTTTAAGCAACTTGGAATAGCATAATGACTTTCTCAGGCTTTTCATTATAATTAAGTCATGCTATAGCGTTGCAATTCGTGTTTCAGTGGTGGTTGAAGAGGAAGACATTCTCCCATTAATGAAAGAGGAGTTCCCTCATTTATATCTGTCTCCAGTTACTGCAAGACTGATGTGGCAGAAACAAATGAGGCAGATTTCCAACCTCACGAAAGCAGCTCATCTCAGAAAGCCGACTGTAATTCAAAGACATATTGAAGAATCAAAACGAAAACAAGAAGCTCTAGTGGAAATCATGAAAAAAGAACTGGAACATAATCGGAGACAGGTAATTTCTTTCCTTTACATTAGTTTGAGAACTGGTATCTTTTGGTAATGATTCGACGAAGCAGCAGAGAAAATCATTTGCTCTATTTTTTATCTAGTTTTAGATTTTCACTTTTGTTTTAACAAAGCATTTACCTTGTCAGCAGTGATCTCTACACAGGACCGGATAGTATACACAATTTCTCGCTATTTTTTGAATTTTTGAAATGTGCGGACTGGAACCTGGTTTTGTTGGGATAAAGGACAAAAATACTTGAAAAACTACTGTATAGGAATGAAATGTGTGATAATGACATAGCTTTGTTGCTGTATTATCGAGAAAATACATCTTCAAACAAACGCAAACTAGCTATTCAATTCATTAAATAAAAGCCTTGCTCACTACAGATTTGTTCTCTTTAAATGAAGGCCCAAGTGAACGAATAAATTAGATAAAATTGGTTTTGCTACTTGATGACGATACTTAACACGACAAGTGGAATTTCCTCTCTGATGCCCTCCCTTCCCATGAGGCATTTCGCCAGGCGATTTTCACTTTGATCCCTCCTCCTCAAAACATTAGCCAGTATGTTGTAACTTTACTGTTGTTTTGACTGATTTCAGAAAGAGGCTAAGGAAAAGTCAAGGGAGCAGCGGCAAGTTAAAAACAAGCTCAGAGAAAGGCGACTGGCCTCTGCGAGGGCACGTAGATATTACGATGATTATCAAGTTCGTATGCGTGCACGGATGCTGAAAAGGCGCACGAAGGAGGAAAAGGTATAATTGATTAGGAATTTTTGCATTTATGGGCTCCATTTTGTGACAAGGTCATGACCATGCACGCAAGGTGTCAAATATTGCACTCATTAACACAGTCTGTATGCCTTCACCAATTTAGTGAACTGATTATTTCATATGGTTGTAGGGCCCTTTTAGAAAATACAATCGAAAATTATTCAACAGTCTTTTCCGTTGGTAAGCTGGTGATTTAAGGGATGGTCCTGGCGCAAAAGCAATCAGAAACTTTGCGCCAAAGCAAGCAGAAAACATACATTAACAACTACCACACCTTTAAAAGAATGACGATATTAAGATGGAGAATAATTTGCATTTACTGCCATTTCAATCTGTTAACTTTATTAGGCACTCAAATCATATGCTCATATACGCGAATCATTACAAATGCTGCTCAAGTGACTACAGGTTTTGTGATTTTTGACTTTGGAAATTAAGATTGATTTGTAAAATTGTAACATGTAGACTTTTCTTTGAATATTTGGTCTTTCAATCATCTCTCACGATTTCCTTTTCTTAACAAAGATATTCAAGCAATTGTTTGAGGACGCTCTGGAAATTCAAAAGCAAAGAGTGAGAGAGATTCGATCGTATGCTAAAGAGCAGAGAGCTGTGGACACCCAGCGGAAACAGAATGAGTTAGATTCGATTGAAAATTTGTATCCTTTTCAAAACCAGTGATTACTCTTTCAGTGATAGTTGTTTTGTCAAAAATACAACATAGAATGGATGATAAAGTCATCAAGGTTTTCGAAGTTATGATTTTCCAATTTGTAATTTTCATATGTTTATGAATTCAAAAGATCGCATATTTTTTATATTGTACAAGGATCTCCTCCTAGCCAAAATTGCATTAATTTTTCCAAGTAATTCTTAAGCTAATTTTAGTAATGATCATATCAATTGATGTTTACGTGAGATTTTGGCTCAATTTTGCTTCATTTATATATGAAATATAAGCAACTAATGTACAGAATAATAGTTATCATCAATATAAACAGAAGCTTTAGGCTCTTTGACTTGTCAGCTATCGTGATCAATTTTCAATGATGGCAGAGGCAGTGGCGAGAGAACGCTACGAAATACAAGTGCGGGAAAAGGCCCAAGCAAAGGTGAGGATAATTATTCATGTTGATCGATCTATTTGCTCTGTCAATGTGAACGTCTGGAGTTGACTGAAAATTCAGTTTGATAAATCGGTGCCATACGGTCTCAAATAACCCTTGTTTTCAACCGATTTTTAGAGAGAAATGAATGCTGTTCTGAATCCTTTGAAGCAGGTAGCAGACTCCTCCCACTCGTGCGTGTGTTACCTGCTTCTTATCACAAACAACAATCTTTCAGTCTAGAATACAGGTTCTGTTTACAAAAAAAACAGAAAAGATGCTGAACACTGTCGTTTCGAAAGGTCTCTTGTAAGCAAAAGGTGTTTTTAGGAACTCTTCTTGCTGGCTTTCAAAAAGACAACTTCTTCCTTTGCCATGTTCAGTGAGTCTGATTGGTCCAAATCATACCCTCTTATTTGATTGGCTGAATTTGTCTGGCAGTTTCATAGAGTGGTCTACTAATAACAAGATGCTGCTTTCCTTCACTGACATGGGCTACCCGTTAAGGATTTCCCTTTCCTAAAACATCGGATGATCTTCTTTGAATATACTGTTAAGTCTCCATGTTTTTGTTGATTTCTTAATCTTAGACAACATGGAAAAAGCGAAATTAAAGCGCTGACTCGCCCTTGTTTTCACGTAAATGACAAATTGTGATTGTTTAAAACTGAGGGTCACTTGACTTAAAACCGAGCCAACATTCGCTTCATCAACATTGAAGCGATTTTTTATCCACTTCTTGAGAATTAAGCTGTGGATATACTTAAGTTAATAAATATTAATTGTATTGGGGTGGGAGGGGGTTGAGCTAGCTGTTGAGCAGCTGCTGTATAACCAAAACATTTTCGTCGTAACTTTCCAAAACATTTTCGTCGTAACTTTCCAAAACATTTTCGTCGTAACTTTCCAAAACATTTACGTCGTCGTTACGTCGTATAACCAAAACATTTTCGTCGTAACTTTCCAAAACATTTACGTCGTCGTTACGTCGTTTAACCAAAACAATTTCGTCGTAACTTTCCTGTCTTCATTTTTTTGCAACAGGTTTGTTCCGCAATATTTTACCTGAACTGAAATGTGAAACAGATTACACCTGCGAAAATTAAAGTTCATTTGAGGCTTGAGAATTGTCTGGCTTTTGTTTTTTCTCTTTAACTCTATGGTGAAAAGCACCTGTTTAAAGGTTGTTTCGAATTATCATGCATATCTGTGGGAAGAACCAGTGTTGAATTATTCATAAATCATTAATATTAAAAATCGAGTTTACCCATAATAACGCTTTTCTCAAAATTCGTCAAAACTCAAAACTCCATACTGTCAGTGAATAAAAAATTAATCTATGTTTCCCAGATTTTTGTTAAAAAGGGGTGAATATTATTAAGGTAAGCAATTATTTGAGGTAACCATAAATTTTAGCAGACGTTTGGTTGTCTGATGAGATCCATGAACAACAATGTGTAATGTTTCAAGCAGTATTGGCCAAGCTTTGTATTTTTTTTGTTTTCAATTTATAATCAAAATCAGTATTCCGTTTACTACGCATAGTTGTTCATTGTAAGTTGCATAAAAGATATGATTTTGTCAAATTTTGTTGATAAAGATTTTTAAAAAGGAGCTGATGCTTGTCCTGTAAAGATATCTGGTAAATTCATTTCTTCACTAATTAATATGACCTGACAGCTTTTTTGACCCATAAATCCAACATTTTCTAATTTGTAAGTAATAGCTTACTGCTGATTACCTATTTGGTTCATTCAAACACTGGTTCTCTAAATAAATGAGATTATTTCTCGTTGGCATAAGGATCGTCTGGTCATTCACTCCTTGTCAAAGCCTATTTTGGCACTTTACATTGATCCGTGTCACCAAAAAGAACTTTACTTTAACTTTGTTTATGTTGGACATATATGAAAAAATGGAATGTTTGCTACCTGGCTATTAAGTTCAGATGTGTAACGATTAACCATGTCTAGAGTAAATGGAATAACCATTTATAATATTGTTAGTGCGGATCAATCCGGATCCGGTCTATTGTTAATAGGATCTTGAATAAAACACAATGGTTAAGTCAAGTTTAATGTTTATTTTGAGTAACTTTAGTCTTCTACAGTCGTAACTCTCATAGAGTCATGTTTTGCAATGATATCAGGTTTTTAGGCTGTAAGCGAATGAACTCTATATAAAATTATTTTTGCACATATAGGCTTTTGAATGCATAGCTACACTGACGTGACCACCGCATGATCAGCTTTAGAACCCATATATTTCGCTATGTACTTTAATGTTTGGAATCATTAATACCAGCAAATGATCCAGACCAAGCGAGTGACCCGTCAATCGATATATCACAGTTACAGCTTTGCAACTGCATTCTGAAAAGTATATTCATACGTACACCAAAGAAACGCAAGATTTTTCTCTACGTCAACATGATACCCTGGGTTCTTTAGAGAAAGCAAAAATCAAAATATGATACAGAGGTATAACAAATAACATCGCAACCTTAGCTTTTGTTAATCCTGTTTTGCGTTCATGTTAATAGCATTAGAATGTCTACTTTTAATTCACTGTGATTGGTCAGTTGTTTTGGGAGTGCCGCGTTTAGAACATTTTCAGTCTTGAAAAATGCTTAAATCTGAATTTATTTCATTAATACTGCATTAACCATTCGAAATTTGAAAGCCAATTATAATTTTCGAGGCTAAAATCAATTATGCATAGTGGCTGGGCTATGTATTTGTAAATATGAGTTCAAAGAGCGAGATAGGAATCTAGACACAAATGTATGATGTAACTTATTAGTATGAATGTATTTGTTGGGAAGATAAGTCTTAGATTTCCATTGATTAGGGCTATTTAAATATCCATTTGTCTGAACCAATGAGAAACGTGCGTCATATGTACATGCGCATTGGGGTGAAGGCTTGCAGAAGAAACTTCCATCTCATAGTAATCCTAGCCTTTAGTAAAAAACTATACATCATATTTGCATATTTGCATCAAATAAAACAGAATTTTAATGTTTTCCTCATAACGCAATTTTCTCTAAATTTTCTTCATCTGTTCATTCGAGGCTGGCTTATTCCAACAAGAATCATGAATGTTCCTACAGTACCACGCGCGATATGAGAAGGACTTGATAGATTTTCAACTGCGCATGTGCACATGATACAAAATTTTGAATGCCAAACGACCTTTAGACAAATGCCGGTTTGTCTCCCCACTACTGTAATGCGAAATGCCTTTTTGGGGATATCGATATAAGAAGCTATTAATTGAGCGGCTATGTTCGCGCGTGGGCTTTTTTCAGAGCCCTTGGCTTTTTTTCAGAGCATAGCTTTGGTATTTTTGATATGGTTTAGGCCAAGGTTGGCAAAACATGTAGAAAGCACGAAGAGACACGTGTCATTATTTTTTAAGCTATGCAGTAGCCTCTTTTTCTGTTATGTAGTAGCTTCTTATTCTGTTATGCAGTAGCCTCTTTTTCTGTTATGCAGTAGCCTTACCGTGGTAAATAGTAAGGGAAGCACTGTGATTCACCAGGACTGTATTAGATTCAAACGATCAGCAGTTCTTTTCTTTCGTTTTTCTTTGCTCTGTTGTTAGAGAGCTGCGGTTAAACCTCACTTTCATGTGTAGGAACCTAACAAAATGTGTAGGAACCGAAAAAGTAACATTTCTAGCTGTTCTCTCTAAGCTTTGTATCAGATCTAGAAATTGATGTTATTTGGATTAATGTTTTTCGAACAGCAATCGACGCTTTGCCAACATGATATTCTGGCATGTGAAGGAATTAGCCTGTTCTCTGTTTTAAAATGGAAGGAGAAATAAGGGTTCCACTTCCTCTTCTTTGTACAAAATAACCATTTTACGCCAAATGTATATTGCACAAACTGAAAATATAATCCACTAAATTAGTTGAAAAACTCTTCAGACCTTTTTTGAGACGCCGCGCGTAATCACTGAAAGTCCTAGCTCACGTTTATAATCGTTTCAGTTAACAACATCTAATGAGATTTTTTTCGATTCTTGTTTTTTTTAACCAAAGCCAAAGATGGTCTCAGAAACGTCTAAGGAGCTTAAAAAGATGAAAAAAATTCAAACACTGCTGTTTATTTCGTAAGAGCTGCAAGACTATACTTTTTAAAAGCATTTTTTTGGTTCTTTAAAAATAAAGAGCACCACTAAAATATTCTAAAAATACGTAGGACCAAGATACTTTGAGTTAATTCTTGGGTTTGAATACCATAATCTAAAGCAGCTTAAAAATTTAACTGTTCTCAGTATGTACATGTAGTGCCCAGTCTATTTTTAGGACCCTTTTTGGGCCATACCTTTTCCACTGAAAAACTTGTGTTCGAATTGGAAGACATAGAGAAGATTCTTTTGGAAAATGACTATCCGATAACCTAGTCTTTTTGGAAAAATGTCTCCGGTTACCGTTGAATAAATCACCTGGCACATGTTTACCCTCCTTGGGTGTTCCTCTTGGCATGTTTTGGAAAAAACTTTGAAATAATCGTGAATGGCCAAAAGGTTGTTATAAAATTCCATGCCCCCTTAGGTATCGTTACGGTTCTGTCGCAGTGTGCGGTAATTTTTTATAAGGATAGAAAAAAGTTTGTCTTTGCAAACATGGTGGATGGATATGAAGTTTAAAAAGTGTGCCTAAAATCCTAAGAAGCATTGTACAACCAAAAATCACCCCCCATTTGTTGTATCTCTGAATGGACGTAGCTAATTCTGCTAATAACCAAGTTTTAAAAGTAGTGCGAAATTGTATACTTTTGCGCTATTCATAGTCTTGAATAATCTGCTTCTTTTTAGGTGGTTGATAACATGCGAAAAGGAATACGACAGCGCATGGAAAACGATATAAAGTGTTTGCAAGACGAACTAGTAAAAGATGAAGACTCGGCCTACTTCCGTCAACTGGATGCAGAGCACCTACGAAAAGAGCTACAGCTTGCTACTTACAAGATGCGTATGTAAACACACAACTCCTTATCCAATTAACTGAATATTCTTCTAGTTAATTAGCCCTCAATTGGTAATGCTATTATTGCAAGTCCTAACACACATAACGCATATCTAAAGCTTAGCCATCGAAATATGCGTGAGAACCTAAGATTGCTCGAAGATCAGTAAACTTTTATGGCAAGATCCCGACTATAAAAGCAATTGCTAAGGTAGCTATAGCGAAATTATATTGCGCTTTTAGCTTGGAAAAAATACACTGATGTAGTGTAAAAAAGATTGCAACTGGTAATGTCGATGGTTTTTATATTTCCAATGCACAAAGTTTAGTGCAGTTTTAGTTGAAAAAAGGACGGAGTTTTTCTTGCGATGCAGTATAATGAAGATTGTCTGATTGAGCAATGAAATCTGGCGGCAAAGTAAACAACATTACTTTTTTATCTCTTAAGGATTGCAAAGCCTAAAATTTGTGGTTAAGGCGATTTGTTAGTTTATTTCTTTGAATTTTCCTTTATGGAACTTGATTACTATGTTGTCTCGGATAAAACTTCGTCTTCAGATCAGAAAATACTTGCTGCTGTAGCAAAAGGCTATCCTCCAACGTAATAATGCAAATTTGGACCTTAATGCCTAACTTCTGTATACGAAATTGAAGTTTATCTTCCAAAGCTAACATTGTATGCCAAAATATGAGGCCTTCAAACGGCCAAATAACCTCTGTGAGGCTATCAAGCAAAGTCCCCATTCCAGCAATCGGTTTTGTTCGTGTTTTCAGAAAGCTTTTCGAACCCTTTTGGCATTGTCCGTCGAAGTGATGAGCCACAATGACTCGCTACTCAAGTTATTTTGCCCAACTATAGAAAGCTCTTCACCTTATTCCATTGTGCAGTCAGGGAAGCCGAGTAAACAAAGTCTATGTAGCTTATTTATAGAGACATACTGGTTCATTAGCAGTTTTTGTATTCAACGACGCCAAGTTGCTGTACGTTGATCATATTATCCCCTAGCTTGTAGACAATCTGCTGTAAAGTTGTTAAGCGCGCTTGCTATTCCCAAAGAAACATAACTATTTTTTAAGCTTCGAATTGCGGTATTTCTGCTGACAGCGGCGCCTGTAAATCTTGCTGGTATAAGTGAAAACAGAAATGGAAGCAGTTTTAGTGTGAATAAGAAAGACATGATCTGTTTTCAGGGAATTATCTCTCATTAAAAGCCAGGTATGGAAACTATATCCACCGCTCCTCAGGCTTGAACACAAAGAAACAACAACATTTGAATTAAGCGAGGACTGTATCTATCCAAAATATTCAGCTGCTAACCGGCCTACATTTTACTATCAGCAAAAACACGTGCATCAAGTATGACATTGCCTCCCCCTATGCTAAGAGTGTCATACTGGCATGCTGCCAAGCTTACGCAGGGTAACTTCGCACGCCTATGCTCGATGCTCCCTAGCGCTCCGCCACACCAAGTCAATAGCATTTGGTTATGCCGCAAGGTCTTCGTACGACTATTAGCCTTCAAGTATTTGTAATACAGTTCTAAATCAAGATAATCATGCCTGGAATGTATGCAGTAAGCGTCTTTTAGGACTTAATAATCGTTCTGAAATACAACGATTGAATCAAATTCTCGTTTTCTTTTTAAAATCTTTTGTGTGCAAGTATTAGCATGATTTTGAGCTATAATCTAACAATTTGTGCCTTTATTTTTATGTTTACGTTTTCACTACAAAAGTTTCATGCCATATTTAACACCTATCCTTGTAAATCATTTAATACCAAGTTTACACGATGTCCATGTCTCAGGGTAAACAGAAAGACGATGCGGTATGAATTTTTATACCGTACGCCACGCCTTTTGAGACAGTTTTTCGTCGTACTCATTTGACTGCAGTATCACGTAAACGGTGTGCAAGCCAAAGATACTGGATAATAGTGGCGTATCTACAACCAAATCGTCGATTTCCGCTTGCGCATGCATTCAGTCACATTCGCTTGATGATGAAGAAAGTGAAGTGAATATCCTGTACTGGTTTTCCTGTAAAAGCACTTCTTTGTTATCTGTCAACAGCACTTATTGTTTCTTTTTCTCTCTACGAATGTGATTTTCAAACAGGCTTGATCTTGAAGATCAACACAAAGATGCCTTGTTTTTTAAAGAAACTACAGTAGTAAAACTACCTTCCTCCTTAGCAGCAGACATGTTCCTCGAAAGCACCAAAAAGCTCCCTTGCTGCCGATAAATATCTTCATGAATTTTCCTCATCATTTGAAAAAATCATCTTCATAGGCAAAAATATTTTTCTTTAAAACATCAAAAAGATTTTCATTGATGAATGTACAGATACTTGCTAAATGTAGAAGACAATTATTGCTGATGTTGAAGACATCTTGCCAATAAAGAAAGATTTTTGTAAAGAAAGACATAGGCAAAAATATTTTTCTTTAAAACATCAAAAAGCTGCCTCAATACCGAATGAATCTTCCCATTTTTCATCTATAATTTTCCACATAGGTACCAAAATCCCTCAACCTGAAAATTTGGCGAAAATTTCCCTCAACAGGAACAAGAGTCTCCATAGCTACGTAGCCTCCTTCATCGGCCATAATTATTTGTCACAAGCAACAAAAACCTTTATCAGCAACCAATGAATTTTTCATTCCTAAAAGATATCTTCTTCATTGGAAACAAAAACTTTCTTTTTTGGAAACTGGAATCTTCTACGCTGGAGGGAAAAGCCTTCTTCGTTAGGAAGAAACAACTTGATTGGCACAGAAAAATATTCATTGTCAACAAAAATGTTCTTCATTAGCAATGAATATATTCTTAAATTGCAAGAAGTATCACCTTTATCGACCACAAAACATCAAGACTAGCAACAAATTTTATCTACGTTGGCAACAAATATATTTTCCATTGCAAAAATATTTCTTTATTGGCAAGAAAAGTCTTCAACATCAGCAATAATTCTCGTACATTCAGCAAGTATCATCAATGTACATTCATCAATGAAAATCTTCTTCGTTAGCTGCATTATCAACAAAAATTGTCTGCTTTGGCGACGAATATATTTTCCATTGGCAAGAAATATCTTATTCTATGGAATATATATCCGTTTTATCGTCAACAAGTATCTTCTTCGTTGGAAATAAAAGTTTCTTACGTCTATCTTGAATAAGCTTCGTCACTAATACGAAGTCCTTAATTTTTCTTATTTTCAAAATGCATATCAGTCACATGAATAAATTTTCTCAATGAAACACAAACTTTCAATATGATTCCAAATAGTCTGATTGATGAAGTATTTTCAAGGCATCACTTTCAAGTGTTTAATTATTCCATTCTCCGAGGTTTCCCTTTGAAGAAAATTTACCACATATCACTTTCACAAGTACATAGGTGCTCATATCTTCGCATTTCTGCTAGTGCCGTAAAATGTCATGTGCTTCTTTAGAATCCCAACGTCATAAAGATCTATGTTTAGAATTTTGGCAACATGATCTGAGCATTATGAAATGCAAAAACGGTTAAATGTGTTACATATTGGTTGAGATATGGTCACATAACTACAGGCTCATTCCCCATCAAATCACAGTGCTTTGGACGTGGCTATGAAATCTATGACCCGTCCAAATCCAACAATTCAAAAAACTCTATACACTGACTCTACACTTTTATAGGTATTTCATGGTAATCTTTGGGTTTATAGGGTTTATGACATCACAATTCAGAACTCTGTATGGATTAGACTGGTTCGATCTATTGTCAAAGTGATTACAGCTCTCTGTGATGAAGGAGAGCAAGGCAGAGAGATAACGTGTACCCACAGGCATTGGGTGTTGCTCAACTTTCTTTATATTGTTTACAATCCTGACTTTACAGTGTCCTTTCCTTGGGTGTTCTTAGACTCTAATATTTTAGTATGGTTATTCATTGGTTGCCATGCTTTCATTCTCAATTCACATTATCCTTCTTAAGATTTTAGTAGTACCTTTAGATAATGAGGTATGTTTTTTTGCTCCACGAAAATTTGTATGAAGCATTCAGAAGTTGTTTTCCTTCATACGAATAAGTATGTAGCTCTGCGGTGGTCAAGAATTTGTTTATCAAAGGAGACTATAAAAAGGCTTTACAAAGCAACTGAATAGACCATTGACCGACGTACAAAGTTTATTACGTCACAAAAACAAAGCATTGGCAAATCTATATAGCAACAAAATGATTTTCTAACGGTAAATCATTCAACTCTATACAACAACGATTTCACTGTTGTTGCCGCGCTTAACGTCCACAATAAGAACTCCAAAACAATGCCTTTGAAACAGAAACAGACAGTTTACTGTTGTTGCAACAAACGATATTTATAGCAAGATCCCTGACCTTAGACCCAAAGCTAATTAGATACTTCCTAAACACTATATTAGCCCAAGAAGAAAGCTGTTTGATCAAGCCAACAGCGAAATTCTTATTTCGAAAAGTGGTTTTTAGGAATAAATGATATATTCCACAAATTTGATATTTATTAATAGTACTCAAATTTGGCACGTTTATCGCTTTTTAAGTAGCAATAGGCCGCGGTTTTTCTTCTTGTGACATTCCTGAAATTTCACTTTTACCCACTGATGATATCAATGACCTTGAAGGAGACTTGGTTACCCAACAACGAGGATAGTATTTCTATACATTGGTTGGCTTTACATCGTTTTTATCAGTTAGGTGATATCTAAGTGACGTCATCATCTGCATACTTTTGTATCCTGCCAATCCTCTGAGGAAAAAAGCATTATATTCTAATCCCAGCAACCACATTTTTAGCATGGAATCGAGATAAAAGATAAGATAGATACTTCACGTCATAGGTTTCAAGTTCCCTCTAAAATCTAAACGATGTGTTACTTGGAAGAAAAAAATTCTATCGATGTGGCTCGAGCCGCTTTATCAGTTCAATCCCGTTAAAGTTTTTTTTTGGTTTCGTCACTGTCTCTCTTCCATTCAAAGTCTGATTTCATGCAAGTGTTTGACTTTGGCGAATAGCCACTTTAAAACTGCTTTTCGTTGTTATAACCTTATTTGCCATTAATCTGGAAAAAAGGTTTATCTCTAATCTTCAGTTTTATAGGTTTAAGTTTTTGAAACTTTTTCGTGGCTTAATGGAGTTGGGCAGGAAACCAACAGCTCTTTCGAAAATTATTTCGCCTCACCCCTTGCCCCTTTTCACTACTGTTAAATAGAAGCATATTCAAGCCTCGCATCCATAGGATCTATGATATCACATCACTAAACAGCACCAAATATCACAGGCTTACGTTGGTAACTTCTTCAATCACGCTTGCTTTTGTGACCGAACAATTTTATTATCCAAAGACTAACCAGATTTTCACAACAGAAGTAATCAGTTGAAATTTTGCTTCTTGGACAATTCAAGCATTCCTAAGCCTGTAGCGTAGAAAACATCTGCCGTTAGGAAGGATTCAGTTTACTAGAAAGGCCCTTTTAAAAAACTGGTTGTAGAAACTCACGATGATCTTTCTTTGTCTGGTTCAGATACGATACGGGAGGTGGATGACGTGATAGACTTGTTAATCTATGTCGTATCAATCCAAAGTTGTCTACCAAGATAACAATTTACAATTTTAAATGCTGACAAAATCTTCTCTGATGCTTCATTTGTTTCCGTTTTAACTAAACGATTTCCTTTTCTTCAGAGACCAAGCCTGAAGATAACGCCACAATATTTCATAGCTCTGCTAGGATCAGCTCAAAATATATGTTAAGAAGATGCTTTTAGAAAAGCTCCTTTTTGGGGAGTTGTTTCAGTGTTGAGTCTGCCACATTTGCCAATTGAAAATTTATATTTATAAATATAAAGCCAAAACTTTCATCGATGTAGAAGTTGGGGCATATCTTATCAAAATCACTATGTAATGTTCCCTGAGCTACGTAGATAAGCTTTTAAATTTGCATCTTTGCTTTGGGCAGTCCAAATATTTCGTTTTTTGACCAGTAATATTTCATGTCTTTGTACGTGTTGATAAGTGACGTACCTCTCGGCTGCAACCTTACCGAGTATGTATCTTATAGATGTAAACGAAAATTCCTGGTGTCTTTGTAAGAAGCTAGCAACTAGTAGAAATGGTTTCATTTCAATTGCATGCACTAGGAAAGGATCACGATTTTGGTAAAATGCTCTATCGCTTGGGTAAGTCAGGTGCATCTAAACTGAATTAACTACTTTTAGGGGGTTACCTGATACATTCACCTATCTCTAAAGAAATCTTGCTCCTTCGTTTATCTTTCAATAGCAATGATAATGTCACCTTTAAAATATGTGGAATTTTAAGACAAATTTAACTGTCTTAGGTGTTTTCCAAGAAAAAACCACTGTGTTGAATGAAGCACCATTAGTAATCTTCATTATCAGGCAACTTTGCAGACAACAGACGTTTGGCTAACGGGCTGTTTTCTAGACAATTGGCCTGTCCTGCTTTTCTAATCCTTTCCCTACTTATAGATTTGAGTAGAAAAGGTTTCGAGTAAAGACCTCCTCCAAAGTGGTCTTTCGTGGATAAGCAGAAAACGATTTTGAATCTGACGTCATTACCAAGTGCTATCTGGCCATTACCTTGTGACACCAACAAACTAAGGGGCTTTACGAAGAGACTCTACAACGTTGTGGTTTTGCATGGAATTCCCAGTTTTCTATTTTACACCATCGCATTTCATTCGTGAAAGTTTCAAGTGATATTCAAATGGTTTTTTAGCTTGTTTTGCACCCATGAACTAGTTTAAGCTCCGTGAAGATTTTTCCACCGCTATGGCTTTTCTCAACTAAAAAGCTATCCATCTTTGTTCCAGTTCTTGTGTTTAGACCTTCGTTCAAAAGATTAATCTGACAGAGATGCATCGTTTTTCCTTTGTTAGCGATATGATTTGGAGAAAAACAGATCAGAAGAAGGTTTAAGGAACTCTTTATCAATTAATCTTGGATTAGCTGATCAATGAACAAAATCGTCGATGGAAGTCAAATTGTAAAGGATGACGTCATAACTTGCAAAGACCTTCGATATAAATGACTGTTAAGGCTGGGTCAAAATGCGTTATTAGTCGTTTTCGACATTTCTGCGTGTTTCTATCTCAAGTGAATGCAAGTAGAAAGCTTTGGAGATCCAACGAGTGAACCTTTCCAAGCTGATTTTGATAGCAAGTGCTTCGCTTCATTCATTGGTGAAAGCGTTGTCTATTTAATCTGGATTTAGTTCTAGAATGGTATTAAATATGCGATTTAAACCTGGTTTTAAAATTTCAAGGAAAACGAAGTTTAATGGCCTTGGGGCGATTGGCTGTTTTTATGTCTGCCTCAACGTGCGTTGACACAATTCAATAATTTATAAAGAGAGTTTGAATTCTTTTTTAACTGACAGTACTTTGAATTGTTAGACGAATGTCACCCCACCTTCGGTCTGTTTGCCTAGCCCCATAAAAATTATTTTTCTTGTTCCACGCAAAATTGCTTGTCTTAAAGGTTTTTAAACTCTCAGCACTGGTCTAGAGTTGTCAAGAAACCTTCCATTTCTACTTCTGTAAGAGATACCATTTTGTTTTCCATGGTAACAGAAAATCAGAAAATCTTGTCTTCGATGCAAGGCAAACAACAATTTTTCTCTCTTACAATAGAAGTACGAAAATTGGATGAATTTTCTGTCACCCCGAAATTGTTCCAAGAAACTTTTAACATCTGATTCTATGAAAAAATAAATAAAATTAGTATTGAGAATTATCTAAATTTCATGATGTGTGTGTAGTGTTATTAACTGACATCTACACTGCGCTTCTTTGGTTTTCTGGTATTTTTCATAGATTGCGTTAACCAATCTCAGTTGAAATGTGTTGAAATGCAAGCACTATGATGACAAGAATAATGGGGCTCCTTGCCTGTACATTTATTAGAGGAAACTTAAATCATGCCTGTTTTGCTAATGTATATTGTATACCATTTGTAACAAACACAACATTTCATGTTTGTTGTACTTAGCTTTAGGTCGTTTGTGCCGACATGAGTTATCTGAAATTAAGTGACTCAGTTGTTTTTGACAATTTCGGGCGAGGACTGCAGTCAATTGGACTCGTTAGCTTCTTAAGTTAGAACTGTGTAGAGCAGATTATGGAAAACATAAAAATCTGTCGCTTTTGGTATCATTTTATCTCTGGCGTTTAAGGCAATGCACAAGTAGCCTGCTTTGAAGGCAGTTTGGCTTGTTTTAAACCAACTAAGGCTATGTAACAGCGTATCTTGCATGATATACAAGTAGCTTGATCTACTTTCAGATAACAACTGAGTTAATGTACACTTTATTTACATTCTTAAAGGCTGTTCTTCGAACTTCATTCTTTATAGATACATTGCCATCAATGACCAATAACAATGTGTTTTCGGCTGTTTCTACTTGTCCTTTGAAGTTTACTTTTTCCTAAATTCACAAATAGCAGTGGTCTAGAGGCCTTGGTCTGTGTAAAGAAGTTGCACTTGATAATTTTCGTAATTACTTTGCTGAATTAACGGACAACTGATTGAAATATTTTCTCCTTCACGACATGAAAAGAACTGCAAAGAGACTGCAAACAGCGGCCTTGTTATTACCTCAAGCGTTTATATTATTCTGCCTTTCTCATACATGCTAACAAAAAACCCGAAGGATTTGATTCAAAGCTCCAAGCTTCATCCGTTTAGGCCTTATTGTCGATATGAAGCCACTTGTTTGCTGAGCCACTTGTTCTGTTGCTTTGAAAGTATTATTTGCATATTGGAGAAAGATTGTAATAATCCAGTTCAAATGCTCGCAAAACACAGCTCCTTTGTCTTAAATCGAACGAAACAGCAGTTTCAAGCTGAGTAATTTAGGTTCGTCCTTTTACCCACACATTTATCACGTGTTGGCCTCAGAAAAAGAGTTCCTCGGGCATCAATGCTTAACCGTTATGTTCATATGTTCAGTTCATTTGAAAAAGCGGCTAGCAGTGTTGAACTTGAAAGGTTATTGTGATTGATCCTATATCAGCTAAGAAATCTAATAAGAGTTCGCTTATAAGATTTAAACGCTATGGTTGCTCGCTAAATTTGCGGCTTCAACTAACCGCCTCGCTCGGCCGCGCGTCATCTGTGGAGCATAATTGGCCGTAAAAGCAGCACTTGTGAAGTTTCTTACAACAGAGCTGTAAGAACTGGAGGCACGTGACCTCCAATTAACAGAAAAAGAAATCAAGTTCCTATTGAGCCCATACTTTTGTCACTTTTTTGCCTATACCTTCACGCCATTTTCAGTGCGTCCTACGACCATGTTTAACTTTGGGTCAACTGAATTTTTATTGGGAGGGGATAAGACTAGAAAAGGGCCTGTCACAAGCACACGTCTGATGCTTGTTGCATAATATGGAGCTAAATTGCCCTACCCACTGTATTTGTAGTTTTTTAATTAACCAACTCACAGCATCACTTTTTTATATAATCAAGTTCATCGGCTTGTGAATAATGTCACAAAGAAAGGAAATATCCATTGCATTGTTACTTGTACTTAAGTGTTGCATTTTTGCGGGTATGGTATCTGTCAAAATATCAATTCAGTCTATACTTAGTAAACCTTGTTAAATATTGACAAAAGAAGGAAAATTGAATGCTTTCCCAGTGATAAAAAAGTTGCTTGTTTCCCTGCTCAAACTTTTGTTTCCAGATTTACATCTGACAACAAAGAACATTCATATAATGGCTAAATTTAATTTTACAGTGAAGCAATTATCAGTGGCCATTTTTTATTATTATTACCTATTACTTTAACTATTCACCAAATACTCCCTACCAATTTACTTTTCCTCTAAATTTTACCTTTTAACCTTCTCGAATGTAATCTAGCCACTTTTGAAGAAATATCAGCGACAACCCCGACTATTTTCGCTGCTAGGGTACATGCTTTATAGAAAGCTAACGATGTTTCATTTATTTTCGTATCTTATTGCAAATATTTTGTCTGCTCCCTTTAACAATTTGCTAAAATTGAGTTTAAATGCTGCACTCTGCAAACAGATGTTACTTTGCTAAATAAAACCCATTTCTTATAAATTCTATAAAAAAGTGTCAAATGTTGCAGCTGTAACTGCGAATCTGTCAAGCATTTTCACAGGTTTTCCTTCAAGTGAGAAAAGAGCCTTTGTTTCCGTTTGTAAGCTTTCAATATCTCAATGGATTCCGGGGTCATTAGCAACTACGATGTATTCATCTTATCGATGTATCTTATCTATGAGCCCTCTGCACTGGTACAATACCTCCTCAGTAATCGTCAATGACCACCTTCAGTTTCCATGCTATATTCACGTGTGTCAGACCCCTGTTGGCAAAGTGCCGCAATCAACCAGTTGTTCATGCTAATTCCCTCAATCCGCTAGTACTCCAAAAAGCCACATTTTAACGAAGCCACTGCTGTTGAGCAAATCTCCTTTCCTGTTCAAGCAATTTGGAATTTTCGCAGACTTCTAAAGACCACAAGGAGGGATGCTTTCTCCTATTTTAGTTGTTCCTCACAACGTCTGAAATTTTCTTTAAACTCAAGTTACTTCTGCACCTTTCTGCTGTAGCTATAATTGATACATTACTTAGTATCAAACGCAATATTAAGCTTGATATTTATAAAAAAAGGTTCTTAATCAATTTAACTGCTGTTTTATTGGACTGGGTCCTTTTGAAATAACTCCGCCAACCTTTTATCGTGATGTTTGCCAAAAAGAACTCATAGTTTACATGAATTAGGCATTGATTCCTCATATATTAGTTTCGAAGCAACGTTGCTTTGTGTGGAGGAAGAAAATGGCATTACAATTAAGATTTCAATTTTATTGAAATGCAGAACATAATTTATTAAAAAAATTGGAAAGTAAGTAATAGGAGACAGGTCTCAATATACTTTAATAAGGATTGTAGTACACTTTGGTTTATAATCGCTAGATACGGTAGCAAAGAGTTTCCTGTTCATTCATGTTCATCCCATATTAAAGGCCACATATGAAACCGTGCCTCTTAAATTGAAAGCTGCTATTTTTATTGGTTGCTGGGTATGTTTTGAAGCAATAAAGTTAGTATATTTTTTTAGCTCCCTGATGCGAGTGAGTCACCCTTTTATGCTAAAAAGTTTGAAAATTCACCGGGCAAAAGAACCCCTAAATGGCAAAATCTCCTCGTTCTTGAGATGGAGTTTTTAAGGGTGTTTCACAACTTTGTTCAAAATTAAACTTAAGAGTTCCCCAGTCTCAGCCTGTCTTTAATTGGTTCCTATCTTCTGACAAATTTTGAGGCTCGTGCTTTTCGAAATTGTTCTTGAAAAAAAAGTTCAACATTGGCAGTTTCAATAGACAATTTAAATTGATTTTAATTTAGTAATTTAACAAATTGGACTTTATGAGGTAATTTATTATTTCATTGAAATTAGTACATCAATTTATTCATAATTTCGATGTGTAGGGCCTCAATACTTCAAAGACATTGTGAAGTTGCCAGGCCATCTTAGTGGCTAGGGTCGGGGGCCGCGAAACCGCACTTTGGACCCGCTGCCCGTAAGTAAATCTAAAAGCATTCATGAATGAATAATCTAACAAACTGCTGTGGGTAAGAATGTCCTGAGCACCTGCCAAGACAATTGAATTCAAGCCTATTTACGCTAGAAAATTCACACAAAACAGGATCGAGAGCGGAGCAGGTAGAATTGCTTATACACTTTGGTTGCTGACGAAGGATTTTATTCTGCTTAGTTTCACAGATCTCGTATGAATCAACGGTGAAAAGTCGCGCTGGCGTGGATAAGCCCACTTGGGAGATCTAAATAAAACTGCAAATACTGGGCATCGCACATTGGCTTTTAAAAAAGAAGAAATAACCGTTCGCTAGAGGTTTCCTTACAACAGTTTAAAAATCCGGTTCAAACACATTTAACATAAAAGTAGAGAAAGAGAAGCGAAAAGGCGGTAAAAAGGCAGTTGTCAACATTGAAGTTACACTGATAACGCTCTCAATTTGCACAGGTATATAAGCTCTTGACAACAGCAAGTGGGAGGATTGGAGAAGACAAAGCTCTTTAACAGTTTCAAACCATAACAGTTGTGGTGTGTGGATAGATGTTGTAAACGAGGAACGGTTTACTTGAAATGGGAATGGGTAAAGCTGGGTTGCTAAATTTCATTCGCACGACTGGAGAGAAGATACTGCTCCCGAAACCGTTTCAGATTGCTATGATTGGTCTTGATAGCTCGGGGAAAACATCGATTTTGTATCGCTTGAAAATGAACGAATTCGTGCCGACGGCACCGACAGCGGCGTTTAATATGGAACGGGTAAAGTTAGCCAAAAATACGAGACTCGCAATTTGGGATGTAGGAGGTAGCGAAAACATAAGACCGTTGTGGAGGACTTACATGCGACAAGCTGATGGAATAGTGTTTGTTGTTGATTCGACAGATCGAAAGAGGATCGAAGAGATGCGAGAGGAACTTTGTCTTGCTTTGAACGCTTGCCTAAAAGAACGCGTGCCTGTCTTAATATTTGCTAACAAACAAGACTCGCATTTTGCAGTAGACCCTGCAGATTTAACTGAAATTTTAGAGTTAAAAAATTTGAAGGAAAAGAACCCTTGGATCTTGCAAGCGTCTAGTGCTAAAACAGGTGACGGTGTAAAAGAGGGTTACGTGCGTTTAGTTGCTTTGATAGACGAGAGAAGAGCTGTGCCGAAAGAGAAGGCCTCAACTGCAGGGTCGTTCTCACCAACGCCCAAAGCATCGGAATTTATTTGAGTGACTACTTTTGATTAAAGGGATGTTGTGATAGCTCTTTGACCGATTGTAAGCGAGCCATAGACGGCAATCTGCTAACAGCTGTTTTTAAATATGTTTTACAATTCTACCGAGTAAGGTTTTTCGCGACTCGCCGTATTGCTAAATATCAATGAATTGTTATTGGATGTCGACTAGGTCAAGCATTCGTAAGCTATTCATTTAGATTATGTGTTGCATCTCAGGGGAGGGCAATCCTTTACCTTCAAAAACCCGCTGCTCCGAGCCGGTAGCCCATTGAAAAATTTGGGATTTTGCTGTTTTTGTGTTATCTTGGGTTTTAATATCAGCGATGAAACTTCTCTTCTTGTTCTCAAAATCAGTCTAAAGTATGTTGACCGCAATTACACCATTTATAAGCATTATGCCCCGAATTCCCACGATTAAAGACATTCGTAGTCACAGTGGTAGGTGGATATGCATCGAAAAACAGAGTTTTTGAGATATCATATCAAAATTTCCTGCTAACTGATCCCTTCAAAAACCCCATATTGACATGTTGGTTGAATCTATAGAGTTTCTGAACACGATACCCTGTCGACACATGTAACCCAGCTTTATTATATTATATTACATCATGTCCTATTTTCGTTATGGTCGATCCTTGCAAAAAAAGAGTAGAATGTATACTTTAGACATTCACACCTATCGTTCACATGACGCTTTTTGCACATTGGACTGATGTGCCTGCACAAGCAATGTCTGCAGAAAACTGCATTGCCCTATAACCCCATTTGTGGTACTTAAATCGTTTACACCCTCATTACCTTTTCTTTTCTTACCTAGGCGTGTTTTGTTCAAAATGGTCAGCGAAAATATTGTCTCCAACTTAAGTAACATCGACTTGAAAACTTATTGTACACCTTTACCTGATTATGTAAACGTCTGATATCTCATGTAAAGTACGGTACCATCTAGAAAAAACATTGTCGAAATCGTAAACTAGAAAACACGCAGACATGTAACATTTTAAATGCAACCCCTTTGAGCTTGCGGAGAGATTGCGTTTTGAATAGCAAGATACCATGAAATAAACAGCAGGAGGTTTCGATTTAGGAGTCTAACTTGAAAATAAAAATATCAGGTGGATTAAAATCTTTGAATGCTGAAGCGTCTGCTGGCCAGCATTGAGGCATTCAATGAACAGATCCGAATACCTTCCAAAATGATATCATAATCTATCAATTTCATTTTGTGTTATACAAAGCTGATAATGGAAATTTCGATTATAAAGGTCTTTTTAAAGATATCAGTGACACTGACTTGAACACTACCTTCCCTTTTTTGTTAGGATCAGGTTTATCCAAATATTAATCTCTGTTTCTAAATTTTACACCGTAACTCATGTGGTAGTTTGACAAGGTCAGCAATAAACGGATGTGCGTAAATTTCGAGGATGGTTTGCATAACTGGACATCGACCTAATGTCTACAAGTATAGGAATAATTTGCGGTTTCCAAATAATCTTTTTTCGTTTCCGATTACGCATTTCAATACAAGACTGGGTAAAATCTGAGATTGGGGACTATGTCTAAAAAACCTGTGATAAATTGGTTGATATTCTGTTCAATATTCTGTAGCAATGGTAATTGTTTTTCTGCCCCACGCAACACAGCGAGCTCAAGTGCTTTTGCTTGCTTCTGTATAACGGTAAATTATTAACAAATTCGTAACTTCATTGAATATTAATAGCATTGACTATTATTGTGTTTCTTAACATACAAGCTGTAAAAAAACATGTGGTGATAGGTATCATATTGAAAGAGTGTATCACGACACTAAAGAAATTTCAAAATAGGTATCATTAATGAATTTATGATCTATATTGTATGATCTTGTGTTAGTATAATTCTAGCATTGTTATTTTGAATTTTCATTTAATAAGAAACGAAGAACTTATTTGAATTTCTCTTTCTTATTTCACTTAGTTTCTAAATTTGCTTATCTTTTTGTCATCTCTCATAAAACGTAAACGTTTAGAATTCTTTTTGCTTGTTTATACATCTCCATGACAAAGCCAAGTTTCATTCAACGATACTTGAGAATTACTTGTTCTAGCGTGAACTCGTCTGTTATTTCTCATGTTCTGATATAAATAGGAAATTTCAAATGTAGAGAAAGATATTTTTGTCTTCAGTTCAACAATGTCGCAATTTATTTGTAGGAAGAATCTATGTCAGTATTCAGGATTTGGATTTGGTTCTTCTTAAACTGGTCAAGTTATGGCAAGAAAATACCATTTTCTATGATCAAGTAGATTGCGTCAGAAATTTCGTCAAAAGAGCAAATGATGTTTTCCATGTGAACGTTATGGCAGATGGTTATAAGAGCATATTATCATGTTTTCAGAAACATTCATATGAATAAATTTAATCAATGAATGAAGACTAATCCTCTCCCCTATTTCGGCAAAACATAGTCCACTTCAAAGTAAATATATATTGGACAATTGAAAATACCACTATAAAAGGAGTGAAATCACTGAATTCTTCAAATTTCCTTGTTTGCAGCGTTCGAAACTATGAAATACAACATTTAGGGATGCTATGATACCTTTTTGGATCTAGAATTTGATCAAAAGTTATTTTTGAGCCATACATTTGTACAATTACTTTTTGGGCTCTAAATAGTCAGAATTTTGCAAACTTTGCGAAGTAGAGAAAATTGCAAACTTTCTTGTGCATGGCGAAAAAGTATCATCCAGGATCATTTTTATGTTAACAATTATTGTTCAGGGTTTATGGTTTGTACTAAAGCCTGAGTACCCCTATCCCCCTAAATAAACTTGACTAAACCCCTTTACTTTGTACGAAACCTCAGGGATCGTAGTGTGCTCTTTATTTTGTTATTGTAATTACGCTTCTAAATAAAATAGAGCTAAAAGTAGCTATTAGTCTAAGATAGATCTAATGTAGCAATTATTTTATAAAATGAATACGACTAGTTAGTGATAATAAATTTTCATTTTAAGACGTTTTTCTTAAGAAAGCACCCCAGAAATTGAGGTGATAAGGTCTAAGCACTAAAATGTACGGGTACGGGTTTGGGGTACTGACTTATTGCGTTTGCTAAACTTTTGCCCAAGCATCAGCTGGTTTTTGCCTCATTAGTTATTAGCCTTGACGCTTCTTTCTATTGTTGTCTGAATACCACCCGAAAACACATAATTTAATGAAAAAAGATGATATCAATTGTTATTTTGCAGTTCCTTTCGTTCTAGTTGGTACAAGAGAGATATAGTCTGAGAATGGCCGAGTGTTACCATGGCCAAATGCTGGTAATTATTGGAAATTATAGCCATGTACACTCCCTTGAAACAAGGAACCGTTTGGAAATGTAACATTTCCAAACGGGAAGAAAGGGTTATTGACATGAATCGTGATACGTTTTTGGATCGATGCTTTTAAAATCGGTGAAACGTGAAGAAAATAGATAAATACGTCAATGTAAACTGGTAACTGGGAAACTTGAAGGCTTGAAAAATGGTGCGCAATCGAGAACATCTAGCTCTTCAAAAAACGTTCTGAAAGAATTCCGAAAAACGTTCCAAAGGTCTCCACCCCCTCCCCCCTACCTTTCATTTATTTTTTATACGAGGCATTCATCAGCCAGAGACTAGAGGTCTGGGCCCCGGTCTACTCTCCACGTTCTTTCCTGCCAAAATTCCTTTCGGAATTTCTACAGCTACAAAATGGTAGGTAAATTACTGCAGCTATATCCGCTGACATCGCTGGTTTTTCTAGAAATATATTTAGAATTTCATGAAAATTGCATCAAGTTCGAAGTTTTTTACTTGCTTTAGTCTTCATTCCATACACTCCGTATCGTTGTATTTCTCTGTTGGAGCGATTTGACTGACAGTGCTGTTTGACTGCCGATCATAGATTTTTATCATGCAATGCCTTTGTAAAAATAAATTTGGCATTCCAGGAGGTGCTTTATTAAAATGCGGTCTCTAAAGCGTCTTTCTTGATTCTGGTTGGCATCTAAGACTACTAAAATTGAAAACTTAGATCACCAAAGGCTGGGCCTATTGGGTCACATGTAATGTCGGGCCTAATGAAACAACACTAGTACATCCTATCCCTGCCTGGAAGCTGCTACAAATAAACGTGCTAATTTGGTTTTGTGCTTCTTTATCTAAAAATTATATTTGCCAGGGTTCTGCTATATCAGCTTAATACACAATGTTATACGCATGCATATTACATACAGCCTGTGTTATGTGTGGTGGAAGTTTTGTCGAAAAGTACCTGGAAAGGAACAACGTCCATTAAGGGGTCACCCCTGTCGTGACCATGATCGTGATCTAAACAAACAAGCTTATATATATATAAATAATTGACTGGACAAAACTCTGATTTTCAAGCATGCCTTTTTATGCATCCAATCTTTTCTTTAAGATGAAGATAGCAAACATTGTTGGCCTCAGTTAGAAAATTTTTCATACCCCTTTTACAATTTATATAAACTAAAGTTATGTTGATGTGTGCCTGTTTAGTCCCACAGAAAGTTCCATGCCCCTCGTCATGGCTCCTTGGGCTTCTTGCCAAGGAAAAGATGCAAGAGACACAGAGGAAAGGTGAAGTCATGGCCAAAGGATGACCAAAGTCAGAAACCACATCTAACTGCTTTTGTTGCTTTCAAAGCTGGAATGACTCATATTGTGAGAGAGGTAGACAGAGTTGGTTCAAGTGAGTAAAGATCTTTTAGGTCTTGGTACTGTTAGCAAAAGTTCCATTTGTTATACTATCATTTGCTTCTTGGCCCTTGTTTAGTTTCTGGCATGTCTCTTCAAAATGTTTCTCTTGTCTAGGTATTTTCTGTTTTCCACATTGGTTCTTGGAAGTATATATATATATAATGCAAATATATATATATTTATTAATGAAAATGTTTTTGTTTTAGAATCTCACAAAAAAGAGGTTGTTGAGGCTGTTACCATTGTTGAAGCCCCACCAATGGTGGTGGTTGGTGTTATTGGATACATTGAGACACCACGTGGTTTGAGGCAGCTAACAACAGTCTGGGCAGAACATCTTGGTGAAGAATGCAAACGCAGATTCTACAAGAACTGGTAAGAATAAAATTGAGAACATTGCTATTCAACATGAAAAATTGTCTTCATTTGTATAAAAGTGTTTTTCCTGAACAATCAGGGATGTGATAAATATTTTTTTAAGCAAGATCCATTAAAGAATCTCTCGTATTTATATATATATATTATATAGAAATTAAACATATCCACTGGCATGCACAAAGTTTTCAATATGTTTCACAGCTCACTGAGATTTTCTGTAGAATCAGTTTAACTGCAAATGTACCACTGGAAAGCCCATTATTTTATTTCAGTAACAATACTGAAAGTCTGTGTAATGTGTTAAACCTTGCAATCTCTAATCGGTCCAGTGGTCCCTCAAGCCGGATCTCCTCTCACTTGTCTGATGAGATTCGTCCCCAATCCCTCATTCTATGTTCATAAAGGTACAAATCAAAGAAGAAGGCATTCACCAAAGCCAGCAAGAGATGGTCTGATGAACAAGGCAAAAAGAGCATCGAACAAGACTTCCAAAAATTGAAGAAGTACTGCAAAGTCATCAGGGTTATTGCACATACACAGGTTAGGATAGGTTTTGAAATATGTATCTGCTCATGACATTGACTTTATTTTTATATATATATAAAATGTTCAACCTAGGTTTAAGATATTTTTCTTTCCCAGATCTTATTTCATTGTTCCCAGTGCTTATCTGCTAAATATTTGTTGAAATACAATAGTGTCCTGCGTATAAGAAACCCCATTTTTAAGAAACACAGACCCTGATTTTCAAAAATAACCCCTTTGATAAAAAACCTGTGAAAGTCTGAAAAATATGAACCTCAGTGCAGTAACGTAATGCTGTCAAGCTCTTCCTAAAACTGCATTTGATTCTGCAGATATTTGATTTTTCTGGTCCCAGAAATTTGTTCAAATATTTTAGAAGTGTATATGCTCATTGTTATGCTTATTGTATGGAGCTTGTGCTAACTACCTCTCAGGCTGTTTAAGTTTAAGTGGATATACCTGTGTTGAATTCTTGCTTCTAATGTAAAGTCTGCATAGAAAAGGCATTAACAGGAAATTTTATGAAAATTGAAATTGAAGATAAGATCATCTTAACAGTCCTATTAAAATGAGAGAATGACAAATTGAAGGTACTGATACAGTATCTATTAACATTGCAAATGTGACTGTTTGTACAAGACCTTGCCCAAATTGTTTTTGAATATTGTCATTAAAAAAAAAAATTTTGTGTTTCAGCAAAAGCTGCTGAAACTGAAGCAAAAGAAGGCACACATCATTGAAATTCAAGTTAATGGAGGAACTGTTGATGAGAAAGTTGAGTGGGCACGAAACCTCATGGAAAAGAAAGTCACTATCCATAACACTTTTTACCAGGATGAAATGATTGATGTTATTGGCGTCACCAAAGGTCATGGTTTCAAAGGTGATTATATCTTGATATATGCATACAATCAGTATTACCCTGATTATTTAACCTCTGAAAACACTCAAACCTTCATCACCTTTTGAAGTTGTATTTTGGTGCCAGTTTAAATGGTTTCTTGTGACAACACCTGTAAGCTTTCCATTTTTAGTCCTGTAAAGCAATGCCCATAACTGTAAGGTCCTTTTTTCTTCTCAGATTACCTGGTATGTTTGATCCACAAATCTAGTTTTGAAGAAGCTTTTGTTTTTATCATTTTGTTTACATTATCCTTCTTGCGCAGGGGTAACCTATCGTTGGGGAACCAAGAAGCTTCAGCGCAAGACTCACAAAGGTCTCAGAAAGGTTGCCTGTATTGGTGCATGGCATCCAGCCAGAGTCCAGTACTCTGTCCCAAGAGCTGGTCAATGTGGATATCACCACCGTGTAGACAGAAACAAGAAGATTTACCGCATTGGACAAGGAATCCATACCAAAGATGGCAAAATTATCAAGAATAATGCATCCACTGAGTATGATCTTACTGACAAGTCAATCACCCCCATGGTAAATATATCTTTATATGTTTATTTTTTTTGATCCAAAGATTTGGCTAGAACAATTGTTCAAAATGTTATTTCTATTTGTTATGACCAAAAGTGTTTTGGAGTCAATTGATGCCAAGAGAAATATTTATGTTGTGTTTTGATAGTCAAAATTAATTAATGTTGCAGTTTATTTGCAATTTCTATGTTTTGTTTTGTTCTAATTGTTTAATGAATTTTCACTTTACTTTTTTAGGGTGGATTCCCACATTATGGTGAAGTCAATGATGACTTTGTTATGCTCAAGGGTTGCATACCTGGCCCAAAGAAGCGTGTTATCACCTTAAGAAAGGTGTGTAGTTGAGAAACATTTTGGAAATTGTTTATATTTTCTGAGTCATGTGAAACATCAGAGCTTATTATACTTCAAAAGTCTTCAGTGCTTTATGTTGGTGTGTAGTTTTGTTTTTCATTGTCTTTAAATATTATATATCTTATTTTTTGCAGTCACTGATGCCTCAAGTTTCCCGAAAGGCCCTTGAAAAGATCACTCTGAAGTTTATTGATACATCATCCAAATTTGGTCATGGACGCTTCCAACATGTTGATGAGAAGAGAAGCTTTATGGGACTCCAGAAGAAAGATAGAATTGATAGAAATGGCAGCAACTAATAGCTATGAGAAATGGAAATAAATTGATTGAAAACTTTTGTTTTGTCTTGTCCCTGCATGCTGTCTGGTTACGGTTGTCACTAGAATTGATTACATTAAAAAAATGATGTGAAATTTAAAGGGAAACTGGGCAGTATTTTATTTCAAATAGGTAACTGTGGTATCAAGTTAGTAACATATAAAGGCTGGAAATAGCCTGCTGAGTGGGCAACCTTAGGTGTTGAAGGGCAATAGTTAGTTTGGTCTTTGAAAGAGTAATGCGCTAGCCTTAACCACAAGGTGAACAGATGTACCCTGAAAGAGTAGTGGCTCCTATTGTCCCTTGTTAGAGATTGTCATAGCAGTGAGAGAGTACTTAAGATGTTGGTTACCTTTTTCACTATGACGGTTTTAAGATACTAAAAAGGCAACAATTTCGATTTTTATTGAGGTGAAAACGGTATAAAAGTTGTTTTAGAGTGAATTTTAAAAATTAACGTAGTCAAGTGCCAATTACATGCGTCATCTGTTGATTTTTCGTTGATGAGCTCTAATTATCCGGTGACTTTGAACCTTTTCCAAAAGAAAGTTTGTAATTGATTAGGAAAGCTGTTTTGCCAAGAAAAGCGATAGTTCTTTCTTTGATAACACGAGAACTTCGACCTAAACGTCAGTGTATTAGAAGAATATCTTCTGGGGCTGCATTTTTTAGAGCGGACAAAAATGTGTAACCTTTTTTCTACTGTGAACGCACTCCCTTTTTGTTGACATTCAATTGCCCCCTGGCTGCAAAGCAATTCGCATGTCGTAATAACATTTTCGGTATAAACTGAAAATCAAAACTTTTTAGCATCAATTTTCAATACAATAATAATATCTACATACTTTATACCAAAAATATTTAAGTTTCAGTAAGTCGTGAGTAAAACCTACCAACAACCATTTTTAACATATTCCTGGGGGATTTATATATTTTCCAGTTCCTATGATTAGAGTAGTAATTTATAAATTGTTTGTTTGGATCCGGGGGGACAAAATATTATACGGGGGTCCATCCGATAATTATGGGTAATATTTTTTCTTATGATCTTACACTTTTGGGTACCTGATTTAATAATATATCTTCTTGATACAAATGGGTCCAATTAACGAATAACAATATCAAAAACAGGAATAAAATAGAACCAACTACTGGTATCTTACTTGCTCAACAGCAGGATTTGATTTTTCATACTTTTTGGTCTTATCAGCATTTTTAATTGATAATTTTGAGTCTTTCAATTTTGTTTTCGAAACTGTTAAGGGAATTTTGATAATTGCGGATGGATCTCCCCGTATATAAAAAGTTTGAGTGACTCGCTTGGGGTTTAAAAAAATCAATACAGTATATGTAATACAATATGTTATTACAAATTAATACAATATATGATAAAAACATAAAGTGTTATGTACATATAACAGAATTAACGCACACGGTTAACAAAACTGTCGAGATCAAGATGTTATAAAACACGATTTTTTGTTTTCCTTGTGAAGGATGTAATTGTATTACTGGTTTTCAAAATAGTTGGCAAAGACTTACAAAGTTTTGAGCCGTCAACGGTGAAGTTTTCCTTAGGTTTGGTGGATTTTGCTGGGAGAGAAAAGCCAATATAGGAGAATTGTATTGTATTGACGTAATTTTGTTATAAAGCATGAAAAGTAAAGGCCCAAGTACGCTTCCTTGTGGAACATCATCGGTTGTAACGTCGTTTATAACAGATGTTGAGTTCTTTTATGTAAATATGACTCAAACCAAGAGAAAACAAGCTTTGTTATATCATAATGTACGACTTTTTTTAAAGTAAGAGTCTTTAAAAGTATGTCTTGTTTGACAGTGTCAAATGCTTTAATAAAGTCGACCAGTAAACAGGAGAAGATACCTTTTCAATAATAATGACTGATTTGGATTGAAACTCAAATTGCTAGGGGGATGAATTTATTTTCCTGGAAGCCGTTTTAATTTTCGCATAGTATATTTTATAAAAATACATGAAAATTTTATAAAAATTTAACTGAAAATTTGATGATTTGAGATAGGGCAATAATTTTCCCGATAACACTCTTTATAAGAAAACTGAGATAACACTCTTTATAAGAACACTGAGATAACAACACTGAGATAACACTCTTTATAAGAACACTGAGATAACACACTTTATAAGAACACTGAGATAACAACACTGAGATAACAATCTTTATAAGAACACTGAGATAACACACTTTATAAGAACACTGAGGCTCGATTTGCCCAAAAAATAAGAAATTTGGCTAGAACATGCTCAGCATCAGATGATAAATTTAAAAAAAACTGTTCGCAGTTTGTTCGCACTAGCAGTCGTTGCTCTATTTTCAAACTTTACCCAGTAAAACGTCTAAGATCAGTAAAACGTCAGTAAAACAGTATGTAACTTCTCAAATATTTGCAAAAAATCACTCTTAAAATAAGAACAATTTTGATGATGATTGAATTTGATGATTTGAGATTGGGCGTTTCTTGCTTTTAACCCGTAAGAAACCCCTAATGAATGAGAAGTTGAAGTTTTCTGGACAAAAATTACCCACGTCTCCGCTTGAAGTCACACTAGTTATGACCCGGCCCATTAAGGAGGTTCGATTTCCCGCCTAACTGCGCCTTTTTGCTCCTTTGTTCGCGTAATCGAAGCGATGCCGTTAACTGAACTCGAACTTAGGCTAAATCCGTGTAATCGCGAAACTATAATGGATCTGTCTGTAACTGTCACATAAATTTTCTGTCACTTTTAAAGCCTTTGAATTATGCTGCATATACACAGGGGCGCAGTGGGAGTTAACTTTTTGGGGGGGCAAAGCTGAAAATTTTCCGATAAAACTATGATTTTTCCGACAAATTTTTTCTCAATACATTCCTTGAAGATTACCCTTGCTGCATATACTGCAACACTTGATACTACAATATCACGAATGGATCTGGAAATCGTTAACGAATGGATCGTTCGTTATACACCTTCAAGTTCAACAATAGCCTTTATTCTAACAAAACTTACCAAATATAAATCGCTATGAACAAAACTGCAACTAGTTATAAATTTACACCCTACAAGTCTTCTCGCTATACTAGACAATAAACTGTCAAGTTAGTGTTTATAGCTGTTTATAGCAAAAAGTTTTTGGCAAGTTTTAAGTCGCATCATAATTACTTTGCATTTATTTATGCTAAACCTTAAATAGATATAACGCGTCCAAAAGAATAGTTTTCTTTTAACTGAATTTATATAAACTGTTACTCAAGCAGCATCTTTCTCAAAAGAGGTGTGGCAGCATACAAATCGACGATGTCACCATAGTCTATCGACTGTAAAATATCACTTTCGACGTTGATTGGTCATCAGAGAGGAAAGGCGGTCTTGTCCCATCGTTGACCGTAGCCGATTTTTTTACAATCCTCAGCTTTGAAAAAGCTCTTTCATAGTTTGTTGAACCTATTGGCAAAGTGACGAGAACCTTGTAAAGAAGGACCAGCTGTGGAAAGGCACTTTGCAGGTTATACTTATCATCAACTGAAGAACTGAATGGAACTGAAAAGTTTTCTCTTTCTCCTGCAGCCGGGAGAGGGTTGCTCTTTTCTCTAACTTTCCAAAATTTACGGTAATTATTGGCGAAAGAGCTGTACTCATCTCCTAATTTTGAATTACACTGTACAGAACTGCCTTTCAATTGTTTTTTGAAAACATTCAGGGTTGAGTAAGGCAAAATCTGTCAAAATTGCCTTATGAGACGTGAATCTTGTATTCATTGAGCTGATAGCTGTATCTACTATCACGATGATATACGGATTCCCTATTTCCCTCTAAATCATCTATGCAATTTTCCCCTGGCATCTTTTTCTTTCTGCGTATTCGTCGCTCGACAAAATTTTCCTCTTCTAAGTCATGGCGAAAATAATAACTTTTTGCGTCTTCTACAAAACCAGCGAATTCATTTTGAAATGAACTGAGTTGAATTTTAACTGTCGGAAATGGGAGTTTATAAAATAACTGAGACCAGAGCGTTAATTTCCTTTACAAATTTCAGCAATGCGATGATTCCGAAAAATACTCTAATGAAAATAAGTAAGAAGGGTTGATCATGCACTATTTTACGACAGGTTTAAAAAAATATGCGACCTTTTAGACAGGATCGATGAAAACCTTACATTTTGTCTAATATTTCAAATTTTCCGACAAACGTTGGATTTTCCGACAATCCGACAAAATTTTTGCCAGGGGGGGCGGCTGCCCCCCCTGCCCCCCAGCCACTGCGCCCCTGCATATACAATTAAACCAGTCGCACATCTTATAAAGAGGGATCCGTTGAGCCGAGCTCCCCAAAGGCTATGATGGAGGTGCATACTTGGTTTTTGGAGCCCCCACATAATGATGCAATTTGGAAAATAACATCAGATCTCATCAAAGTCTTGAATTTCTCAGTTTTATTAATGAAATCCAGGAGACGATAAGAGATTGTGAATTAATGGCATTTTATTAGGCAAAACCCTGATTCTAACCGTTGCAATACATTTAAAATTTTGATGATTATTATATACTATGAATGTGTGACGCATCAATTCTGGCAACTGTATCGATAAAAATATTCGTCATCATTTGGCTAATGATTAATCAAGGGAAAGTTTTCTAAGTGCTCTAATTTGTTTTGGTCACCAAGAAAGACAACGACGTTGGCTTGGTGCGGACTGAACAGGACGAGTTCGTAACGGTGAGTTTTTTGTCACTGCTACGTTAATATAACATAATAATAATATAATATGTTATCTCTTCTATCAAATTGTTGTCTCTTTCACTAAAAGCCTTCGTTGGTCTTCTCTAGCAAGATTCAACTACCAATAAGAGATTCAGTTTAGATTTTCTGCGCTATTACTGGAATTCTTTGCAGCCTTGAATATTGTTATTTACCTCGCAGCTAAATTTCCTCCAGGGATGGGTAATTTGGGTAAGATTAGCCCCCTTACTTAAGATTGTCGATATTTTACAAAATCTCGATATCAGGGGATGATGGGAGTCAGGAAGTTGAGCCACCCTTAGCGAAGAGGAATCCTCATCTACTTTTTGGTATTGTTTCGAGTTTTTTTTCTGGGATGCCTTATCCTTCCCTTCATATTTTTATCGTTATCTTTGTTTTCCCTATAGATTCTTTGCCGTATGATAGTGGTTTCAAATATGAATATCTTGGTTATAGCGCTGCTTTTGGTTTATGGAAGACTTCGAGGTAATTATTAAACAAATGTTACTGCAATTTTTATCAATGTTATTGAAATATCAGAATACCGAATCAATATCAGCCTTGAAAAATTGCCAAAAAAAATCAGTTTTGTATTCATCTCAAGCTCTATGCTTAATTTATATTTGCAAAGCTGCGGCATAATCATTCTTGAAATTGATATCAATTAAAAGAGGACTTGGAAGTGATTCTTGTGGGGCATCTGATTTTTATTGAATGAGAATTCGGCTCATTAGCCTCGACTCTAGCCTTTCAAGGAAGTTGCCGTCCCAGAGATGTCGAATACATAGAGGTGTAGAATAACATGGCTGTCCCTTAAGGAAAAAATAAAATAGAGAATCAAAAGCAAAGTTATTAACATTTTTTCCAACTTTTCTTCTATCCACGATAATCAGGGTGGCTCAAAAAAATTGGATGTTAGAAACTAGTAAATTTCGGTAGACAGCGGGTCAACAATAAAGAAATTTTGAAAAGATTTAGAGATTTATGCTACCTATTTTACCGTGCCTTTTTATTTAGTCGTGAATATCTTAAAATCAAGTATATTTTAATCATTGAGGATTCTGGGACGCAACTTTGTGGAATGTTCACGTGAAACTGTCACGTAGATCAGTGGCGGGTATTCAGGCTTTCATTCGGGGGAGGGGGAGTGGGAGGGGCTCAGTCCTACGATGTTCCAACATAATAATGATAATAATAATTATACGAATATTATAATGATATCTTGGATCATACTTAATTTTAAGGAAAGTTTATCACTGTACTTTTTGATGAAAATATGTGATTTTTAGGCGGGTCCCTTAAGAAATCTTTGCTAACGCGCCCTTTAAGGTAGTAAATAGAACAAAAAATTATTGATGTTAATGACATCACGATGGACATCTATGTAGGGCAATTGGTATTGCGAGAGGTCGACCGATTACACTATTGACAAGTCATTCATGATAACAGCATAACTGTAACTTCAAACGTTGAATCATAATTGTAACTTTATCCTTTCTTTCGTTTTTTTTCTCTACCCAATTTCGTTGTTTTCTTCAGTGGTAAACGCGTTTAAAAATAACTTCTGTTTGGAAGAATTCGATGGAAAGTGCGGCTACTTTTTACGGAATTGAAATTAGATATACAGTTCGCAAGCAGTTTTGATTTAGTACTGGCTAATATTGTGTCAGATATTTCAAGTAGGCACAGAGAGGTTATAGAGGCCCCTGGGGTAAAACGGGAAACACGCCCTTTTAGATTAGCCTAAAGTAAATAAAATTGTTTACTATTTTTAACCATATTTCTTTTACGTTTAATAAACTCTTTAACTAGACTTCTTTTCTTCAAGAGGTTCCCTACATGTTGAGGCCCTAGGGAATTTGATCACCCTTGTTCCCTCTCTTTGTGGCCCTGGGTATGTGAAAATTAAAGTTTGCGAAAAATACGGAAAAATGTTTTGCTTTCACTTTAACATAAAGTTTTATCGGAGCCTCCCTTGCCCTTATAATTTCCGCCACTGACGAGATGTTGTTAATAAACAGTAAACAGGAAAATGGAATGATAATAAATCACTGATTTAAACCCAAATTTGATTCAAGATTTTGTTTTTGCCAAACATTTCACATTTTCTCCTTTATTATTTTACTTGGAGTTTTTTTTTCGTTGATTCAACATGCAATCATCCTCAATGCACAATTAAACTTTCAATCACATGATAGGGAGGCAATTTCTAAGGCAAGAAAAGGCATTGGTATGATCAAGATAGAATAATAGAACAGTTGTCAACTCGAGGTCCACAGTTAAATTTGAAAATCATGCTTCTTTAATCTCCATGGAACGATTTAACATCAGTGTTGTAGGTTTCAATCAGTGTTGTAGTTAACCATAACCCTTAGTCATCGAAAAAAATTGGTGCCAAATTAGGTGGCACAAGTCTTTTAAAGTCGTTTCATGTATGACATATGAAAAACTAGTTAATTTCTCACGAAGAATTTCTCACTGTGCCAAGATAAGCCTACTTTTCTAAGATATCAGGTCAAAATCAAGAATCTCAAGAGAAGAATTTGAATTTCACCTCTTCCGTTAAAAAATTTACCCTTTTTTCGCTTTACGTAATAAAAATGGTTATTACTTCACATTCGACCGCATTTAACGAAATACCCTACCTGTTTGTTTTTTAAAAGTGGTTAGTTGTACTGATGTGAAGGTTTTGCAATCTTCTAGTTGTAACTGGAACTATCCACGTGGATGAGACCCTCGAAGCAACGTCATTTCATACTAGAGGAGTGGACGCAACTCCAGTGGTGCTAGGGGATCAGGATTTGTTAACTTTGGGTGATCGTTTTGCTTCTGGTATAGCCTCAAGCCTGCCAGATGATTTGATAAATCCAGCCAGCTCTGCCTACGACTTTGTCACTGATGTTGTGGAAAACCTGCCAACTGTCTCATTGGAACCTACATATTCCATAACTCCAACAAGCCACGTTGAACTCTCGTTGACTGGATCTTCTTCCAATATTGTTGGTGATGATGCAGATCTCGGCACAAATTTGCTTTTTTCAAATGATGATTTAACCCCATCGATGCCCCCACCGTCGGAAAAGGTCATGGAGACAACATTTCATGACGAGGACGCATTGTCAGTCACCATTGAAAATCATGATGGTATACTTCTTGAGACCATCGCAAGCCAAGTTGCGTACAGTACATCAGGGTTGCAAAGAACAGAGGTTCCAAGAGCAGATAAAAGCATCGGAAAACGGTTTCCTTTAGCTGCAGGAAAAGATAAGGACGGTATCAAGCCTACAGCCAAGTCAATGAAAACCCATGTGTATCCAACAAAAACTGTCAAAGTTTTACAAAAGACCGTACTGTCGTTGGTTGCTCGGGAATTTAGACAGAGTGACACTGTATTTGCTACCGGTTACGTGGTAACAGAATCACCGACGGTGTCAGCACATCAAAGTGAATATATTGAATCAACTGAAGGGATCTTAAAAAGAATAGCTATGGTCACACCCTCACCAATAGTGACTGGAAATGATACACCTATGTCAAGATTTACAACGGCACTGGGGCAAACAGCTGAATTTGAAAGCATAACTCCAGTGCCTGATTCTTCTGTTTCAGAAAAGACCATGGCGAGCACTGGTATACCAACTGCAATGCTTCTAACCTTTAATTCTAACACCACGGCAATAGACTATAAGCAGTCCCCCTCAGATTTACCAAATACCGGCAATGTTCTATCAACGTCTCTGGCAGTTGTTATTAATCTCAATAGAACACTGGCATTAGAAACAGATCACCTAAAAACATCCACTGGAATTCAGATGACAACAGCCAGTGAAGCTGAAATTATTGCCAAGACAGTTACCATATTAACTGAAGAACAATCATCTTTTAGCCATCTGGTTTCTGATAGGACGACCACTGAAATGGCATTGCCAGATTCTGAACCAGCTGTTTTTGTGACAACCATACCATCGAACATAACCATGAACTCAGATGCATTTTTCACAGCAACAACGCCACTTTCAGAGTTGATGGACTTCTCAGTTTTTACTAGTGTTGCCACATCAACAAAAATGGGTGAATTGGTACTAACCTTATCATCAGTCACGACTTCCGCAACAACACCTCCGTCTCTGGAAGCTACATCTCTTACTACAGCAGATTCTGAAGTGGTCGCAACACACACTCTTTTCACAACAGAGCCAACAGCAAACCTATCTGTGACAGCAGCATACACTACTGGAGTTGAACATTCTATAGCATCAACAGCAACTCCCTCACCGACACAGTGCAATCAGATTCTTTAATCATCTCAACTCCCTCACCAATCACAGTGCAATCAGATTCTTTAATCATCTCAACTCCCTCACCAATCACAGTGCAATCAGATTCTTTAATCATCTCAACTCCCTCACCAATCACAGTGCAATCAGATTCTTTAATCATCTCAACTCCCTCACCGACCACAGTGCAATCAGATTCTATAGTCATCTCAACTCCCTCACCAATCACAGTGCAATCAGATTCTTTAATCATCTCAACTCCCTCACCGACCACAATGCAATCAGATTCCATAATTGCCTCAGAAACTGGCACCCTTCCTACAGCAACCATAACGACAGCGCCACCATCCCCAACGACAGTGATACCCACCACAGAAGGACCCCCTACCACTCCACCTCCAACAACCACACCGACAATCACAACAACCATTGATCTTTTAAAAGGTACGTTTTTTTCAAAATTCATTCTTAATTTTAAAAAAAGACATTCAGGCTCAACATTCTTCTGAATGATGCTTCATGAAACATAGTGCAAAAATGTTTTTTATGCGCGCGCATGCTGACGTGATTTACCTGCCCGCGAAAATTGTGTCGTTCTGTCCCGGATGCGATTGATATAAAAATATATGAGAAAACAAACTTTGAATTTTAACCTTACCTCTGCTTTATTTTTATGGAGTCAAATAGATAAATTATCTACTTAAGATACATTTATATCATTAAATTATGGCTTTAAAACCTTATTAATCTCTTCGTGGCCTATGCTTTACTGCCAAACTAAAGTATCCTATGCCTAGGCCTACTATTAGGCAAGAAGGGAAATATGAACAATTTAAAAAGTAAATTTTCAAGCGTTACCCAATTTTCCGCCTCTGAAGGAGACAATATACAAAAAAATTGAACTTTTGACTACAAGTATACAGAAATTCAGGATGCGGCATGGTGGAAATTTTTCACGATCGTTAATTCAAATATCGAACAAAACTTCCCATGTTGACCTTTCAAAATTTCGCTTTTGTTTGGTTTCCTACTCTTATAGAAAAATACCGAAGCGATTTCAAAATCGCGTTAAAAACAGCTACTTACATTTGTGACCAATCTATTTTAATGAAAAACTTCCATGAATACACCGCATATCCCAAAAAGTATGGCGGTTTTAAATCATCATTCAATCGCACCCATAAATTGACAATCCTAAAGTTAGGTATCTTTGCGGTGAAATTATGAACGTGACCCAATTTTCCAAATATGCCAACCAATATAATCTTATTTTTCGGGGCATGAAGATGAATCAATAAAAAAATCAGCGTGCGGCATGGTGCCGTTTTTGAGATAAAATAAATTTGAATTTTGAACTTTTTCTCCGTGGAACTGACAATATTTGAGGCATACTCACATGGTAAAATTTTGTATATAAAATGAGCCGATCAGGCTTTAAGTTCACTCCGCCATGCTCAGGTCTTTTGTGGTTGTGGTGACACAAAACCCTATAACATTGCACCTCCCAGGAGGCCTGGATCGGAATCAAAGTGTCACATGGTCGGTTGGCGGGAAAAATTTTGCGCGTCGCCATTTGGCCGCAGCTTGCAGGCGCAAAAGCTCTTTGCACAGCGGCTGCAAACATTTTTGCTCTATGTTGCTTCATGATATATAAACAGTCACAGCCTGCCATGGAAAAGTGTTAAAGTATATTTGTTGTATCTAAACTGAACAAAATGAGCAGGCTATTCAGGTTGCTGAGCTACTTTTTTTTAAACTGTAACGTGTTGCTATTCCCATTAAAAACAAAAGCTCTGTCCATCATTCTCAAAGTGAAAGAATCATAAAATGCTTCAATTGTATGGGAGACAGCAAGACTGACACTAGTTTTTGTGCTCAGGAGGAGGGGGAGGGGGATGCTCAGATCCCGGTTGCTGAAAAAGTGGGTGAGCCATCGTTTAAACCTCGTTTTTACAATGAATGTTTTTGGTACACCCCCCCCCCCTCACGCCTCACCGTAGCAACGGCCCTAGAAGACAGTTCTGAACATGCTGCCTACTGCCTTATTTTTACCAACGATTAGTAGTACAAAGATAACAACTGTAGTAGTACAAAGATAACAACTTTACAAGTTTCAATAAGCAATTGTCTCCCCTCCCCACCTATGTATGGAAATTCTAAATACATTTATATTTTCAGTATCATTTATCTGCTCATCTCTCTTTGGTACAGATTTAAATGACTCTTATTCCTCTTTCAGTTCTTCAGCCAACATGCACAAAGAATTCAACAGTAATTCGTTGCCCTATTGGCTCCGCACTCCTCATTCATACGGTTTACTATGGGGTTTTTCATGCTCATCATTGTGAACCTGGGCACATCACAATTCAAAGCCACTTGAGTATTGGGTAATGCTAGTATTTTGTACGTTTGTAAATTTTCTACTTGAAATCTATATTGTTCGCCCTTTGGAAGGAAACTGGCCTGCGCATCACAGACCAAAACTGCTATGAATATTAAATTGAAATTTCAGCATAATTTGAGATTTCAATACGATGTTGTTAAAAATTTACCTGAAGGTAAAAACAATTCAGCAACACTCCACCAATTTTTCGCAGTATGGAGCAAGATAAGCGTTTCCTTTGAGCCTAAAGATAAGCTGGGGACCTGGGATTGACCCTCGAACACTATAACTGTACTAACTATGTCTGTGACAGAATGTATCTCTTGGCCAACTAAAAATAGGCCAAATACCTTATGCTAATTTTTCCCGATAAAGTTCAACTGGTTTTTGCATTTAATCCCAAAAACCTGTGAGCTAATTCACATGTTCTTTTGAAAAAATTACTCCGTCATGAAAATTAAAAGGCATTTGCAATCATTGTGATTCCGTCCTCTGAAATTTCTAGTCTTCTAAAATTCCTGACTGTTCAGAAGCAAGGATCCAATGAAAAGCGCCTACCTAGTGGTCATTACCAAACGATTTATTGATAGTGATCAGTTGGTTTATTTTATCATTTTACATTGCTTACTTGTGCTGGACTATATAGGTGGTTTGGTAGTAAATGTTTTTTTATAGAGCTTTATGCATATAGGTATATATTTATGCAAATACTTGTATATATACACGGTCAAAATCAATCTCCATATACAGCTATATATCATCTTCGCAACGGAAAACGACTAATGACGATTCTGTGAAAATTCTTCAAATTTTAACTAACATTTAATTGTCCTGCTAAATTATTATATAGATTCCAAACTTTTGCAGAAATAGACTCCTAAACTGCATGATCGACCTCTATATCAAAACATGGAAGGGGTGTAATGTAAAAGGCCGTCCTAGGCTTTGACGACAATTCCGGACAAAAATGTTGAGATAAAATGCAATTTTTGTAATTTTCTACTTTACCTTGCCCACATAAATTTGAATTTCCCCTTTCCCACCGAAGCAATGTTGGATTTGTAGTTCTATCATTTTGCTTCAAAATTATGCATTCAACATTGGGGGGAGGGGGAAAAGCAATTTTTCAAAGGAAAGAGAAAACATAAAGTTTTCTTGAAAAGTCTCAACTATTTTTTTCCGTGATTGTAGGTTATTTTGATTGGATGGTTATATGCCTAAAACTTTGCTTTAATTTTTCATTGCAACAACGCACAAAGTCAGATTTGTTTATAGAAAGATGTTTATTGATCCCATGACAGCAAGCAAAGTTTGCGAAAAAATCCTGAGTAGCCGAGCTTATTTTGGATTCTGAAAGGCTTATGATAGAAACTGCTATTAAAAATAAATTGACGAAAATTTTGTTTATGGTAGTGAATTCTGGGAAGATGTGAGGACCATCTGCAATGGCAGGAGATCTTGCGAGCTGTTTAATGACCGAGAAGATTTTTCGTGGGCTTATTGGAGAAGACTTGGAATCTTTTCTCATATACACGTCATTTATGAGTGTTCACAGTGAGTCCGCTCTTTTTGGAGATATTTAGAAAATATCGTGAATAAAAGGGATGATAATATTTGCAGCCATGTCCATCTTTCACAATCTTCTAACTGAAACTTAAGTTACCAGAGGAATGAACATACAAAGCATTAAATGGATAAACTTGTTACAAAAGCAAAATATCCTGGCGAAGATTGATTTCTTAGCATGCAAGCTGAAGAATGTTTTTAGCGCAAAGCTGTTCAGTCCGGGCAGTTGCCTCATTGGTTAGGAACGTAATAATTTTAAAAGCCCACTCACAAATCTGCACCACTCTTTAGCATCAAATTTTTAATAAGGCCCTCACAGGACTTACTTGTTATAAAGCTTTATAGCTTATTTTCGTATTTTTTACCAGTGACTGGGGGTCCTTGGAAGAAGAAAGCGGCTAGATCTTGCTGGACATTCACGCGTTGCTGCTTTGAAGAAAATCTATTGTTATTGTTAGGATGCGAAGTGCAACTGGAAAGTATCCTATACTTGCTGAGGTTTGGATATCCAAGTCTACAGTCACTGCAACTTGGTGAAAAAAGAAACTTAGAAACTGAGAAACACTGTACCTAAACGTTCTGCGTTGTTGTGTTGCTGTGCTGTTGTTTTGTTGTGTTGTTGTGTTGTTATGTTGTTGTATTGTTTTGTTGTATTGTTTTGTGTTGAGTTGTGTTGGGTTCAATGGTATGTGTTTTTTTGTGTTGTTTTGCTATTTGCTGCTGTTCTGTTAATAGATTCCTGTCGCCTAGTATGGTTGCTTTTCACACCAAAAAAACTCGAAATTTATATTTGCACAGATAAATGCTTGAGAATCCTGTTGGGTTCGGTTTGCCTTCTGGGTGTCTAGACGTTTCAACTGCTGTGCTGAGCAAAATCATCTGTATCTGTATGTTTATAAAATTTTCACGTGTTTGGAGTGCATACGTTTTTCTTTTTTCTGCTTCTCAAGAAAGCTATCAATGATAGCCAAAGGCTAATAAGCTGCTGTTCAGCGAAAAATCTTGATTTTGCGTGATTTTACTTTAGATAAGCATGACTTTAGAGTCATTACAAGATAAATGATTCTGTGTTTTGCATATAACCCTTCACACCAAGAGGAATCAGAGAACAATATCCCTACTTTATTCAAATAGTTAAAAAGAAGTCGAAATTGTCTAAAAGTATCATCATGATTAAAATCTGGGGATCTAGCCCCTGTCGCAAGCAAATGGCACTAAGAATGGTGCTTGTCTCTCTTTAAGGAGTTTCCCAACTCCCTGAAGAACGCATTGTTGAAAACCATTAGTTATTTGCCTACTTCTTGGGACTCTATCCTAAAATTGTATCATAGTTCTTAAAAATACTGTGAACAATCTGTAAGGGATTTAAGAAATCCGCAGTTAATGTATCTGCCAAATTAAGCGGAGTAAAATGGCATCCCAAGGCTTTTTCAATTAATTAAAGTTTAGCTTTCTGAAATAGCAAATGATCTTAACTATGATTGAACCCTCTCTTTTTTATGCTCCAAAATCTCTGGTTGGTTTTTTGAGGTAAACAACTCTGTTTGGAAATCATACAATCTATGTGACAAATAATTAATGTTTTAGCAGGTGTTACCAGTGCGTTTGTTTTGGCCCATTTTCAAGTAGCTAGATGATTAGCGATAATTTTGCATTGATTGGCAACAGCAAGTGAGCTGTTTTTATTTTTATTTTGATAGAGTTTCATTTTGGCTAACATATTATTTAGAAGGACACCATTTTGTGTTTCTATTCGTTTTTGCTAATTATGCACAAAATTTTTTTTGATAAAATTTTCACAAATTGCTGATAACTGCTTCCTCTCAGCAAATATATAGAAAATAGAAAGTTTCTCTATGAACAATTTCTTCAAAATTCATGTGTCATTTTTAAGTTAACCAAGACTGCGAAAGTTTAAATGAAAAGTGGAACAACGCTGGAAGATTATTGGCAACTCTAAGCCCAGTTTATTCAGTATTACGGAAAGAGTCTTTAAAAAAGTAATTAAAGATAAGTTTTCAAGGAATTTTCATCTGCTCTCCAACTTGGAGGAAAACACTTTTTGTAAAAATATGAGACAATAAACATTAAACAAACGTCTTTTTAAATAATATTGAGCTTGTTCACAAGGAAATTTTCAAATGGGATTCAAAATTGATCTCCAAATATATTTTTTTGTTAGAAAGTAAATTCTGTTAATTTGCAAATGTCTGATGCTCTGGCTGTTTCTACTTGCCCGATTGTTCTGCTTGCCCTATAGTCGAAAGTTTTGCAGCTTCCTAGTCATTTACCCTGCAAGCAATTACATAGTAGTAATATCATGTTTTTTTTTAATTGACTCCCAAGAAAGGAAGAGACTCTTTTACCAGTGTTTTTTGTCTTTGTTAAAGGGTTTGTAAAGAAAAAAATGGCGCAAGAAGAAAAAATGGCACAAAAATATAAAACGGTGGTTTTTCTGAGAGAAGACGGATCACGACTTTGTCCACTCGAAAGTTAACTTCCAAAAATGAGCCGTTTTGGCCTTGGTTGTAACAGTTGTTTTGGCCTGGAGCTGATACATCTTGTTGAAAATGCTGCTTAAATGCAGATAGTTAGAAGCGATATCGCAATTCCAGCCAAACCGCAACCTGTTTTCATGTCAATTTTGCAATTTGTTGTCCTTGGCAAAACGCTTAATGGCTCTTGATGTGACCTCGTTCAAGAGAATTAGTGCAGAGGCATTGCCTTAAAAACCCTGCAAAGTGAGTGAGCAAGCAGTGTTCAGATACGCAGCTGGAGCAGAGAGACCTTGTATGTTCATCAACCAAACTTTGCTACCGTTTCAAGAATGAACCGATTTTGGGCCTTCCTCGCATTGGTGTCAGCCGTTTTTGCTATTGCAAAGGGTAAGAATGTTTCTAGATGCATGCTATAGATGAGTGTCTTCTGAAATGTGAAATTAGAACTGATTTTCATGAAGACTAACCAACAGACCATACCCCTTCCTTTCAATAATCTTGCGCATATAAGGCCCAGTCATTATTGCGCAAGCTCTTTGAGTGACGGAAAGTGGTACGACCTGATGGCTTACTTTGTAGCATTCCTTCCTTTGTTCGTCCTCCTAACAATGATAGAAAGCTGGAAAATGCAATTGCGCTGTTTTAGGAAATAATAAATTCAGCAAAGACTGTATTTTCAAAAACAGTGTAGGTTTTGCAGATGCTCTTTTCTGCGAATCTCTAGTGTCAGTTGATAGACATTCGGTGTTTTAATGTCAAAATCTGGAGATTCTTAAAGAAAACTTGAGTTTTGAAAGAACTCCTAGAGAGTGTTAAAAATTCTTGAAATAGCTATGCATATTCTATATTTTCATATCCGATAAGATTTTAATTCACTGTATTTACCCATCAAATCACTTAACATTGAATGCTCTGTTTGTGTCACAGGTGGGTACATGTACATATGTGAAAACCAAGATTCCACTATCAGCTGCCCGAGTAATCTAAAAGTCCGGATCGATTTTGCATACTACGGACGGTTACATCAAAGAAACTGCACAACCGGGCCGATGAAAACAGTAGAATGTCGTGCAGAAAGGTAAGCATATACTTCAAAGTGTCTTCTGAGAAACCATATTTTTAGGCAAGATTTCACAAGAGATAATGCCATTTAATTGGAAAATACGAGTTTGTATAATAGGAATAAACAACGCAAGAAAGGCAACAATTTCAAGAGAACACCAAAGGCATTTTTTAGGCCAACTTGTGGTTTTATTGCTCTAATTGTTTTTCCATGGCTAATCACATTTGCATTAAACTTTCCATCCAGACGTTTTGTCATTGGAAGATCCAAAATGCAACAGGACATTCTCAAATTACCAACTAAGGAATAGTCGAGCAGAAAGACAGTAGAATGCCACGGTTTCTTATAAGGGGTTTGAGGATTGGAGAAAATGTTGGAAGCAATATGATAGAGCAATGTTCATACTATGTACAAGCAATACTATACTGGGTACCATTCAACTAGGGAATCCGGATAGGATAATGCGATAACCTCGTGACCTCGTGTCATACACGTCAAGCAGTTTTTTTACTGCTTTATCGAATCGCCTAGGGTCGGGGAACGCTCTCCTAACAATATGATATCCAGCAAAACATAATAACTATCCGGATTCGTTATATCCGCCATTAGAACCTATTTCACAGCCACCAACAGCTAGTTTTTTGGAATATGAATGGTAACGTTTTCTTTTAGCTCTGAAAAGATCGTGAAGAATCTTTGTAACAACCAGCAATCGTGCACGTTGAAGGCGAACAACAAGGTCTTTGGTGACCCCTGCGTTGGAACATTCAAGTACTTGCATGTGAAGTATTGCTGTTCATAAAAGCCTCGATGCCATTACCTGACCAAGAGACTTTTTGCGCTATGCTTGCTTAATCTCTTGCTGCAGAGCTCTCTCCATGCTGTACTCTGATGTTTAACAATATATCCACATGAAAAGTATCATTAATTCAGTGAGAGTAGTTTTTTTAATTCTCAATCTTTGTTAGCGAAGAAATATGTTTATGAACATTGAGTTAGGAACTGGGAAAGCCCGCGTTGCTATTTCTCCAATTTTACAAGTAATGGCCTTTACTGCAAAAAGTACCTTAATATTTTTGGTACAGTTAAATCTATTTGATTAAGCCGGTCAAATTTTAGCCGGTCGTACGTAAAAATGATTCCCAGTCTTGCTTAACGCAGAGAACGTCGATCGTTTAATGATTGCAAAAAATTCAAGCATTACAGATGGCAACAACACGGCAATCTTAGTTTCCCAAAATAATCTGATGCAAAATGCTTACTCTTAGTTGAATCAAATTGTTTATATTTTATTTCGTTTGTCTGCATGTTAATAAACTATACACAAACACTGCTGCAGGACTTGTCTAGGATGCAAAGCGGCAAAGGTGATTTGATAAGCACATTTCAAGCCTTAATGTAAATAGATGGTTTTGCATAAAATTATTATTTGATTCCAATTTCGGATCAGTGAAGAATCATTAAGAAAAACGTTTTCATCTTTTTTCACGCGAAGGATTATCTAGTGAAATACCTAAAATGGAACATCAATTTCCTTGTGCGTAGCTATTCAGTCATTGCTAGCTAGCCCTTGCAAAACCATGAACTGTTTTTATTACTCAACTATTTCTCAAAAGGATATCAATCGCAGAACTTCTATATCAAGAAAATTTTTCAGGAGCCTCGTTTTCATTCACATCTTATGAATGTCCGTTCTATCACGGCACAGAAAAGGTTACGAAGGCATCGTTAAAGCACCTTAATCGTTTTTACGTTGTTCCTTTCTTCTCAGAATGTTTTAGGCTATTTTTAGAATGCAGATAGGTCTTCATTATAGAAAAGCCCGAGGTACAAATTACTGATGCTATAAGCCTAAACTGAGCCAATGTTGCCTTTAGCATTGACAGAATATTTGATTTGTATTTATATTGATCTTATGGTTTGCAAAAATTTTGAAGCAAGTTTGAGGTTGCGTGTTGGTGGCACTAAGCTTAAAAATCAGCTCAAACAGTCTTTATCTAAAATGCAAAATATGAAAGTCTAAACTACTTCCAGTACTCTCAAAGAGACCAGTTAAGAACAATCTTTAAATGCCATCTTGTTGATTTTACATTTATTGTATATGAAGGACGAAGAATTTGGAACAAGTAGTTCTTTTGATGATGCAAACAAAAGTGTGAGCAATGTTCCAAAAGGAGATGCTTTATAATTGCTGAAAGGTTTGTGGTATCAATCAAAACCTCTCGGCATCGTATGATAACAGGAACAAAAATCTAAAGGCTATTTGATTTTCAGCCATCGAAATCAGCATATATATACTATACTGGGCCATTTTCTGTTATCTCACAATGAACATTTCAAGACACAACAGCAAGAAGCAAAGAAATGGACCATTTTGGCATTGTCAGGGGGGTGAACCCAAGGCCACTACCACTGCACCCTTTCACCTGCTTCTAGCAATATTTTCATAGACAACTTCACTCAGGAAGCGATAGTTTGCAGTATCATCCAAATAAACTCGGAGGTGAAATTTTGCCCTATCTGTTAGCCATACCAAAGATAGCATCCTTCTCAGCCTTGACGGCGTACAAAACACATTTTTGGATTCTTTTTTCCAATTAATGTTTTTGAAAAGACCCTTCACTACCGAGATGACCTACTGTATTCAGTGCAATACTAAATTTTCGCGCATCATGCTAAACGTTCTATTTTCCAAGCAACGTTTCTTCGGTAATCAAACAAGTCCACCAAAAAGAAAGCACATGTTGATGTGAACTTACATGCAACATCTAAGGAGCAAGAAACAAGTCATGTTTGGTGAATAATACCACTTCGAATTTTGGCTGATACAGAAACAGGCAAATAAAGATAAAAACACCAATAATGTCATTTATTAGGTTATATTGTCTCTTGTAACAGCAAATTATTCCAGACAAATATTTTTTGCTGTTGAATTAAATACATAAGAAAAGAATCTTACAACAATACTCTAATGCATAGGCGCAGAATTAGGGGCTCCAGGGCTTGAGCCCCTCCTGATGAAAAGTTAGGAGGTTCAGCCCCCGGGAAATAAAGAAGTTGACTATCGGTTTGTTAGACTAATTTTTCATATTCTTGGTTTCAAGGATAAAAATTATCACAGGAGATTTAATCAAGATCAAATAACAACGATAATGAAAAATGTAAAATAAATCGCCTTAGAACTCTTAGCTAGGCATATTTCTACACTGCGCCACTGGCAGCCACCGTTAGGCAGCCACCGTTAGCAATTGCAATTAATTTTTAAGCCCCGCCATCCCCCCCCCCCTCGAAAGAATATAAGTCTTCGCCTATGCTCTAATGTGAGTTCTGACCATGCTTGATTTACACAAAGCCAAATATATACATTTTAGTTTCCAACCAGACTCTCATGATGCTGATAGACTCTTCTTCGGGTAAATGCTTCTACGAACAACAGTAGCTAACTTTCAGGTATTTGTATGTTCCAACGCAGGGATCACCAAAGATTTTGTTGTTTGCTCTCAACTTGCAGGATGAACGGTTCTCGCACAGATGTCTTACGATTTTCTCAGAGCTGGAAAAATATTTCAAATTAATCAATTTAAACAAAAAACAGTTGTAAAGTTATCAGTATTGATGTTTTGCCATCAAGGTTCTTTCATCTTTCGAGTACCTCTATAAAAACAACGTAGTAAGTATAATATTTATCACGTAGCGATGCAAAATTTTTATTGGGTTTTGTTGTATTGTGGTTGTTTTATATCTAAACATTAAATGCCAATCCTCAAACTGATATGATAAAGATAATTTCTAGTATAAAATTTACCTTTCAGCGTGGCACTCTTTCGTTTTTATCGGTCCGCTTCGGCAATTCCGCACATGTTGTCGTCCGTAATAAGCAAAAGTAACCCGGATTTTTAAATCACGTGGGCATTTTAGCACGGAATGATTGTGTTCACATATGTGCAGCGTAGTTCCTTTTTGAGAAAAGAATTGTTATCTATAATAACTGGAATGAATCTGATTCAACTTTAGGAAATCTAGTAACAATGCAACAAACCTTAGAAAGATTATATCGGCACAGGACAGGAGAGAAATCCACAGACCATGAAAAAATGAAAGAAGTTTACCACATCCGTCAACATCACGCAACTAGACTAGATACCTATTATTTTAACGATATTTCAAATTTTGAGCCATTATAGAGCAGGGTCTACAACAATGGGAATACAGTGAGAAATAGTCACAATTACAAGCTTTCGACGTGGGTATCAAACATTACAGCAAGAAGGTCAAATTTTTGACAAAATGGATTTTACGGGCGAATAATTATCAATTCAGCAGGCCAGCAACAGAAACAGGGCGGATAAAATTTCAAACTCAATTTTTTGCAGGGAAATGAAGTACTTTTGCGCACCATCAATCATTACTTACCTTCTGTTGTTATGAATGTGGCCAATGCCAGTGCTAGGATGATCCATAATTTCTTCATATTTTGCTCGAATCTTGATTTAACAGAATGACAACAGAATGAAAAACACTCAATTTCACCAAAGTAGACATCTGCCAACTTATTGATTGATTGCTTTGTAGCTTTGGTAATGACTTTGTGCTTTATTTCAAATTAGATAAAATTGAGGCCAATTAGCCCTTTTATTAAATAGCAGGGCACGTAAATTGACATGGAATATATGTTTTGGTTTCGCTCGTTGTTATGTTATTTTTTGAAAGTAGCTTTTAAGGAGATCTGATCAGCTAAAATCTCACCTCAATATAAGCTAAGCTAGGGGGAGGGGGCTGCAGCCCCTACATAAATCAGGGCCTCCGACGAAGGGGGGCTGGGGAGGCCATAGCCCCCTTATTTTTTTGCAAAACAATAGAGCTTTATTTAAAAACTTTTGTTATGATTGTTATATTTTCTCTTGGCCCCTCCACTTTCCAACCTGCGTCGGAGCCCATGTAAATGCTTAAATGTGATGAAAATGATTGGTTTTAAAGTTTTCGAAAAAATATCTTGAACCAAACCAATCGTCCGTACGAGGCTTGTGCAGAAACGAGGTGTCGCCAAATTGATTCTTGCAATGGCGGGAACAGTTGCCCTAGCTCATGGCCACAGAGTAAATGTTTTTGATGACCATGTTAAAGGAAAGGGATTGAAAGCTGACTTTGATGCAGATGCTGGTGAGACAGTTTTTGCAGAACTCCCCACTACATTTGTAGTTGCAAGGAAACAAAGAGAAACGACGTGTGCTGGTTGCCTAGGACCAGATCCATCTTGTAATGACACTCAAGGGGTTCAAAGCAGTTTGGGTCTTCGCAAGTGTTCGAGATGCCAGTTTGTTTACTACTGCGGAGTTTCATGTCAGAAGAAAGACTGGCTAAATCACAAGCAAGAGTGTAAAAATATCATCAGAGTTCAACCAAAACGACCACCAGATTTGTGTCTGCTGGCTGCTAGGTTTCTACAATACATGGGAAGGAGCTTTAAAAAGACAGTTTGCGATGCTGGTAAAACAGAAGCAAACTCGCGTGACCAGCGTATTCAGAAATTCCAGGATTTCTTCATGAATAACAGTTCTAATATCAGCGAAAAAAGAAAAGAAATGCTTTTCACATTTAGTGTTGTTTTGAAACAGTTTATTGATGCCACTACCTTGCAAACACTTGGAATTTCACCAAATGAATTGATTGGCATCCTTTGCTGGTTAACCTGCAACTGTTTTAACATTCTTAATAGTGACATGAACTCAATAGGTATTTCTTTTTTATTTTCTGTCATAGAGTCTAGTCTTTAACCTGTTTATATATTAAGTTCACAAGATTGCTGTTTTTCTAGTCACAGATTTGTCATAGTAGGTAGAATCATTGACAAACAAAGGTTTACTTGCTATGTACGATCAAATGATAGTGTATGGATAATATCTCATCAAGAAATGCCAGGCTTAAGGAAATGTTTCTGACAACTAAGAGATAAAACATCACCAAAAAATTGTGTTGTTGCTCCCTTGAGATTGGTTAGGCTTTCCATAGTCAACTTAATTCCAAATCTTGAATTTCTTTGATATAGTGTTCATCAGTTGTTCATCATATAGTATATAGTGTTTATCATAGTGAATTTCTTTGATATAGTATACATCAGTTGCTGTTTCTTATAACATACTATTTATATCTGTGGATCAGTTTGTTTCTTTAACCTTTATGTAAGCAGTGACCCACTGAAATATTTTATTGGTATTTTTAACAGCAAATTCTGTTTTGTGGTCAGTCAACTCATGCTATTTCTTGGTTGGGCTGATCTGGCCAGCACCTGTCCCCAACGCAATCCAGTTTCTGCCACTATGTTAGCACAGATTGTTAAATAGTTTTAGACACATGTGAAGTTTTAGACACTTTCCTTTGTGAGTTGTAGACACATGAACAATGTCTTACTTATGTGGAGAAAATGTTGTTTGTAAAGGTAACTTCCTATAAACTTCTCATATCTCTTTTAGGAGTTGGAATATATGATTTGGCCTCTCTTATAAATCATGACTGCACACCAAATTGTGTTGCTGTTTTTGAAGGAGCTAAGGTATTGATTAGGTCAATCAAAACCATTTCAAAGAATGACGAAGTAACAATAAGTTACATTGAGAGTCTTGAGACAAGAGATAATAGAATCAAAGAACTGAAAGAAAGGTACTTTTTTCAATGTACTTGCTATACCTGCTCAAAAGAAAGTGAATTTGATGGTCTCATCATTGGAAAGTGTCAGAACAAGCAATGTTGTTCTACAGTTTTCATAAACAAATGCGGTAAGTGTGAATAGAATGGTATTGCTATTAAATTCTAAATCCTGCCATAGCCCTTAGCACTTGATTTTTTTCTGTTTTTTTCAACACCTAAAGTGTGGTCATGGGTATTATGTAATCAGAAGATGGGCATTTTCTAATAAAATTTGTTCAAGTGCTAAAAATGGTCTACCTCTTCAAGTTTATGCATGTGTTGAAACCTTTGCAGTTTCATTCCAGATGAGTCAATGAGTTCAAAGAGGCTAATTTTTGACAACAATTTAGGTTTACAAACAATTAGGTATTGAGGCTTTTGGTTTATTGAGCCTATCACAAACAGAGAAATGTGTAGAAGACCTGACTATTTTTCAAAGAAGGCTGGTCCTCTGCCCCTAACTAATTCAGGAGCTCAAAATTGAACAAGCTTTATTATTGTATGCTTTGCCAATTACTGGATTATAATTATTAGTAATTTTTTTTCCAGATGCTGTTTGCCATAAATGTGGATTCTCTGGTTTCGTGGGAGACTATTACAACATACTAAAGCAACAGCATGAATCATTGTATTCTAAACTTGCCATTTATGATGCAAGTGAAACAGAGGAAGATTTTGATGTTTTACATCAAAAGGTTAAAACTGCAACAATATTCATACCAAATGAGAGCATTGACATGATTAAGTGTTTAGAGGCTGTGTTTGACAGGCACATCAAAGTACAAAATTGGGAATTAGCAATTGAGTCAGGGCGTTTGTTGCTTCATGGTTACCAAAGTTGTTACCCTATGTACCATCCTGTTACTGGAATCCATCTTTTCAAACTTGGTAAGTTTCTTTTATTGTCCATATTGTATACTGTAGAAATCTAAAGCTTATTGAATATGCTTGATGCTTTTCAGGATGACATAATTGAATATGTATGATTCGCTGTCTGGAAAAAGACAGCTCTAAAGGTCAGTTTCCTCTAAAATGAATTTGATGGAAGTTGATCGATCGATTTCTTATAGGCACAGAGAGCATACTACAAAGATCTACCAGTAATTCTCTAGCTCGTGCTACTCATGTTTTGTACTCTACCCTTGAATCCTTTGATGACAGTAGAGTGATCTCTCTGGACATCTCCAAAACTTTAATCATGTCTGGCATAAAGGTCTCCATAAAACTCCCCATTTATAAGTCTCAATCAAACCCTGGTGCTCCACCATGTTCTTTCATGTCTCCTCTTCTATTCATGTTTTTTATTAATGATCTACTGACTTCCACCGCTACAAGCATTCATTCTTTTGCCAATGACACTCAAACGGGCTCTTCATTTCCCTTTGATTCTCCACATAATTTTAGTATCAACTTTAGGCTCTTGAGCCTTTCCTTAGCATTGTCCATTCAAAAGAAACAGGCCGCTATAGACTCTAACTAATCGAATTTGATTTATTGAAAAGCTCAAATCAGTCGAAGATGTTTTGTCAATCGAAACAGTCGAGAGCTACTAAGAAAGGTGCTACGGCCTTGTGATCTTATTTGTGTACAACAAAATTTTCAAGTATGGCTTCCACCGTCCCTTGTTCTAACGAAGAGCTATGGCCTTCTTTACAAACATGAAAAATCAAAGCGTGCAGTGGTACAAGTTAACCGGCGAACAGACGAATGAAACGTCACTTTGTTTTCCTGAATCTCCAATGTCGACCTTCATTCTAAATTCATTGTAAACAACCCTCGATACTATACTGTTTGTCTTCTTATAATTAAAAAAGAATGACCCACTTCAGGCAGGGGCTTGCATAAAAACGTGCTTTCTATCTATTGCACCAACACTGTTTGAAAAGTTCCATTTTCCTCAAATTCTTCGGCTGTTTTTCTCCATTCGTTTTTGTTTCTTGGAACCTATCCGGCTTTTAACAGCTCAGTCCAAATTACTTCTGTAATCTCTTTAGCGATCCTACTAACAGAATTTTTACTCATTCTATAGCTTGGTGCAATAGTGTCTCATCTTAGAAAAGGGGGTGTTGTCTCCTCGATTAGTTCATCTACTGAGAGAGTTCCTCCCAAAGAAATTACCCTGCAAGCAACATCTTACGTAATTGTTATTTATTGTCTGTTATTATAAGTATGTGTGATCTGTAGTCATTGTATGTAATTAGTTGTCATGCAGGTACAATAAGATATTGTTTGTAGAGGAATTTTTAAATGTAAGAAAATGATCTGCAATTTCTTAAAGTAACTTATTAACGCTCTCCCGGCTGAATTGCTTCCTCTTTACGCAACACATCAATATTTTTGAGGTACCAATTGTAATAAATTTTCGTTTTTTTCCTGTATTATTCTAAATTGCCGTCAAAAAAGCATACGATCATACAATTTCATTTCTCTGATCAACAAATGATTTTCATCTATCTCTTTTCGCTCTGTGTATAGCTTTCTAACCCCAATTCTTTTATTTGCTTTCTTTTTACTTCGTCTTCATTGCACCTTCTTAACAATAACAGAATTATAATTTGCATTCTTGTCAAACCCATTTTCAGAAATGTCTGTTGGCCTAATTTTTTGATTGACCTTTTATAGCGATTTACCTTTCGACCGGTGTCGATTGAGGGCTGTCGATTGGCCCGCTTTCATCTGAATGAAAACCGGTCGTAAGTCGCTCCTTTGAAGCTAAGTATAATGCCTTAATTACTGCCTCAGTATCACTTTAAGTGACCGTGTCAGAGAAGCACCTATGAATCCTGACATCATTGCAAATAACACCTATAATGCCCAGACCCGTTGAGAGTCAGCTCTGGCCTTGGAGCTATAAACAAGACAGGCCCTTGTGTAGGAGTAGTGGCACAGGGATAAGATGGGTCTTTAGCATTAGTAATTTTTTTGCGGGCATTTCTTGGGACCCGAGGTTCGAAATAATACCCTGACTCCCTCCCTCTTTCGACGGTATTGATAATACTTGCCAGAAGTCTTGATGCATTTTTATCAGTTTTCAAGGGCGATTTCAGCCATTCACCCCCCTTCCTTTTTTGAACACTGTTTGTTTTTAGGGAGTATCTTTTTTCCTGCGATTTGTATGATATTTTTCCAAATTATTAACATCGTTTTGAGGGGAAGGGGGTTCGGGAAATGAGTTGAAAAATCTAAAAGCAGAGCGCACATTGCTGGATTTTCAAAGTACTTTTGACAATGATTATGACGACAACATCTACACACATTTATACGAAAATTTACAGTATAAAACCGAGAGGTTGTCAATAATCTTCATTAAATGTTTAATTACAAATATTCATAGATTTTTACAAATGTTACAATTTTTATGATTTTAGGGAAGATCGAAATCCTCACTGATAACTTACAATGTGGTTTGGAGCACCTAGAAAGATCCAGCAAGATCCTAATGGTAACTCATGGAAAAGAACATAGCCTTACCACAACGCTGCTTGAGACTATTGTCAAATTGAAGGAAGAAATGAGTAATGTGAGATCTCAAAGTGCGTTAAAAGAGCTTTCTGCTGCAGATTCATGAGTTGAATTGAGCAAGTCTCATGGAAATGTTCTTTTTATAGAGAAAGCTGTCGTTCTGCCTTCAAGTGCAAAAGGAAACATATATATCATTTTTAGTGTTGCAGCCATCAGACAGCTTTTCAAACTGGATAAGTACTCTTTGATAAATGAACGAATGCCCTCAAATAGCTACCTGGACAACATATTAGGCTTTCTGTTAAAAAAATTGAAAAAGATTGGATATTAATACTTTCTTTGTGTTGAAAGCTTTCGCTGGGAGAAATACTATGGCGATCAATATACAGGAGAAAGCACTTTCAGACCCCTTTTGGAAAGAAAGAAACCTTTTCGTATCAGATTGTCAAGGATAATCAATAAAAAAGATGATTTTGAAAAGTTATCGGTGTGTTGGGTTTGGAGAAGAGGGGAGGGGGGGGGGGAGGTCGAATAAAAAAAGCTTCAATTACTACTGTCTTTGTCATTTCTTCGCAAATGCTGGCGAAGATATTAAACTGACACATAGCTAAATTGTACAGTTAAGTAACTTTGTGACGACACTTTGGATAGGCGCTGTCCGTCTTTATGACGAGAGGCAGAAGCGTTAAGCCAACAACAGCCTGGCGGAAACCGAGCCTGAATGATTTTGAATTGCTGTCGCTGCTGCCTTTTAAATGCAATATTCATTGTGTCGTTACTTTGTACAACCGAATATATCACTTTGAGTACAATCTTGATGCTGAAAATACGAGGGAAATATTTGTGTCTGCAAAAAGTTTTAGATGGAAGAACCAAGAAAACTGGTCGTTTTCTGCTTGATTGTTCTAGCAACTGTTGTCGATGGTGAGTGTGTAAAATCACTTAAATAGAATAACTTGATGTGTTGTCTATGTGTGAATGATACAGTCGAATGATTACTGGTTATATATATAGTGCTGAAATTTTGAATTGTCTCTTTTTAAGTAGAAAATAAGCAAATACTAATGAGCGAGCTGGAGGCATACAGTTTGAGGCTAAATATTTATCAATATACCACAAAAGTTAAATTGCTCTCTATTGCAGCTTTTTTGAGGCTAATTATAATTTTCAGTTTTGTGTTTATTCCCCCAATCGGACTAATCGAAAAAAGCCAATGAGGGCAAGGCTTGTTTGTTTGGCTTCTATTGACCAATCATTCCTTCGTTAAGCTAGCTGCTCCTATTTTACTATAGGCTTACAATCTTTTTTTTATGAACAGTTTGATAAAAGCACGAGCCTCAAAATTAGTCAACAGTGAAGAACAAATTGAGAATAAATTGAGGCTGTGCTACTGTAAAATGCAATTTTGAACAACGTTTTATCTCAAAACGAGGATTTTAGCCATGTGTAGATGCTTTTTTGGCAAATGAAGGTTGTCGCACACGCTTTATTGGCAAATGAGGCCTGAATACCTCCCTAGAGCGAAAAAACTAGCAACAAGTTAGGAATACCGTAAGGAATACCGTAAATTCTAACAACAAGTTAGGAATACAGGAATACCGTAAATTTGAGAACAAGTTAGGAATACCGTAAATTCTCTTTTTAGCCCCCCGGGAGGCTTATTGTTTGTCAGCACTTTTAAGAAGGGACTTATAAGAGGGGGAGGCTAAATTGAGAGAGGGGGCTCAATAGATATTTTTTAATAAAGAACCATTTATAGTAGTGAACTAATTTTTTGCTATTTGCGAAATAGAAAAACATCAAATCAGCCTTCTACATCAATAATTTTGTCATCGTCATCAGTTATTAGTTCTAAAATATCTTCTTGGGCCATGTCCCCTTCTGAAATCGAGCATTCGAAAAGGTCGACTTCATACCTCAGAGTACCAATGGCCTGCAATTTTGGTAAGAGGCCCTCACATGGCTTATGCTGAATGCACAAACAAACTTTGTTTTCGGATTTGTCGTGAATGGAAGAGACATGGTGTGAATTTTGATTTGATGCGAAGTATTGAAGGACCAAGGAATAAAACGAAAATCTATTTTTTTAAAAGTTTACTTATTTCGGCATTAGTGGAAATTTTCTTTTTTTTGAGGTGGGGGGGGGCTAAATTGAGAGGGGGGGCTAATTAAATTTTTCTTATAAGGAGGGGGCTTATAAGAGAAAGGGGCGTAATTGAGAGGGGGGTTTAAAAAATAATTTATGGTAATCCAGCTTCAGATTTTCGAAACAATTAAGAAAAGTCAGTCGGAACCTAAATTCACTGGTTCTTACAAAAAAAGTGTATTACCTATTGGCTCATTTGGTTTATCATCTAGTTAATCATACTCTGAGAATTGGTAGACAGAGGTGACAATGAACATGCCCGGAGTATGTTTATTTCGTACCGTGCAGAAGCTTCAAAAAAAGAAAGAATCAAAAGCTTTAATGCCATCTTGGAAATTTTTCTTTCTTCTTTATTTCATTTTGGAGACAGTCTTCGCACAAATGACGATTTGAGATGGGGCTGGCCACCTATAAATACTGTGAATCTATCTATAATGCAGAGGTTTTTCAGACAGTCAAAAGTACCCTGACGCCGCTTGCAAATAACAATGGACTGTTAACAAGAAAATCGTGCATAACTAGAAAACGGAATGAGACTTGGTGAATGTGAAAAACAATTGCACAATTTTATACAATAGAAAAGTATGCATTCTCAATCGTGTATTTCCCTTTGTGCAGAGTTGAGACTAGGGATACTCTGTCCCAGTCCTTTAGAATTGATTTTTTCATAACCTAGCTACACAGGAGTGGGGACATGGGGTTTTAGGGAGCTCGAACCCTAGAGGTTGTAACCAGCTCCAGAGGTTGTAACCAGTAACGTAGGCTTTTAATGAGATCTTTGTCTATTTACTTCCCAAAGTAGCTAGATAGGTAAAAACCATATTTTCAACGACAATTTTTAGACTGGGAAACTCGGCTCAAGGTTATCAGTTATTTTAAGACACCTGATAAAATCATGAAACGCAGTGAAAGTACATTGATTCACATGCTGAAAATGATATAGCCTTGACCCCAACTAGTAACTGCTTTCTTCTGATATACTTAGACGGGGTACTCGGTTCCAGGCTGTTTCGTCATTTGTTCCTATAATGCAGCTCAAAAACAAAATAAAAGCTGGGAACTTGATTAACGGACATACTTGTTTTGGCATTTCTATCGTATCTAATCTATGGCAAAGAATCCGTCAAAGGCCTGGAACCAGGTATTCTTGTCTCATGATAGCATGCGCTTTAGGTCATGCATGAAACGGGGACTGTTATTTTCCATTATGTTGAATTGCATGCGTGCACCAAGTCTTATGCTTTTATCTAATTCTGTAAGTTTTTTTAATATGTGGATGCTGGCAGCCTCTACTACTTAGCTTGGGTTCCCTAATTCTATTCCTAACATCGCGTTTTTAGAGACTTTAAAATGGATCCACTACTTAATCCAAGGAAAGGCTGGTTAAGTCCCCTGGATTTCATATTTGCTTCTGGACCATAGCTTCTGAACGGTAACTGCAATTGTTACAATATCGACCCACGGCATTGATTTTGCACCTTACGCCTCTGCATTTTCTCACATACCTGTCACATGAAAACCACACTTGGTTTGTAAACAAATCCTAAAATGTTTGTGTAAGCGCAATTCCGCAACATATTCTCACCCTCTGTGTACTTTGCGACTTACATGAAATTTGAAGTCATATCAATGCTTAAACATCTGTAAAGGAATTTTTGTTGCTGCATTGCCATTGTACAGACTACTGTACTACATAGAAAAGTAACAAGATAGAGAACTATGCGACAAAATTCCAGTGTCTTAGGCCACTGGTAGAAATGAGGCTCTATGTCTCTATGGAAAATAAGGCCTAACTCTCAAAGAGAAGTTTGCCTAACTCTCTAATTGCGAAAGAGAAGTTGGAGAAGTTTGTGGCCCTTTTTCACTTTCGGTTCCCACGTCCCGGATTTTACCATGACTACAGCACTTTAATATGGTTAGATTTCGAGGTAACGCTTGGGCCATAGTGAAATCAAACAAACTATTACATCCAGTGGTGTAGTGCTCTTGGGGAGGGCTCTTGCCCAAAATGTTGCGAAAAATAATAGCAAAAGAAGAGATTTGCTAACTTTCGGCATCAACAAGGGGGCTCAGCCCCCCTGAGCCCCCTAGCTCTACACCCCTGATTACATCCTTAAATTGATCTATGTTAGTATAGTATTATTAATTAGATCTATGTTAGTATAGTATTATTAATTAGGTTATGTTTATCAAACAGTTAACTATTTCAATGTCATAAATGATCGTAGAAGAATAAGGACAGATAGAATCTCGAACATTCTTAATTTTGCATCCTACTAGCAATGAATTTATGCTGTGTTTGCAAAATAAGACATTAAATACAACGAATTTGGACCTTTCACAAAATGTTGGCGCATTTGTCAACTGTGACTGGATATAACAATGCTCACTTAATCACTTGCTAAACAGTTACAATTTAGATTCATTTAATTTCTTTTTAAAATCTGTGAAGCTATTTTTTTACGTCTACAGATCTGTTTGGTGACGCAGCTTCTGTGAGAAAGATCGCTCTAAATGAACCAAGGTATATATTAGGCCGGAAATTCAGCCAGGTTCATGTTTTGACCAATTCTGGACCGGTCTCTGCAGACTATTGGACGTTTTACGTTCCTCCAAAATTTGTTTTGAATCTAGCATTCATTAATTACACCGCAGAGACTTCATCTACAAGCACGTACTGCAAAGAACATTATGCTTCAGTCACGGTATTCAATGCTGAGCATGGGACTTCGCACACTCTGCCGCCATATTGCGGGCAGAGAAGAAACGGTATAAAGGTCAACGGGACGGTGGGCATTCACCTTGTTAAAAGTGGTTTCTCGGGAGGTATCTCAATGACTGTTGTCACAGAGCCTTCCACAAAGAGTATGTTGGTTTTTCATTTTTGTTATTTCACATGTCGAAAGTTTGATCTTTATGATACGTTCAATTTTTTTATTGTCAATGTCTTTTTAAAAGTAATTTGAATTTCTGTTACTTTTAGATTGCGGTGGCTTCTTCAGTAATTCATCAGTTGGGGTGCCTTTAAACTTCAATCTTCATGAGTTTCCATCCAAGGATACTCTTATCCATTGTACCTGGTTCTTTGAGTTTCAAACTTCACAAACGTTGAGGTTTCTCATATCTCGAATGGTATTACTTCATGACGCAACGCCTCTATGTTCGTATTACAAGGAATTTATCGCAATACGCTCACTAGATGAAAGAACGGGAGAGGAGAAAAATGTTTTTCTTCAATGCAAACCAGGTTTTCAAACATTACCTATGGTTTTATCGCAAATTGCAAGCAGAAAATTTGCGATAACTGTACATACAGAGAGAACTGTCGTATGGAAGGTTGGGATAGTCAATGGTGTTTGTTTTTTTGAAACAAAAGGTAATTTCTAGGCATATAATAGGTAATTTCTAAGCATTTCAACTTTGATATGAAATGATCGAACAAGGCAAGTACAAATCATGAAGTTTTTACAACCTTTGCTTCTAGTTTTTTCTAGAAAAGTTTCATGGAAGTCGGTAATCAACATCTACTCATTTTTTAATCTTACGAGTTTTTTGGCCAAGTCTAATAGATCTCTTTCTTTATAAAATCACCATCAAGTGTTCCGGCAACATAACAACGCTTAAATGATGTCAGCAGAAATCTGTTTAGTTTTAACTGTTGAATTTGATCATTGGTTTTGAATTTTCTATGGAGAATTTGAAACATTGTTAAAAATTGCAATTCCTGAAGTTAATTTTACTAGCTTTTTCTTAGGTATAAATTGCTCATAAGCAACATTGTTGCATTTGGTCATCAAATTCTGTCTAAAGCTAATCTTTTTCTACTTTTAAGGAAAAGAGGGTGCCCTCATCGAAGTATACGCTCCTGGTAAAAGACCATTAGCTGTGACGTCACAAGCAAATACAACTGGTTCCATCATTAACACTTTGTTTCTTCTGAAACCTAAATATTCAGGAACTCAAGTTTTCTTTGTCTTGAATAACCTGGAGCCTGTTTGCATTCGAGGCAAAATAGATGCTTGGACAATTGTAAATAGTTATCTTGGCCGCGTCCCGGATCTTTGTAAAACTCTGGAGAGCAATGGATTGATGTCTGGAAAGGTTGATACCATGTTTACCATACATATTCATGGCGAGCTACGTCATCTAGAAAGGGCGATGATAAACTATTTCCCGACAAATGCAGGCAAGTGAGGCCCCGTCCACACGCATGCGGACATATTTGATCCGCAAACTTTTCTTTTCGGTTTCAAAAATTGTTATGTCTAGAAGTAGCTTATTGAAATCGAATCGGATCATCCACATGTATTCGGATTCACTGTAGCTTTCACAGCTCCTCTGTAAATATTTCGATCAGAGCATGCACCATCATGCGCTGAAGCCAGAATTATGTCATTTATTGTAAAATATCCAAATTCGAGCGTCCACACATTGTCGGATTCGTTCGTATTCGTAGCGTATTCAAAAAAATTAAAAATGTCCACAAGATGGCAAGCGAATACCAAACACAAGCGGATTCAACAATATCCGTAAACGTGTGGACGCGGATCACCGGATCACCGGATCATTACTTTCATATACGAAATCAGTTTATCAGGGGCGAATTGTTGGTGGGAATTCGAAAATCTCAGTATTATTTGGGCCTCTTTTGAAATTATTAAAGATTTAAGTTTCTAATTTCATCGATCACTTATTTTAAGAAGTTATAAAAATGAGTGCTGAACTTTCAGAAAACATTAATAAACTTTAGTGCTAGATGCAAAATGGTTAAGAAAAAACTGGTACAAACGACACACAGTGTTTGTTCGAGTTCGTAGCCGCATTTTTCATTCCAATTTCATGTTTAGTGTAGCTGCTACTATTATATTCATGTGCAATTTTCCATTTTATGTCTTTCTAGGCTGTGGAGGTGTTTTCAGTCTTGCTCATGGCCAGAGGCAAATTATTGCTTCACCCATGACAGCATCAAGGTCATACCCTGCAAATACATATTGCCAATGGTCTTTTGTAGCTAGCAGCAATACTTTCCTGAATATAACTATTACATCAATGGATTTAGAACCTTGCTTTACTACCTTTAGTGATTACGTCGAAATATTCAGTGGGTTTCGAACTCCACTGCAGCTTCATTACAAGATATGTCACATTCCGGCAACAGATATGAAAATACTTGGAGATATGACTATTCGCTTTTACAGTGATGATATCTTGCAAATGGATGGCTTCGTCATGATAGTGACAGCATATAATGGTTTGTAACTATCAGCAGTAGTGCTATTTTTGTTACACGATTACTGAAATGATCTGCTAGAACACAGGTTTGAAAACCACCTACCACGTTAGCTAATATGACGTCCAATATACAAAATTTTATCTCCTCTTCGGGTATTAGAACAAACCCAGTACATTTTTCCGGCTGTGTTGCACAATAACAACCAGAGGATAGTAGCTAACCTTCATTTCATAAGAGTTAGAGGATAGAAAGTAGTAATAAGGGGAGGGCGTATATATTTTAACCCAGAAAATGAGGCTCTTTTGAATTTGAAACTTCTTTATTGTCGATAAGTAAAATAAATTTTTAATTTCTTGAAATGATGCTAAAGGAGCTTATCATATCGGGAGCCAAGAGAAAGCAACTTATTAGCAGAAGCTAGGTGTAGTCATATTGGCTTAGATGTAGTCAAATTTTCGAGTCCTTGCCATAATGCTTCCTTCATCCCTGCTAAAGATCGTTTCCAAAACGTACCATATCCGTGCTTTTAGTTTTTTTCTGCATACCCTCCTGCTGATGTTGAATCGTTTCATTAAAAAGAGGAAATTTCACAATTGAAGGTGGAGAGAGCACAACGAGAATCCCAGATGTTACTTCTATGGTCACAAACGAAGTCCCCAGACCTTCAACTTCTGTCACAACAGTCATCAAAACTGAATTTACGAAGTTTTCCTCTAAAAAGACTACGAAAACCAAAAAGCCCTGCTGCAAGAGCACGTCAAGCCTGACAAATTCTATAGCAAGTAGAAAACATCGTCGTCAATCAACAACGGCTGTCGTCAAAAAAAAGACTGTTAATGGTAGGGTGGCATTGTCCAGTAATAATCTTAATACCATCAGTATAGCATTTGGAGCCGGAGCTGTGATCATTGTGGTTATCATCATCATCTTGCTAAAACGAAGGTAACTTTTTGTTATTTATTTTCTTAACAGCCTGAGACTTTCATGTTTATGATATGTATGTATGAGTATTTTTATGATATGATATGATATGATATGATATGTTATGTTATGTTATGTTATGTTATGTTATGATATGATATGATATGATATGATATGATATGATATGATATGATATGATATGTTATGTTATGTTATGATATGATATGATATGATATGATATGATATGATATGATATGATATGATATGATATGATATGATATGATATGATATGATATGATATGATATGAATATGATATGATATGATATGATATGATATGATATGATATGATATGATATGATATGATATGATATGATATGATATGATATGATATGATATGATATGATATGATATGATATGATATGATATGATATATGATATGATGATATGATATGATATGATATGATATGATATGATATGATATGATATGATATGATATGATATGATATGATATGATATGATATGATATGATATGATATGATATGATATGACATGATATGACATGATATGATATGATATGATATGATATGATATGATATCAGAAGTAGACCTAATAAGATGATTGTACGCATCTGACAATGATCAGTATACAATGTGAATAGAAAATCATCTTTTTTCACAGGAAAAGGGCAAATCCTTCTTACTCGAAATCCAACAACACTTCATCCAACAATTTTGATACAGACACAGGAAGTCGCATTATTCATAGGTACTACTTAAGCTTGATTGCAAAGTATCAAAAAAAGATTGCAATGAATCAAATTTCAATAAGATCGATACATTGATAGAGAAGATGTGAAAGAAGTTTATATTTGAACCTGTTTGACCTTTTTGCGTAATTGCATCGAAATGCTAATTAAAATCTTATGCAAATTTGATTTTATAGTTTTTCATGTTTTTTGTTATGTTTCTATGTTTCTTTGTAAGCCCAATTAGTTTTTTGCAACATATAAAAAGGTTTCAAGTGTATTGCTATATGAATTTATTCTTTCCATTCCCTGATAGTGACCTATTTTTCTATCATTGATAACATCGATATAATTTTCTTTTGTTTTAGGGATAAAAAGTCTTTTTGTGAACAATATCCATTGGAAAATATTTACAGCAATCCTTCGTGAGTATAACATAGATTTTCAACGTTTTTGGGATTGTTGATGATTTCTTTATTGTTTCTCTAATTCCCCTAGCATAGTATGTTGGTTTCAGTCAAGTTTATTTGTGTATTGTGTAAAGCTTAAAATTACTTTCATGTTCACTTACAGAGATGAAAGCGCAAAAGTTGCGGAAAAACCACCAGACGTCATCTACGCTAACACGATGTAAGACATTCAACTCTAATGCCTAATTGCTTTTTGTCTTTATTGACATCATTAACTGCCAACCACCTAATAGCCAGTGTCAACAGTGATCCAAAACGAAGGGCAAAAGTTAGTGGAAAGGAGAATATTTTTTTTTGTGAGCAAAAGGCCAGTACAGCGTTTAGAGGTAACTTAAAGTTTTTTACGTACCAGACTGGTACTTTCAGCCTTCTAGCACTATTCTAGTTTTGGAACACGGCCTTCGGGGCAGTAGCGTAGCCAGGGTGGTAAGTTTTGGGGGAGCAAAGGCGAGTTGAGCCAGGGAAAATTGGGGTTACACATCCTTTTGAACGCCGGAAAACGCCCTTTTTAAAGAGAGTTTTTGCCATTGGAAAGGTGGGAGCGTCCACCCCTCTCCCTCGTCACACCAGTGCTTAGGGGGTGAATAGCAGGACACACGTGACGAAATAGGCCTAAATAAAGTGTAAAAATAAACATAAAATACAAGTCAGAGTGCATGACATCACTTATGCCTGAGTTGGATAACTGTAATATGTCGTAGTAAAATATTGGTGCCGATTTTTTTCAATGAGCATTTTTGACGTATGGGACTTCTGCGTAAATGTTTTCGACGACTGTCGCCTATGTCGACGGAAGAGATTTGGCGGGTCCCGCCTGACGCAAGTTAAGCGATAGTCTGTGAAAACACACCTTTTACTGAGGCGCATCCATCGCTTGTTCTTGGAAGTGGAGGCGCTTATTAGATGGGGTGTTTATTCGATGATTGTCAATTATTGGAGGAAAAACCGTATGAAACCAGGTTTGTCCTCAGGCTACTGGCCAGTGGGTGAAGATTTCCCCCACTCCATGTACAGTCTTGAGGCCATGTTATGTTTAAGAAATGAGTATAGTACGTGCATATGTGTCATAACCAATTCAAATTTTTACGCAGGTCCTGTTTGCCGGCTATAAATCGAAGCCCAGAGTCTGGTGGTGCCATGTAAGCATTTCCCTGTGCTTTGCCCTGTGTTTGCATTCTAATTTTTCCTCTTGATAAGTCAAGAAAAAGGAGAAAAAGTTTCGACTGCTTTGGTTAATTTTTGGAAAATTTGGCGGAACAGTATTTCAAATGAACAGAGGTAGCAAGATCAATAGGTCTTATAGAAGTCTGATTTCTAGTCCCTCCAATGGAACACTGTTTATGAATTCATTTCCTCACTTTATGTTTCAACACCTTCATCACATTCTGACCTGGGCGTGATTTTGTCACGACTTTTAAAACCATATTTTCAAACTATCTTTTATTTTAATCTTAATACTTCAATCTTGAGTTATTTCCTTTTAAATGTTTGGTTTTTTTTTAATTTTAGTGTTTACGAAACGATGAATGCACAACCAATCAAAGAATCTGAACAGATACCGGACCAGTATATTTGTCCGGATTCTCAGCAAAACAAGTCCGGTGATAATCAGACTTGCATGTAAGTGTCCTGAATTTTGAATCTAGCGCGCCTTTTTCAATTAATGTCATTTGGTAATTGAAAAATTACGATAACGTAGCTACAATCATTACGGTAACTTTAATCCTGTAGACTGTTAATTGTCTCAAAACACATTTATAGCTCGTGAAGCACTGTTTCAATATGCTTCTGTTTTAGTGTCAGCGTTACAGCAAACCCTACTTGTGAAGGAGGTGAATACCAAAGTACAATGTATGTGTAATCTTCTTATTGCCACGGAAATAGGTGTAGCTCGTAGATAACATTTTGGCGTTATTGCAAGAAAGCGGAGCAGATTTTGCATGAGGGGGTATTGTGGCTAGAGATACTGGAGCATATCTCTTTAAGTTTCCTCATAAAATAATTAACACCAAGAGCTTTTTCTCAATCTGGTCACCACCACGTAACTTTCTTTGATAGCACCAAATAGTTTGACTGGTCGCTATATCAGCACCAAGCATGCTTACATTGTATACCGGGGTACCGCTAAAATAACGTGGTATTCACTTTAAAAAGTTTGAAAGAACTTTGGAAATGGAGAACTCTCGGTAAAAGAATCATCTATCAACACTTGGCTTTTTATAGGGTCTCGCGTAAGGGCGTAATGGTCACAAGCCAACTGTATGTAAAAAAATGTTCACCAGGATGTGAAAGCATTTTCTACGTGATCGAAAACAATGGGCTGCTTTAAATGGCAATGTTCAGATGGGATACCATATCTAATGGCGCACCTCAAGACTCCGTTCTGGGATCATTATTGATCTTGATTTAAACAGGGGTTTGGCAAAAATTAGCTTATAACCATTGCAAAGAACTCTGAATTTAAGGCACGTAATACCGGGGAGGTCACATTTTCATGAGAAAGATACAGACTTACCCTCTCTGAACTCATATTCACGAAGATATTCATGAAAGGGCATCAGCTTCTTATAACGGGTTGCTAAATATGTATCAACTGGTCTTTTTGACCAAATCGATAAACATTATATGGGGCTTCATTTAAGCCTGGTTCCCACTTGGTCGTTTGGGTCGTTTGGGTCGTTGGAAAATACCCAAACGACTGAAAAGACACAGTGGAAACGTACCTGCCAACGACCCAAAATACCCGAAAGACTCAAACGACAGTTGTCGCAGAGATAGAAAAAATTCTATCTCCGCGACCCAAATACCCACGCATGAATGATTTTTAAAAGTGGAAACCGACAAACGACTCAAACGACTCAAACGACCCACGCTTTAATAACTTTTTCTTCAAGAATAGGAGATTTTCTTGTAACCGCGTGTTTGACTAGAACAAGAACAAGATAGCTGAATATTTCACAGCAAGCTTTATGGAAGAAGTTCAAAAATACGAGTGCCATTATAACAATTACTCGAAATAGTTTAAAAATAAATACAAAAATAGCTAATCATGGCAAGCTATTGCACTGAAATTTAGTGATCTAACATCGTCGTCTGTACAAAGTCACCAGAGGTAGAAATAGTTGACTTTGCAACATCAGTTGTTGTTTATCAAATGCTACCATCGTTCCTTCCACGCATGCCGCCAAAATTAAATGAGGGATGCATGGTGCAAGCAATGAACAGCATACGACTCAAAAGACTCAAACGACCAAGTGGAAACCAATGTGTTTTTTGGGTCGTTCGTGTCTTTCAGGAACGACTCTGACGACTCCAACGACCCAAACGACCAAGTGGGAACCAGGCTTTACACTTTATTTACTGTATTTCGACCAAATTATGATCGAATTATTTAGTTTATTCGGCTGGTTACGCCAACGTTTCTGTTTCCTCTACTTCTCTTTCCTGCTACTATACCTTCTAGACCTTCTAGACATGTTTTCGATAACCTGGAGCTAGATCTCTTGACAAATCCAAAGATTTTTAATACTCTGTTCCTGATATGTTAAAGATATATTAAAGAGCACCTAATCAATCTATTCTGTCTATCTACTCGTTGATTTTCGCTAGTTACAACTGTTTAAACTTTGTGCTCATAAAAGTGTCTATTTTATTAACAGCTTATAGAAATTTTGAATATTGGCCTTTTGATTAATTTTAGCACATACGAGGCCATGAATGGACTGGAGGTTCCTCGATCATCATCTAACAACATTAACAGTGGTGTATACGTCAACCCTAGCAAGCTATGAACCATGATAACATTTAAATTTTACGTCTAATCGGCACAAATTTCTTAACAACTTTGAGTTGCATTATGTATAAACAAATCTACTGTACAGAATCTGTAATGAATATACAATATTCATTAGCTATTAAGAAGATGCTAGAAAATCTTGTTGCTCCCGTTGGCTGCACTGTACCTCGTGTAACAATATTTGTCAACGGTACCAAGGACCGCTATTTGAACGCTTTTTTAGCAAAGATTCATAATTAGCAATGACTTTTTTACTTTTAACCACATAACCTAAAAGAACACCATGAAATTCCTCTGATAGTGCAAAAATAAGTTAATTTGTTGAAAAATGATGAATTGCGAGGTGATTGGGTGAATTTGGGTAACTAGGGGCCAAGGGCTAATTAAGGTCTTATACAAAAAAATTGCAAAAAGCTGTATTGTTTTGCAAAACAGTGTGGGGGCGGGGGCATGTCACCTGCCCCCCATTGTCAGAGACCCTGCACTGTTGAAGCTTTGTAACTACTTTCATATGAAATGGATGCTCAATATAAAAAGTTACCTGTTTTAAATAGTATTGAAGTTAGCTGTCTGTTGACTTGAACTAAGGAGATAATCCCACCATGGAAAATTCGTACAGGATTGGTAGAAATCCTATTATTTTGTCTAACGATACCTAGAGTTCCTTTTGTTTCGGTGGGAATCTCGTACGCTATTTGCAAGAGTGAATTGCCCCTCAACTTGGAGTAGGTAGAGTCATTTAAAGATGACGGAAATACAGATAAGCTACAAGCGATACTTGCACTTGATTTTTAGTATGCAATTAAGTATACAAAAAACATTGCTTATGAATCACAGCAGAACAATACAATCATGTAGCGAGAATGGAAAACGAAATTCTATCACATGAGCATAAACTAGGCCAGTTTAAGCCTTTCAAATTCATGTTTACATATTTTCCGTCCCATTGTATTAGGAAATTTATCAAAAAACCTGTATTTTCTAGGCTTTTGACCTTTTTTGTTTCATAGACAAAGATCAACTTTTTTTCTTTCTTACGTAAATACTGGAGGGGTATGGGGGGGTGTGACACCCCCAATCTTTCATCCAGTCGGAAATTTGAGGACCGTCGGAAAATTTAAAGCTGTTGGTAGAAAGCTAGGTTAATCGGAAAAAATTTGAATCATTTGTTAAGTTTGAAGTTTTGACTCAAATGACCTTGTGGACTGTAGCTCAAAGAGAAGCATAAGAAAGGTATAAGTTCAAAGGAAAACAGTTGTTTGGTAAAAAGCAGGCAGAATGAGAGGCTACGCAATACAGAAACAACGTTTTGTATGAAAATGCAAGTATTTTCAACTACATTCGTCGTATTGGGGATAGTGTGATAATCGTTCCAGCAAATTGCTTCTAAAAACGGGATACGAAATAGAATTTTTTAAATAATATTTAACAGTAATGCTTAAAGAAGCGCAGTACATTTCCAATGACTTGTCAAGAACTTTCTCCGTTCGAGATCGACCGATGTAACATAGGCGGCACCAGGTGGAGAGCTGGGGGCTTCAGCCCCCCCACCAACCACTTTTTTGCAAAAATGTATTTTAAGCAAATAAAATGGGGAAAGGAAAAAGTATAAAGAAAAGAATCATCCGATAAATCCTTTAGTGGCTTAAATTCCAAGGAATACGCCGAGGTATATGGGACCTCATAAAGCAATGAATTCAACTTTAAGACTGGAATTAATCAAACATAATAAGAGCATGCCTTAAAAGTAACAAAACGTTTTAAAGGATTGCAAGAAAATACCTGCAAGAAATATTCTGAAATGTATTTTAAGCTAGTCTAAAAGGAGTGGTTGTGAAAGTTGTCTGCTTGCTTCGCTCGCAGGGAAGCCACTCCTGACGAATATCCCTAAGGCCTCCGCTACCCTCCCGCTGGCCCCCTTTCTAGAAGGAGAAAAATTAACACCTGATTTTTGGACTACGTATGTTTTAATGCATTAATTAAACTAACAGTCTTTATGCTCGATCTTCCAAATTTACGAAATCTAGAAACTTTATCATACAGCTGAATAATTATTTACGAGACAATTTATAAGGTTTTGTTGGTAAAAAAATATTAAAGTTTACGCCCTCATACAAAATTAGAATTGACCTTTGTCAGTCAGAAATTTTGAGCCCTTCACCCCCCAAAAAATATCTGCCAATTTTCGTCCCTGACCCGAGCCAGCCTTAAACCCTAAGAATGCAGGTGACAAAAATAAACAGAGATGCTCAAAACACAAGAAATATGCGCAGCGTGATTCAATGCCAAAAATCCTCTTGGATAAGAGCCTCATTATCCAAATCTTTCAGGTTTCTACCGTGATCAGAAGCAGAAAAGGGTTTTGTCAATTACAAGTTTTTGTTCTTCGTCAAAGTTCTAGCTATCTACTTCTCGTGAGGGTTAAAGGGTAGTTTGCAATGCCTTTGAAATATCCCTTCAAATAGAAGTTGATTGAAAGTGAAAATGGGCAGATTGTTTTGGAAATGACAGTTTTGCTTTCATCTTACTGTAGTTGTTTTTTGCAAAATTCAGTCATATTTGTATATTTTATTCCTATCAATTATTGATTAAATTCACAGAAAAAGAAAATCTTTGAACACCCACTATTGTTCTCTGCCGCCAACTTCATGATTACCTAGGAAACATCCCTTTCTTTTACATTGATCTGTTTAGTAGACGGTCTTTCTCTGTGATTATTTTTCTTAGAATAATGTAACAAAATTTGTAAACTTGATCATGTCATTTTGATTGTTTTCTGTTTTTTGATACTTTTCTGGTTATTTTCCATCATTTTAGAAATGAATGTGATTCCCTTCTTTAATTGCTTAATCAAGCCATTGTTTGAAGATATCTAATGTCAATAGCGTCAGGAAGTCCTTGAGAAATATGACAAGCAACTCAAAGGATGTCCTGCGTCCTGCGTTATCTTTTCACGAACACGGAAGTAAATAGAGACAAAACGAAGGTTGTTTTGGCTTCAGAGCTCCTGCGGTCATGCATGCAACGAAAGGCTAGACTAAAGAAAAGATTTCTTCACCTATTCAGTTTATGAACCTTTTGATTCGGAATGCTTTATCAACATGAAGATATCTGCCATATTGTCAACCGCAAAATGACAATATTTCTCCTCATTATATCAAGCATTGTTACGGGTAGGTTACAATTTTATTTTCCTTGTCGTTTCTCTGCTGAGAATTTTATCAGCGCTGTATATTGTCTGCAATTACAGGACGAGCTATTTATTCTGAAATGAGACAAAGCTTTCATCATTGGCTTTGTGATATGTACTGTTTTACACTAAATATTGTAGTGTTTTGATAAACCTATTTCCTGCTTGCAGTCCCATCTCGAAACCATGAGTATCACATGCGGAAACTGGTTTTTGAATAACATTTTTGATCGATTACAGTCTTTTTATAAAAGGAACTTAGAAGAAATTGAGTTCTCAATGTCAATGATTTTTCAATTTTTCTTCGAACCCGACTTCGAACCTTTTGGGCTCATCTTTGTAATGGTCACTGCTAAACTTCGTTATCAGAGAATGATCGTCCTAACCCATATCCTCTTTACTTTTTTGGCTGTTTATATTTAATGTTAGATGTTAAAACTAGCTCAATAATAAGTAAATTTAATCAGCTTATTGATACCTACATATCTACTTTCTTATAGTGACAGTACTGTGTGAAGTTTGCCATTATTAACCCTAATAATTTACTATCATAGAATGGGCCTAAATATATGAAATGTTTGAAGTGGTTGTGGTCAGGCAAATACTTGTTTGGAGTTAGGCATAGTTAAATATGATCTTATAGAGTGTTGACACTCCTCTTTCAATGTCTATGGTCTCGTGAAACATTATCCAGAACCATTTGGTTTCAGCTCCAATCCGCAAAAGTCTTTCAAAATTTATTTCAGTCAAGCTCTATAATATGAGTGAGCAAGCATTTATTAATCGCAGGATAAAGCATGTCTTATTCTCAAGGCTTTGCTCTCGGTTGATGCATTTTGAGCAAGCTTAACTTGAAAGCCTCACTTTACATTCCAAAACCGATTTCAAAATTATTGAAAGAAAAGGATCATCTTCAACCAAATAAAGTCTGTATGGAAAAACTGTTTAGCAAAACCTGAATTATAACAAGCATATATTCATAAATATACAGTATTTGTCATTTAGTGGGTTTTAACAGCTTTTTCTAAAGATTTCTCCATATTATTTTCTATTGTGTGGATTATCTTGTATGGATGAGCACAGTGGTGGCACCAGCTCTGCTAGGAGGGCAGTGGTCGTGAACATTGAAACCACGCCCATTTTGTTACCACATTGGGACCATGCCCCATTTCAGTGCTGTGTACCAGGTTCAGTTCCCTTAGGAAATATGATATACCCCTACCTAGCTACCAGCTATACCCCTACCTAGCTATATACCCCAACTATCAGGGTACCTGCTAGGGGTCAGAAGCTTTATCAATATGGTAAAATTTCCCTTGATTTAAAATCGAGATCTTCACAAAGGGAACGCTGCATCACGTGCTAAACAGCCTATAAGCTCCGCCTATTTTAGGAAGAATGTCGTAATTTTATTCTCCTAACAAAAGCTACAGAACACTAATCAATGCAGACTTCAAAATTGTTAAATACTAAAATCAGTTTTCAACAATTTTCATGGAATGTTTCGTGTGTTGAGGTTTCCAGGCACATCTTTGCTGACCAAGTGGATGAACCATTCTTTAGTTATTTTTGTGAAAAGCATAAGCGCAGACTTAGGGGTGGCTCCAGGGCTTGAGCCCCTCCTGACGAAAATTTCACTTTGAGCCCATCCCCTTGGAAAATATATAAGTCTGCACCTATTCCAGATTGCGTTGTCTGCACATATGGTGAAGTGAAAGCTGCAATGTAACAAGGCTAAAGTTTGGCTTTGTTTTGTAATGAAAGGGGTGAAGGAGGGAGGCTGCAAATCATCCCAATATAATATTGTACACATTTAATAGAAACCCTATTGTTTTATTGGCAAATCCCTAGAAAGGCTTCTGGTGGAAATATCGTAGGCTATTAACAAGAGTGAAATGTCTCTCGATTCAAAACTTGGACAGTGTAGATCGAGCACTGGGTCAACACATTCAAGTTGAAGTCTTTATTTTGATTTCAAAAGAATCAAAGACCGAGATTCAACTTTTTGTTTAGTGGGGGGGGGGGGGGGCAGCCCTGATAAATAGGTTTAATAACAGCAAGATTTTCCAACTAAAAATATTTCAGTAATGCTATTAAAGTTTTTTGGGGGCCCCTACTCCTCTCCCCGGTATCTCAGTTCTTGCAAATACCTTGGTTTTTAAATGTTAAACCGTGCAACCTGTAAATAGATGTTTAACAGTACATCAAAACCGACATCTCGTTTTCTTGATCTCTTAGGTACGTTTAGTGCTGCAACCTGTGGGGAAAATATCACTGCCAGGGTGCCACGATACAACGTTGGTGAACAATTTGGTGAAATATACGTGATTTCGTCGCCTACTGCATCGAATGTGACATATTGCAAATGGACATTCTCAAATCCACAGAAATTTCTTTTAAACATATTTTTCATAAATATCACAGTTCCTCCTGCTCCAAAAGTCAAAGATTGTACAGATAACTACGTGATAATTCGAAAATATGACGCCGAAAACAAGACCTTTCTTGCTCTTAAACCATATTGTGGCGAGAGAAAACTGCCAGATATTCGTATCAACGGAAGCGTCGAAATTGCAATGCATCTGAAGAGAAGGCTTGCTAATAGCAGTGGAATATCAATGGCAGTACGCATAGAGGCCTCATCAAAGGGTATGTAGTTTTAAAAATGTAGCAAATATGAAACACCGCAATACGCAAGAATAAACAACAATAAAAACACGTAAATCAGTAAAGGCTATGTTGTTTTGCCTTCTATTCGATGGGCCCAAACTGTGGTAGTCAGTCGTAGGGGCTTGAAGATCATGTCCCTAATATTTTTCAAACATGTGAATTATTGGCTGAATAAGAAATTTATAAAGAGCTGAACTGAAGATTTATGGATTGTCTTCATAGCTGTTGTATTATACTTATAAAGCCCTATTTGTAAGAAAACTCCAAAGCAAGGGCCCTGAATGAAAGAAGCTTTTAGATCACTAATTATAACAATCTAACTGTAAACCCTAATCACAAGCTTGATTCGCCATTTCTTAATAAATCGAAGTGCAGACATATCCCGTAGTATACACGTTGGCTTGATGGGAAATTACTTTACAAATCTTTACAAATGATCTTTACAAAATGGTTCACAATTCAAGAGTTTTACATGATATGATAATATTGTGCTTAATGATGTTCTTGTATTACTTGAACAAGAGTTGTATTGAACCTACGACAAGGGTAGTAGTGTTTCGGCGGTAGAAACCTTTAGGGCCTATAGGGAACAACAATCCATCTAACGTCAATATTGATAAATTTTGCTTTAGATAGAAATATGACGATAAAGATTATTTCCTCATTTGTTTTATTCTGGAAATTGGTCAGCATGTATCATATACACACGTTATTTTTTTAGGAAACCGTCAACAAAAAATCCACCCATAAGATGACAGAAGATTTAGAAACCGTACCACTGCTCAAACTCAATCTTAAGAAACTCTTCGAAATTCTTCAACAAGAAATTAGATAAACATGATTCTTTTAGATCATTACGAACCAATTTCTGGTTAAATTGACATAGATATAGAAAGAAGAACTTCTTGGGACTTATTAGGTGTTCTGTTTTATGCCATCTTATGTAGCGTTTTTGTGATTCTAAAAAGCAGATTTCAGCACCTTTATGAAGAAACGCTAAAGAAACTTTCAATACTAAAACAAATGAAAACACCAAGTGGCTTCGTCTTAGTACTTAACCCTGACCTGGTCTTATGAAAAATGCATATAGGAGATCTATACAGGTTTGATGTATACCTAGCTCTGCCATTTAGAAATTTTCCTTGTTAGTCCTCTGATTTCCAGTTTTTTGATGTAATATTCCTTTGCAGGCTGTGGTGGTATTTTCAACGGATCAGATAATAGCCCATCAATCTACGTTGATCGTTCCAAATTTGTTATCTCAGACTCCAATTTCGTTCACTGCACTTGGCACTTTGAGCAAGACCACACCAGCGACTTGAATTTGTTCGTTTTGAAAAGAGGATTTTATCCCGGTTCCGGGAGTTGCACAACATACAAGGACTTTATTTCTATTTTTTCATGGAATCAAAAGACTGGGATCGCTAATCAATCGATGATTAGGTGCGAGTATAGATCCAGCTTTCCGGTTCAGTATTCCTTGATAGAAAGTAAGCGTTTTACAGTGACTGTGCACTTGGAATACAGAGGGTACACAAGCACAAATATTACAGAAGCAAAGTACTTTTTTGTTTCTAAAGGTATGGTTTTAATTATTTTGGCTTGTGTTCATCATTCATAACATTGGTCCATCTTCAGTGCAAAGGGAAGGCAAGATTAAATGGCTCAATTAGTTTTAAAGATTATTTGAATAAAGTAAGTAAACTTTTGTCTATCGTTAATGGCCTTGTGACAGTTCCGACGAAGGGGAGGCCGGGGGCATGGCCCCTCCACTTCTTTTGCAAATCAATGGAACTTTTTAAAAATCTTTTGTTATGGGTGATGAATATTTCCTTGGGCTCCCCACTTTTCAACCTGTATCGGAACCCATGTCTCAACCCTAAACTTCGGTAAGACACTATCTAAATACGCACGGCAAATAGACACTAGGAAAAGTCTATTCAACATCACCTAAAGGGACCGGGTGTGAGCAATTTGTGTTTCACTGTTGTTGACTTCACCTCTTCATTCTTATCTCTTTCGACACTGTACGCTTTGCCGTCCTTTTTGAATCGTTTTATTTTATTCAGCAACCGTGCCTCTGTTTATACTTTACCTGATTCATTGCGTACCGGGTTCACTGATCTAATCTGGTACTAATGTTATGTCTGTTTGCATTAAGTACAGAACTTTTCAGCGGAAAAATTTTCGGACAGTAAATCTCGGCGAAATATTTTTTTGAACATATTTTTGAAATTTCGGACAAATAAATATTACGGACAAATGTTGACCAATCTTTTGGACGTTTTAAAGCAAAACCACATCGGTTTATTGATTCAGACATAATTCTTACGATTATTATTGAACTATCGTGAAATTTGGAAGAATCTTTAACTACTGAAAATGTGACAATGTTAAGAAACTTTCAGTATCGAAGTGGCTACAATCCTTAGATTAGTAAATTTGTGATAGACGATATGAGCGACGATGTTATTTATTTGAATTGGTGATCCTGTTCGCTTCGAAGAACGACTTTTTTCAAAGATTTTGCGGACACTCATGTTTAAAGATTGTAGCCTTTGCTTCAACGAATTTACATTGCGCTTGCGTGGTTTGTACAAAAATTTTGGTATGAAAACTTTCGGATAACTCTAAATTTTGTACATATAAATTTTCGGACAAATATTTTGTCTTAATGAACTTAATGTACGTACACTTTTCTTTTTGAACAGGTTTTATGCGCACTGTGACGTTTAGCTGGAGCGTTTCGTCTGGGAATAGTACGTTCAACATCGTCAAAAATTCAACAGCCAAGACCAATGGTTTGCTTTATTTAAGAAAAATGACCTCTAGATATGATATTTTGGTAAGTGAGGTGAAATTGCTGTGTCATTACGGATCTATACAGTTATGGACGCTGGAAAATGAAGTACTACAAAGAAATAAAAGTCTTTGTAAAAGTGCTAAAGGCAACGTGCTTTCCTTTCCTGCTTCTGGAAAATTTCTCTGGCTTACGTTTAGTGCAGAAGAACAACATTTTAAAGGACTGACGATACTATACTTTCCAACAAGTGGTAAGATGCACACTTTTTATTTCATTATATGCTAGCGTTTGCTAAATGTTGAGGTTACTTCTCAAAGACAATTTCAGCTCGAAAAATTCGTGATTGACCAAACCATCTTTTATTTTGCATTCATATTATCGAGCTAGCATAATGTTTAAACTTAAAATTTGCCGTTTTGGCGAAACTATAGGAAACATTAAATATTTTAAAAATCATTCTGCAAGCGGGGTTTACTGCTACAAAACAGGCCCGCCGTGAATAATTGTCAAACTGTTATACATTTCCTTTATAAGAGTGTAATGAATGGGAGAAAAACAATAGGCAGCCCCCCCCCCAATATGAATCTCGTTCTGACGGAACTGCAAAATGATGCAAACAGTTAGACTATTGAGCTGTAATCTTTTTTTGTATATGATATTAAAAGAAACTACAATACAATAACCTGACCCAGTCATAGCGGAAAATGACACATGGTCATCTAGTCCCCACTACGAATGGCGCCTACAATGAATTTTAACAATAATCTCTAAATCAACTAACAAAAGAACGCAATACAACACTACACCACGCCTTACCAATCAACACTACGCTACATTGAGGTACAACGAAAAACCATGCAGAGCAAAGCCGCCCCAAGCAAGCTGAAGTCATTTAGAATATACATAAGAATTTTAATACTGTTGATGATATCTTGCATGAATCTCTACCCTTTTTTCAGAATGTGGTGGGATATCATATCTGCACCCAGGTCAGTCAATCAACATCACTTCTCCGAATTACGGTAATGGAAATGATTATCCATCAAGATCTTACTGTCAGTGGGTTCTTATTGCCAATGGAACAACGACATTGAATATCTCTATACTGGACATGGATTTGGAGGACTGTGACGTATATTTCTATGATTACATAGATGTTTATGAGCGTTTCATGCATAATATGACGCTTAGGTACAAACTATGTAAAAAGCCATCCACCGATCTGGCGACCAAAGGAGTTTCTGGGATTCATTTTCATAGCGATTCTTCTAGTAATCATCGTGGCTTCAAGTTACTAGTTGCAGCGTCTCAAGGTAAGAACTTGTTATAATTTTCGGTTTAAATCGGGTTCAATCACCCACATGACAAAACACGCAAGTTTTCTGCGAGAATGCTTTCATCGATTTGCCATAGTAGAAAGTCGTAATCAGGATCTTAACGTTTCAAAATATCATTACATACTATTTATTTACATCCTGGCTGTTTCCCTTAAATTAAGTCGTTTGTTAGTATTGATGCCCTTTGTGTTCTTAAAATAAAATCTAAGCTCTCTCAAAACATCGTCGTAATCATAATATACGTAGTAATGAATACTTATTTTTTTTAAAATGTGAATGAAAGAAAATTAAAAATCAAAAGATGGCCGCAAAAGATTCTGGCAGGTTTGTAAAAGCTACCAAGGCTTAAATTACCTACAATGAAGTTAGCTTGAATGAATTACAATAAAGGCTCACAAAGCTTTGACGGAAGGTTGTTGTAAATATGGAAGGTTTGTAAAAGAAGGTAGTGTATAGTTGGGCAAGCTAATGGACATTAATGTACAACCCATTCCTCGAGTATATCTAACAAACGCTTGCAGCAAAATTCAAAAGGTTTTCAATGATATTTAAGAAATCAATGACGTAGG